ATTTCACCATGGGATCTACCTTCCCCTCTCTTCTCCCTTGTTGGTAGTCCCCTTGATATGCGAGATGATGGGTGAGACCTTGGCTGCCGTTGCGTCGGAGTTGTGGTCATGTTAGCCCCCGCTAACCTAAGAACTAAATAAGGGGGTGGGGGAGGAGGTAGGTCCTGCATATCCATCCCACTTTGTTGATTCACCTTTTTTGATCACAAATCCTTATTGTTAATTGGCAAGTAGACACTACATTTTCGACACTTGACACACGAATGGCATGTATCCAGGTAACTCACAACTGAGGCAAACTCCCCACGGCTAAGACGGCGGGCTTGAGGGAGTATCTAACGAACTCCATTCACTCGGTACGGCCTATTCATATTGCATAGACGGCGGTGGCCAGAATTTGGCGAGGATCACGTTAAACCACTCGCTGATGCTTCGCAAACCGCAGGTTTGTGAAGGCACGGGCAGCGCGCTAGGGGACAGCACGAGAAAAAAAAAAAAAAAAAAGAAGTTCCTACCAGGAGCACCGTTCTGGTCCCTTTCTCCTTTCTTTTCTCCTCTGTCCTAGCGAGGACTCCATTTCTTGCTTATGTCTAGTTCTTTTGCTTCCCTTCTTATCTGTTTCCTACCCATATATGTACGGGCTCCCGCAGTTCCCGGTCAGATGATCGGGGGCTTAGACCGGGCCTCAAGGAGAAAGTCCGATTGTGGGGCCGTCAACCTATCCCCGGGATGTGGTGGATTTCGGAGGAGATTAAGCCGATCACAGAGTAAGGGTTACCGAGTCACGCTTCACGAGCGGGGCGAAAACACTTCCCCATACTAATTCATTGTGACGGGCGAGGAGGTCGAAGAAGAGCATGAATTAGGCACAGGGGGACGTGGAGCCATACCGAAGTACACGCCGTGCGGCATGGAAGATCAGCTTTCCGGCCGGGGGATGGTTGCTTTTTGCTTCCTGTTTGGAATTTCCGTTGAACATGATGAGCATGGTATAATGCTCATTACCGGTGTAAAAACCGCAGCTTCTACCGAAGGCTCAACATCCGGACGGGGTTGTCAACTTGGGATCTACATGGGTAGATGACCCTTTGGGCTCATCGCCATCTCCCCCAACCCCACCCTCGCCTACCTCGGTGCACAGGGGGTTCATTTTTCTTCGTAAAGCAGAGCATAGGAGGCTAGGAAATGATGGAAGCTGAAAGGTTTGCGCCCGTCTCTGCAACGAGACATGCAGCGGAGCTGAGTCCGCGCGCGGAGAAGAAAAGGTCTTGGAGATACGGCTGGCCTAGCGGGTGTAGTTTTGACGGGCTATGCACCCCTAGCGGAATGCTAGCTAGGGCTTGATCATCAACAAAAGACAAGGAGAGAGGGGGTTAGAGAGGTGGATGGTGCAGACACTGGGTGTGTCTGAGTATATGGATGTGGCCATCAGCTAGCCACACAGCATCTCGGTTGGCCTGGAACATTTTATGTCCTCCTCTCCCCTTCCCCTCAGGACAGGACTACATGATGTAGGGAAGCATACATAGAAAAGCCACGCGTTGCGGCCCGCGCCCCGGTGAATGAGGGAGAAAGAAGCCAAGAGGGAGCCTGACTCGTGAGGCGCGGGTTTCCTTGTCTCGCGATACGGCCCAAAAGTAAGCCCCATGTTTAGGGCTTCTTTGGTGCCCGTATAGGCTTGGCACGATTTCCTTTCTTTTTTTTTTTTTTTTGGTTCACATATTCTTCAGGCTCATCCGTGTTCAAGTGAAAAGGCGATCTTGTCCGATAAAAGCAAAGTCGGGTCGGGTCGGTGCTCGATGCAAAAGCGCGGGGAGCGTGGTGTCTCTCTTCTCCATACTGTTGGGCTACGTACGACAACGTCAGCGGCGTTCGCAGGGTTAAACAAGGAGAAAGAAAACGAAATATTAGCAAAAGGAAGAGCGGAGAGCGTAGAGACTGATAAGGCCTAAAGAGGTGGAAGAAGGAGAAGGGACAAAAAAGGGAGAAAAAGTAAGTAATTGCTGTGGTGTCCTTTTATGAGAACGGCGTGTCAAGAGCGAAGCCCCGAAGATGGATGTGCAGTATAAGTGCACCGCCACTGCGGTTTACGGAGAAGATCTGGAGATTGCAAACTTGGCATGCAGCATCTCGTTTCCATTGGATCTGAACGAGTATCAAGCAATGGGGTTTGATCTTGTCAGTCCTGTTGATTGGGGAACTGGAGGCGGGGTGTGCTGGCTGGCCCCCATCGTCTTCCTTCTCTCCTCAATTCTGTTCTCTTCTTTGAACAAGAAAGGTTGATCAAGGAGAGGGCTACTGGGAATCCGGTGGAGGCGGACGTGCATGAACAACAAATTCGATGGGAACCCAATTCTGCGAGCCAAAACCTGCCAAAAAACGTGGCTTGCGAGGGTTTCAAGGCGCCTACGGGGAAAAACATTAGGCCAAAAACAAAATCCTAAAAAGATTGTTTGAGAGAAAACGACAAGGGGGCTGGCTCTCCTGCAAGTTCAACCAAAGCCCGAGCCCAGCAGCAGGCAAGGCGCAAACAAAAACCTCCGATTGCTTCGGGACAATTGCCAAGCGGGAAGCGAGTGAGACGTCGGATATACGGGATTATGAAGGGTTACAGCAGAGGAGAGGGGGAAGAGATCAGGACTTCTCCCCCAGCTCCAGTTCTTTGGGTCACCGGTCAAGAAGTGAAGATGATTTTTGAGGGTTTCGCTTCTTTGTGCGATGCTGCTCCTTCGCGGTGAGGAGCGAAGAGGATGGGGGTCAGCACGGGCGCAGGAGGTGATGGGTGGGTGTGGGAGAGAAACAGGCGTTGTGTGTGCCCTGCCACCGCACTCGGAGCGCAGGACATGGAAGCAAACTGACTATAGGAATCAAAGATGGATGAGAACCACTCGCCACTAGACTAAGTGGGATCCGAAAGCCTAGAGCTAGCAAGGAGCAAGGGGAGAGAGAGCATCGATGGAGGACCTCTGGCGAGAGCGGACAGCACGTGTTTCGCTGAACCTGACGACTCATCGACGTAATGCCCCTCCTCCTCCCCCACCAACCCCGCCATCGTCAGGTGCACTCCTCTGAGATCGGAGCTAGAGGGAGCGCCGGTCTTCTTCCTCGAGGGGGTTACGTGCGTGGGATGAGCCAGGCGAGAGGTAGAGAGGCACAGGGAGGCGAAGGCAAGGGGAGGGGTGGCGGCCGCGGGTTGGAAGGGGATGGGTGGAAGTGGGTGAGGAAATAGCGGCACGGTAGAAGTGGACTAAGTGGAGCTTTGGTGATGGAAGGAGAGTAGGTGAGGAGGAGCTAAGACGGCGCGGGGTCTGACGAGGTTTTTTTCTTCGGTTTGTTTTTGTTTCTATATTTCCTTGTCTTTCTTCTCTTATCCAGCTAAGTGTGCAATTGGGCAAGAGTGAGGAAGTGGAGGGGAGGGCATCGAGATGAAAGATTGATTCACTTGTTGAGTTTTCTCTGGGTGGGACGAGGGGACATGCAGGCTCTCTTTTCTCCTGATTGCTTCTGAGGAACTCGCGTTGGCTCAAGAACTTGAAGGAGCCTGTCATTGAAAGTTGCCAAGTTGCATGATATGATGGTTGGAGCGTTGGCTAGTTTTGCCCTTGCTCGAGAGCTACCAGCTTCCGCAGATCCAACAGGGCAGCAGATTTTAGTATTTTATCACCTTCATTGAGCTTTTGTCCTTCATGCTCTTGAGGTTGCCCCTCACCCTGGGAAAATCCTCCCGCGACGAGGGAGGGAAAGAGAGAGACGGAGCTCCGATCTTTTTCATCATGCGCGATATGAAAAACCGCACATCTATATCAGAGCAGGATAATATTACCCGCTGCCCCGGTCCACCATCTCAGGCTACGCGGCGTAGCCACTCGTACAGAAAGGGACAAACTCGTCCCCTTCTTACTACCCCTCCCTTTGTTATGCCCGTGCGAGCTGCTGGTGCGCTCGAAGCTCACGTTCCGAAGTGGGATGTGATCCGTGGTGCGCCAGCTCCGACCCCGCAATCCTCCGCGAGAGCAAGAGCTTGCCCCTCCATTGGTTTGTAGCTTAGCTGGAGCACGTTTCTGATTTATTTTTCCTGTCTTTTACGTTCTGTTTCTCTCCTACTTTCCTACCTGTTTGGATTGAATGAAAATAACAAGTCAATGGTTTTGTTCAGAAGAAACAATGGCATTGCTGTGACAATGGAGTCCCCGCTGACGGGGAAAAGTTGATGTCGAGGGGGCAAAGGGTTGCTTGGCTCGCGGTTTCTTGGTTCTTACACACACGCGAGATCCAAAACGGAACCGAACCCCGCGCTCCTCCATCCCGAGGTGTGTGGCCGTTCTTGCCTTGCTCCCCGCCCCTCACCTCACTCATCCAGCCTAGGCCAGCCCAGACCAGTCCCATTCATGTACAAGACCCCATGCTCCGCCCTGCTCTTCCCATGCTTCATGCCATGCCATGCTACATGTAGGCCATGCGCGAACCTTGGATCCGCACGACCGCTGTCTTCACGATTGTGCTCCTTTTTTCTCGGTTAATGGCGCCGCGCCCCCGTTCTACATGGAGAAGAGACGGGAAGGTGAGTGGACGAGGAGACAAGGTATGGGGAACCAATAAATTAAACAAAGAGGTAAAAGGTAGACAGGAAGGGGTCCATCGTGGAGCTGTATATCCGTGTGCGTTTTGCGTATATCCATATAGGTTGTGGTGTGCGTGGCTGCGTACATGTACGAATAGCATGTGTGGTTTCTCCGCTTTCTCGAGTGATATATACATTTTTTGGTCGTAAAAACGGTTTAGATCTAGTCGATTTTTGTCTTCCATCTCTGTTCCCAATCTAGCACCACCTCCTTTTCTCTTCTTCCCTTCCCCTCTCTTTTAGCTTTCTGTTCCCCTTTTTCGAAACAGGAACAAGCTTTTATACCCTCTCAACTCCACCCCAGCCCTTTCCGAATCCCCTTGAACTCTCCTCAGCCCCCATCCATCTCCTCCTTTCCCACAACAAATTCCAAACAAAAATGTCCGGCCGTCTCCACTCCGCCCCGCCCTTCAGGGCCGAGCAAATGGGCTCCCTCCTCCGCCCCCAGAACCTCCTCGACATCCGCGCCACCATCCGGGACACCAACGTCTCCGAGGCCGACGCCGGGCTCCCCGCCGCCGAAAAGGCCGCCATCACCGACGTGGTCAAGATGCAGACGGACCTAGGCTTCAAGGCCGTGACGGACGGCGAGTTCGTGCGCACCCGCTTCTGGGGCCTCACTTGGGACGAGTTCGAGGGCACCACGCGCCTGCAGGACGCCGAGGCCTCCATGTTCCGCCTCTACCACCCGGACGTCGTCAGCCTCATCGAGCAGGACCGCAAGGTCATGCCCGGCGATTCCGTCATCGCCGGCGGCAAGATTCGCTTCAACCCGGCCAAGTCGGTGTCCAACTTGCACGAGGTCAAGCTCGTCCAGGACGCCCTGCCCGAGGCGGATCGCGGCAACGTCAAGCTCACCATGATCACGCCGGCTTGGTTCCACATGCGCTACAAGCAGGGCCGCGCTTACACCCCGAGGCGTATGCGAATGACGCCGAGTACTTTGCTGACGTTGCCAAGGCGTACAATGACGAGCTGAGGCACTTGTACGATGCTGGTCTGAGGAACGTTCAATTTGACGATCCCGGCATGGCTTGTAAGTTTTTTTCTCTGCTTTTTTCTCTGCTTTTCTTTCTCTCTTGAAGTAGCGAGAATATTATTGCCTCTGCCTGCTACTTTCCTGGATAATCAAGAAAATGAAAGGAGAGGAAAAAAAAAAAAAACACAGATAGCACTAACAACCTGTCCCTCCAGACTTCTGCTCCCAAAAGTTCCGCGACGGCTGGGCCGCCGACTCCGACAACATCGGCACCGTCGAAGACCTCTTCGACGCCTACATCAAGCTCTACAACGACTCCCTCGCCGGCCTCCCCGAGGACCTGCACACCGGCATCCACCTGTGCCGCGGCAACTTCATCGGCGGCCGCCACTTCGCCGAGGGCGCCTACGACATTATTGCCCAAAAGCTCTTCGAGAACCTCGACGTCAATACCTTTTACCTCGAGTACGACACCGAGCGCTCCGGCGGCTTCGAGCCCCTGCGCTTCCTCCCCAAGAACAAGAACGTCGTCGTCGGCATCGTCAGCACGAAGCTCGCCCAGCTCGAGGATAAAGAGGAGATGAAGGCCCGCGTGTACCGCGCCGCCGACTTCATCGCCGAGGGGAGCGGCCAGACCAAGGAGGAGGCGCTTCGTCGCGTGTGCGTGAGCCCGCAGTGCGGGTTTAGCACGCACGAGAGCGGGTACCCGCTCGGTGATGCGGAGCAGGCGGCGAAGCTGAAGCTGGTGAGGGAGATTGCTGATGAGATTTGGGGCGAGCCGTAAAGGGGAGAAAATGGGGAGAAAATGGGGAGTTGAAAGAATAGTGTGTGTGTGTGTGTGAGAGAGAGGGTGAGGGACGGGACAGCGAGCGAGCATCTTGGAATTTCAACAATTAAAATGGGAACGGCACAACAAATTGGGGAAAGGAATGGGAGGGGAGAGAAGGGACTGGGAGAACCGACACGTTCTCCTCTCTAGGCCCAAGTTTCGTTCCCTCCCGTTCTTCTTTATCCATTCGTTGCAGCCAAAAAACGGCGTTACGATATGAAACGGCAACGGGTGGGATTTTATACACATTTAACACGGGTTCATGATCAAAGGAAACACACAAATTCGGGATACGCGAGACGCGAGAACGCGAGACGCAGGGGAGCAACAGTTGTACGTTGTGGGCATTTCATCATCGGCGCCTGGGTGCAATCAACTTCACCGGCCTTGGGAAGAAGCTACGGGAACAGAGGAGGGTCTAGGGTCTACGTGAAAGGGTCGAATGCGCGAGAGGAAAAAGGAAGAAAACAAAAAGAGAAAAACACTGACAACATCTTTTTGTTATTGTTGGGAACCACGGCACAAGTTTGTATCACTCACGTCTATCTTGCTTTTCTTCCTTTAGCTGTTCGTAGTACAATCTATATGGCAAATCGTCTCAACGGCCTCGTGGTAGGAGAACTTGGTTTCTGCATAAACATGGACGGACTGGTGAATTGTATACTCGTTGACCGATATGTTCTAACCTAGTTTATATATTGGGTTCGTCGGGATCCCAAGTCTAAATGCTAAAATGGTTCTCTATCAGAAAGACCAGAAAAAAGCCAAGCGCGGATGCCCATACACGCAAACCACCTCTTTCGCTCCCCGTGAGCCAATGCCAAAAACTCCCATGAAAATGCGCAGCCTCTAAAAACGACGAGACAAAAACAAGATGAGAGAAAGAGCCTCCCATATCATAACACATAGCCAAACGCCAAGGAATTCTCCTCTTACCCCCGCGCAGCCACCACCGCCGCCTCCTCGAGCCCAGGCTCCATGTGCTCCGCCATATCCTTATCCGTCTTCTCCACCCTCCGCTTACTCTGATCCGCCCGACCTTCCGCCGAGTCGCTCTCCGAGTCCGTGCCGACAAACAGCGTCGGCCCGTCGATCCACAGCCAGTGGTCGACGACGCACTCGCCCGACTTGTCGAGGATGGCCCTGTCGTCCGCGAGATCGCCCGCCGCCGCTGCTGTGAGGCTAGAGCGGTGCTTCTTGGCCGCGCGCGCGTGCTTCTTCTTGGACAGCGATCCCTCCTTGCCGCTGCTGCTGTTGCTCAGGGAGGACGAGGACACCGCGGGCGACTGGACGAGGATAGCGTCGGGAGCGATGCCGTCGGCGAGGTCGGCGGCGCAGGTGCGCGCAATGGGCACCCCGTTGTCGCGGAGGACTTGGAGCTGGGCTCGTAGGTTGAGGCGGATGGCACGGGCGGGCTCGACGGCGCTGAACATCTTCTTGGTCAGCCATGGGAAGAGAACGCCGAAATCGGACTGGCTCAGGTGGGCCGACTCCTGGACGTAGAAGAGGTTGGGGTGTGGGAACGGCGGAAGCTCCGAGGCGGAGGATTCGTCGGTATTGTTATCGCTGGTGTTATCCCCCGTGGCTGCCTGCGCTTGGCCTTGGTTCTTGCCGTGGCCGCGGCGGTGGTATAGCTCGGGGCTGGGGACTTCCTCGGCCGGGGCAGGAGAAAAGACGCGCGCCGTGACGCGGAGATGGTCTTCCCACTTGTAAAACTGTTCCGACAAAACAGCGAGGATGGCGCGGCCACCGGGCGCATCGGGCACCGCGGCATCGTAGGCCGGCATGGGCAAGTCAAAGAGCGGGGTGAAGCCCGGGTCGATGAGTGGCGTAACCCAAATGTCGAGGAGGATGGTCACGGTCTTGTCGGTGATTTGGCGACGAATCTCGGACCCGGCCTCGGGGGTGAAGAGGGGCGCCTTGTCCATGGTGCTTAGGACCGGATGGTCCGCGTAGTAGGTGGACTTGACGAGCTGGACCGTCGTGGCGCTGCCGAAGCTGTGGCCGGCAAAGATGATGGCGCCGGGCTCGTGCACGTGCAGCAGGCCGGCCAGGGGCGCCAGGCTTAGGGTAGAGGCGTTCATGTTGGTAAAGGACTCGCCGCGGTCCATGCGCAGGAGGGCGTCGTGTATGAGGCCGAGCTCCCACAGCCGGATGCGCAGCTGCTCCTCGCGGGCGGCGTACATTTCGGGCGAGACGGTGTGCGAGATGCGACGGTAGGGTACAACCATGTTCTTGGGCGCATTCCCGCTGCTGCCGTTGGACAGACCACCAAAGAGACGACTGGGGGAAGAGGAGGAACCGCCTCCTCGCTGCTGCTGCTGCTGCTTCTTCTTCTTCTGGCGGTATTTCTCCGGGCTGCGGATGAAGGAGGTGACTGCGCTGCCGTCGCGGTGCTCGGGGCAAAAGACGACGGTGCCGTGGGAAGCGAGTGAGCCGGCGACGTGGGAGTAGGCGTTGCGGGAGCCGCCGAGGCCGTGGGAGAAGACGACGGTGGGCCAGCGGCCGTTGGGAGTGTTGGCGGGGAGGATGTCGGCGTTTTTGTGGGCGGGGATCGAGGTGTAGTGGAGGTGTCGAGGAAAGTAGCTGGGAGAAGAAGGAAAGTTAGCGAGAGGTTGGTTTCTTTCGTTTATTACCTGAGAGGGGACTCGAGGAAGGAAGGAAAAGAAAAGGGGGCCGTCAAAACTCACGACAAGAGCTCGGCAAGCACGGGACCGGCGCCGACAAACTTGGTGTAGCTCGAAATATGTTGCCTCTGCGGCATGGGCAGCCAGGTCACGCGATCGCTGCCGGCGGGGGCTTGCCGGTGCTCTCGAGCGAGGCCGGGTAGAAGATGCGCATGGCGACGGTAGACACGTGCTCGGCGCCGGCGGGACGGGGACTCGGGCTGTACAGCTCGTCAATGGGGATCTCGACGTCGACGGTGCCCACGCGGTACGGGCCCGTGTAGTCCGGGAAGGACGGGACGGGGCTTAGTGAGCCCAACATTTGTGCTGTCTTTGGATAGGGGACAGGCTTCTAGGCCGGGGTTTTCTTTGCGTGCGACGCCTATTCGCGAGTGCAGAGGATTTTGGTGTTTTGCTTTGTGCCTCTGCTCACGTCCTCGAGAGTCAACCCCTCCTCCTCTTATTCTTCTCGGGCTCGTTAGACAAATTAAATTGGCCCCTTCTTGTTTTGTGTTGGGAGTCAACGAAAGGCAAGGCACCTTTGGTCCGCGGGGAATGACGTCGTTTATCGTCGTCGTTGTCGTGCTGTCGTGGGAACGCACGAACCAAGAAAATGGGTTGTCACGAGCGCAAGGCGGATTGACAGAAAAAAAAAAAAAGAAAGCTGGCAATTGGCCGTTTCCGTCCACAATCTCAAACACTTTAAATGTCGGATCCGAAGCCAATTGAACCCCTCAATGGTTAAATCCTTCTCAATTGACAACAAGGTCTCGTCAATCAATGGTCAAGAGAAGGGCAATTCTGTTGGTGAAGTAGGGAGAGGGAGAAAGGGGAAGGAGAAATGGGGAAAGAAGGGAAGAAGAGAAGAGTTGGTCTCGTGCTCTTTGTCAGAAAGCAGAAGGATTAGATCTGAGGGAAGGAGCGAGTCAATGGGGGAAGATGCGGGTACAAAAGTTCCTGCAGCCCTAGATCCGCAATCGTCATCCAGGCCAGCACAGAGAAAGAGCGAGCCGAGGCCGTCCTTCCCTAATATAGGATCTGGTCACACGAGATGCCCCGTCAGTAGCAACTTGAACAACATCATTGATTCAAGCCCGCCCAGATAGACTTTTGGCATCCTCACTGCTCTTGGCCCGTTCCCGGCCTCTAGCCCTTTTTGTCTACATTGTATTACCAATGGTTCACCATGTTCACCATGCCGAGTTTGCCATCTTTGGTTTTTTTCGTTTTTTTTTTTTTTCTTTTCTTTCGGATTCCCTCCATTGCCTTCGGATTCGTCGGATCGGGTGCGACGGAGCCACGGACACGTATCGGAGGCCGGGCCCTTGGCTACCTCGCCCCATCATCCTGCGACCGGGTTCCAATCATATCAATTGGTGTATACGTCAACGGACAAGAGCGGGTCCACTGCCTGTTCTGCTCTGCCTGTCTGCTTATCGAGCCAAGGTATACTTATCTCATCCGGATCGATCAGCAATGAATGAGGAGCGAGTCGGGAGGGCTTTTCAGCTCGGGGTTGCGTTGCCAGGACATCATTCTCATCTTCTCCCGCTGCCTCATTGACGTATTTGATACTTTCAAGTTTTTGTCTACTTCATCATGGAGTTGGGCACTCGCTTGACTCGTAGCGAAGCCAACCCGCTGGTGCTAGGCTCGCACATTGGTATAGTAGATACCAGCCCAACCCCATGCTCTCTTATCGGCCACTTGGCACTGGGACAGGATACTTGGGTCCTAATCCCAATTGATACAAAATTGATCTTCCCTACCGATCTACTGAATGAATTAGAGGACTGGCCAAACTTTGCTGGCCAATATTGAGAACCATTGCAAGTTTCTTGTAATACAAGGAGTACCTGCGCAAAATCCTCATGTCCACCAGCGTTCTGCCCTCCTCTACGTCATGCAAATCTGACATTGAGGGTCAGCATTAAATGATTAATACAATATTCCAGCAAATGGGGCAAAAGAAAAACAACCCAGAAAAAAAAGAGGAAGATTCAATGAGCCTCGGTGAATAAAACGGGAATAGCCTAGGGCTCCACCCTTCCGCTTGCCGACTAATACGCGACGCACTAATACAAATCCAGTTCTTTCGAGCGCCCTGGGATTTGCGATGGTGGCGCAGAGTACCGCCATACGTAATTCACATGGTTTTCTCTCATTGCTTTTCCTCCATTCCCCTTTTTTGAGCCAAGGGAGAGAACGAAGGTTTCCCAAACCTTGTTCCTCGCACGCGGAACTCCATCGGGGCCAGCTTTTCACGGACCGTGGTCCTCTGTTATCCCTTGGGTTCCCCGTCCGCTCTCCCTCTCCGCGTCCGAGCAGCTCTGGACCCGAGAGCTGACCTATGCCACGCCGAGTATTGGGGCACGTTGGTCTCATCGAAGCTCGGGGTAGGCTAGGTTTCAGGACGGAAGACCCTGAGAAAAATGATTTGAATCCAAGACAGACAACGGACTCGATCAAATGTCTGATCTGGCTGGCGGGACGGAATATAACATGTCCGTGCGGACGAAAGGCGCCAATATCGATTCCACAATGAGTCTGGGTCCATTGTTGACATGTAGCTCAATTTGTACCCTTGTCCCTGCCAGCCTGTGTGTGTTGATGCGTGGTGGTTGACTGATTGACTTGTGATGACATCAATACATGTAGAGGCTGAAAGAAACCCGTCCCACACACGCACAGCGCAAGCGCACACAATCAAAAGACGAGAAAACCAGCAAAACATTGATAATGGCATTTATAGAGACTAGCATGAAGAAGAATAAGCAGAGCGAGTGGTTTTTGTGAATCACCCTGAAACTCATGAATCACGTTCTCTTTCGTAATCGATGTCAGGCTCTAGACACTTGCTGGCCATCGGACATTTCACGGCATCTACGCCCCGAAAACCCGTGGGGTCAGAGGCGTCAATCGCCCGTAAACGGAAGGGAAGCCCAACGAAACGGGATTCGGACATGTTTTAGGGGGAAGAAGTACGTTTGTAGACATGAATATTGGAATGAGGGAATCCTAAACGATTGAGTCGGGAACCTCGGGGAATCTATGAAAATAAACGCCATAAATATCAAGCAAGCTCTGTGCAAACATGCTCCCATTAGAATATGCGTGGGCTGTCAGCCGCACTCCAAGAATGCAAAAGATGCAAAGGGGATGCTTTGCGGAAGAAGGGTTCGCACTATGCAGCGGACTGAGTGGCTTGGTGACCTCGTCGCGGTAGGGGGATAGGGAAAGAAGAAGAGTAGCGAAGAAAAGGACAAAAGAAAAAGGCGTGGCGTAGGGAAGGAGGCGTGCAGCCATGTCGGCTCCTCTTCGAGATCGGTACTATGCCCTCCATCCCTTGCTCGCTACTCCATCCCTCACCGCACATCCAAGCTTATCCTCGGAGGTGATAGCGTACAATACAAAAAGAAAAACGAACAAGGAGGAGGGGTTTTGCTTGCAAGAGCCCGTTGTTTGTAGGTATCTACGCATCACCTCTTCTTGGCCATCGCCTCCGACTCCCTCGCGAAAAAGTCCCCAACTTCGGCCTCCACACGTTCGACGTAAGCGTGGCCCCCGACTCCCTCAGCAACGGCCGCGAATAATCCGGCCCCACCGTCAGCGAACTCATGTATTCGTCCAGCACGGACACCGCCCCTGGTCTCCTCCCCGCACCACCCGCCAGCTGCGTTCCACCAGCTCATAGTAGTCCACCGCCGCCTTTGCCTTTGCCGTATCACCTATCCCGTACGCCATCATCCGTCGCTGCTCCGCCGCAGCCGAAGGCGTCGCCGCGAGCGCGGAAGGCGAAAGGGGCGGATCAGGCACGGGGTTTTCGGCGCGGCAGAGGAGCAGGCGGTTGATGGGCTGGATGGCGCCAAAGTCGCCAAAAGCGAGGATCTTGAGCTTGGGGAAGCGGTCGGGGTTGCCAAACACCCAGCTCGCGAGCTCGTAGCACTCTCGCGTGAGCCATGTGCGCATGGGACGCTCTTCGTTGTTCGCGTCGTGATTACTGTGATCGTGCCCGTTTGTCCTATCGTCGTTTTTGTGGTCGACGCCGGAGGAGCTTCGGCTATGACTTGCGGAAGTGCTGATCATGGGGATGGCCCCAAAGGCATGGCTGTAGAAACGGGGCTTCTTTTCGTAGTATTGCCGAACGTGAAGAACGACGAGGTTACTAAGAGCCTCGGGCGTGACGCAGGACTCTAGGTACATTTTCTGCCAGCCTCAACGTTAGTAACCACTTTTCCTTCAGAAATGTGATGTTCCGCAAACCGGCCCTCTAAAAAGAAAAGATATAAAAAAGCTCCAAAAGAAACACATACCATGTACAGCGGCGACGCAGCATACCCCAAAAACTCCAACCTCAAATGCGACAGCGGATTCGCCATCGGCTCCGCCTGATACGCCCGTTCCGACGGCCCCAATTCCGGTCCCGGCGGCGGCGGCTGCTGCTGCTGCTGCGCCGACACCGCCCCTTCCTCCCCGGGCGCTTCCCACCGCCAGCCCGGGTGAAAGACGAAGCGGCGGAGCTTCGGCGTCTCGCCCCGCCGGAGACCCATGAGGTGCCGCCCTTCCGTCCGGCTCAGGTCCCCGGCCGCGGCGAGCCCGTAGCCCCCGGCGACCCGGGCGGGCTGCGTCACGACGTGGTCGACAAACTCCTCGAGCCGCTTGCACAGTCCCATTAGCCCGTACAGCTCCACGTGGCGGTCCTCGGCCCAGGCATGCGTTAGGTGCAGCTCCAGTACCCTCAGCGGCGCGGTGCCGCGGCGCCGTGGCCCTAGTTGTAGCCGAAGCCGTTGCTTCTTTGGCGGCTGACTGTTCTCGTTGGTGGGCTCGGCTGCCGCCGACGCTGAATCGACATCGTCCTGCTCCTCCGCCTCCTCTTCATCCTCCCCTCCGCATCCCTCTGTACCAGTTCCCGCTCAAGGGCCAGCAAGAATCGCGAAACCATATGACAGCTCTTAAGCCGCAGCACCTCGAGCCTCGCCCCATTAAACGCCCGACACAGCTCCTGCGACCGCGGCCCCAGCGCCGTGTTGGTCAGCGACAGGCCCCTGAGCGCGGGGAACATGACGCCCTGGTCCCCGCCGTACCGAGCGTCCCTGGCCATGTCGGTGATGAGCCGCTCGAACATGGAGTCGGCGTTGGGCGCCTCGTCGGCCTCGAGCTCCTCGGGCGCCACGTCGCCGAAATGCACCGTGTACACGCCCGTCGAGATGGCGAGCAGGTCGAGGTGCAGGTGCTCCAGCTGGCGGGCAAACGTGCGAAACGCCGCGGCGAGGATGGGGAGTTGGTTCTGGTTGAACCCCGTCCACGAGAAGCGCGTGACGTTGTGGAAGTGGGTGAGGTTTGGGATGCGCCACGTGCACCGCACTCCGTACCGCCGGTAGGCTGTGATGAGGGTCAGCTCGCGGATGTTGGGCTGGTCCTTGGCGAACTGGTTGTAAATGTAGCTCGGGGCACATACGCCAAGAGCCCAGCTACATTACAAATGATACATTTTTCATTAGCTTGTTGCCGCTTTCGTGCTCCTCTCCTACATATTCGGATAAAAGATAAACGAGGGAGGGAAACATGACTGAAAGTCAAAACTGCAAGAGTAGTGAACGCAAAGAAGAGGGAGAAGAGGGAGAAGAGAGAAAAAGGCACACGCACGTAAAGCTCTGAAGCTTCCCCGCCGAAAAACCCCCAGCTGCTCCCCCAGCGTCACCGAGTCCTCCTCGCCCCCAGCGCACTCTTCCTGCTCCCCTCGTTCGCCTGCGCCTCGCAAGACAGGCACCGCCCCAGCCTCGTCGCCTCGACGGTGAATTCCGGGTCCGGCGACGCGACAGTCAGGCTCCGGATCCCCGGCATGCGCGGGCCCAGCGCCGACAGCGGCTGGCGCTTGGTGTCGACGTGCCATCCGTCGCGCGTGCACAGGTAGGCATCCTGCAGCGCGAGGTTCCTTGTGGCCCGGTACAGCGCGCTGCAGACGCGGTTGAGCTGGACGAGGTCGCTCCAGCGGAGCTGAAGATGGATTATTTGCCGTTAGCCACTGGTTCGGAATATGGAAGAAAGGCAAGGGAGGAAACCGGGCGTAGGGGGAAATGGAACAAGAATATCCCGTCCATTGCCTTTCTAGCCTATTCGTGCGCGCTCATAAGCCTTACCTCGCTCCCAATCTGCTCCAAGATCTCCGTCGGGAGACAGAGCAGATGCATCTCGACGCCAACTCTCAACAAGGATAGCGAAACAAGCTAGCAACGGGCATGAAAGGAAGCCCGGCGTGGCGCGTTCCTTTCCCTGCCCCTCTTTTTTACTCTGTTTCCCGTTTCTAAAGTCTTGTTGATTTCTGTGGTTTTCGTTCGAATGTTTGTCGTACGTCTGTGTCACCCCCTTTGGATCATGGTGGGGGTTCTGGGGGTGGTGGGGACAAAAATGTTGTGACGGGAAGGGTGCTGTTCATAAAAGCTCCCATATGCCGGGGAATGAAACCCTCGATTCAGAGACGGATTGATCAATCAAGGGCGAAAAGAAGTCAATGGAAGAAACACCTCCAACTTGGCGGGATGCACCTTCCGCTTGGCTTGGACCCCACCGATGGAGCTTCTTTTTGGTTGCCTAGACAAGCAGCTGCTGCCAAGTGTTCTCCCTCCAGCAAACTCACTGCAGCTCTCAGCGAGGTGTATCTCTATAGTTGACGTACACTTACAGCTTACTTATAAAATTTGTAGTTTCTTGCGATTATACGGCAAGATGATTTTTAAATGCATTCAAGTGCAATATTAAGCTTACTTGTCAGAGGTTTCCCCATATCAAGGACATAAAATCCCAGCCGTCCGCACCGATGCCCAGTTCTAGATGCCCCAGTTCGAAGTATCATACATACATAGGAAAAACAAGGGGCAGTAACACAGGCCCTCTAAACCCCATCACAACACATTAAGTGCTCTTTCATCCTCGTCAATGATTCTCCCCATAATCAAGCTCTGAATCACAAGCTCATTGCTCAAACACCGCACCCTCCCCGGCGCCGGCCCTTCCTCCACCGCCGTCGCCGACGCGGCCACCTCTTTCGCCTGCTTCCCCCTCGTCCTCTTTCTCTTGCGCGACCCGCCTCCTTTTGTGCTGCCGGGGCCTGAGCCCGGGTTAGCACCGGCGCCCGCTTCCCCAAAGAGTTGTTCAGCTGACCCCGTCTCTTCGTCCACATACACCCAGTCAAACCTGAAGCCCCGCGCCTCGCTCTGGCGCAGCGCCACCCGCGCATCCCGAACGCTATGTGCCCGCGTCAGCTTCGCACCCAAGATGCGCGCGAGCACCAGGTACGCCATCTTGCTCTCCTCCGCGCGCGACTTCTTCATCACCAACAGGATCCGGTCCCCGCCCAGCAGCTCCCGCCGCTGCGCCACCGCGTCCTCCAGCGCCGCCCCGATAGCCGAGTACGGCGCCAGATGCCGCGACAGGATCGCGTTGCCCGCGCACACCGACTGACCCGCGCATAGTAGGTAGGGCGACCAGTCGAGCACCTCGCCCTTGTCCAGGCACGCCGACGCCCACTGGTACGCTAGACACGGCAGCCCTAGCGCGAGCGCCTGCATGTATTTGACCTTGCGCGAGTGCCCATCCGCCAGCAGCGCCGTGAATCCCAACCCCCGGGCCTCCGGATCTAGTGTGAGCGGCGCGTCGTCGCCTCCTTCGGCTTCTTCCGCGGCACCGGCCGCCGTGGCCGCCGCTGGTTTGAGCGTGGGCGCGTCCAGGAGCTCGTTAAACCCGGTGGTTAGAATCCGCCCGCCGGCGCGTACCACGAGGTCCGCTAGCTCCTCGCTCATACTACACCGCTCCTTGTACTCCTCTGACGTCTCACCGTCTCGCTGAGCCTGAAAAGAGATGGCAAAGGCCATGTTGTCAAAGAGCAGCGCTCGGTTCGTGGTGGCCGGGTTGGTGCTCGTGCTCTCGCTAAAGCGGGCGGACCGACCTAAGTTTGTCCGCGACACCATGGCACTGCTGGTGCTAAGCGGGGCCCGCGACGGCGACTTGGCTAGCTCGTCCGTCGAGTTAATGTCGTGGATGTCGTGTTGTTGCTTGGAAGACGCCAGGGAGTTCCTCGTTAAGCGGAGGGTGCGTCTTACCTTGCCGTAAGTTCGCCGTAGAAGTGGTGCTCGAACACTCTTCGGCACCGGGGGCTCGGCGGCCGATGAGGCAGGCAGGTCGTAGAGGTCGTTTTTCGATATGGACGACGCTGTCTCCCGGGGCGACTGGGGCACGGAAGGCGTCGACGACAGCTCGCTTAAAGGAGACTGCGGTTTCTTCGCGGTGCGGGTGCTTGACCTCGTCGCAGTATGGATCGGTTGGGGTGGCGTGGCGCGTTCCTCGGTAGGCTCCGTAGTAGTTCCGTCTGCGGACTCTTCTGCAGGCTCCCCATAAGTGCCTCTGCAGGCTCCTCCGTAGGTGCCTCTGCAGGCTCCTCCGTAGGTGCCTCTGCAGGCTCCTCCATAGGTGCCTCTACAGGCTCTTCCACAGGGCCTCCCCTTCGCCTAGATCGCGCCCTTGCCGGAGGTATCGCCGAAGAAGGTGGTTGCGTGGAAGGGAGATCGTCATCTATAGGCGGTAGCTCTTGTGGAGCCTCATCTTCGTCTTCCTGTACAGGAGCAAGCACAGTATCATCACCAGGGTCGTCTTCGCTGACTAGGGCGTCTTGGACGATATCCGATTCCGGAACCACCATGGGAGATTCGGGAACGAGCACCCTGCTACTTGTCCGTTGCGTGGCGTGGCGCAGCCCATACCTTTCGATATACCAGACGACGTCGGAGGTAGCTGCGCCGGCAGAACGACCGAGGACTGGGCATGGCTCGACTCCAGATCCCGTATCGGCTTTGGTGGGGGCGACGAGGGCTGAAGTTCCGCCACCTCGTCCGTCGTCGTTTGCGTAGGGATAGCGCCGGCGGAGGACTCGTCACAGGGATCATGACCCGATCCTCGTCGAACGGCTCGTGGATGCCGTCCGAAACATCAGGCGCGTCAACCGGAGACGTCATATTAAGGCGAGTGTCGACAGAGTCGTGCTCCCGCGGTGGCACCGACGCGAACCTAACGTTAGACGGTGTCTCGAGGCGCCGACCTGCCGCCGACGACGGCCGCCTCCCGTCGACAGGATGATCAGACGGATTGAGCTCGTCTGTACTAGCGTGGAGAAACGCCCCGCCCCGGCGTATTCTTCTCTGCTTCGTCGTCCCCGGGAGTTAGCCGCCCCGGCCTTAGCGGGAGGTTCAAACGAGATATCCCGCAGCTTGCGCTCCGCCCAGTCCCGCCTTTGCCGCGCCCGCCGCCGCCTCCGTAATTCGTCGTCCTCGTCCGAATCGATATCCGACACCGGCCTAGGCAAGTCCTCGCTCGCAAGCTTGCGCTGCTGCGAGGCCTCCACAGGCTCGTACTCTTCCAAGAGCTCGCGTCTCTGCTTTTACGCGGAGGCGAGGGCGAGGGCGAATGTTCGTGGTCGTGGGCGTCGTCCAGGTCGGCGGCAAGGTCGAGCTCGCAGGTGGGGGATTCGGGTATGGCTTCCTCGTCGCGCGGGAGCCCGGCATGGGAGGGGTCCTGGCCGGCTCGGCGAACGAGGTGCTCGGGACGTTGATTAGGGGCTGCTTTTTCTAAATATCGAGGGCGAGGAGGCTAAACGGTTCTTAATCGGGGAGGTGAGGAGGCCCGGCGATGTATCGGCGGGAAAGGTGTGGTGGAAGGCGTGCGGGGAGGGTCGCGACGAGGTTGGGCTAAATTTTTGCCCGCGCCGCCGCCCGAGGAAAATTGCGTAGCGTTGAACATTTGCGTCGCGCGGAGCACCGAGGCGGGCTTTTGCCTCGCGGCAAAGGGGTTTACGGGCCCCGCGGGCGTTTCGGGAGGAGCCGCCATCGAGGGGCGGGCGGGCGTCATGCCATATCGCTGGGACGCTCTCTGGCCGCGCCAGTCGCCTCGCTGGAGCACAGGATTCTCGGAAAACGGCGAGAGGATATCGGAGTCCTGGGATATGTCCTTCCCATCCTGGCTCAGGGGCCCGAAGTTGACAGCCCCGGTATCGCCCTCCTGTAGGGTTCGCGGTGCATCCGACTGGTTGCTGGCAGGTTGGTCAGAGGATGTCAATACGTTGCAGGCCGTCTCGTAGTCGCGGTCGTCATTCGCCTGGGTCGGGGATTGGGAGATATCCATCGTCCGGGGCGCTCGCATCGGCGGTGGCAATCTGATCGGGTCGTGGGCATTTTCGAGATCGATCGCGACTCTGTATTCCGTTGCACAAGCAAAACATGGTTAGATATTGGTTCCGAATTCTTCACTTGGGGCCTGGTCGAGAGCATCGCGAGAAGAGGCTCTGGGGGTGGGTGTCCAACATACCGACGCTGAGTTGCCCGGCCTTGGCCGCGATTCGTAGTAGTGATGTCCTTGCGTTGACTCGTTGGTGAGGAGCTGATGGTGATGGGTTGTGGTTCGGGAGGCGTGGGGATATTCGATGACCTTGTTTTCGCGTCGTCGAATGCAGGGCCCTACAAAAGCATGAGAAACGTGAAAGATCAAATACAATTGAGCTTCCTTGCAGTAGGCTGCCAACAGGATCCTCAACCTTGCCGATTTATCTCGTCGTTTCACGCCACCCCCGTCATCGACAAATGATGGCTGTCTTCGAGATGGAGGTGAGGAAGTCCCGACGTCACGAGTCGCGACTGACAGGGCTTTGAAGCAAAGGGAATTTGAATTGAATGGTTGATAATAGACAAAATACAGAAGAGAATGAAAGAGAGGGGAACAGGTAAACAGAAAAAGAAGAAAAAGAACTTACTGCTATTCCAGTTTCCTTTGTGTCACCTTCAGCTGCAGGGCCTCCCCTCGAGCCTGCAACTTTGTCTGGAATTAGCTTTCCCCAGAGGAGGAAGGCAACTGTGAGGACCTCATTGTTGGCCGCGGGCCTGTCCCATTGTACTGCGCCTTTGCTGCAGTGAAGTCCTGAAAGCAAGAGCCACAGGCAACGTTAGCATGATGGTGAAGCTGAACCTGGGGTTTTTCCCTCTTTCTCTGTGATCCTGGCTAGACCGGGATGCTAAACCAGGCCTCAGCCCCTCAGAGCGCGCACGCGATCGAGGCACCAGCGGGGGCAAAACGAGTGAGGAGTCCCCAATCAAATACGCACCAGACCAGGGATGCCGAACTCGCTGACATATTTCTCTAGCAGGCTCTGGCTCTCCTGGGATTCGTCCGCGACGGCTACCCCGTAACTCTGCATTTCAAGTTCGCTCATGATGGCGGTCGCCGCATTGCTTTTCTCTTCCCTTCTCGCTTTCGAGTGGGCAGAAGAAAACTCCTTGTCACGGTTTTTTTTTCTGCCAGCAAGTTGGATTGAATTTGTTCGGGAATGGGAGGGTGCACGAGGCAATGCAAGCCACTCCAGAAAAAGTCCACAAGGGTACACGCGCAAGCCCACCGTCGCTGGTCGAATCAAAATGACTTGTCAGTTCAATTAATCAATCAATGTTCCTTCCCTTTCTGCTAGGCCAGGCTACAGCCAGGAATAGCGCTTAGTCACTTTGAAAAGGCGGTTTTAGGGGAGATGATGGTGATCTTCAGGGCATAATTCAGCTGGACTCCAGCGCATACTCTAGCGTAGTAATGTGCCGACGCGAAATCACATGACCCGCACCGCGTTTTCGATTCTGGAAGTGGCCATCGAAGGCCCCTGGCCCCACCAACAATCTTCTCGTCCTTAGAGAACAGAGATGGAAGGAGGGGTCGATTTGTACCCGCCAACTCTGCCTAGTTGTAGTTGGAGGTTCAAGGCACATCACCCCTCCAAAACCTACCGGTGCCAATCATCCTTTGTTCGCCGATTCCCGTCACAAACTTGCCCTCGCGTGTCACGAAGCGTGACGGTAGCCCGGACGCTGAAGAAGGTAGCACAGTCTTTTTAGGAAACATAGCATTTGTTGGGTCATTATACTATGCTTGCGTGTATGTGTTTGACTTGATGCAAGTTTGCATCTCCGCCAATCTGACCTGATCCGAGCTCTCTGAAGCCTGGTTCTTGTCGGCGTTCAAAAGAAACCACTTTTGCACTCCTCACATGCCTTTTCCCACGCAAGTAGTCTAGGACTCCTCCGTCCTTTCATTATACCGTCCGTCGTGCAACAATGGCTCCGATTCCAGTATCCGACTCTAGTCGGGTGATTACCTATTACCAAACACACCATGATCCGGAGGGGAACTTCATCTCCATATTACCGGTAGTCAAGGACGGCCATATCACCGTCACGCACGTAATGCTCGCCGCCATCCACATCAACGAGGATCCTCTCGCCATCACCCTCAACGACCACCCTCCCAGCCACCCCCGCTTCCAGACCCTCTGGGCCGAGCTCCGCGTCGTGCAGGCCCACGGCGTCAAGGTCATGGGGATGCTCGGCGGCGCCGCCCCAGGCACCTACGTCCGGCTAGGCGCCGACGACGACACCTTTGAGAGGTACTACGCCCCGCTGCGGGACCTCGTCCGCCAGCGCGGCCTGGACGGTCTCGACCTCGACGTGGAAGAAAAGATGGAGATGAGCGCCATCATCCGCCTCATCGACCGCCTCCGCCAGGATTTCGGCAAGGCCTTCCTCATCTCCATGGCCCCCGTCGCCGCCGCCCTCCTCAACCCCGAGGCCAACCTCAGCGGCTTCGACTACGAGGCCCTCGAGGTCATGCGGGGCCGCGATATCGACTTTTACAACGCCCAGTTTTACTGCGGCTGGGGCAGCCTGGAGAGCACCGTCATGTACGAGTGCATCGTCGCCAAGGGGTGGCCCGTACACAAGGTGGTGGTGGGCCTCGTCACGAACCCTGATAACGGCAGCGGCTTCGTCGACTGGGACCGCCTCTCGCCGCTTCTGCTCGCGCTGGCTACCCAGTACCCTCGCTTCGGGGGCGTGATGGGATGGGAGTACTTCAACAGCCTGCCAGGAGGCAAGGAGCGCCCGTGGGAGTGGTCCAAAACGATGATGTCCATCGTCGGGCGCCCGAGTTCCGCCCTCAACATTCCGGCGAAGGCTGAAGCTGCAACGTCTGCGAATAACCCGATCCAGAGACCATCGCACCAGCCTGGCGAGGTGGACATTGATGACGGTGCATCAGCCCCGGTTCCGCAGCCGTTTGATTATCTTACAGACAGCGAGGACTGAGTAGTAGCAAAAGAAAAATGCCGTCATTCAAGGAGGACCTGGTTCGTTGGCTGGCTGCTGATCTCTTTTCTTTTTGTTTTTCTCAAATCCTGCATATCTGAGCTCCTGTCGTATCGTCACTCGGCACTCGCCCACGCAACGCAGGGGTGGTGGGCGCACGCACCATCGATCCGACATGACCGGATGCCCCAAACACCGGGTTGAAACGAGCGTCTGTTTTTATGTTATTCTGTTTTCCCTTCTTATTGGATATCCTTTTTCTGGCCCATGGGCTTCATCTTGTCTCTCTGCGTCACTTTTCTCGGTTTTCTCTTTTCTCTCGTTGTTTTATGCGAGATGGTTATCGAGTAATGCGCAGCGTGTTGTGCGAGCGTCGTCCTTAATGTAGCATTGCAAATCATACGTGGAGCGTTGTGTCATTCAGACAGGTGCTTGTTTATATTATACCCACCATCAGCATCATTAATCCCTCCATAATTTTAAGAGGCCTTGTGTGCGATTTATGCTTCAATCTTTCCCTGGCCTATATCACCAAGCACTCGCACAAGTGGTGGCGTGAAGGAGTGAAACAAGTTGGTCGTTTGTTCGTCTTGTTTCTTTCATGCCTTCCAATTTTTGGCAGGTCGAAAATGTCGCCTCCAAACCAAGGACAACCCGATCGAATATCCATGCGGAGATAAGATGAAGCACTCTCTCGATCAAGATAAGTTGGCCTGCTGAAACGGGATGGCTTCCGCCCGGACCTCATTGAGAGACTGGAGAATAACGGATCAATTGTATGCCTGGCACGGCGTGCATTCGTTCGGAAGAATAACAGGCTGGGCTTGATCCATGGAAAACCCATCACCCGCCTTGCAGCGTTTTCGACCACGTGAGGAAATCGAGCAAGGATACCCGATCTAGATTCTCTTTCTTCATTTCATACCTTCGTTACGTATCAATCTGTTTAATGTCCTTCCTGCCCATAGTTTCTGCCCATAGTTTGTGCAAGCCAAGACAGCCAGAGGCCATATCACGCGAGGGGCGGAGGGTTGCATTCGTCGCAGGAATAATACCAATCTGATCGGCGTCCGATCACCCTCGGCAGCCCCCGGGCCCTCGTGCGGATGTTTTCCAGTCCCATGTAGAGTGCGTCGGGAAGTATGGAAAAGGAAGAATTCTTATGGAAAAAGGTTAATCTGTCTTGGCGACATCAGCCGAACCAACGCCATCGCTTGGGCTGTTCCGCTCTCCCTCCGTCTAACCCTTTCGGGGGTGGGATTGAGGGTTCTCTGATTTTATGTGCTCTTTTGGTACAATTGGATGGAGAATCTAATCATCAATCCCAGTGCCGTGATCTAAATCAATAGCCACGCTGCATTAATCAAAAAGTCGCCCCTCCCTTCCCACGTCCAGTCGCCCGTCGTCTCAGTCTGCCTCGACCCATAGACGTAGGGCTCGCTACTACCCGCATTCGCCCACGTTGCCATTCCTACTCCCCTTCATATTAGCAGGCACTCGGCACGGAGGAGGGGGAACCAGAACATGGGGCCATCTGGAATTCCTCTTTTCAGCGGGGAGGAGAGGGAGAGAGGGGGCAGCAATTACAACACTTCTTTATAAGATCTGCCTCAGTTTGATATCACACCCAGACTTTCCTCGCAGGTGGCCCAAGACAGGGCAAGCATAGACCCCCTTCTCCCGCGGATCTTTTCGTTATCTCTCTACCCTTGTTCTTCTTCTGTAATGCGGGAAGAAAGTAAAGAAAAAACGATCAGGGCGAAGAGAAAAGAAAAAGAATACATGAAAGGTAGATGTAAAAGGGATATAGTCAAACAACCGTATGGACCGATCTCTTGGTGCGTAGTTTCGGTCCAATTGAGCCGGCATTCGCCAGATCCAGACTTTTGGGAAAAAAGAGATCCCCCACAAAAGAAGCCTTTCCCGGAACTCGACTCGTGAACAAGTGTCCCTTGGATCTCCTCGACTTGTATTTGTTGTCTTATTTCTTCGATTCTTTTATTGTTTTGGGCTTCCTTTCCGCCTCACTTTTGTGAAACTAGTCAATGGTTTTCTTCGCGATAGATTCTCCCTAGAATCGTTAAGGTCTCCTTCGTCTCTTATCCTCGAGACCGTCGAATCGATCACGTCCTACGACCACTCTTCGCCGCCCGAATCTTCCATTTACGAACCGAGTCTCGCTAGCGGAGCCAGCGAGACCAGCTTTTCTTAACTTTTTATTTCTTTTTCTTCTTGCTTTCCACCTTGCGCCTTTCAACCACATTCACTACAACTCCTGGAGAGAGAGACTCGAAGAAGGAAGGAGGGGCGGTACTGGAGCCTGCCCTCTTCATCTTTCCCACACCATCACACATCTACACGGTTCGCGAATAGCCACTCATGGAGTTCAGACCGATGCAGGATGGCGCCTCGCTCCCGCCGCCTCCCGTGCTGAGGCCAGAGGAGTTCGCCAGCCTGCCACACGACGATCTAGGTCCAACAGTACTGGCGACGACGTGGACCTTTGTGTCGTTATCACTCTTCTTCCTCGCGTTGAGGCTGTACTGCAAGCTGGGGAGACACAGGGGGTTGTGGTGGGATGACTATATATTAATAGCGTCATGGGTATGTGAAGCCTTGTCCCATTTTCCTTTCTCGAACTGGGGCCTAGCATCAAAGAGGAGGATAAAGAGAGAACTCGGCATCAAAGAAATGAAGACTAACATGAAGAAAAAAACGATAGCTAGCGCTAACAGGTTCGACGAGCATCATCGTCTACCAAGTCCGCCTCGGGTACGGCAAGCACATCTGGGACATACCCGTGGAGAACTTTATTTTCAAGATGCCGCTCCCCATGAACATCTCGGGCACGCTGGCCATCCTCGCCGCGGCGTGGAGCAAGACGTCCTTCGCCGTGACGCTGCTGAGGGTGAGCCAGGGCTGGATGTGGGCCCTCGTGTGGTGCATCATCGTCTCCATGAACATCGCCCTCGGCCTGAGCGCGCTGTTCATCTGGATCCAGTGCACGCCGATTGAGAAGTCATGGAACTTTCTCATCCCCGGCACGTGCTATCCCATGGTGAAGATTATCGACTATCTCATGATCTCGACGGGTAAGTCTTGGCTCTCCATGAATCTTCTTTGCCCTACTTTTTTTCTTTGATCGACTCGTGGGGGCGGGAAAAAAGGAGAGTTTTGCTAACGTGGGAATTTGTGTTTCGCTACAGGATACTCTGGTGCCATGGATATCGTGCTCGCTCTTCTACCATGGAAGCTCGTGTGGCCGCTCAACATGAGGAAAAAGGAAAAGATTGGCGTCATCGTTGCCATGAGCATGGGTGTATTCGCCGGAATCACGGCCATGATCAAAGTGGCCATGACGCCCAAGATGAAAGAAGGCGACGTCTGTAAGTCTCTCCTCCCCGGGGTTTCACGGCGAAATAATTGAAATCGAGGTGTGAAGGGGAAGCGGGGAATCACGGCCTAGAGGCAATCCCAATTGTTCGTTCCGCCAAGCTAATGTATTTCCCCCTCAGATCACGGCGTGGTCCTCATCATCTGGAGCACCGTCGAGTCCGGCATCACCATCATGGCGGCCAGCGTGCCCGTGCTGCGCTCTCTGCTCCGCCAGAAGCAGAGCTCCGCCAAGTCGCCCAACCCCGAGACGCCCGAATCCAAGGTCAAGTTCGCCGCCGAGAGCTTCACGATGCAAAGCCAGAGCACCGTCGTCATCGAGTCGCGCCGCGTCAGCACCAGCGCCGACTCTCGCTTACCGTTTTGGAGGACGTCCGTCCTTGGCGGTGGCGGCAGCGACGATAAAGCGTACTCCAAGGATGGGGTTCCGGAGCCCGCGATGGGACAGATTTTGCAGGTTAGCGAAGTGGCGGTAGAGTATCACGATATGGCGAGGAAAAGCCAGGTTTAGTGCAAACAACTAGTTTAATGAATGAAATGCCCAAATGTACAACACGATTTATAGAGAAACAGTGACCCAAGCTAGTAATATCTGGGCAGGCAGTTGAAGGAGGTGTTGTGACGATTACTTGTCGTGTGAACCAAGCAACCACAGGGGCATTTTATCAATTACAGCGCCCAAATGCCATGCTTGAAAATGAACCATACATTGCTATCCGGAGTTGGATTCTAGCCTAGGAGGCTTTAAGGTGGTGTGCCCGGAGGCACTCAGGATTTGAAATGGACTCTGAAAAGCACACATGCTCAAGATCTCTTAGCTGGAGGCATCAAAGAGCTCTTCAAGGAGCTCCTCTCTTGTGTGCTCCGCTAACCAGGTTACTGCAGTGGTACTTGTATTATCAGGCACTGAGAAAATAGAACCGAGACGAGTGGGCATCTTGAGCTCGGGAGACGACGAGATACGAGACGACCCGCGGTGGGCGGCCGCCGCTGCATGTTCCTGCGACACTCCGTGTCATGATGCGACGAGCTGTCCCGTAACATAGTCACGTGAAGGGAGACGGATCATGGTGAATTGAAGCTGGCGGCATTTCAGCAATATTCCCAGCATTAATACTTCAAGGCAGAAGCCGAGGAGCTACCTCGTCCAAGGCCTGGTTTGGTTTTCCTTGACACGGGGTGGTGGTTGCCTCCCCCGGTCAGCCCTATCAGCTCCTCGATTGAGGGGAAGAGGGGGAAGGAGGAAGGATTCATGGATGCAAAGGTCCCTGATAATAAAACCAGATTCAATCCACCAACAAAACTTGACAGGCCATCCTTGGTATCAATGTCTTGACTGCTCAAATCTCAGAATTGGTGTTGCTTTGATTGGTAGCCAAAATCGAGCGACAAGCGGAGGACAAGAATTGGCGAGATTGGCGAAGCGGGATTGAAAAGGGCACACGAAAAAAGAGGAAAAAGGGAGGCGATGTGTGGGAGACACTATAGCAAGACAAATTCAATGGACCTCTCTCTGTGGGTTGAAAACGAGATCGGAAGGATTCTGCACCCTCTTGGTTGGAAACTGGCGATTCGTGAGATGTTCGTTGTTGTGCTGACACGAAGATTGGTGCAGGAGATGGCTGCACAATGTTGGAGGACAGTATTCGTGTGTGTGTCAAGTACAAGTATCATGAATAGGACCACACTGAAGAACCTCGAGAACGCTTGCAGGGACTTGAAACATGGTTACCTTGGGAGGAAGGCCTGGCAATTTGGACTTTGGACCTTGACTTCTAGACCCCTGCTCGTCCGAGGGAGTGGTACTTTGTCCTTGTACATCAATCCAGGATGAACGTCCTCTTTTCCCTACAAGGCTGTGGGTGAATCGGGGCGGTTGCATGTCACTTTTGAGATGCCGGACAGATGCTCGAGCGACAAGGATGAATTCGCGTCCGAGGGCATCAAGGCCATCGCTCATTTTCTAACTCTTTTTCATCCAACTTCATTTTTCCTTGCTTCATCTCATTTGTTCTCTTCATTGTAGACGGGCGCTTCCATCCTTGGGACATGCGTCAAACGCCTCCCTGCATTGGCGTGCTTGGAACCGACCGCGCCTGTCACTGGAGTTTTGGGTGGCTGGTCTAGTCCTAGTATGGAACAGCGCCGGCGCACCTGGTTTGAAGGTGGTGAAGCTGGGCGCTTATGAGCCAGGGCGACGCTAAGAGAACGTACCCCTTGACGGGGCCGACCTGCAAGCGTCCGCTGGTCCTCGATCATCTGTCGGCTGTGCTCTTCGCTTTCTTGCTTCCTTGTTGGATGCCGGCGGATGAGGGATAAGCGTGGGAGGATCCATCCATAGATGACTGCATCGGACAGCTGGGAAATGGTGCGGATTCCCAAGAGGCCGTCTCTCGAGAGCAGGCGTCCGATATGGGCGGTTACGTCGGTCTCCCAAGGGGGACATTGAAGAGCTGAGTGGATAGGACCGATACTCTGGAGTTGGACAAACGCGGACCACAGGTTCTTTTCTCCCCACACGGCGCCAGCTCATCGGTGGTTTGGTGGAACGCATCCAGCCTGGTACATCAATCTCAACTCACTCCATGAATCGGCAAAGAACATCTCGCTAGAAAACCTTTGGAGGGTTACACGTCAACTATGGGGAGAAACGACCCGAATTTGTTCAGGGGCTTTCCCCAAAAATAAATCTCGACGTGATATCGTGGACTATTTCCTCGGAACACTAGATGAATCGAGCTTCACCTGCTTGTCGACTCCCTTGCCTGTTCCGTTGGGCGTGCATCTCGAAATGGGCTGTGCCTGCTCGCACCGGCACACAAAGAGAAGAGGAGGCGGGAACCCGCCTCGACCCCTGTCCGGATCCTCACTTCAGCCACCCACAACATCCTGGTCTGCAAATAATAAGCGAGCGCTTCCTTTTTGGCCAAAGGGATCTTGGAAATGTGCTAAATTACTGCACCCGTCCGTTCCCCGTTCCCCCCTCCCTTGCCCACCCTTTCCCATTTTTAACTCCCGCTTCGCCCACCCCAAAAAGTCCTGCCCTATGCAAGTCGTGTGAGTGTGTACACGACCTCGTCCGTTGTCCAAACTTCTTTCTCAATGGGATTTTTGTCTCTTTTTCGCATCGACACTCTCGTTTTGTAAAAGGTTGGTTTTTCAAGGTATCGGGGCAAGCATCTCCTTTGCTTCTTTGCCGGATTTGTCCAGGAAGAAGGCGGATTCTCAACATCTTGATGCACCATTAACAGCCTTTGCGTCTCGAACGCCAAAAATTGTCCAATCCACGCCTCGAACCGAACCGAACCCCTACCCGAGTCCGAAGCTCTAGAGGAAGCCCATCTTGGACCCCCTCGCCAAGATGGCATACCGAGCCATTCCCCAAGCGTCCGCGATACCCCAGGACCACATCATCACCGGGTACGATCCCGGCTTTAGCTCGATGGAGCAGCAGCAGCAAGAACAGCTGCACTACCAGCAGCAGCTGCAGCAGGACCAGATGCTCTACCAACAACAACCGCAGCAGCAGCAGCAGCAGCAGCAGTTCCAACAACCGCAAACCATCCCCTCCTTCTCCGTCCCGCGCAAACCCGTTTCCCCTTCCTACAAGGTCAAGGAGCATGAGCCCTCTTTGACGAGCACGACGAGGGACTACCCCCGCCCCCGGGGTGGCCGGCGCACCCCCAGATCCTCGGCCGACGCGGGTCCATCGCGGCCTGGCTTCCTCTACGACTATGGGACATTGCCCTCGCTCTTGCTCCCATGTCTTTCATCGGTAAGCTTCCTTCATTTCTTTTGTCCTTCACGCAATTCACGCACAAAAAAACAAAAAAGTCGAGGTTTGGCTAACAACTTCCACCCGCAGTCCTCGCCATCCTCGCCCTCTACCTCGACTTCCAACCCGTCTCCGCCTACGGCGAAAAGTCGTCGAAGCCACCCGCCTCGGCCCCACCGTCTTCCCCATCATCTTCGCCGCCATCGCCAGCCGCTTCTTCCGCAACTACGCCCGGTGGAAAGCCGAGCAGCGCGAGGGCATCGGCCTCGCCACCCTCGAGCAGATCCTCGGCAGCCAATCCTTTGCCGGCACCTTTGAGCGCGCCGTTTTCCTCCGCACCAACATGCTCATGGCCATCGTCACCCTCATGGTGTGGGCCATGTCCCCCATCGGCGGGCAGAGCTCCTCGCGCCTCCTGTTCCGCGACGTGCGCGTCGACGCCACCCCCATGACCCTCTTCTACCCCAACAACAGCGCCACCATGTCCTGGGTCGGCTCCGCCAGCGGGCTCGACGACGTCGAGGCCATCCTGTCCACCATGTACGCCGCCAGCCTGCTCACCTCCCCGGCCATGAAGGCCGCCGTCACCGACATGTGGGACCGCCCCAAGATCCCCAAGTGGAACCGCTCCGCCGCCTACGACCTCGACGCCGACGGCTGGCGCGCCGTCGACCGCCAGGCCCTCGTCGACGGCGAGCACGACTTCACCTCCCTCCTCGGCCTCAAGATGGAAGGCTTCACCCTCGAGTCCGACGTCAGCTACGACGTCACCGTCGAGAGCTCCTACATCGACTTTGACTGCACCGTCCTCGCCGACGGCGTCGTCCGCAACAAGACCGAGGACGTCGTCCCCGCCTCCCGCCTCAACGTCACCACCCTCTTCCCTCTCATCAGCGATTTCCAAGTCACCCAGACGCCCCTCGCCGCCAAGTTCGAGGTCCCCGGCACCAACGTCTCCTACGGCCAGTGGAAAGTCTCCAACAGCGCCGAGCCCCTCAGCCTGCTCATCGCCCTGCGCGCCCTCGCCCACGAAACCAAAGACCCCACCTCCGCCGTCTCCTACTTCCAGTGCGCCGCCACCCCGTCATCGTCCAGACCCAGCTGCGCTGCGGGCCGGACCCCTCCACCGTGTGCTCGGCCCAGCGCCAGCGCCGCATGCACGCCTCGGAACCCGCCGCCTTCGTCTGGCCCGACAACCTCTCCTTCGTGCCCATGCACAACATGATGGTTTCCTGGCAGCGCGCCTCCTCGCCATCGACCACCTCATCGCCTCGGCCACCGAGTATTATCTTCATGGCGACACCGTCCTCTTCCAGACGGGCTCCATCCTCTTCTGGAACACCACCGACATGGGCGTCTTCTCCCGCCGCATGACCACCGCCTTCAACACCCTCTGGCAAGGCTCCCTCGACCCCTTCAACGCCACCACCGCCTCCCTCCGCACCCTCACCGACGGCGACGACCCCGCCCAGGTCGCCGCCGCCAACGAGGTCGATCCCAACGATCCCAACAGCAGCAGCAGCACCGCCACCACCGGCCGCGTCCTGTCCTACGAGGCCCTCAACCAGACCTTCACCGAGGCCGTCATCATCCGCGCCATCATCCCCGCCGACGCCACCAAGACCCGCAAGACCGACGTCTACCGCGCCAACCACTACTGGATCGGCATCCTCATCGCCGCCACCGTCGTCCTCGAGCTCATCGCCATCGCCAGCGCCGCTTTCGAGTTCATCACCCTCGCCCCCGACGTCCTCGCCTACGCCAGCTCCATGGTCCGCGACAACGTCTTCGTGCCCCAGCCCGCTACGGGCTCCGCCCTCCACGGTACCGAGAGGTCCCGCCTGCTCAAGGATATGCGCGTCCAGATTGCCGATGTTTGGCCCGAGAAGGAGGTGGGCTACGTGGCGTTTTCGGCGGTGGGCGAGGGTCCGCCGTGGAGGCGGCTGACGCGGGACAGGGTGTATAGATAGAGATGCTTCACTTTTTGTTTTTCTTTTTTCTTATACGTGTACAGATATCAGGTCTCCCTCATTGTCAGGGCGTTTTCTTCCCCTTTTCAGTTGTGTCTAGGTAGCATTAATGACTAATGATGCGGTTCAACTTTTGCTCTTCTTCCCTCGCCTTGAATCGTGATGGATTGTGGATGGACTCTCGTGTTCTTGGGGAATGTGCGAGTCGAGAAGATGCCAGTCAATCCCGGTATCGGGCTAACTCGCCCACCCCGCGTCCTTGATGAATACATGTAGAGACAAGCTGGGGCTCGAACGCAAGGAAAACAACGAATTCAAGCAAGAACTTTCATCAATTCATCGCATCTTCTAACCTCATTCCTTCTTCCCTTCCTCGGCCGCCCCCAGCTCTGTCTTTAGCACGGGCATAGAGGGACACACGCGTGGGGAACGGTGCCGAGTGGACGAGGTCGGTAAAGTCCCAGATGGTGTCATGCCGGACGCGATTGCGGGGTTTTCAGACCCGAGGTTCCCCCGCAGCAGCAGAGAAGCACGGCGGGGTGGCTCACGCTCCGCTTTCCCCAGTCTTGGAGAATGTCCCCGCCCACGCCTGTCCTCGCCAATATGGCATCAATTGCTTAGCTTCCTTTTTTGGTTCGTCCCCGAGTTGACCCCACTGCCGTAGCGCAAATCCGGCTTTCTTTTCGGTTTGCCGTGGGGGAATGGAAGGCCAGCAAACCAAAAGACCCCCTCCAAATCCTTACAAATCCCCATTTAAGCTACTTACACTCGTCGATGCCCCCATCGTGATCTCGTCTTCGTCTTTCCCCGTCCTCTCGACACCTACCGTTTCTTTCCAAATTACTCTGTAACTAGCGTAACCTGTGCAATTCGCTGAGCTTTTGATATTCCCGCCCCATTGAAGCGATCCGAGTGCTTGCTGAACAGCAATAGCAACAAAATGGCTGACGCGTAAGTATCTCTTCTCCTACTGCCCCTCCTTCAACTTCTATCCTGCACGAGCTCTGGATTTCCATCACGCGAAACCCCAATTTCCTCTAACGCTCACGCGCAGGAAACTCATCCTCGTCACGGGAGCCACCGGCTTCATCGGCGCGCACATCGTCGACAACCTCTTGGACCGCGGCCTCTCGGTGCGGGGTACCACCCGCTCCCCGCCAAGGGCGAGGCCATGATTGCTGCTCGGCCCCAGCACAAGGGCCGCCTCGAGTTCGTCACGGTGGCCGACTTTGAAAAGGCCGCGGACTTTAGCGAAGCCGTCAAGGGTGTCGGCGCCATCATCCACACCGCCAGCGTACGTCTCCGTTCTTCCTTCCCCCTGGCCCCCTGGTTCTCTTCTTTTCCTTTGCCATCCATATACATCAGTCCCGCATCTCTAGCACCCAAAGCTTCCCCAAACGCTGACTCGAAACCAAAACCCGCCCCCAGCCCTTCACCTACGCCGTCACCGACAACGAAAAAGAACTCGTCCTCCCCGCCATCAACGGCACCCGCTCCATCCTCGAAGCCGCCGCCGCCGCCACCACCAACCCCCATCCGCCGCATTGTCCTCACCTCCTCCTTCGCCTCCGTCATCGACCTCAACCGCACCGCGCCGCCCTTCTTCCGCTTCACCGGCGCCGACTGGAACCCCATCACCTACGAAGAAGCCGTCGACCCCGCCACCACCTCCGTCATCGCCTACCGCGGCTCCAAGAAATTCGCCGAGCGCGCCGCCTGGGATTTCATCCGCGACAACAAACCCTCCTTTGACCTCGTCACCCTGTGCCCCCCTTGGTCTTTGGGCCCGTCGTGCACCCCGTCGCCCGCGCCGCCGACCTCAACGAATCCAACGCCCAGCTGTGGAGCGTCATCACGGCTCCCGAGCTGCCCCTCGCCCGCGTGCCCTTTTGGGTCGACGTGCGGGACCTCGCCCAGGCCCACGTCGAGGCGCTCCTGCGGCCCGAAGTCGGGGGTCGGCGCTACGTCCCCGCGTCGCCCGAACACTTTTCCTACGGTGCCGTGGCCGAGTTCCTCGTGGAGGAGTTTCCCGAGCTCAAGGATAAGATTAAGCTGGTGACGCAGGCGGTGGACGACTCGCGCGGTATTGATGGGGAGCCCGTGACGACGGAGCTGGGGGTGCAGTATCGGCCCCTCAAGGAGAGCGCGAGAGATTTGGTGGCGCAGATGTTGGCGTTGGAAGCGAAGAATGCGGCGAATTGAAGGGTTTAGGAAGGAGGGAAATACAAAAGATTCAATGTTGAGCTGCGGGGAGGCTCATCTTACGTAGTTCGGGAAGAGCCTCATCGTGGGTTAGTGGGCGGGATCCCCGGAGTCCCTACAAGGCCGTTCTTCCAGATGGACTGGACCCATTTCCTCTACCTTTATAGGGTTGGGTTCACAGATTCGCTTGGATTCTCTAGAAAGGACTTTTTCCCATCTTCAGGATTGCATGTTACTGGGAAACCTTTAATGCAAACTGCTTTTCTATTGCTCTGATATGACGATGAGGGTATTCCTATGCAGGTCTTGCAGCATTTGTGAGGCACATAAGTAGTGGAGGAAACTGTGCCACTGCAAGGAAAGAACAATGAATGTGTGAATGTGACATAGATCTAAACTCGCACTCGCCCCGCTGCTGCATGGCTGTCGAAGTCTTTTACCAAGCCACTAAAGATAACATTGAACGCCAAGCTAATCAGGGTACATGTGGTTATTGGTGCCTTGAAGTCTCCTCGAAACAAACATTGAATTCCGTTCAAGTGGAGGAGATGAGAGAATCGGGCCTGGCTTCTCCAAGCTTTCCTATGTGGTGCAGCCAACGGCATCCCGGGGCCCGCGTGGGGTGGAGAGGGGCGCAATGCCATTATTGACTTGGCGGTACATATACCAAGTAATCCTGGCCGGCCAGCCAACAAGGGCGCTGTGAATCTTGGCAGGTTTTGATGTTTGTGGTGGATTGGATAATGGGTCAGTCATATGTAAATAAAGTCAAGTTGGATCATATGCGGTCAACAGCGGAACTTGGAGTCTATGAAGTCCTTGATGTCCTCTCCTCCATTCCGTTGGATGTGATGGTATGTTGTTTGTCTCCATGTACCCACGTTGAAGCTACATCATGGAATGCTAAACTAGTCAGGGGTGGCCCGTTGGTGCCCTGAGTGCACATGTGGAGAATTGGGCGCAAGCTTAATACTTTGCAAGTCCTGGCCCTGGCCTTCTCCGGGCTTGTAATTCTTGCTCGAAGGGACCATGCTCGAGATAACATCACGGAAAGCGAAGAATTGCTTTGAATCAGATCTTAAAGTACCTCAAGCTGCGTCGGGTGATACGGGAAAGCCTGCCTCGTGAGGAAGACACGCTCCCAGGCTTGGCTTCAGGGGTTCAATGCTTTGCGCCGAGAAAGAGCTGAAAACGCACACCAAAATATTGAAGTTGGGGCGGGATGCCAAGGGATCAGCGGTGTCACCCGTGCTTCCTTGAGCTTCAATGTTCTGCAAGCGGCATCCAGCGCGTTCATCGTTGGTGATTCTACGTTCCTGGGTTCTGTGTCCCGCATCAGGATCCGGGGCAATATTTCCGGCCTCTACAATGGACTGGATCCAGGCCCTTGCTGCCGCGGCAATCATCCTTGTCATCTCAACATTGAACTCGTTGGAATGCCTACATGCCCAGATCAATCATTTGGCTCGAAAAAGAACATTGAATGCCATGGTGCTTGGCTGGCTCAAGCCCACGAGAAGAGGGCAGCCCATCCCCATCAATATCCTCGACGTGAGCAATAAAATCCATCACTTTGAGGGTGAAAAAGATCTTTCGATGCCAAAACCTACCACTCTCTCGTCGCCACCCACTTGCCACAGCCCAACGCTCCATCATGAACGGGTACGCCCGCTTCTGGTGCAACCCATCAAGCGTCGCAGTGGGGCGAGAAACCTCATCTCGCTGCCCCTCCACCCACGGCTAGCTCCATCCATCATCCAGTCCTGCCAATGGAGGCCGGCATCGACCCCCCTTTCCCCCTTGAACCCTTGGCTCGAATCGAGGGCTCGAGCTGAAGCAAAGCCACCTGGGCATCGTCGACCCGCGTCGTCCATTATTGGCTGCTTGGCTGCGCTGCAACGACGTTTTCCTCTTCCAGAAGAACTTGGATTTATTGATTATCGTTAGCGCTTTCTATGTGTGCTTTTGCCGTCTTTCCCGAACTAAAACCAAGAGCCTCGCCTTATCTTTCCCCTCGACCCTCAATCCCCTTTTCAAAGCTCTTTTTATTTTATTCTCCCCTTTTCAAAACCCCCATTGTCGAGTGTTTGTCTTCTTTTGCGCGCGCGTGTTTTCACGCCGGTTGTCAAACCTTGACGACTCTTGTGTCGCATCGCCTCTGAGTTGAAAATATCGTTGCGTCTACACGGAGTCCACGATGACGACCATAGTAACCGAGGGGCAGTACAACACCTACATGGTGGTTGAGTTAACCACCATCTACACCGCGACTTGCTACTACCCCATCCTCTTCGACGCCTACGATGAGCCCGACTGTGCCCCTCCTCAATATGTCTCGGTTTGGTATGATGGCGGCTACTATTCGCCGGCCATCTGCCCCCACAACTATACCATTGGATGCACACCTACCAAGACCATGAGCGCCGGCCAGACCGGCGGAATTTGCGTCCCTCTGTAAGTGGCTTCCTTGTTTGTCCAACTTGTTCGTTTTTCATCGTTCTTCTATTCTGCGGTTTTTGTCTCCTGCTCCTTCCTTGGTCATGGTCCATCTACGCCAAGTGAACCGCCCAGTCAGAAAATACATGTATGATCATGGGGCGCGGAGGGGCGCTAAATCGGCGCATGCCGCGCAGATATTGCGGCAAGAGCATCGAGAACTAACGTTTCGTAAACACATGCAGAGGCTGGGACTGCGGCAGTTTCCAGATGCACGCCACCAGCACCCTCGAGGGAGGCGGCACCACCTCCGTCCCGGCCTTCCAGATCCGCTGGGAGGCGAGCGACCTCTCCATCCTCGAAACAGATCCTCTCACCCTCCGCCCAGGCCACCGGCTCGTCTCCGGGCGGATCCGGAAACGATTCGGGCGACTCTGGTGATAATTCCGGCAGCAGCGGCGACAATAGCAACAGCAGCGGCGGAAACAGTGGAGGAGGAGGAGGAGGAGGAGGTATCTCGCCTGGTGCGGCTGCCGGTATCGCCGTGGGTGCCGCCTTTGTCGTCGCCGTTATCGGTCTCTTAGCCTTTTTCTGGTATCGCAAGAAGCACATGAAGCCCAAGGCCGCCGCCGCCGGCCAACAGGGTCAAACCGAGGCCCAAGTCGGCGGTGCCAGCGCCGGGGAAAAGCCCACCGGCCAGGAGACGGTGATCCCCACACCACCACCACCACCGCCGCCTGCGGGGAACAACGTCAACGCGAACACCGGCACCGGCGTGCAGGAGATGGATGGAGCCGGAAAACCCGCCGGCAACGGATTCGGTATCGAGAACATTTACGACCCTCTAAGCCCGACGGAAGCTATGCCCCGCCCGTCGTTCAGACCGGTCCCGCCCAACAACTCGATGGTACGCCCGTGGAAAGCCCGCAGGGTGGTCACGCCACAACGCCCGTGCCGACGCACCACGGCAACAACGAGGCCTACGTACCCAACAATACGGCTACCGGATTCCCCGGCCACGGCCCCGGCGTTGTTCACATGCACGAGATGCCCGGTCACGGCGTCGTGGGATATCCGCAGCCGGGATACCCCAGCCCGGTTATCCCCAAACCGGTTATCCTCAACCTGGATACCCCCAGGCGGGATACCCCCAGCCCGGCTACCCAGGCTATGCTGGCTACCCGGCCGAACTGGGGGCGACCCAGCAGCAAGGGTATGCTTACCCCCAGCAGGTGCCCGGAGGGGCGCCCGGTCCTTGGGTGCAACAGGGTGCTCCGAACCAAACCTACGAGATGGGACAGCCAGACCAGCAACAGCCACCCGTGGCCACAGAGCTGCCAGTACAACAACAACAGCAGCAGCAACAGCAGTACCAGACTCCTAGCTCTCCGCCTCCTTATCCTCAGAGCTAGTTGATCTCTGGGATTGGAGTAGGGGATGGTGACGGATTGGTTGGGTTTTACGATTTGGTCTTGTTTTTCTTCTTGCACAGAAGCAAATTCATGTGCGTTATCAGGCGTTGTGGCATTTTCTTGGTCATTGGATGGTAGCGTATATATAGCTAGCCCTTGTTTCATCACTATTAAAGGATTAATAGCATCATGTGTTGATATATAAAGCAAATGCGATTCACGTTTTTTAGAATGAGTTTTGCAGTCACCGCAACGTGCAGTCTACTTGAACCAATCAATCCTTTAGCGATGTCACCGCTAGCCTTCGGAATAGGAGTCGTGGAGTCTTGCATCACGCACTAGAACAGGTGTTTAACAATTTTACAATTCTGTTTTATTCTTCTCTAGCTTTTGCCCGAATGGACCAAGCTGGATCCCGGTATCATTAGATTCGAATTTTCCTCCCAACTCCCAGACATTACTCGGCCTTCCAGTGATATTTGGCCGCGGGGTGATCCGCCGGCGGCCTCGCGAGACCAGCCTGGCCGTAAATATTCTCGCGATACGTGCCCCCGGCACGGCGTACTCCTCCTGGAAGAGACCCTCTTCCTCAGCACAGGGATAAGGTGCTCAATAACCTCCTCAAACGTCTGCGGCATAAGCGCATACGCCAAGTTGAACCCGTCAATATCCGCCTCCGCCACCCACCTCTCCATCTCATCCGCCACATCCTCCGCCGTACCCACCACGGTCGCGCCCAAGCCACCAACCTTGATATGGTTCGCCACCGCGTGCTTGGTCCACCGCGGCACCGTCGGGCTCGCCTTGCTCCACGACTCGACGGCCGAGCGAATGGCGTTGGACTCGACGTGGCGCAGCTCCTCGTCGTCGCCGTACTGGGCGAGGTCGATGCCCGTCCAGCCGCCGAACAGGGCCAGCGCCCCATCCTCAGACCCGTAGCTCACGTACTCGGCGTACTTGGCCTGGGCCGCCTCGCGCGTGGGCGCGATGATGGGGCAGAACATGGCGAGGAACTTGACGGCGCGGGGTCGCGCCCGAACTCGGCGGCCTGGGCGCGGATCTCGGCGATGTTCTTGGCCACGACGGCGGGGAGTGGCCGGCGACGAAGACGGCCTCGGCGTGGCGCGCGGCAAAGGCTTTACCCGACTTGGAGGTGCCGGCTTGCATGATGACGGGGGTGCGTTGGGGGAGGGCTGGCAGATGTGGGGGCCGGGGACGGTGTAGTACGTGCCCTCGTGGTCGATGGTGCGGACGAGGGCGGGGTCGATGAAGACGCCGGTTTTGCGGTCGAGTTTGACGGCGTCGTCGCGCCATGAGGATTGCCTACGGACAGGGTGGTTAGTATGGTTTCGATGTGCTAGGGAGTGAGTGGGTAGAAAAACGATTGCTCACCAAAGCTTGTACATGACTTCGACGTACTCCTCCGCCATGGCGTACCGATCATCGTGCAGCGGTTGCGCCGCGTGTCCAAGGTTCCTGGCCGCAGAATCCAAGTACCCGGTGACAATGTTCCATCCGATACGGCCACCGGTGAGGTGGTCGACGGTGCTCAGCCTCCGGGCAAGGTGGTAGGGCTGCTCGTAGGTGGTGGCTACGGTGATACCGAAGCCGAGACTCTCGGTGGCCGCGGCCATGGCGGCTACAGGAGCGAGGGGCTCGTTGACGGGCCATTGCGCGCCGGAGATGATGGACGGGTCTGGGTTCTTGGGACCCTTGTACACGTCGTACGCTCCCTGGATTTCTGTGAGTTAGCACGAGGTCTTGGTAGTGCCGTGTTGTGTGCGCTTTGCAACGCATCCACGAAGCGCAATTGGGCGGATGGGAGAAAAGGTGGAGGCCGGAATGAGCGGACCAGATCCGTGCATATGACCCTTCCGGCGTGGGACGTAGCAGACAGTCCCAAGATGGGAGGAAAGGATAAGAAAGTAGAAAAAGAAAGGCAGCTTACCAACACATCGGCGATAAACATGCCATGGAAACCGCCCTTTTCTAACAGCTTGGCCAGATTGACCCAGTGCTTGATGTTGTTGAACTCGGTGCTGCGGTCGTCGGGGTGCTGCCAGAGGCCCGGGGACTGATGGCCCGAGCAGCTCTCCACGAAGGCGTTGAGGATGAGCTTCTTCTTGGGTGCCGCGGCCGCCTGGCCGTTCGCGGTGGACTCGGTCATTTTCTGCTAGGGACGGGAAACTGCGCGCTGAGATGGACTTGCTGCTGATCCTTTCGTAGAGCTCCTCGAGCTTCTTGGATGTTATCTTGGGGGTCGATGGGCTCGCTAGTTATCTTTTGCTTGCTTGCTGAGCTGGGTTGGGTTGGGTTGGGGGAGATCACGCAATAAACCAAGGTTGAACAGTTACATGCAGGGAACAGTCGTCTCGCAGATGGACGGGACTAGGGGTAATTAAAAGAGGAAAGGATGCAGAGAAGGGAATGTTTACAAAATCAGTCCCGGCTCGGGGTCTATTACTCTTTGGTCCAAAGAGAGCCCTTTTATTGCGTCTTTACGTCTTTGTGACTTTGCGACTTTTCCGGAGTGGAGAGTCAGTCCGGTCTCCAATCTTGTCGACATTCGCTATCCGAGGTCAAGCCCATTTTTTCTCGTTCCCCTCTCCCTCTGGTGGTTCGATAATCCCCCATTCTTCTTTTCCACTTCTTTTACGCCATAGGAGCCAGCCCCGCGTGGGATGCCGGGGGTTTTGGCCGGTTGTGCTTGACATTGATGTTTGTTCTGCCCCCATATGTCACACTGTCTTAACAACTTGGCCTACATGTATATGGCTTGTGAGCCACTTTCACCCCGCCGTCGCGCAAGCTCCTCAAGACGTGACGTTCCGTGAGCGTGGGGTCCCACCCCCGTTCCCAAAGCTATACAAGGGGGGAAACGGCTGTCAATGTCGTTGGCTGGACTAATAAGAAAGCTCGCCTTACCGTACACACAAAGAGCACTAGAGAACCGGACGGTTGCGGTTCCCCCACCCCTGTCGCAAAACGCAATCACGCGAGAATAGCGCAATTGACGATTGTACCCCATCGCAGCTTCCGCGACCAATCAGCGCGCCGCATCGTCCGCGCTGCGCTTCCGACCCTTTTTAATTAAGCCCGACCTCCCGCTTGGGATCTGGGACGACGGAGCTCGACATTTTCTGATCAAATTGTCGAATAAGTAATCATGCCGGGAACCAAATAGACAACCTTGCGGTGCCGGTAGGGCTTTCGCTCCCACCACACGGCGGTGCGCGCCCCTCCCCTTCGCATGTAATCGTCCCCGCTAACACCGCGAAGGGAACGGAATCGGCGGTGGGGCTTGTTTGGACTGTTTCTTCTCCTTTCCCCCTTGCTCCTACCAAGGACGAATAAGTAAACAGGGTCGGAGGGCACAGGAGCCCTGTCGGTGACTCGACCGAGACCCGTCCATCTCTGAATTAGGATATCACTAATCCCCTCCGTCCGCGGGGGTACCTGTGTCATCACGACATCCCGATCATGATTTCACTCATCGATACAATAACGACAAAGTAGGCAGATTTTTTGTCTTTCCCTTTTCTTTCGACCCGTCCATAGCTGGTCTCGCCTGTCTTGTCTTTCCCACCGCCGTGCTCTTGCACCATTCCAAGGGTGCGACGCAACCTAGAAGCCCCGATCCCGGGGATCTGGTAACTGGCGTTGTGTTTCTTCCTGCTCTGTCTCTTTTTGCTTTGCAGTCTCCGTGAAACCAGCCGCGATGTAGATGTGGACCCCTGCCGCCTGCGGGCCTTTATAGCTTCTGCTTTTCCCCGAGAAAGATGTCGACGATCTTTTTGTGACGGCCCGCATGTTCCTGCTCTATTGAGCTTTTCTCACACCTTCCTCTCTTTGTCCCAAAACATAACTGTTCCTTTTCCTTGGACAACTTGCCCATCGGTAGACTCCTCGATACCTCTTGTAGCTGAAGTGTGTGTCAAAGGAGAAGCTTTCCCAGGACGGACATCTAGTAGTTGAAAAAGGAAAAAGCAACAATGGCCGGAGGCGGAGGAAGCTCTTCCGCCGCCGACGCAACCGCCGTCGTGGCCCCATCGCTACCGCAAGGCGCTGCTTAGTACGTCCTTCCCCTAGCGTTCCCCATCCCTCGTCTTGTCCTCTAGCGCCATGTGCGTCAAAGGTAGCTCGGAGCACCGCGCAGAGCTAACCCCCTTCTCTCTTATTGCAGCGCTGTCGTCGTGGGCGTCGGCTTCGTCATCGCCCTCATCATGATTGGCATCACCAAGATCCTGAAAAGGACGGTTGGCGAGGACAACCGCAAGACGGAAATGTTCATGACCGCCAACCGCACCATCAATACCGGCCTGACGAGCTCGGCCGTCATTTCCTCGTGGTTGTGGAGTACCGCCATGCTGGGGAGCACTCTTGTCGGCTACAACTTTGGTGTTGCTGGCCCCTTTTGGTTCGCCGCTGGGTAAGACTTCAGCTTTTTATTTCTATCATCGATTCAGTTCTACCCACCAAAATGGAACCTCTAATGGCTGACTTCTTCTCCTTCGCATAGATGCTCGCCCATGATCGTGTTCTTCTCCGTCCTTGGCATCGCCTGCAAGCTGCGCGTGCCCCAAGCCCACACCCTCCTCGAGATCATCCGCATCCGCTACGGAACCGTCGGCCACATTGTGTGGATCGTTCTGTGCCTCATCAACAACATCATCGCCGTCGCCAACATGTTGCTTGGCGCCAGCGCCGCGATTTCTGCTGTGTAAGTCTCCAATAATCTATCCGCTTTTCCTTCACAAGATGTTCTCTCGGCCCTTTACTTACACAACGGCCTCTAGATCTGGAATGCACGTTATCGCTGCCACCTTCCTCCTCCCCATCGGCGTCATCCTCTACACCTTTGTCGGCGGTATCAAGGCCACCTTCTTGACGGATTACTTCCACACATTTGTCATCACCATCATCATCTGCTTCTTCACCATCAAGGCCTTTGTCACCGACGAGATTGCCTCCCCGCGCATCTCTACGAACTCGTCGTAGCTGCTGGCAAGGCGCACCCCGTCGAAGGTAACCACGAAGGTTCCTACCTTACCATGGCCAGCCACGGTGTAAGTTCCCGCCAAGCCCCTTCCCCCGCCCATTAGCAGGCGCGCGTCATCTAACGCAATATCCACTTCAGGGCATGCTCTTCGGCATCATCCACATCCTCGCCAACTTCGGCCTCGTCATCATGGACACCGGCTTCTTCGTCAAAGCCTTCAGCGCCCGCCCCCAAGCCGTCGTCCCCGGCTACGTCGTCGGCGGCCTCGCCTACTTCGCCATCCCCTGGTGCCTTGGCACCCTCATGAGCTCCATCGCCCTCGGCCTCGAAGACTCCCCATCTTCCCCACCTACCCCCGCCGCATGTCCGCCACCGAAGTCTCCAACGGCCTCGTCCTCCCCTACGCCGCCATCGCCATCGCCGGAAAGGGAGGCGCCGCCGCCATCCTCATCATCACCTTCATGGCCGTCACCTCCACCCTCTCCGCCCAGGTCATCGCCGTTTCCTCCATCATCAGCTTCGACATCTACCGCCAGTACGTCAACAAGGCCGCCACCGACCGCGACGTCATCAAGTGGAGCCACGTCGGCGTCGTCTTCTTCGGCCTCTTCTCCGCCTGCTTCTCCACCATCCTCCACTACGGCAAGGTCGATCTCGGCTGGACCCTCTACATGCTCGGCGTCCTCACCTGCCCCGGCATCTTCCCCACCACCTTTGCCATCCTCTGGAAGAAGCAGTCCACCGCCGCCGCCGTCGTCTCCCCATTCTCGGCATGGCCACCGGCCTCGCCGTCTGGATCGGCACCGCCTACCACTTCTACGGCGAAGTGTCCGTTTCCTCGACCGGCCAGGCTGTCCCCTGCACCTGGGGTACCGCCGCGTCGGCCCTTTCCCCCGCCGTCTACTCCATCATCATCTCCCTCGCGAAGCCCGCCAACTTTGACTGGGCCGACTTCTCCAAGGAGAAGCTCACGCTCGAAGATCCCTCCACCTCAAACAGCGAAAGCAACGACTCGGCTGTGAATTCCGCCGACGAGGGCCTCTCCACCTACCAGGAGAACAAGGTGCTCCTCAAGCGCTGGGGCCGGATCGCGTCCATCTGGTCGCTGGCCACCTTTTTCGGCCACTGGGTCCTTTGGCCTTTGCCCATGTACGCGTCCAAGTACATTTTTGAAAAGGGCTTCTACGTCGCCTGGCTCGTTGTAGCCATCATCTGGGTGTGGGGTACCATGTTCATTACGGGTTTCTACCCCATCATTGACGGCAGGGAGCAGATCTGGAACGTCATCAAGCTGCTCCGAAACGGTCAACAAAAGACGATTGAGGGCAGAGAGAGTAGTGTGGATGGCGAGGAGGGCGTTGTTGTTGAGAAAAAGTCTTAGATTCTAGTCGCTAAAAGCGGGATACCCGTGCTGATTCTGATCTCCATCCATGATATCAATACTGCTTTAATAAACTCGTTTGATTGGTATAAAGAGTCTTTCGGCCCCTTGTTGGCACCGCGGCAATCCTTGTCTTCGTGGTGTAACCCTCCCAACATTTTCTCCCGTGTAATACTCTTCCAAGGACTAGCATGATCCTTCTCCACCCTCCTTCAAGAATCAAGCTTTAATGGCGTCAAACCTAGCCCTAGTCGCCTGCATATGGCCCATGTACGACGTGTACACATGGAACCTCATCACTATGTGGACCAAAGAACTCAGGTTACCCCGCCGCCCCTTTTGGCTCTTTTTTGTCGCGCATGGGTGTGTGAGCTTACTCCGCGAGCTTGTCTTGCCCAACACGCGAGGCGGTTCACGGTCGTACAAGATTGGGTTGACACAAAACCCAATTGGCCCTTCCCCTGCTCAAGGGTTGCATCCGTCAGCACAGGTCAGCCTCCATGACCTTGATGCACAAGCGATGGCCTTGCACCTGCCGCGAATGCGTATGAATCTCACGCTTCGTGTTGTGTGTATAGTTTCATTTGCTTCTATACATTTGCGAGCAAAATCAGGACATTTCAAAGCAAAGTGAGGAGATTCTCAAAGCAATAGAAAACGCGTCCGCATACAATACAAGGGTGCCGGGTAGCATTTCTTACTTGCAGTGATTCACGGGTGGATGGATGCAGGCGGAGTAGGAGATGGCTATAGTCAGCAAGATTTGGCACTCAGGGTGGACGGAGGGTAGACCTCGTAGAGGACGGCTGCTCAGATTTGCGGTCTGGGGAGGTAGGATAGGATTTCCGTTAGACCGCGAGTCATGAGCAGAGAAAGGCGTGGATCATTGGTGTATATAAGAATGTGAATACCCCAAAGCTCAACATTCCCAAACTCTTCGGACTACCCTCGATCCTAAACCTCTTCATCAGTCTAGTCACGTCTTTGTGGACGCAATATTCCTGCCCATACACTCCAAACATCTCACCATGAAGTTTGACCTTGTCTCGTTCGTTGCAGGTGTCTATCTCCTGCAGAACCGTACCACGTGAGTCCGCCTGGGAGATGCCCTTCCAAGTAACTACCATCTACTAATACTCCATTAGGACTCGAGACGACGTTGAGGTGCCCAGCAACATCTGGGAGACTCCACTGCAGGCCTCCTCATTTATAGCGAATCAGGCTACATGTCGGCAACTTGTGTCTCCACAGACCAGGAGCTGTTCCCACGGGATTTGAACATATCATACCCACTACAAGACGGACAGACCGATGAGGATTGGGCCAAGGCAGGCAAGCATACTTTGTCCTACGCCGGGGAGTGGTCGTTTGGGGAAGCGATCCCTGGGGTCCCATCCACGAAGGAGTTTGGCCAGATACTTCACGGCCCCTCACGGCTGCCAACCAGCCTTCGTGGATAGGTGAGGAGAAGGTGCGTAACTATACCGTCCATTACCACGACGAGGACCTCTTCTTGCGAATTTCAGTCCTCTCGGAGGGCGGGGCCGTCGAGAATGTTTTGTGGTGGAAACGGCTGGATTAGCGAGGTGAAATTGGCGCGGGTCAGCACTGTCGGGTTACACAACCCCGGGGGAAAACGGACGGCTGGGGGTTCTGAAAGTTGCGGTGCAAGACGTAAGCCTGTGAGACTTGGTGGAGTGTTCCCTTTTCTGATGATGGCTAGCAACGGAAGAAATAGAGAAAGTAGAAAAGACATGGGTATCTTGCCGTCCAACCACCGCTCGAAAATTGCCGTTATGAAAGTGATTGCAAAACTAATTTGCCTGAGGCTGACTGTATACATGTACTGGTCAATATATTGCCGCGAGGTGCCAATCACCCGTGATCGGATATAAACGGTTCTCTGCGGCTCGTAGGACCCAGACGCTGCGTAGTGGTAGTTAGCATTCTTTCCGCAGTGTGAGCAAAAGTCTTGGACGGCTGATTTAGACATAGCCTAAGAAGTAAAGAGTTCTGTAACTCCACAGCCATGAAGAAGCAGGTGTCTTCAAAGAGGAGTAAGTGGCAGGGTGGTACGAGCAAGCACCGATGCTGACGCTGATGCCTCGGTTGGACGTAGTATATTGGATGTGCCTAAATAGCGTTTTACAAAACACTCACTCAATGTGTAATGATAATTGATCACTCTACTCATATCAAGCAGGGATCAACGTTTGGCGGGTGTGAGAAGCGGCAGGCATCGCCTAGGCTTAAAGAGCCCAGGTAAAAATATCCAACATGGGAGTTCTGATGTTTGCAAAGCACATAAAATGACAAGGCTCGGTCCCTTTGATTTAGACAGTTTTTGGCTAGAAGAGCCGGGCCCGGTCCGGAAAGGTAGGTAAACCAACCTTGCGCTTGTCCCACACGCATATCCGATTAAACGTGTCGAGGTACTCGAAATGCTTGCTAGGGACTAGCGTCAAGCCCACTCCTACATGAGTAGTGGCTACAAAGTCAACTACCAGCTATCTAATCCGGCAGCCCGGGTTGCTACCGGACGCCGCCTCCTCTTTGCGCCCATCATTTCCGCCGTCCATTCGGGACCGGGCTTGCCGGGGCCGGGGCTCCCATATTGTCCACGGGCTCTAGATCTTCCTTCTCCACTACCTCGGTAGACCCCGAGACGCTGGGTTCAGATGATTTATCTTCATGTATCTCCTCCCTCGGAAACCAAAGATGGTGCGCAATATTTCGCATCGGTGCTTTAGCTGAGAATAAGTGGATTTTCAACCACTCCATACCCGCTCGACGGGGTTTCAATAGAGCCGCAAGAAGAGCCAAATGGCGGTCGCACAGCTGCTAAATTATCTCTGGCCTGATGACGGGCCAACCAATTTTCAAGCCACAAAACCACTACCTCGAGTAGAGATGTCATTAAAAGGAGCTGGTTGGTTTCGTTTAAACCCCCGGATGCCAAGCGCGCTGAGCTTCGCCAAGTCTTGGCACGAATGCACAGCACCTGATATCAACTCAATTCTCTGTGAAGCAGTCGGGGAAAACATAGTGTCGGAGTGCACAACACAGATACAGTTCAGCCACATGCCAATGCCAAGAATCCACCCCCGCCGTCATCGGTCAAATATTGAACCTCGTCTTACTCAAGCAGCTTCCAAATGCGAGATAATCGAAGGCGATGAGGCCTAGCCCACAGCCTTTCCTCTTTGGGGAGCACGCAGCATCGCCAACTGTTATATATATATATACCCTCCAGTAGATTCTTGCATCCACGAACACAAAAGACTAGCAGTACTCGTGGCTAGTCCGTGACTCTTTTCGCTGCGAACACAAATCGAAGGATCCGTTCAATATGGTGACTATCAATCCATTAAAGACATATCGCGGCAACTGTCACTGCGGCGCCCTCGTTTACGAATTTCAGCTCCCCGAAATCAAATCCTTGACTGAATGCCCCTGCGGCTTCTGCTTCAAAAGGGGGTTCTCTCCGTCCCTGCCAACAAAGATCAGATCAAGTTCGTGAAGGGTGACGAGGGGGCACTCACAGCCTACAAGTTCTCCAGCGGACCATACTCACATTTGGTATGACCAGTTCAAACGGACCATCAATGGTTATAAACTGATCTGGGAATTATCACTGACATGTTGGTGTAGTTTTGCAGCACCTGTGGAAGCCAGGTTTTGGGAAGAACCGAACAGTCGGGTTCAGCTAGCTATAGCCTCAATGTAAGACAAGCGAGACTTCCCACTCACTAGACCTTTAGCCGACAGGTTCTAACTCGTAGCTAGGCGCGATGTATCCAGGGCATCAACATTCGAGAACTAAAACAGACCATGTGAGTACCGCCTACTACTGTCGCCCGAAACTAGGAGGAAGATATCTAACACCTTCTACCATACTAGTAAACCAGGAGAGTTGTGTACAGAAGGAGGCACGCCGCTCACAGAAACAGAACCGGAAGCTTCAACCGAGGTAGACGGGGCCAAGTGTTACAAGGGCAGCTGCCATTGCGGTGCCGTCACACTTAGCTTAACAAGCAAGCCCATTGACCACGACTACGCATCTGAAGAGACCCCAGGGCCTCTCGAATGCAGTTGCAGTATCTGCGTGAGGGCAAGTTACACAAGGCCCCAAATCTTTAGAGCAGAATGTTGCTAACCACCAGCCATAGAACGGGAATATATTCCTTTACATCATGAAGGACCAACTGCAGCTCCAAGGACAGGAGAATCTTATGCCCTACGCCTTTGGATATAAGCTGCTCTCCAAACCCTTTTGCAAGGTCTGCGGCGTGAACCCCGTCAGTGACTGGTTGGACATCTCTCCGGAGGCGCTGAGCGCCGTGCCTGAAGAGACGCGAGCGTACCGCGATTCAGTCTTGGATTTCCTTGCTGTGAATCTGAGGACGATAGACGGATTGAGCGTCAACAAATTGGATCTCGCCCAAGTGGATGGCGCCAACAACGGGCTGGCCTATGCAAATCCCTGAGGAAAAAAACGAGATTATAATTTTACATCAAACATTCTATCTCACCTTGACACTGGAGAGGTTAGTCGCTGGAGAAATTCTGAAGCACTCAAGAAGGCATATGTATCTCTTCATCATTATCATTTGAAAATTCTACTCGATTAAATATATGTGACGAACAAGATAGATAGTATATCCCTCACCAGCCTCAGATCGCGTCACCGTACCCTCACTCATTTCTCTAAATCAGTCATATAGGCCAAGCTTCTCACCCACCACAGTCCTGTAAATCTCATTGGGGTCAAAGTCCTCGCGGACAACCTTGAACCGGCGAAGGTGCTATGGTGTATGGTCAGCTTATGCAAACTAATAGCAGGCGCCAAGCCAGGATTCATTGGCTTTCGGCAACGTCCGATAACTTACGTTGGGGTCGATATTCTTAGCAGAGCGCTCAAAGATCTCGCGGGTATTCTTGGTCCAGTGCGGGCGGCAGGGGAACTCATCAATCAAGACCTTGGCAAGGTTGTGGTCTAGTATGTGCCAAAACCCCGGTTAGTGATCTGTTCTTTCTCTTGGTCCATCACAGGTAGGAGGGTTGGGTCAGGTATACTTACAGAACGGCTCATTATACCGGAGACCATCGCCCACAGTGGGCTTGTAGCTAGGAAGTCAAACATGATGGCACCCCGGGACCAGTCCGCGCCGTTGGTGGTGTTAAAGGTGACCTGGCCGAGGAAATCGTAATAAGGTCGGCCAAACTTGATGTTGATACCGCTCCTATACGTCGACGTCATGATGCGCAGCTTCTTAGCCTCGTCGTCGAAGAGCTGGCGCACGCGGCGCAGCATATCGTTGGCGCGGGTCATGGGGAAGGCCAGCTCGAGGGTGTAGGCGCGCAGGCCGTACTCCCAGTTGGGCCGCTGGTCCGGGTACAGACCGCCGATGAGCACGTCGTAGTTCCAGCCGTACACGGGCCATTTCTCGAGGGCCTTTTGCGTCGTCTTCTCACGGAAGTTGGGCTTCTCCCACTGCGAGAAGAAGATTTCCTCGGCGATGAAGTTGGACGTGGGTAGGTACTTGCCGCTGTCGAGGAGGGTCTTGGCGGCGAAGGCCTCGAGTTCCGTGACGGAGAAGGTGTTCTGGAAGCCCTGCTGGTCGCTGGTGCTCTCGGGGACTTCGTCGTAGTAGCGCCAGTGGAACTTTTCTTGTATGGCCACCACTAATCAACGTACTGTTAGCGAAGTCTCACACACCATGGGCGGGTAGGTTATTGGCGAGGAGCGGCATCTTACCCATAGATTCGCAGTCGCGTACGGCTTGATCAGTTTTTCAATGTCTCCGTTGAGCACATCTGCTTCCTCAAGTCTAGTCACCCATCATGTTAATATCAGGTTCTCTAAATTGGGCTTAGGAAACGAGGAGAAAAAGGAAAAAACAAGTTTTTCTTACGTCTTCTGATCGGCGTAGACCTTGAAATCCGGATAGATCTTGAACTTGATGCGAGCAATGACGCCCAGCAAGCCGAGCGAGGTAGAGGCAGCAAGCCACTCATCATCGTCATTATTGCGAACAACGCGACGAATCTCACCATGGCCATCAATAATATCCATCTCCAACACGCCCGCCGCAACCATGGAATCCTCGCGGATCGACGAGCGATGCGCGCCCATGGCTACGGACCCCGCGAGCGTAATGTTCCAGTTGACGAGGGTGTAGCCCACCGAAGCCCCGCGCTCGTGCAGCCACTCCGCCAGCTGAATAAACGTGACGCCGGCCTCGAACCACACGGACCCGCCCTCCAGATCGAGGTCCCAGATGTGGTTCACGTTCTCGGTGCGCACGATGATGGTGTTGGGGTCGTCGGAGCACATGGTGTCGTACCACATGTGGCCCAACCCGGACGCGCGCACCTTTTGGCCCGCCGCGATTGCGCCCCGGACGAGGCTCTGCATCTCGTCGACGGAGCGGGGCTCGTGCACGGCGGCGACTTCGTTGCAGGCCGGAAATCCGGGGCCGTCGTACGTGTTGTACGGCCCGGCCGCCGCGAGGGCGGCGAGGCCGAGGAGGATGCCGCGCGAGAGCATGCTAGGGCGGCAACCTTGCAAACAAATCTACCCGAGAGGAAACAAAAAGAATCCCAGAAAGGGTGAGAGGTAGACAGGCGGTTGGGAAGATCTAAGGACTTGGGGAGGAAATTCCGACAAGACGCGCAAGTCTGCGATGGGCCCTGGCTTCAGGAAACACAAGCGACAGAGGAAGGGATTGTGTGGGGCGCGCGAGCGCGTTATATCATCGGGCCAGACACAAGGAAGCACCGGAGGACCAGAACCGGGTCCGACACGTACGGGTAGGTTGGATGCCGCGGATGAGACCTTTCGTCACTCCCGTTTCCATGTGATTATCTACTCTCACCTATCTGTCAATCAACGCCATCCATCCAACCCTGCCGCCCAGAGTACATGGATCGTAACCACTTGACCGGCCGGCTCGTAGCATTTACGCGAGAAGAAAGAAGACAAAAAACGGCCGAATGGAGTAAATGAGCGACCAATGCGACTAATCGCCAGCGTGCGCCAAGAGGCGACACACGCTTGGAGAAAAGGGGAGGACATGTCCACCCGATGTAACACCCCGCATGGCGACTGGTGAAATCACCTTGAGCCTGGGGTGAGCGACGAGAGCCATACGACAGGACCATCCGACCTGTACTAAGGGAAATTTGGCAGCCCTCAAGCTCTCTTCTTGGTCCGGCTCCCCTTTTTCTCCCCAGTGAAATAGGGAGCGGCGTGTGTGCAGGGTCACGCTTGGGACCTTGGGGCAGGTGATTGGCGATGGTGATTGGTGCGGACCACACCTATAATGCCATTCAAATATATCCGCCGCTGAATGGTTGGCTACGGTTGAGGAATGGAGGGGTTGGACCTGCGCGCCTGTATTCTTTGGGTGCCGAAGGATGGCTCGAGCTGCTCGATCTAGATCGAAGTCCGCAAAGGGTTACATACGTTGGATTTGTTCAGGTCGGTGCGCCCATCGCCACCCAAGGATTATATGTACGTAAAGCAAGGCATTATGTATGTAGGACTTGGTGAATCACTCACCTATGCCTCGAATAATGGTTATTGTTATTTCGATGTTATTTCGATGTGCTTTTGATGGCCCGGTGGAAATTTTGAGCACGACCATTTATCCCAAGGGTCTGTCTTCGGATGGCATCATGTGAGTCAAGGCGGTGCAACAGACCAACGAGTTCACAAATTGTGAGACAAGTTTCTTTCTTGCGGGAATATGAATAAGCATTCCAGATAATTTCTCGCCTAAGATAATCAATCATATTAGTTCATGGATAGCGATGCTGGGATGAAAGTTGGTAGAGATAATCAGGGCTAGTCCTGATAATTGGATGCGAGAAGAAAAGAAACAAAAACCGACCTAGATCTTCAAATCATTCCCGCCATCTTCAACATCTACAAGATGCTTGATATCTTTGAAATCCAGATTAAGCGCGGTTTTATCACATGCCACATCGTGTTCGGACGGAAAAGAGGGGAAAAGAGGTATATATATTAACAAAGATATTAGTGATTAAAGGAAGGGAAGGTAGCTAGAGAGTCTGCAAATGTTAGATGGCGAAATCCAAACTTAGACGCGAAGCGACCATGTCGCTAATGCGATATCCTTGCTATCCATCACGATTCAACAGCAGGCGCGGGAGGTCCGAGGCAAATATCGGCCCCCGCCACATCTCGACCATACGTCTTCTTCCACCGATCCACGTAAACTGTGCCCGTAAGCGAGTTTTGGCAAGCGACATCAATGATGCCAGACGCCTCCTCGTACTCCTTGGTCCAGCACCGGTTTGTAAAGGAGTCCCAGTTACACATGTATGCCATGGCGCTTCCGTACGTAATCACGACGGCCTGGTTGACGGGGTACTGCGTGTCCTTTGGCAAATACCACCAAACTGGGTCTTGGCGACGTCGAAATCCTCGCGGTTGAGGTACGTCTCGCCGCAAAAGGGTTCCGGGTTCGGGAGGGGCTTCGGGTCCTCCTCCTGGCGAGTGGAGAGGAGGACGGGGACTCGCCGCGGGGGTCAGGTATTTTAGGAGCTGCGGCTCGTTGATGATGCTGCCGGACTCGGGGTCGAAATCGAAGAGGTACACGCCATCGGGGAGGCCCTGGGGCACGACGAACCCGCGTGTGCCAGCGACGGCGAGGAGGAGGGAAAGGCAGGATGATAATTGGTGCCTCATGATGGGTGGATTAGTGTGTGGTGCGCAGGATATGGATATCACTCGCTATCCGTGAGATCGTCAAATGGAAATGGCCCTGTTAGAGAAGAGAGGGCTTATGGGAATGGCCTAGATCTTATGTAGGCTGAAGAAACAACAATGAAGAAACAAGCCAAGAAGACTAGGGGCTGATGCGCCCTCGGAGCCGGCGGGATCCGGCGTGCTATTAATACCTCTGCCACTGCCCAAATCCTGGCTTTCGGGGTTTCTTTTCTTGGTATCTCTCTTCCAGGGATACCTCGACAGCGGGATATCCTTAAGCGGCACTCGATGGCTTTCTGACGTGTGCAGCGCTCTCTAGCGGCTTCGTGGGAGCTTTATCCATAGTAGTTGGGCTCCGCTCCTAGCCGGTGGATAGGGAAATCGCGTTGTCCATATCCAAAAATGGAAACACATCAATACAAGTAGAGTAGATATTTATCGATGCCCATCGCCTATTCCTTCTCTGAGCGAGAGCAACTGGCTATAGCGGAGGGCGGGTGGCAGATTTATCCGTCGTTGGGCCAATGGCGTCAGACGGTTGCCGTTGACCTCGTTTGAACGTTGCCCTGTCCCAACGCGCCGGGGACCGAGGCTAATTAAATGCAATATCTGCCGTCGCCTCATTGCATCGGCTCCGCTGCAGGATGCGCGCTGTTCTCGGGAGATATTTTGTCTGCCGAGTGAAGCTCCTGATTCTTGCAGCGGTATCCTTGCTAGGGTCTCCGGAGGTGGAAGAAATCACAAGATAATTCTTTTGATATCAATGTTTTCCAATAGTTTTTCAAGTTGCAACCACTTATCGCCTCTTGAGTCTGGACGCCCAATGGCCGTGAATTCACTTTGGTCCGAGATATGGTCCTGGCTTTGAATGACTGTGAAGTGGTTAGAGGCCCATTTACGATATCACCTTGGAATCAAGCGTAATGCTTCTGAGTAATCACTCAGTGGGCACCCACCTCGTTTCTCAATGGTAATTGATGGAGGTCGAACCTCCAACTGGGGCTGCAGCTCAGAATGTGGCTGGTGGCTGGCCGCAAAAGGGCGTCTGCCCCGCCCCCACTAAAACCCAACTGCGAGGGCCCATTTTCAATTATCTCCGGCAAATCGCTGCAACAGGGTCCCATCGATCAATTTAATCGTCACCGCCAAAAACGCGTCCAAGCTTCTTCAGCCACAACCATCAAACTTCAACCTCACGCAGAGGCGGCCCATCCCCGTTCCTTGGTATCGATACGGACTCAAGTTACTCCACGCCCAAGGTTGGGGGAATAGGACCATTCGGAAAATAAAAAACCGGAGGGGACAAGGGTCAAGAAGTCGTCGCCCGCCTTTCATCCACGGACACGGACGCACATTGTTGAAGGACGCACCAACCAAACAGTGTTCGCCATGGATTTCGACCCTCTTCATCTCCTCGCTTTGATGGCGGGGACAATATGGAAGATGAGGAGGACGACGGGTTCGAGACCTTTTCAAGCGACGAAGACATGGATCCTGAATTTGACGAGCAAGACTCGGTCTCGGAAGCTCTAGACGAGGATTCGGATTCACTGGATGAAGAAAACGACGACCCACCGATGTCGGTAGAGCAGTGGAAGGCCAATCTAAAAGCATGTCTCGACGGAGCTCCCGTCTCGAACGAGTTCCAAGTTGGTCTTGAGCGGTCTACTTATCCCAATCCGGGCCTGGAGATCCTGGATTCGAGCGAGCAGTGGCATGGTCCTCTCCCGCTCCCGCCAACTGCCCGGGACGTGCGCGAGCTCAAAGACGCAATCTTAACGACCACGACTACGAGCCTCAAAGTTCCTCACACCCGCTTCCGGATCACCAACCTGAAGTGGGAGGAATATCTCCACGAGGTCACTACGGAAGTCTGTGCCAAGTTGCAGCTTCCACCAGTCACGATGCAGCCGAGCTACCTGGCCCTCCAGGAAACGGAAGAATCCACAAAGGGGCGGATGTCTGGGCCACGGACGCCGCGCCCAATATCCTCGCCAACGTATTCCTTTGCCTCCCCTCCGAACACACAGGCGGCCACGTGAACCTCTCTCGCGGGGATCGCGACGCCACCCTGTTTACCGGCAGGTATTCAAGTTCGGGCTCAAGGTGCTCGCCTGGCGCGCGGACGCCAAGCACGAAGGCTTTCCCCTCACCTCGGGGACCCGCCTCGTCCTCTCGTACGCCTTGGTCCGAGCATGCCCGAGCAACCTCACCACCTCCGGCCACGGGTCCCCGGCCGTCTTCCGGGATATCCGACACTCCGAGATCAACGACCTCCTGAAACGTTGGCCGGTCGAGGTAGACAAGGTGCTGTATCCTCTCGAGCACGACTATAGATGGGGCAACGATCGAATCCTGCCCGGCAATTTCCAGGGTCGCGACGACGCCTTGTTTCGGGCCTTGCGGTCCTTGCCGGAAATCTCCCGCAACTTCTATCTCCTCCTCGCCAAGGCTACCTGGAGCAGCATTGGCTCGGGCAGGAGGCCAATCCTTGCCCCCTGCGACCCCTTGGCGACAATTCTCAGCGCCCGCGGCTTTCCCGATCACGGCACAGAGCGCCGTGCCGATGAATGAGATTCTCGGCTCAAGGCCTGAACCAGAATCTACCGGTGATCCAGACTCACGTCCTTGGGGCCAGATCCACAATTTGCATCAGCAGGTTCGTCTCCTCCCCTCCGCCATTGCATCATTCTATTCAGCCTTCTTCCAAAAGAACAAAGAACACAGAGGGTGGCCTCGTTCATGCGCACTTTCGGTTCCGCCATTCATGACACGTAACCTCTAACTGCAGTCCTTGTAGATGATAGTCATCATTCCCAAGGCGTGCCTCGTGGACTTAATGAAGCACCACGTCACGGGCCTCCGCCACATCGTCAAACTCGTGGGCACCGACTCGGAGAGAAACCCCAGTGACAGCGCCCTGCGGCAGGTCGCCCTGACTGTCTTGGAAGAAGTCGTCCAGTACGTCGAAAAGAACTGGAGAGGCCACCACCCCTCCACTCTGACCCAGGTCATGTTATGGGCGATCAAGCTAGACGACGAAGAGCTTTTTCAGCGAACCATAAACGTCTATTCTGAGGCGGAGCTGCCACCCGGGCCCCTGGCCAACGCTGTCGCCGGCCTAATGCGGAAACGAACAAAGACTGACGCAGAGCTTGATCCTGACTGGGATAAGTGGTAAGAAAAGCCTGACCAAGCTCCGGACTCTTTTTTGTTCCCCAGAGATCCCCCTTTTCACTGTTTAGTACCATAGCAGCGCTAACCATTTCACTTTTCTTTTGTTTTCTTTGGAAACATTAGGTTCTGGTCTGTCTTGGAGGTTTTTGGCCTACGCGACTTTCCTGTACTGGACAGCATGTTCGACGAACGGAGGTTGGAGACGGCCGCTGATCTGCCCGACCTCGGGTCAATCGACGAGATAGTTCGTAATATTGATCCCCGGAAGTGCGAGAGTTGTATCAGCGGGCCGCGCCCTTCTGGTACTTTAGCTTTCTATGGGACCCAAATGCGCCTCGCGACCGGCTTCCTCGAGGGTACCCACCCCTCGTGAAACTCTTGTCAACTTCAATGTACGGCAGCGATACCGAATATATCTGCAAGAGGTAAGTACAAGGACAGGGAGGGGAGGGGGGTTCGCATCTCTCCGCTCTACGTTATTTTCTTCGTTATTCAATCTGGCCCTTTCCCTTTGCTCGCCTCACACGCACACAATGTTAACCTTACCTTGTACGCAGCATTCTTCCATGGGTCGGCCGGACGTTCGACGCTACGTGGATAGAGGCGCTACTACTCGCCCTGTTCGAAAGAGACGGCCATCCCGAATATCCCGAATCCAAAAATTCTTCGGCGTGCTCCTCCGGGAGGCAGGCTCAAAGCTGGTGGTGGCCCTCGACGAAAGCGACTTTTACGAGTTCTCCGTCGAGCCCGAGTCCCTCAAGCACGCGCACATCGCCGTCCGCGGCGACGGCGACAAAGTCACCGTCCGAGGCGTCACGGAACTAGAAAATCACCTCTCCGTCATGAACATCGCCTACGAGTACCGGTTCCACGACACGGCCTCCCAGCTTCTCGCCGGCACCTTTGCCAACTACTGCCGCGCCAGCGCCAGCGCTCCAACCAAGTCATGGAAGCCCTCCCGGACAGCGACTACTTCATCCGCGTCCTCGACCAGCTCCTCGAAGTCCTCGAGCGCCACACCGTCGACCCCGTACCCGCCCCCGTCGTCGAGTTCGTGCACCAAGTCTACATGCGCTGCTCCCTCCTCAGCCCCCGACTTTCCCGCAACCCCACTACGCCGGCTGGCGCTGCTCCCCGCGCTCCTGCTGGCGCCGCGCCACCTGCGACCTATGCCGCCAGATGGACCCCATCCTCGCCGACGAGTGGACGCGCCTGGGCTTCATCGACCTCACCTCCGTCGAGGACCGCGAGGACCGCGAGGGCCGAAAGGAGCGCTTCGAGCACGTCCGCTCCTGCCTCCCCGCCGGCCTGTTCAAGATTGACCACGTCCTCGTGCGCGGCTGCCACTACGCCCGCGTGCGCAAGCTCCTCGTCGACCGCGCCACCGAGCTGCGCGTGCACCGCGAGGAGATGGCCGCCTTTGGGCGCCGCGCGGACCGCTACACGCGTCGTTACGTGCGCACGATTCTCGGCGCGGAAACGTTTGACAAGCTCAAGGCGAAGCTGGAATTTTCTCTGGGCCAGCGCGAGAGGCTGTACCGCGAGGAGGAGAGGGCGAGGGCTGCTGAGGATGAGCGTCGGCGCCGAGGTAGGGGGAACGAAGATGAGGGTTGGGTGATGGGGGATTGCTGTGTGCTGTGGACGTTTGGGGATTGCATGTCGTTATACCCGGCGAATGGTTTTCTCTTGGTTGAATGTGTCTAAACAAAAGTAGGGGAGTTATTGTAGATTGCAAGAATCACCTTGAAGAGAGGCTGGCGTGCTTCGCGACATCGTAGTCGCCCTAATTGTGCGCTTACACAACCTAGCTGCGATATGGCTAGTTAGCCATTCAAATTTGATGGCCAGGAGAAGAAAAGGGAAGATGTGGGATATGTGGGGGCCCGGTCCATTCCCCTGAAGGATCATCATAAATCAAAAATCAAATAAGGGAGCCAAGAAGATTCGTTCACGGGTCAAGGAGAATTAAAAAAATACAAAAAGATTGACGACAAAGACATGATTCGAACATGTGCGGCCGAAGCCATGTGATTTCTAGTCACACCCATTAACCACTCTGGCACTTTGCCCTATTCGGCGAGTGAGTACAGCCGCTCTTATCCAGCCTTATTCGGGCTTGGAATCCGCTCTGCGGTGGAGGATCCCGCAGCGAGAACGATTGTGCTCCTAACTCGATCGGGAGGGTGGCATAAATCAATCAGAGGCCGAGATCAACGTGCGGGGCACCCGGAGTGGAGAAGCCAACCAAATTTCTGGAACAGAACACCTTTCCTTTTGGAGAAGGCGGCCTTTGCATTAACACCAAGATGAGCTGTGCTTTTTGTCAGAAGTCTAACTCTGAAAAGTCAGCGTTTACAAGCTTAGACGTCTAGAGGCATGGGATATGACGAGAGGAGAGAGCCTCTGGATCAGTGTGTGGAGCGAGTCACTAGTTCTTCTACGATATAAGACATCTCGACCGTGACATCACATCTATTGATCCTCGTTGCCTCGTCCTAATGACGGAAATGCTATCATGCAGTCGTTTACTCATTCCATACATCTCCCAAGAGCAAGAGACAGGACCCAAAAATCCCATTCTCCTAGTTCCAGGGCTCTGTAGCTCTGCTTTCGTGTCCATATTGGCGCACGAAATATATAATCCTTATCCCGGCGCACACTCTTACATGTTCCCGACGCAACCACCGCGGGCTGCGTCTCACTTCTTCCCGTTACCCGCTTAATCCTTTCCCTTTCCCCACCGTCTAAAAGTCGTCGGCGCCCAAGATCTGGCGGACCTCCACGGCAGCTCCGTCCTTCAAAGGAGCCTTGCTGGCCCAGTCGAGGGCCTCCTGGAGGTCGTTGGTCTGGATGATCCAGTAGCCCGAAATAACGCTGTCGGTGGGAAAAGGACCCTGAGTGGTGGCCGGCTTGCCGCCAGCGAAGCTGACGCGGGCGCCCTGGGAAGAGGGATACAGAGCGTTACCGGAGAGGAGGATACCGGCATCGACGAGGCTCTTGTTGAAGGTCATCATGAGCGTCATGCGCTCCTGGGTGGGGGAGTGCCGGACTCGGTGTCCTGGTTGGAGCGGACCTGGAGCATGAACTTGGGCATGGTGGCGGTTGTATTGTTGAGGGAATGACTTTTTAAAAGTAATTCGTGAAGACTTGGTCAACAGGTCTTGGCTTTGTAGGGTTGGAGAAGGTGGAAAATTGTTGGTGCGGGAGATGGATGGAAATCTTAAGATCTCGCTTCTGGCGGGCAAGCTGTGAGGTTAAATACCCTCCAAGGAAACGGAAAAAACCATAGATGTACTGCAACCTATTGATATAGACATTCACCTATAAAATGGATGTATCAATGGGAACGGACCCCGTGCAATGGTCCCAAGGGGTAACTAAAAATGGCCTTTTCTTGATCACATAAACACCAAGAGTTATCAATTTCTGACAGCGCCAACGTGTTACCCGAACATTATGCCGGACGCCATTGTGCGAGAGAAAAACAAATAATAGCCGTTTCGCCTGGATAGATTTTCACCAGACTTTAACGGAAGAGACGGGCTCCTCCTACATCTATTCTTAATGGATCTCATTATATAGCCCCGATCCACCCCTCCAGCCCACTCTGATATGTGGCCGGAGACACCCATCCTTCTCCCTCTCCCCTTTTACTGCGGGTGTGGATTCATGGGCTCATGCGGGGTAAAACCCCTCTCTGCCTTGGAAAGAATGACTTCCCGGGCTTCTCCAAGCGCCTTGGCTTGGGAGGAAGAGTATAGGCGGACATAGATGTCTCAAGCTGAAGCGATGAGCGTGGTGTATCACCCACGCCTTGGAGATGCATCTCCCATTCCCCCTCTGCTGTCGGGAGATGTTGTGTCTCTCCATCTCCCGGCATGTTTCTCTTTCCAGTGTTTTTTGCTCTATTTCGGGCCCTTTCCCCGTCTATTTTCGGTCTCTGTGCCAATTCTCAAGCCTTTGGTTCGCCGGCTTTAGCCGAATGGTTACGCGTCACAATACTGACGTACGTCGCACTATGAGCCCTATAATATCCCTCTTCCAGTATTGGCACATTGCCATGCGTAGATTAGGCGGCGGGGGTGCGGAAAAAACAAGAAGAAAAAGAAGACAGCTGTCAAACAAAGGAAGCGGACAAGAGGACGGCAAGACGAAACGGGAGCTCACTTGCGAGCGAGTCGCGCCCGCTGGGACATTTGATCGACCGAACTACAACTAATTCAGTCGGTTTCCAGTTTGGTCCAGTCTCCCCTCCACCATTGGCCCCGAGGTTTTGGGGTTTGTCCCCCAATCCTGAAACTTGGCATGCTGGCGGACCCCAAAAGACAATTATGTTACGCGTCGATCGGGGACCCTGGTTGCAGGTGAGCTTGTTATGATCTTCACGAATTCTTATAGAGAAGCCCAAGTAGTTAAATGCCCCTCTAATTCCTTACCCGTCGACCCGGGGACTGGCATATTGATATTGCTCGCCTTAACCTTAACAGCTTGTTGAATGAAACGACTCGTATGTAGTTGACGACCCATTGCCACGGAAACGGCACCGATGGGGGAAATGCGGCGCCAGGATATAGCTCAAGAGGTGCCTCATTATTATCCTCCAGACAGGCGTGAGGGCCATGCGTACGTCTTGTAGACTAATGTGAGTGTAGATGTTCTAAGAACTGTGTTTGTGGTGAGTGAGAAAACTATTTTTACACATTCCCTCCAATACCGCACCAAGCTTCTATACCTTACCTTCCTCCCAACACTTCCGCTGTCTTCTCTATAGATCTAGAGATGTATAGGTTCTACGCTGTTTCGCCGCACCCCTCCTAGGCCTCTCCTTCTTCAATCTATCCCATGAGTGTTTCTCATGAATCGCACCCTCTATAGGTTCGTCTAATGGAGATCCTAGGCCCAATTTCCCCTTCTAGGAATTAACGAGGTTCTGTGATTCCCCCACCACCCGACCCGTCCACTTTCTTCTCCTTGCCATTTTCTATATCTGAGGGCCCTGCACCGATCACGTCTTCGTCGTCACCCGCGTACGCGTACTTGCTCCACTCTCGAATTTTGGCGCCGTACCGGAAGAAAGCAAACGGGATAGCACAGCACGCGAGGCTGATGAAGGCAACGAGGGACGAAGCCCACTGATACCCCAGCCTGTCATACATCTGCACGGTAAACAAAATCACCCCGGCGCCCCAAAAGGCACGCAGGCACACTTTGGCCGCTAAGGCGCTGGCCGCTTGGTGCTGGTAGCAGTCGACGAGGTAGTTGTTGGTGGCGTTATACATGAAGATGAACCCGAACCCGATGGGGAGGCCGCCGAGGGCGGGGCCGGCCCAGGAAAGACGGGGGTACGAAGTCCAGGCGAATATGAATAGGCCTAAGGGCATGAGCCAGCAGCTTGCCATCATGGGGTAGAGGCGGGCTTCGGCGGGTGGACGGCCGCCGTACTTGCTCTTGCCGATGGAAACATAATGTTTGTTGACCAGCGGGGCGCAAAGACCGGAGGCTAGAACCTGCGGGACAACTAGAGTCAATAGGGAGCATGTGAGAAGATCATGAGTATATGGAAAGGGAATAACGAACCCCAACTGCCAGCGGAATGAACATGAGACCAGTCTTCGATGCCGAGTACCCCTTGCCCTTTTGGTAGATGATGGGGAAAGCGACGAAGAACATGTACAGCACTCCGTACAAGATAGACATGTAGAGGCTGAAGAGGAACACGATGAGCTCGGTAAAGAGCAGCTGGAAGGGGCGCACGAGGAAGATGGCCAAGCGCTCCCGTAGCGGCCGCATGTCGAGGTCGTGTTCGGTAACGTATGACTTACCCGTAGCCTTGCGCAGCTTACGCGCGCGGCGGGCGAGGATGGTGGGCGTGTAGGTCTCGGGTACCGTGAAGGTGATGAGGATCCACATTATGCCCGCGACGATGATCTGAATCCAATACAGCCATCGCCAGTTGGTTGCGTCGGCAAGGAAGCCGCCGATCAAGGGTCCGACTGTGTATTACCTCTTGTCCATTAGTTTGTGTTTTGCTTTTGGCCAGGAACAGCTAAGCTCGGCGATCTTGATATAGTCTCTCCAAGGCAAGAGCGGGTCTCCACTTACACGCTGGGCCCATAAACGGAGCCGCTGAAAACGCGGACATGGGAACGCCTCGCTCCTCGTTGCGCCACATGTCCGCTAGAGTGCCTCCCACCAACGTCATCGGAGCGGAGAACATGACTCCGCCAATGAAGCGACAGATGAGCAGGGTTTCGATGTTTTGAGCTACCGCACAAGGAATGATAAAGATGACTGCTAGAAAGAGGGTGGATGCGCTGTTGGGATGAGTGTTAGCCTCCACATTGTACTATCGTGAGACTCAATAGTGAAGGCTTGGGGATGGGGATCGAAGCGTACTAGATGATTCGTCGGCCGTAAATTTCAGATAGCGGGGCAAACGCCATTGGGCCTTGGGTTTCACCTTGTTAGTTCCCTGTACGAAAGGCACGATGTATGTATATAATTTCGTTTCACCTACCTACACCCAGGCCAACGACAAACAACGACATTGTGGCCAAGGCCAAACCTTCACTCACGTCGAACTCCTCCATGACTCCCGTCATATCGGCCGAGACGTTGCTCGAAGCAAACGTCACCACGAAGCACGTCACAGCAACCACCATGGTGCAGTACCACTTGCGCGCCTTGGACCAGTTCTTGGGATTCTCCGGGTCCCCGGCGTAAACGTCGTCAGCTGATAATGCTGCTCGTCGCCTCCCCTCGGCGGGCGGGATAACGGGTCCTTCGATAGCGCCGGCTTCCGTCTCGGTGCGGTACTCGGTCATGTCGGCGTTGTTGCTGAGGGTGCGGTAGGGCAGGTTGATATCGAGGTCCGGGTCGACGCTCTCCCGTCTCGATCCGGAGGCTGACTTGGCCCGGCTGCGGGACGAGCTAAAGGAGTGGGACCGGCGATGTGGCCCGTTGTCGTGCCCAGTGGGCGCAGCGGTGACGGGGGCATATTGTGGCTTTTCGAGACCTGTGGAGTCGGAGTCCCGGTCGCTTCGCCGGTCCATGTCCGGAGCTGCCCCGAGGGTGCGGTCGCTGGCGGCGCGCTCGGCGCTGAGACGGGTCGAAGGAAACGCCATGGTGTACCGCAAGAGTTGGGGTTGTGCGAGTATTTCTGGTACGAAGGACTTCTTACATCGAATACATCGGTGCTTACGGGCTTTGGGAAGCCGGGTGATATATACTACAATTCCCAAATCATTTCATGGGGGATTTTAAACGTTGGCCTGATTCCCTAGCCATTCAACTTCCGGGAATGGTCCAAGCCTTTGCAGGGGAGCTGGTTCGGGTGGTCGGGAGGAAGGGGTGGCGACACGGCGTCCACTCCTGTACACGAAACGATAAATCAATCTCGGCGACATCTCGAGTGGACATTCCTTGTTCGCCAGGTACCTAGACAGCACCCGTGCTCGCCTTACGAGATGCCGAATAGCGACGGCGGAGAGGAGCCCCGCGGTCCTCGGAGATGCTCTTCGCGGAAGGGCAATATTGGCGCTGGTTGGTTGAGAGTTATCGCCCATAAGATGACGTTTCTCGGGCTGTCAGCTTTTCACTTCTTCTTGTTTGCCCACTCCGGTGTTGCACGGGGTTCCGCGGGCCAGGGAAATGTGCACGGATCTTTAAAAAACAAACGCGTGTTATCCCGGGTTCATCATGTTATCGACGGCCGCAATTCCTCTCCTGACCTCGTTTCCTGCCTTCTAGAGGTTCATTTTGCCTTATGTTCTCTGATATTAAGCGCGGCCCATATTGCGATCCATTTTACGTTTTAAAAGTTGCATTCAACCTGAGGAACAGAACGAGGGAGGGCACACGATCCCGGCATCTAGGTCTACACACACACACACACACATACATATTCCCAGCGTACGTCCACACCAGATTCGCGCACGGGAGGCGAATTGCGTACCAGCTTCCTGGTATTCGCATGCCGTGTCACCACCATCCACACATCGTGGGAAGCTCCCGCGGCGACCATTACGGAAGTGAGACGACTTGCTTAGCGTACGAGGTGGTGTGTAGCCCCCACCACAGGTGTACCGGCAAGCAAGCTGCGGCTCACACCGTCTGGATATTGTGGTTGCTTACCGAACGACGAACCACAGGTTGAGGTTGAAATAGAAAAAGAAAAGTGGCTCTTCTCCAAGTTTAATTCTCCATGATCCACTTTTGAAAGACAAACTGCAACGAAAACCAGAGAGTGTGTTGAGAGAGTACTGCGCCGTCCGTTGTCGCTCCGGAGGTCCGGGGATAATTCGGGATTCGGACCACAGCCCGCATTTTTGGAGGGTCGGGGTCTAGCCGAGCCCGCTGTAATAGTTGCATTGCTCGATGCAGTCGAAGTCTCCTCTCCTAGCAACGGGGTCTTGGACAATAATTGTTGGTGATTGAGACCAGAATGGAATCCAGAAGTGATCAGGTAAGGGGGCCGTAGTAGGCCTGAAGCTCAACCCCTGTAATGAGAGTTTGGGAGACTGAGCGCGACTCGGATTATTTCTCGCAGCTCTCAACCCTCCTTCCGCTCGAATCTCCAACTGGCTGGAGCAGACAGTCGCGATAGTGGAAGCTTTGCTTCTCACTCTATATTATCTCACCCGCTATATCTTTACTGACATATATGACATAGGTAGGGCTGAATAGATTGGTGAATCCTCCTAACACTGAGTTTCTGTAGTCCCGAATCGAGGAGGTTTGATATCCACCTGGGCACTATCTTCTTTCAGTAATTGCGTAGCTGTAATAACCGAACGAAAAGGTCGAAAATTGGGATCGTATCTTATACAGCTGACCTATAAAGTAGGCCCTGATTCGCTATCGTCCGTTTCCCACCCGCTTTCCGAGGCATCGCTAGACGTGTCCTCCTGATCAATGCAGTTATGATCCATGTCAGATCCATCGCTTTCGCTATCGCTACTAAGTTGATCTTCGTACTCAGAGTCCCAGCTCAAACTGGAGCATACTTCAGACTCCCAGTCATGCTCTTCATAATCACCCATCTCACATTCATCTTCATCTTCAGAAGTTGAAACCCAGTCGCTCGAGTCATCCATCTCCTGCCCCAGCGAATGGCGAGCACAACGGCATTTTCGGCTGTTAAAGTAGGGGCACAGGTGCTCATTACCTTCCCACAGTGCCTCAAAATCCGCTCTTCGATACCGTTTGGTGTACCGCGCTCGCCTACAGTATGCACCACCGAATTCGGAGATGTCGTAGCCACACATTGTTAGAGCATAGTCCCAAAGGTCTCCGCGCAAACTCCCATCATCGTCCCATAAACCGGAGTCTCCGTGTTTGGGATGATATGCTTTGTGAGAAACCGAATGCCCCAAATAGTCTATCCCGTGAATATCTGCGCCGTGTTGAATCAAAGTGATGATCCCGTTGGCTAGCGATCGAACTCGGCTCGCTCCAATCCAACGTGGGTTGCTCGTAAATTCGCCAAGGTGCACATTGCCGTTGAAGCAATTTTGTAGAGGTGTGCGACCGTCCTCATCGCTATCGTGAATGTCGAAACCTCGGTCGAGAAGGACTTGAATTCCTTCCTCGCTCCAACACCCATGTCTACAATGCTGTAACATAAGATTATGTTCCTTCGAACTATTAATATTCATGGAGCCATCACCGTGGTCTATTACAACCCTCATCACCTCCTAAACTGATTTTAGCCAAAGTGCCCCTGCCCCACTTTATTTCACGACTTACAACAATTCCACTCCGCATAAAGAGTTCCAAAGTTGTCATGGGCTTAACGCTACCTGTCCGATGAACCACTTTCATGGAAGATTCGCAGCCGGCGTCCAGGATAAGTTTATAACAAGATAGGCTTGCCTTAAACATCACTATGCTTCCATTTCCTCTGTCGTGAGTTCGGCAGTTATGGAGTGGCCAAAGGGCATTAGTTAAGAAGCTAGTGAAGGTTTTAGGTTAATACATATTTTATCAGTAGGAACTGGAGAAGTGAGCTCATGCTTCTTATTGTGCCTCCATACCCTTCATAGTTAGTAGCAACGTAGTTGACGTCTACGCCGGATTCTATCAGGAATTGACACATAGTAGGTTGATTCATAGAATACTTTTGGCTTTAGTTATATATAATTCTAGTCGGATAGCTTGCAAATAGGGCCTGCTACTCACAAAGAGGAGTGTGTTCCCGCACTCGTCCATGTCCCTGAGCGACGCTTTCCCGCTCTGTAGAAGCTGTCGAAGCTCCGACAGGCGACCTTCGCTAACGATCCGAAAAACGGGAGAACCGTCTGGGATGATATTATACATGGAAATTCGGGGTATAGCTGAGAATACACCGTTCACCCCGTAATTGTGAGTGGCAGAGACCTTTAGTGCTTTCTGTACCTGATGTCTGGACGTGGGTAAGAAGGATATAGATGTTGTAATCCCACTGGACTGAAAATCCGGAAATCCTTGCCCGGACGAGAATTCTTTCCGAGTTATCAACAAGTGGCCGATTCCAAAGTCGAATATCCAAATCCTCCAATGACTCGAACAGTGTGACCCGAGTGACTCTTCACTACGTTAGTTTGGTATACATGAACCTTGGTTGCATGATGTGAAGGAACGAGAAGGTGTTTTGACTCGGACTCACCGACTTCATTTAAAATAATCTTTTGTGTTGATAAGAACATGCTGTAGACTGATCTTAAGGTCGAGCGGAGCTGATTCTTGCATGTGAGGCGATCTTTGTTACACATATACTGACTGGCTTGATCCAACCCCATGGCATAATCCAAGAACCTGTCCGAACACATAATTCCAAAAATCGACAACAATCTCTCAAGCATTGCATCACCTCCACCTATAGGAGCTCTGTCTTGGCTATCAGTGGCGAGGTTGCATAGCCTGACTAGATCTTCTTCAAGCAAAGTGTACATAGACTTCTCGGCTCGGCTTCGTTTTTCATTCTGGGAACAATGATTCGCATCGGCAGTCTCTGTTTTCGCTCCAGCTGACCCAGCTGATAGGCCCATGGCAAGGCGGAGGATCTGGTGGACCATATCGCGCGTCTCGTCGTTCGTAGTTAGTCTTGCCGCGGTGAGAGTTGTTATCGTCTGTTGAACAGTATCGACGCCATTTCCAATGCGAGAGACCTCAGTTAGGAGTTCTCCGATGGTTGCTTTCTGATTTATTAAAGCCGCTAGACTCTCGGCCCCATCTGTTCGCTGCGCAAGGACTGCCTGCTTTATTTCGTTGAGTTGGTCTGGCATGGCGAAAACGGCATCACTAACCAATGGCTTCTGTAAGCACGCAATTCAATACTTGTAGGGCCTGCAGACGACATACCTCGACATCACATTGAGTTGCAGATTAATCGCCGCTACGTGACCTGAAGTTACCGCGCACATTGTAGCAAGAGCCTTCTCGCTGAAGACCATCCTCACCTTCTTCCAGTATTTCCCGCGCCGACGCTCAGAGTCGCTCAGGGAGATCCTGTCAATCTTGGAGGCGAATCCCTCGAGATCTTCGACACACATGAGAAGGCGTCGCTCGAGGACCGCTTTGCCGTCTTGACCCAACGCGCGACGTCTTGCTAAATCTTCCAGTATCGGAACCAGCCCCCAGACGCTATCCGAGGCACGCTTGACATTTTCTGGGCCGTCCTTGATACCAGAGAGTATGGCGTGGAGGGCTCTTGCTGCGTGGATGCCCACGCCAAGGAATGCGACGGCGCTCGCTCCGAGACTGACTGGATCCATCTCGGGAGGTTCAAACGCGAGTGGGGTTCTTGGACTAGCTCGCTAGCTGGGTAAGTGAGAGGAGGGAAAATGAAGATATTCCCCGCCCCTCAGGTTTTTAAATCAAGGGCACAGCCAAAAATGGGGCTTCTTGAGGCTGGAACGGGGCTTCTGATTGTCGAGCGTGTTGGTTACACAGCATCAGAGATGCATGCCGGCTATAGCGAGCGAATCAATCACCGAGTAGGTTTAGGCTTCCATTGTGTGTATGGCCGTTACCAACCAAGGGCTCAAGGTAGCATGAACTTACTTGGCACTCTCCTTCTAATTTCGACGCTCTGGGGACCTACATAGTAACGATGATAGCCTGGTGGCGTAAGATATTGTCCTTCTTACTGAAGCGTGGTGATGACATAATGTCGATGAGGGCGTGAGAACGCTATCTACATTCCATGGATGTATCAAATGGAGGTCGTACTACCAAGCCAACATCGAGTCTTTGGGCCGCAGTACATCGATACCCGACACCCTAACCGCTAGCCTAGCCATAGCCCATCGCCATACAATTCAGGAAAGTCAGGCGGATTCGTATTTTGGTTCTGCCAATCATAAGCGAGAATATTGCGTCACATTTTCCTTCAGTTCGTGCACCATTTATTGATGTTGTTCAATCAGCAACCTGGAGATGGAACCCACAGACACTCCGTCACTTGTCAATATAAGATGTTAGGGAAGGGCGGGCCTATCAATGGTGCACAACGTGGCGGTGCACACTATGAGGCAGACTCGATCGTATAGTACTGGTAGGAGTCAGAATCGAATTGCTTCGGTTGGTTAAGAATGTCCACTGGTTAGTATGGTTGTGATTCTGACTGGCGAGGCATTCCCATCGTTTGAGAAGTAGGAACACTTTAGCTAGTAGGGGTATGATAGAAGGCGGAATGAATCAGATCAGTCTGACGCTTGTATAGATGTAGATGTAGATGAAACCAAGGACAGAAAAATGAGCTGCTGCTGTGTGCTGTCTCCATTAGTTACTCCTTTTTCTAGGGAGCGACTTGGAACGCCCTTGGCTAGTATGGGAACCAGAGTCGCCACGGAGCTTCTTTCTAGGCTATTTCAGACTATCGCAACTATCCGCTCTTGTGATCGACTGTAGATATCAACCCAAGTGGACTGGACTCCGGGTCGTAGTGACTCCCCCTGCGCAATAGCACCTATCCTCTCATACACGTTCGGTGCCCTTACGAATCTCAATACCAACGAAATCAAGTATTGCATCACGCCTTCTTGGATCTGACTCATTCGAAGACACAGAACTTGAGCACCGTCCGCGACATGGCCATGCCCAGCATGGCACAGGAGTAATCGGCCATCATTTCTACTCGTATCCCAGTGACTGCAACATGATATAGGTCGGTAGCTTTCCCGCTTCTATGTTGCACTTCCCTCTGCAACGTCCCCTTAACCACCAATCCGCGTGCCTCGATGGTACTAGTCTTGACGCGCCCATATTCGTCTGGTCCATCGGGGACAACTTCGCACTTGCTGATTTGCGTAAAATGCTGAGATGGTAGTTGCTCCTCCTTCTCAAAGTCCTGCTCAGGATCCGCAACAAGAATCTCATCCCAATACGAGATAGGAGAGCTCACGCTCGCCCAGGACCAGGTCGGGGCCATCAAGGGTGCTGGCCGCGGCTCCTTCTGAGGAACGCGGACAACCCACAACAAGTCGTCGTTGATAGAGTTGTCCCACACTCCGGCCAAGTACCGCGACTTTCGTCTCTGCGCCATGTGCCTAGCTAAGCCGCCAATAGCTGGCAGCCGGTCATCGGATTTGGTGATGTGGAGATTCATGTACGAGCAAACCATGGTGCGCCAAAATCGAGCGATGTAATACTCTGCAAAGACGTGCCACTCCATCCCTAGAACGGTGCTCTCGAGGCTTTCCGAGAGCAATAATTTCACCCCATCTGCGGGCAGCTCTCGGAGGAGCCGAGGTACATGATTCCTCCGCACTCGCACTGCATGGCCGACCGACACTCCCAGAACATTTCATATTGGCCAAAGTGTAGAACACGAGCCGATAGTAATCGCTCCTGAAACACCCAGGCTCTGGTTAGAAGGGGGTGATGTGCGACGGGCTGACTTGCGCCAGGCCTCGCGTCACCGAGTCTTGCGTCGAGGTGGTGGTTGACCTTTGGTGAAAGAAGATTCGATATGGCTCCATGCGTGGGAAACTCCCGTCACCTCATAGTCAAAGCGGGTAGTGAATAAGCCCCCGTTGCCGTTTCGGGCGTGGGTGGCCGCCAAGGTAAGATGGGAGTAACTATAAACGGAAGCCATTTTCGCCGCCTCTCTTTTCCAATCATCGACATCTCCCTGGATGATACACAGGAATCTATCCAAAGATAGGCGATGCCCAGTTTCCTCGTCAGCAAAACAGCGTCCCGAAACGTGGGCGATAAAGCCTTCATCGGGATTTCCGATTTCCATTGGGAAATGCTCGACTGGGTGGTTCGGATGATGGTTGAATCACCCCAACAGTGGCTCAGAGTTATGTACTTGGCCCTTCTACCATTCCCTTCCTCGAGCCTTATGATTCCATCCAATAGGCCGACGTCGATGATCCTTGTTGGCAATATTGGGTCTTCTGCCGGCCCGCAGTGAGTCTCATCGGCATGATCCCCTAGGCAATCTTGTATCCAATCCTGAATCTTGGCAACCGCAAGATCAGAACCTGTATCGGCCACCGTTCGGTCATATACTGGCATCGGTGCCCATGAAGGCGGTATCGGACAACCGTCCTCTAGAATGCCATAAAGTTAATATATTTGTTGGCAGGGAACCTAAGATGGACTTCACTTAGAACCGTCTGGGCATACCTGTAACAAATATTTGAATGTCAAAAAGACTTCCGTTCTTGAGTGTAACAGTTATCTCCTTGTCAATGTCATCATCATCTCCGGGTGTATATTGGTAGTAAAACAAAAAGTTGCAATGATCGATTTGTGCCTCATCGATGCCATGGAAGCGAAAGCATCCACGACAACCCCGGACTAGGATATCACACACGTAACACTGCTGTCCACTTTCCTCAAGTTTTCTCCATGCGACCACGGGCAGATGGTGTGGAGTAGTGCGTCGTGGTACGCCGGTCGCCTCCCCTTTTGACGTCCGCAACGGACAAGGTCCCGCAAAGACTCTACAAACCTCGCAACTCATGTCGGCCAGAGCCTAAGCAAGCCCTTTGGAGAAAATCTGTCCACTAGTAAGAAAATGGTAAAATGGGCAAAACATCGGGACTGAACATGGTCCCAAATTGAGAGATTACAGTCACGAAATCGCGAATTACCCCACACTGCTGCGATACGCCGCATCTGTGTTACTGTCGAATCATAGAGGTTTTATGACCTGATATCTCAGGCACCATGAGCATTGGAATAGAGCGGAATATCCATTTGCGAGCATCTAGAGAGCGTGGAGCTTCGTGCGTTTGAGTGGGGGACTCGCTCTGGGTATTGTGTATTTACAGGGTAGCAGACTGAGATCCGCCGGAGGGGCGATGGTCGATGATCCTAAGGCGCACGACAGTGAGATTACTTGCGACTAGAGCTCATGGTAAGCAGGCACGGCGCATGGCGACTAGATAATGGCAGATTTCGTTCCCCACTACCTGGCCGCACCGTTTCGGGTTTGCCTCCTGTCGTATTGGCCTTTTCAAGGTTATTCGACACCTTATTACCTTACAGGTTCCATGCAATTGATTCACCGCAAAAGTCGTGGTTATATTCAGGTTTAACGGTGTCACAAGAGGGGCGTCGTCCAGGGTCAACACCGTTAGACAAACTCTAAGTGTTAGATTCAAGCTACAGTGAGCTCACCATATATGGAATTTTTTTATTCATAGGTGCATTTTTCAAGGATGTAATATTACAACTTAACCAGCTTCTCCTCTACAACTTGGCTCCCTTTTTCCTTCTGGCCTCCTTCTCCTGATCCCTCAACAGCCGCCTAAGAATCTTACCACTAGGGCTCTTGGGAATGGCATCGAGGAACTCAACGCCACCCTTGATCCACTTGTAGTGGGCCTTGTGGTCCTCGACGTGCTTGGTGATGATGGCAGCGAGCTCTTGGTCCGACCGCGAGGTGGCATGGGAGGCCTTGACCACGAAGGCCTTGGGGACCTCACCAGACTTGAGATCGGGGATCTGGATGACGGCCACATCGTCGACGTCCGGATGGGCGAGGATGTGAGCCTCAAGCTCAGCAGGCGCCACCTGGTGACCCTTGACCTTGATGAGCTCCTTGATGCGGTCGACGATGACGATTTGCTCGTTGCCCTGCGGGGACACGGCCACGAGAGCCTCGTCACCTGTGCGGATCCAGCGCCCGTCATCATGGTGGACAAACGTCTCGGCCGAAGCCTTTTCGTTGTTGAGGTATCCCAGCACGACAGCGGGGCCCTGGACAAGCAGTTCTCCGGGCGTCTCGTGGGCCGTGATCTCGCGGCCCTCGGGATCGATGAGCTTGGCCCGAAGACCGGGCAGCAGGGACCCAGAGGCGCGGGGAAAATGTCGTGCTCGCTGGGAGCGGTGACGACGACAGCGGTCTCGGTCATGCCGTAGGCCTGGCCAATGGTCCAGGAGGGGTACATGTCGCGGATCTCCTGAATGGTCTCGGCACCCAGGGGGCAGCGCCGCTAAAGACGAAGCGCACGCTGCTGAGGTCGTACTTGCGGCACACGTCCTTGTTCTGCAGCATGCTGATGATGACGGGGGCACGACGATGAGCTGGTTGACGCGGTACTTTTGGATGGACTCGAGATAGTGCGTGAAGTCGAACTTGGGCAGCACGACGATGCCGTCGCCGCGCCAGGTGCACGTGTGCGCGATGACGACGAGGGCGTAGATGTGGGAGAAGGGGAGGAAGCAGAGCACGTTTTGGGTGTCGACGCCGCGGGATTTGCGGCCGACTGTCTCGTAGGTGGAGTGTTGGATGATGTTGGCGATGATGTTGCGGTGGGAGATCATGACGGCTTTCTGGAAGGAGAGTTAGCGCTCTATTCTGAATATTTTGCTTCTCGCGCGTTCTCTTTCCCCAGCCACGTTTTCCTTCTCTTTTTTTTCTTTTCTTCTTTTCACCAGCCATTTCTCCAGCGAGGTAGAATTGAGGAAGCACTTACAGGAAGACCAGAAGTACCGCTCGAGTAGCACAGGAAAGCCGGCTGGCGCCCGCCCTGCCCCTTGGACCAGCGCAAGGGCTCCAGCTCCGGCAGGCCGCGACCCTCGGCGATGAGCTCCTCGACGGTGGTGAAGCGGCCCTTGTACTGGGCCTCGAGCTCGAACCCGGGGTGTCGAGGATGAAGACGTTGGCCTCGGGGACGCCCGCGCCCTTGGCCGCCTCGAGGGCGGTCTGGAGTAAAGGGGCGCATGTGATGAGGGCCTTGGCGCCGGAAGACGAAAGCTGGTGGCGGAGCTCGTCGGCGGAGTAGACGGCGTTGGCGGGGTCACGATGCCGGAAAGGCGGTGAGCGCCGTAGGCGAGAGTGATGTAATCGATCTGCAGTTCTTCCGTCTCAGCATTGGAAGTCATAGCGATCATATACACGAAAAAAACGAAGATCGCAGCTGTTGACGTACCGTGTTCAGGGCAAAGACACCAATGACCTTATCCCAGGCGGTGCCCTCGTTTGGCGACCAGCCCAGCCTCTTGGCGTAGGCGCGGGCGAGGAACTCGGCGCGCTGGTAGAACTCGGGAGCCTTGTAGGTTCGTCCCGTGAGGCCGCAGGTGAAGGGGTTGCGACTCTTGGAAACGGGACGGCGGCCAAACTCCTCGCGCTGCATGAACTCGCCGACCGTGATGCTGTCGGGAGGATCTATACGTTTGGCATCGACATGTTAGAAAACCACCCCAAAAGAAATTGCGCATTCGACTCCGTTGCGCTGCTCGTCACCTCACTTCGTTCATAGATGTTGGGTTTGTTCGTCAACAGGGGCGGGGATCAATTCGTACCAATGGGGAGCTGGGGCACCCATGATGGCGGCGTGAAGACCATGATGAAATGTGTGAGCGAAAGCGCGTAGCTAGCGGGTATCTAGAGAAAAAAAGCAGTCGAACGATGCGAACGTCGAGATCAGACCACTCTGTCTGTTGTTCCTAGGATATGAGAGAAGAATGAGGCCAGTTTGAAATGGATCAAAACTTGTCTCCGTCCAAAGAGCCTTTCGAAGAAGAGAAACCCCACGTCCAAGAAGAAAAGCAATATCGAGGCACGACGTGCTCAAGTTCCAATGGCTCAGCTGGTTGGTCCAAGCTCCCAACCTCTTTCTCTCGATAATCTAGTCTTCGTTGTGGGGGATCCACCGCCGCGAGATCCTTGGTTGCGACGTCTTGTCCTTGTGCACATGGCTGACACCTCCTTTCCCCGTCGGTGTGAATGGCCCCTTCAAAAGATAAAAAAAAAAAAAAAAAAAAAACCGCCCCGGCATGGGGTCCAACACCGCAAGAGTGTGGGGAAAAACCGCGGCTTCACCCACCGCCCAAACGGGAATGCCGGAACGAAGCTCGCGAAGTCCCCCGACTTTCCACTTGTACGCTAGCGCACGCAATAGCGCGTGGGGATTTATGAAGCCGCCCCGCCTCCTTTTCCCTTGCCGTCATGCGTGAGCAAGGATCTTTTCGGTATCGCTTTTTGAAAGGGGGTGCAGACGACCGGGATTTTTCTTTGATTCCTTTTGTCTTTCTTGGCGAGGCGTCTTGGAGAAGCCGGGGGAGGAAGGGCAAAAGCGAGAGGAGAATAATAGGTGGGAAGCTCGTCATTGGCGATAGCTACCCTCCATTTCTCGCGTGCGGGGATTTGGTGTCGCGAGAGCTCTTGTCTTTCCCTTTTCTGTGCTTTAGCGTGAGGGGAAAACTGGCCCAACGGGCGGGTTTCGGGAGACTGAGAAGAAGAACGTAAGAAAGAAAGGACTCTCACGGCTTCAACTACTTTTTCCATTGTTTGTTCCCATGGCTAGCCGTAAATCCACTCGCAACTCTACATAGTGTCACAACAAAATTGCTTTCTACCCGAGTCTTCCTCGAGTCCCCCTCCTCCCCTCCCTGCCCGCCTCGAGTGTTTGCCTCCCCGTGGAGTCGAAGCCTGGGGTGCATGTGTCAGACGGGGTTAGCGTTGGTTTTGTTTGCATATCTTGGAGATCTCTTAGGTCCGGGGTTGGAGTTAGGGGTATCCTACCCTTCTTGTATTTAACAAATAAACCCTTTCGACGTCATACAATTTTAACTTGTTCGATCTTGTGAAAGCCAGAAGCTGCACTTGGCCTTTGAAATAAAAGATAAATCGATACAAGTCTCTTCTCCCTGCTTCCCTAATTACCGCTCCTTGTTTTTTATACACCATCCTTGTCAATTAGACGATTTCCCTCGATCTCAAGATGGCAGCCCAAGTACCCAAGACCATGTTTGCGTGGAGGAAGCATAGGGGAAACCCTAAGCCGGTGAGTTGGACAAAATTTGGTGCCACGCGAGATGAAGTTTGTTGTCTGATATGTGATGCTAACGTCCGGATGCTTTCGTGCATAGGTCTGGGAGGAGGTCCCTGTTCCTGCGTGCCCTCCCAAGGGCATTCTCTGCAAAATGGTCGCATCAGGTGGTACGTCTTTGCCCAGAGTCCACAACCGCCGTCATGTTTCTTATCAACTAACGCTTTGCTCCATCATCAGTCTGTCGCAGTGACCACTCTCTCCTCACCCTCGAGAAGCAGGCGGACTGGTTCACGGATAAGTGGATCCTGGTGAGTCTCGCTGCTGCGCGGCCGGATATATCCCCACGACCAAGAGCGCGCTAATATATTCCAAAGGGCCACGAGGGATGTGGGAGGATCATCCAGATCGGCGACGATGTTGGCGAGACCAAGTTCAAGGTGGTACGTATAGGCCCTCCCGCCCTCATTTTTCAACTCGGTTGGCTGGGTGCTGACGCCAATTCTTTTTCCCGCCATCTAGGGTGATCTTGTCGCTCTTCACGCCGTCCCCGGCTGCGGTGGGGACGACTGCACCGAGTGCACCCGCGACCTGTCCCAGATTTGCGAGCGAGGCCACCACTCTGGCATCGGCCAGGACGGCTTCTACGCACCTTACGCCACTCTCAACATCCGAGGCGCTGTCCTCGTTCCTGAAGGTACGCCAAGATATCTCGCCCCTAATTTCCGCCTTCATTCCCCTCCTCTTGATATCGCACCACTTTCACTCAGCATCTCCTAACTTTTCTCCGTAGGTGTCACCGCCGCCCAAGCCGCCGTCGCCACCGACGCCGTAAACACAGCCTACCACGCCATCACCAGACGAGGCGAGGTCAAGAAGCACGAAACCGTCTTCCTCTTTGGTCTCGGCGGTCTCGGCTTCAACGCGCTGCAGGTCGTCCTCGATATCGGCGCCCGCATCATCGTCTGCGACGTGCGCCAAGAGTGCCTGGACGAGGCCGCCAAGATTGGCGTGCCCGCGGGCGACATCGTGCCTGTTGGCAAGTCGCCCGTCGAATTCGTCCAGGAGAACGGGCTCAAGATTGACACGGTGCTGGATTTTGTGGGAACGCATCAGACCTTTAACGATGCCGAGGATATTGGTACGTCCTCCCCACTCTTCACAATGGGCCATTGATCATCTAGAAACACGCACAAATTTGCTAACTATGACACAGTGAGGCGAGGTGGGAAGCTTCTCTGCATCGGCAGCTTGAACTCGGAAAATACGATTCACATGAAGACGGGTACGCGCAAGCGATTGAGCTACATCTTTTCCTACGGCGGTCAGGTGGGGGATCTCGAGCACGTCCTCGGCCTCATTGCGAGAAAGGTGATTCAGCCTCAGGTGCAAGAAGGCAAGCTTTCGGACTTCCCCAACATCCTGGAGTCTTTGTGTAATGGTGGCTTCACGGGCCGAATGGCCTTGACTCAGGACGATTAGAGAGAGTTGATGTAAATGTATAAATAAACGGCGTACATACAAATTACCAAACGAAGATCGCTCCCATATTGTGACAAGCACGGCGGTACTTTTTTGTTTCTCTCGCTGGATTTTATGAAGTTCCTCACCATCGGTGATGATGGATCCGTGAGTATTGTGATGTATGTGATGTATGTGATGTATGTGATGTATGTGATGTATGTGATGTATGTGATGTATGTGATGTATGTGATGTATGTGATGTATGTTGGTGTAGACGCCTTTCAATATGTTGTATCAATTTGGTATGAATTTCCAAGTCTATTTCATTTTTAATTCCATCATCGCGTTACAATACAATGGTATAATGCAGTTAAGAGTTTACGCTCGTGCCCTTGGGCATCCCAATACCAACCGCCGCCGTCGTTCCCGCATCCACAGGAAGGATAGCACCCGTGATCCACCTGGCGTGAGGACCAGCCAAGAAGACGACGGCTGTCGCGCAATCCCAGCCTGTGCCCTCAGTACCGAGTAGACTCCTGGCCTTCCTGGCGGCCCTTGCCTCTTCCGTCATTCCCTTTTCGTACATCATGGGCGTGTAGAGCATCTAGCAATCTGTTAGCCTTTATAACGCAGCGAACGCGAGCAACGGCGAGAAGAAAAAGGTGGTTCTACTTACACCGGGGCAAACGCAGTTGACGCGAATACCGTCCTGCGCATGGTGCGCCGCCATAGCCCTCGTCATGTTCACCACGGCACCCTTGGCCGTAGGGTAGAGCAGATGGGGCGTGCCGCCCTTGAGACCAGCGACGCTGCCCATGTTGATAATGCACCCTTTGGACTCGCCCTCGTTGCGCGCCATAACAGGAACCGCGTACTTGGCCATCTGCACCATGCTCGAGACATTGATCTCGAGGCCCTTAGCCCACTTGTCCATGTCCACGTCGACAGCAGTACCGGGCGCGCCACCGATGCCCACGTTGTTGACGAGGATGTCGAGCCGGCCAAAGTTGTCGACGGCCAGCTTCACGGCGGCCTCGCAGTCGGCCGCGGACGTGACGTCGCCCTTGCAGGGGATCGCCTTGCCGCGGTTCGGCTTGCTAGCCACGATCTCCGCCGTCTTGGTCGCCCAGCCCAGGTCCATGTCGAGGCAGATGACGTCGCATCCGTCGTCGGCGAGGAGGATGGAGATGGCGCGGCCGTTGCCGATGCCGTCACCGGCGCATCCGGCGCCCGTGACGATGGCGACTTTGCCCTTGAGGGAGCGGGAGGGGGTCGGAGGAGAGGTGGAGCGACATGGTGTTTTCTTTTGGTTTGGGGAGGTGAGGGGCAAACGGGGATGAATGAGGGGGTAAAACGAGATTTTTGGGGAAGTCTGGAGAGCACGATTAGAATGCTCAAATTATGGAATACGCGATCGTGGTATTTTGGTTCACGCTTAATCGTCGCCTTTTTCTTTTCCTATTTCTTCTTCTGCTCGGTGTCCTATCGCATACACTTCTCCGGATACAGCACAATTGATAAGCTCGGTCATCTAAGAAAAAAGCTACCAAAACTCCAAAGAAAACCACGTCACTCCGGAGGTCGCCCCGGACATCATTTACCGAGGGTACCGGGACCCTGAATCATTGGGCAGGGGGAGCAAAGTGCCTAATGTGACCGCGGCGAGCCTCAAGCCATGCCCCTCCATTGCCCCTCCATCCCCTGGAAATGCGTCGCACTTTAGCGCAAAAGATAGCCGAAGAACAGGGCGGGATGACCGAAGCCGGGGAGGGGACTAAGGGTGCGGGGTCCCAACGAAGCCGGACCCCAGGCGTTCTTCATGCCCCTCCACACCAAAACGAGACAAAGCCTTTCTCGTTCTGGCTGAGCGGGAAAGGACCTCAGTTGAAAAGAAAGACGAGAGATCCCATGAGCAGATATGCCTTGGTTAAGCTTCGCGGAAAGGGCCCCTTGGATTTGAACATTTACTTGTAGTCTGTGCTATTGAACCCGAGCATCGGTTTTGTCTTTCCCCAGACGTTTTGGTTGTTGGATTGGTCAGCCATGGCGCTATAGCGGAGTGAACGGCACAAGGAGCCACGGAATCGGGCTCGTCTGGAGAGCGGGGCAATGACAACCAACCGAGGTTTAGATGTAGGACGAAATTGGCGCGCCCGCTGCATTACCCCGTATTCTACAGCTTCCGACGCAACGCGCGAACGCGAGAGACCATAGTTTGAAGTCAAAGGAGAAGCAGCATAGAGAATCCTTGGTTGCGAGCAGATAGTGTCTCCTCTTATCGATCACGATCTCTATCCCTTCCATTCAGAACAGAAGCCTCGTCTCGTCTCCCTCTCTCCTTCAATTTCGTGATATGAACCTCACCCAACCTCTAAACTAAACTTCGTAACCACAATCTATCTCTCTTTTTACATCATGGCCGACTTTTCCTGCTACGGCGGCGTCAGCGACGAGTGGCTCGCCGTCGAAGCCGCCGCGCCCCGCCTCCCCGCCGACATGCCCATCCTCGAGCGCCGGCAGCTCGTCAACGACGGCCGGGACCAGCTCTCCGCCGAAGCCATGAAGGCCCTCGCCCCCAAGTCACCCTCCAGGACCACGCCATCGCCACCCGCGACGGCCAAACCATCGAGGGCCGCACCTACCGCCCCGCCTCCGTCCCCGCCGACGAGATCCTCCCGCTGTACATCCACTTCCACGGCGGCGGCTACTTCTTCGGCACCCTGGCCTCCGAGGACGCCATCTGCGCGCGCATCGCCCTCGGCGCCCGCGTCATCGTGCTCAACGTCAACTACCGCCACACCCCCGAGTACACGTACCCTACCGCCTGGGACGATGGACAGGACGCCTACGCCTGGGTGCACGCCCACGTCGCCGAGCTGGGAGTCGACCCCGCCAAGGTCGTCGTGGGCGGCATCTCGGCCGGCGCGCACATCACGTCCTCCCTCACCTTGCAGCAGAGCCTCGGCAAGGCCTTAACCTCGTGTCCCCGCCCGCGGGGCAGGTTCTCATGATCCCTTGCGTGGTGAGCATGTACTGCTACGAGCCGCAGCTGCGCAAGATGAAGGACCCGTCCATCTCGTCGTACAAGGAGAACGAGAACGCGCCTATCCTGCCCATGAAGGTGTGCAAGTTCTTCTCCGGCCTTTTGAAGGTGGAGAACCCGCAGGTTGATGACCTCAAACTCAACCCTGGCAACGCCACACCTGATCAGGTCAAGGGGCTGCCTCCTACCGTCTTTGGAATTACGGGTCTGGACCCGTTGAGGGACGAGGGTCTGCTCTACGCCCAGATGCTTACTGAGGCCGGGTAAGGTTTCCTTCCTAGTTTTGCTTGTTCCTGTGTTCCTGTAATGTGAGCTGGTGAGGCTAATCTTTTTGCGCGTGATACAGAGTGCCCACAGACATCAGCGTCTTCAAGGGAGTGCCCCATGGTTTCCGCCGTCACGGCAGCAAGCTGTCCGCGTCGGCTAGGTGGGACAAAGTAATGGAGGAGGGCATCAAGTGGGCCATCGCCAAGCCTACACCGACGTACAAGTTTGATGTAAAGGCCGAGTAGTTTGGTAGACCCATTAAGTAACTTGTCACTTGCAACCCGCCGGCTGGCCGCTGGGGTCTCTCTTCTTCAGTGCTCCTTACGTCTTCTTGACGCTCAAGCACCTTTGCTCCACTATTACGCCTTTGCATGAGCCTGTTTGACAAAGAGTACTGGTGGAAAGCTCCATGACACGAGTCGTTTACTCCCTGTAGTGGGGAAAGGCTGCATCCGGCAGTTCCAAGAGTAGACATAATAGCAGCTGTCGGACAATGGAGCATTTGGCATCATATAAGCTTAAACGAAGTAGTATTCGCCACAGGAAATGGGCGGTCCACTTCGGTAGTCACATCAGAGCGCAGGAGGCTAGGGCTGGTGCGGTTCTGGCCTGGTCTGATAGTGATCTCATTGAGCGCTTCCTATTGGGCGAGGGCTTACTATCTCAGGAGATCTGCCCGGGTGAGCGCCTACGACGAGATGCACATAGGGGCTTCATTGATTCTATATATGTTCATTCAAACGTGATAAGAAGAAGTATGCAACTAGAAGTGCTTTAACAATACAACGATCTCATAATACGAGACACGACCAAAAGCCCGCACTGAGAGAAAAATGAAAAAAAGAGGAAAAACAAAACACCGCCCTTCCCTTGATGCAATTTCATTTTGTGTTAAGTCCTTTACCCCTGCTTCAGCGTAAAGTCAGAGTAATTCCGCGCCGCCACCTCATCACACCTCTTCCTGTAGCCCGGCGCGGGGCCGTTGTACCTAGTCATGGACCTCTTTTGCTTGTGGGCCAGGTTCTTGTTGACACCCGTCATCCACGAGTCCACGTCGTTGGCGAGCAGGCCCTTGCCGCACTCGTGCACGTGCTCGGTCCACATCTCTACGCCGGCGTCGGTGCACTCGAGCGACTGGATGTTGTTGTCGCGGGCGAAGCGCAGGTAGTTGGCCACCCACTCGACAGCGTACTCGATGCTGCGGGGGATGTTGCCAAACATCTGGTGAGGGCCCATGATCATGAACATGTTGGGGAAGTCCTTGACGGTGAGGCCGAGGTAGGTGCGGATGCCCTCGCCCCAGGTATCGCGGAGCTTGGCCCCGCCAACGCCCTCGAAATCAACGGCGTTGAAGGAACCCGTGACGGCGTCGAAGCCGGTAGCGTAGATGAGGATGTCCACCTCGTGGAGCTCGTCCCGGGTCTTGACACCGGTGGCGACGATGCTCTCGATGGGGTCCTCGCGGATGTCGACGAGGCGGACGTTGTCCTGGTTGAAAACCTCATAGTAGCCGCTCTCGAGGGGCACGCGACGAGTACCGAAGCCGTGGGTCTTGGGCACGAGCTTCTCCGCCGTCTTGGGGTCCTTGACGCGGGCGCGAATCTTTTCCGCGTAGAAGGCGCTGTACAAGTCGTTGGCGGCCTTGTCGGTGTAGATGTCGGACGAGATGCTGAGGACCTTGCCGAAGCCGGGGTCTCGTAGAGCTTCTCCCAGCGGGCGAGGCGCTCCTCCTCGGTCATGTCGAAGACGCTGTTGGGGTCGGCGACGTGGACGAAGCACGAGTAGGACTCGAGGCACTGCTTGAAGATGGTGGGGTAGCGCTGGCGGATCTCGGCCATCTCCTCGGGGCTGATCTTGGTGTTGCGCAGGGGCGCGGTCCAGTTGGCGGTGCGCTGGAACACGGTGAGGCTGCCGACGTCGCCGGCGATGGCCTGGATGGTCTGGATGGCGGTGGCGCCGGTGCCGATGATGCCGACGCGCTTGCCCTTGAGGACGGAGTGGTCGGCGGGCCAGCGGGCCGTGTGCCACGCCTGGCCCTGGTAGTCGTGCACGCCGGGGATGTTGGGCAGCGTGAGCTCGTTGAGGATGCCCATGGCCGTGACGAGGTAGCGGCACGTGTAGGTGCGGCCGGAGTGGTCGGTCAGGAGCCACGAGCTGCTGTCCTCGCGCCACTTGGCCGTCTGTATCCTCGTGTCGAACTGCATGTCCTTCTTGAGGTCGAACTTGTCGGTGAGGTACTGGATGTATTTGAGGGTCTCGGGCTGCGGGGAGAAGTGCTCGGTCCAGTTCCACTCGTCGAGGACTTCTTGAGAGAAGGAGAAGATGTACGAGTAGCTCTCGGAGTCGAACCTCGCACCGGGGTAGCGGTTCCTGCGATCCCGTTAGACTCCTTTTGATTTTTCTAAGAAAATGATGGACGGCGGAAAAGAGAAACTTACCAGAACCAGGTGCCACCCTCGCCGGATCCGGCCTCGAGGACCCTGGCGCGGAGGCCAAGCTCCCTCATCCTGTACATGGAAAAGATACCGCTGAGACCAGCGCCGACGATGAGGACATCGTAGTCGAGGCCAGAGTTAGCCGCGGCGAACTTGGAAGCCTGAGAGGTGGCATCACCGTTGGCGCCGTTGGTGTGGCCGTTTACGCCATTGGGGGATCGGTGGAGATCATGATGTGTGGGTGTATGGGAAATAGGGTATCAGTTGAGGGGAAAGGATTAAGAAAAAAACTTTCAGAGATCGTGAGAATAAAGGAGTGGTGATGCACCACAAGACAAGTACGTTCTTAGAGGGGTGAACGGAGGGGGAGGATAGAGAGGCGAATGAGGGAGGTAAAGTGGATTGATGGGAGGACGTGGTCTTGCATAGAAGTTGTGTATCCACGGATGATATATCAAGAGCCAAGCGAGTCCTCTGTCTGGCTATCTCTCCAGGAAAGTCGCCGTTGATGCCGTCTGCCTTCGGTCCAACTCGCTCGTCTGGCAACCTTTGTTTTGCCAGCGCTTGCTTTGCGCTCTTTGATTTCCGCTCCTTGGGGCTACTCTCTTGCCTTTTCGCCTTGGGCTCTATCTACCGTTTTTGCCGATGGGTGGGCTGCCAAGAGGGGAGGGGAAAGGATGGGACAGAGAGAGGGGCACCACGCCATCCCAAGAGGGTTTCTCCCCCATTCCCCCGGGACCAGACCCCCTTCGTCACTGTCTTTTTCCCCGTCTGGAGAGATGCCCAAAAAAAAAAAAAAACCTCCATGGTTGCGGGGGCGTTCGAGAAACCGGGGAAGACGCTAACGACGCCCTAACCTTTCCCCAAACGGATTACCAGGACATAACCGGGAGGTGGTGTGTGAGGGGACGACGAATCCTAAGCATGCTTACTCCAAATTTCGGACCTCCGGGTTATCGGGAGTGGGTCGGACGTCTAACTCGATCGGGGTTGCCGGCGGGGTAGACATGTGGCCATTCCACCCAACAGGACAAGGGTTGTTTTTGAGGAGGGTCTATCCAATCTCAGAAAGAAAAATGCGGGAGTTTTTTGCGACAATGGGGGAAGTGTGGATAATGAAACGATGGGGGACAGAAACCTGGGGTTCGTGAACCAAGCATGCGCGGATCTTGGTCTCGGGAATTGCCAAGTAACCTGGGGAAAGGCGTGTGTTCCTCTCCAGGAGCCCATTGCTTTGACAGGTTTGCCGTACGGCACGCAATGCTCATGCGATGCGTGCCTGGCAATACCCTGTTCGGCTGGTGACCTTCCTTCCCACCCCCACCTCTTCACATTGCAACGGATTTGGATTCCTCGTACCACGCCCCCTTCCTCTTCGAGGCGGTATCCTACGTATCGAGCATTGCCGCCAACAACAAAAAGCCACGCCGGCTTCTAGCCTCAAACTATGTCGGCCACGAGGATGGCATTTCTTTTGGCGTGGAGGCGCCATCCTTATCAGGACCGTGGCTTCCCGCACCTCCCGGCCGATCCGTCGACCATGTTCCGGTGGTACGCGATCAACTTGGGCGGGTGACGGATGTGGGTGATGGGCGAGTCAGTGGAACGGCCAACTTCTAGACTTCTTCTTCCTAACTTTTCGACCCTCTTGCGAGCACGGATGTCTAAACCCTCACTCATTGTTTTTCTTGCCTTGTCGATCGACCCGGCCGGCTGGGTTTGCACGTTTGGAACCAAAGAACGATTGGTGGCTCCCTGTATCACTTCCGTGTCACTTCCGGCTTGTTTAGCGCGTTCATCATAGTCTTCATCAATTCTTCAAAACACCATGTTACTACCGAAAGATACACAAATACAGAACAAAGTCCATGTAATACCCCAAAATCCACTCCCTTTGCCCCACGCCGCCACGATACCCACTCACCCCAGTGCCCCTTTCCAAGTTGAGGCGCCGGGGGAAGATAATAGTCCAGTTTCCCTCAGTTCAACCCCTTGGAAGTCAATAGTGCGCCAGGTCCCGGAAGAAAGCCCACTTCAAGCTCTTCCCCAAGCCCTTGGCCTTCCAGTCATTGATGTTTTCGGGAAAGTGCGCCACCACATCCCGGACGGTGGAGTCGTGCGCGATGATGACGAACACGTTGTCGTTGCAGTCCAGTTCCTGGAGCTTCCCCACCGTCTTGGTCGCCAGCGGGATGTCGCCCCCAAACGTCAAGTCGTACATGGTATCCGTCGGGGCCCGCCCGCGGCTCCTCTGCAGCTCCTCCCACGCGCCGCCGGGACACAGCGACAGCGGCGCCCCTCACCGCCGTGCAGGTGGCACGGGTGCGGCGTGATCGTGTCGGGGACGGGCAGGTGCTTGGAGGGCCGCAGGATGCCCGCGTAGTGGCACACGTCGCCGCCGAGCAGGACAAAAGTGTCGGGCGTCGCGCCCGAACCCTTGGTCGTGCGCGCGAGGCCGCACAGGTGGCCGATGGCGTGGCCGGGGCTGTCGAGCAGGTAAAAGGAGCCGTCGCCAAAGTAGTCAAAGGCGCGGAACTGGCCAATTTGGGAGACGCCAGCGCCATCAAACGTTATCTCGCGCAGGTTGCGGTTGCTATAGTGGTTTCTCGTGTTAGTTGAGATTGGCTAGAACTTTTTGGGGAAAACGAGATCTCGGCGCCCGGGTTCTAGATGCGGGGAAAAGAAGCCGAGAAGGGGAGTGGATGCATGGCAATGTCGCCCTCTGTATGCATTGCATAGCTGGGGACAGCCATCGCCATATGACTGGCTGGTGGGGGGGTGTAAGACCGGGGGTGAATACTGGGCAACTGTGAAGGGAAGGGGGTGGGTAGGAGTGGGTATGGGGAGTAAGATGTGTGTACTCACGCATAATCGCTTTCCTGGATCGGGGAGTTGGGGTTTGCCGGGGCCCCAGGAAGCATGGCACCCTTGAATCCGGGGCCGACCACCAAGTCGGTAGACGTTGGGAACGAGGAAGGATCTCCAATGTGGTCCCAGTGCCAGTGGCTAGACAGATTTGTCACATCATATCGTTAGCTTGATCATGTTGTAACGAGCCAAGACGCGCATCACCGAGGCTCATCAGATGAAATGAGGACGATGGGCCAAGACATCTAATCATACTGGCGAGGGGGACAAGAGAAACCCCACGAGGGGAGGGGATGGAAAGCCAAAAACAAACGATGGGTTCGTTTTCTTGGATTTGGATCTTTTTGAGCTTACCTCCATATAACGGCCTCGATACTCGTTGTGGGAATCCCATTCTCCTCGAGGATGTCCGCTACGTTCTTCGTCACCCTAATATCGTAGCCCGTGCTAGGAAGATAGTCGGTGATGGAAGACGCATATCCCGTGGCGTAGTCCTTGCGGATACCCAAGTCCCACACCAGCTTCCGACCCGAGGGGTGTTCGAGGAGAAAAGAAAAGGACGGGCAGTCCTTGAACTTGTCCAAGCCGGGAACGGGAGGTGCCATGAACCTCTGGAGATTGGAGGGTCCAAAGTTGACGGGGTTGATGACCTTGACCACAATGGTCTCTTGGCCCTCGGGCAGCTGGACGAGGAGTTGGCGTCGGACATTGTGGAGATGTGACAAGTGACTAGATGGAAAAAATGAATAAAAACAAAGTTTAAGCTGGAGGGCGTGAGCGAGTTTCTTGCTGGCTCTATGCTGGGCTGTGTATAGACTTGGCTTTATTACGACCCAGGTGGATATCAACAGGAACGGTGAGGCTGAGAGGTGATGGTTCGCAACCGCGAGTTATCAATGCAAAATTTTAATATATCGGTCCGGGATGGACAGGATAGATCGGCCAATTCCCCGCTTTGCAACCCTCTCCTCTCCCAAAAGAAAGAAAGCGATGCGGAGAAGGACGTCTGTGAGTTTTTGGGCGAGTTGCCAGTATACGCAACGTCAAACGGCTTGGTGCGTTGTAGTTGCTCTGAAGGAGGGGGTGTTATTTTCGCCAGGATGGTTTCTTCTGGGTTCAACTTTGGGGGATAGTTCGCGCACACTAAAACCGGAAACAAGAAGACGTTACAGGGTCTAGATGGAGGAAGAAGAGCCACCACTTTAGTTTTGCTTGGGTTCCTTCTTGTCCTTCGGGGTCAGCACCTCGAAACTAGCGGGTCCACTCTGTATCTTGGAAAAATAGAAGAAAAAGAGGGGAACACGAGCCAGACTTGCCCAGACAGACAGAGAGACACAGAGACTGCGCGCGCAAAAAGACTTGATCCAACAAATTTGTCACTATAGTGCGGAGGAGCGGAGAAAAATGTCTTGACTATAGTCTAGTGCCGTGTGGCTGAAAAAACCTACAGTATTAGTACTTTTGGCACCCCTTCGTACTCGCCGCCTAGGCTGCGATCACTGCTGGGCCTTTGCTTCGCACTGGTCATCTCGGTAACGTTGCCGGTAATTCCAATTTTGGCGATACTCCAGACGCTAGTTCGCCCCCATTCTCCGCCCTCTCCCTTCCCCCAGACAACGAGTGCATGACTGGCCCGGGGAAACGCAACGCAAAGCAGATGATAGGGATACAACACAAATCTGGTTTGGGCACACACAAAGCAGTGAGGGAGATAGACACGCAGGGAGCAACGACAGCCAAGCCCAGGCAAGAGCCAGCGCAACAGTCACACTGCATGCAGTCTTGGTCTTCGCCCCCAATCTTTCCCATCCAAAACCCCCTTTCGGCAACCCAAACCCCACAGAAGACGGCGCACGCGGTATTACCCCAGGTGAAGCATCCCCATGGGGTCCATGGCATCTCCAACTGCATAAAGCTCCAATCCATCCCAGATCATCGTAATCCTTTTTGGAGAGCTCCGTGATCATCACCTTTCATCCATCAAAGACCTTCTTTCTTTTCATCTCTTCTCTCTGAAGTTTCCCTTTACGAGAGAGCAAAAGGATTTCTTTGTTTGGTTCGATCATCTCCCTTTGTCTTCTTTCCCTCAATTTCTCTCTTTTCGCGTGGTCTCGATCGTAGCGAAACCGCACGGCTAGAATGTCGGACTCGGAGAAGAACGCCTCGCTCCAGCAGGCTGAAAACACCGTGGAGAAGCCCACCGCTGCCAACATTGACACGGTCCACCATGATGAGGCTCTCAAGGTCCTCGAGACCTATTCTGGTGACAAGGACTGGTCTCCCGAGGAGGAGAAGAAGTTGTCCCGCAAGATTGATTGGAGGCTCATGCCCGTTCTTTGCATGACCTACGGTCTTCAGTACTACGACAAGGCCATGTTGTCTCAGGCTGTAAGTGTTGAAACCATCTCTCATCATCTCTCACCATCTCTCACATACGTCTTCATCCGATTCCATCTCACCCATCATGGTCTTCACGCTCGCTAACAAGGTGTTTTTTTCCGATAGGCTCTCTTCGGCCTCCGCGAGGATCTCGGCCTCCTCATCGGCGACCGCTACTCGTGGTCCGCCTCCATCTTCTATCTCGGTTTCATCCTCGGTGCCTATCCCATCATGGTCTTTGCCCAGCGCTTCCCCATCGAGCGTGTCGCCTCCTTCACCGTCACCGTCTGGGGCATCACCCTCATCCTCACCACCATCTGCAAGAACTACCAGGGAATCTACGCCCAGCGCTTCATGCTCGGCCTTCTCGAGAGCGGTATCAGCCCCATGTTTATGCTCATCGTCGGTTCCTTCTACAAGAAGAATGAGCAGGCTATGCGTATGGGGTAAGTGAAAGCCATCAATATCTGATGCCCCTGTTTGAAAAAAGCTGCGCTAACTATTTCCGGGCTCCGGCCTGTTTCTCTTCATCCAGTATCTGGTACTGCTGCACGGGTTACGTGTCCATCTTCTCGCCCCTCATCAACTACGCGTTCGGCCTCGTCAACGGCGGCGTCTCCTCGTGGAGGTACATGTACTACTTCGCCGGCGGCCTCACCATCGTCTGGGGTATCGCCCTCTACTTCGTCCTGCCCCCGATCCCGTCCGCGCCAAGGGCTTCACCGAGCGCGAGCGCTACATCATGGTCGCCCGTCTCCGCACCAACAACTCGGGTGTCCGCAACAAGCACTGGAAGGGCGCCCAGATCAAGGAGCTCTGCCTCGACATCAAGTTCTGGGTCGTCTTCTTCATCGCCTTCCTCTCCATGATTGCCAACGGCCCCATCTCCACCTTTGCGCCCCTCATCATCCGCGGCATGGGCTTCAGCGGTCTCAAGTCTCTCCTTCTCTTCATGCCCGCCGGTGCCTACGCCGGTACCCTCCAGCTCATCTTCCCCTTCATCGCCTACAAGTATCCCAACAGCCGTGCTTACCTCGTCATGATTGCCCAGGCCGGAACCACCCTCGCCGCTCTCTTGCTCTGGAAGCTCCCCATGGGCGCCACCGGCGGTCTCCTCTTCGCCATCTACATTCTCCCCACCATCGGTGCTGGTTATGCCGTCCTCATGGGTCTGCAGATTGCCAACACCGCCGGGTACACCAAGAGGTCCATCGCCTCCTCCGGTCTCTACATCGGTTACTGCTTGGGTAACTTTGTTGGCCCCTGGTCTTCAAGCCCGCCGACGCTCCTCGATATGCCCCTGGCTTTATCGTCGTCGTCGTCACCTCTATCGTTGCCGGCATTCTCGCTGGTGTCTACCGTATCCTTTGCGTCATGACCAACAAGAGCCGAGACAAGGCTGGTACCATGGAGGCCTTTGACAACGCCTACGAGGATGACTTGACTGATGTCAAGGTATGTATCCCCTATCCCCATTATCAAAACTACCGCCCCCTTTCGTATAGAACGAAGAGCTAACCTATTGAACTCAACAGAACCCTCAATTCCGTTACACCTTGTAAAATCCCCGTCACTGTGCCCCGTTGCCTTGTTTGACATTTTAGATAGTGGGTTTTTTGACGCGCCGAGAAGGCGTTTCTGCACTGGTTATACCAAATACCCGTTATAGATGTTTTTAGTTGCTCTTTCTTTTTTTCTCTTCGATTGGCTCTTGAGTCTTCGTTCCTGCAGGCTGTGCGAACGGTGTGTGAAGAAGGAATTAATTTAGACTGGTTTATGCGCTCTGGACGCATGGATCCACAGCAGGTAGACAAAACCCCAAATAGACACTAGAGTTGTACCCAATGCGCTGGTCGCCCCTTGATTCATTTTCTGTGATCCTGCCTTGATGTCTGTGAATGCACACAACACGCACGAGACCAGATGCCATGATCGGCCTTCCCGACTGACTCCATGCAGATTCTTTTCTCTTCCTATCCTTCAGTCCTTCATTTTATTACTTGATTGAAAATGTGGGCTATTCTAATGATACTACAATGGCCATGGCCCAAGTGGGGTGGTTTGGGGCGATTTTAGAACGATTTTGGTATGGAGCCTGGACTGTAACACAGCGTGGCCTACACACGATTACACCCCGTAATACCGCAAAGTCTCCAACAAGAGTGGGAACTACTACTAATTCTTCAAGGCTTTTGTTGGCTCGGGTCCCAAAGAAGACAACGATTCCAGTGTCCATAACGGCTAGTCATGAGCTGTTGGCGGCACTTTAGACAGTGGGGAGGGGGCCAACCCAAGCTTGACCAGACCTCTGGACCCCAAGCTAGGCTACGATCCCGTTCCCGTGGTCCAGGTAATATGGGTCATTCCGAGCGGCAGGCAATCGATTCATCCAGTCTGGAATGTTTTTGAATCACCGAGGTTATCTAACAGATCATAGCAATCATCACTGGGGCCTATATCGGACCAAGATTCCATGCGTCCATGCATCGTGTATGTAGTCCACGCAACGTGGGCCTGGACAAGTACGCTCAAATGCGTGCCTCTCACTACATGTAGGTCTAGCAAGCAACGCAAAAGGCGACGAGGAGTCGGAACGAATGGAAATGAAACTAAGAATGGAAAATGAAAAAAAAAAAAAAGAAGAATTTGGGGACGGGCAGATTTCCTATTCCGTTGTGAGAGACACCGAGTAGCTACGACCGCTCGGCGAGATATCTCGCAATGTGCCCAATCATCCCGACCAGACATCATTGAGTTCGACTGGAGCGTGGTCGGACTTGAGCTTGACGGCAGCACTAAAGACGAAAAAGATCAACCAGTCAAGCGAATAGAACCCCAGATAAAAGGTTGCAGACACGCATCTTTAGTGCGGGCCTAAGCAAACTTTGGGAATGATGCGTGGTAGGCTAGGCCTCGAGCATGGTGTAGAGCGATGCAGGCCGCCAGAAGACGAGTCCAGCCAGGACTAAATATCCTCTGAGCTTTCACAAGGTGGGTGAGCGCCGATCACTCTCTACTTGTACCCAGCTCTCGAGGTCCCAACCCCCAGGCGGCCACATCGTTAGCGTCGCGACCGGCGAAGACGGGCGGCTTCTTCGTTGCCTCTTTCCCTCTTTGCCTCTTTTCCTCTTTTCCTCCCTCGCAGTTACCGGGGCACTTGGGCACGAAGCATCTTTTTGTCATGTTGCGCTCTCTCTCATTGGCTGAAAGTGCGCCGGTAGTGCCGGACTAAGCCGGAAGTGAGGTTCCCATTGGATCAACTCCAACAATATTCCCCACACCTTCTCCATCTTTGCAGGCAAGTGCAAGTGAGCAACCCCGCATCCCCACACCTCCACGTGAATGTGAAGAAGGAGCGATGACGATTGCGCACTGTAGAGTGGTCTGTAGGTAACCCAATAGTGCCCAATACCGACGAGGACAGTGGTCAATTGATCCCCTTGGGACGCACTTGCTGTGCCTGCTTGCCGTCTGGGCAGAACCCTCTCCCCGCCCTCGTCCCTTCTCGTCCCTCCGCTTCCGAAAGTCGTTTGTCAGCGCCATCCCGAAGAAAGAGTGGAAAGTGCGGAGGGGCAAAGGGAAGGGACAATGGGCGTTGCTGGATCCATAATAATATCGAAGCTTCCGAAGCTCGTTGTCTGTTCCGAGTAGACCTCCTGATACCCACTGTCCAAGCTTCCTGTTGCATTATTTTTCCTTTTTTCCCTTACATTCCAAAAGTCTGTTTGCAGGGAAGGACCTCGACCATCCCAAGAATCCTTCCAAGGAGGATTCGTACTAGTGCCCCCGGACTTTTGGGTTTCTTAGCATTTCTTATTACATGACACATTTGTTGGGCCCCTTCTAGAGAAAAGAAGAACAGCAGAGCACGAACAAGACGAGCAAGAAAAAGAAGGGGGCAAAAAAGTGGATCGTTTGTCATCTCCCCCAACTCTGCCCCAGTTTCTCCGCAGTCTCCTTCCTTCCCCCAAACTTCCTCGCCGAAAGGGCAAAACAGACAGACACAAACGAGCCAAGAGCACGCGCTGGCATCGCAGAAACCTTTCCGATTTCGATTTCCCGAGTTCCGTGACCGAGATCTCAACCACTGCAACCTGTGCCACATCCCATCCTTTGCAAGCAATCGTGTGGTTTGCCATTACGTTTCTCCCTTTTTGACCCTTGGTGATTCTTGTTCTTTTTTTGTCTCTCTCTTTTCTTCTCGTGCCTGGTTGCTGTTCCCCCACCCGCGCTCCCGGGTGATTGACGCTCTGCCGCTCCAGTCCGCCTTTCACGGGCTCCCCTTGTCGCAATGACAGAGGTAGTGGGAGATTGGCTTCACTTTACCGGCCGCCAGCCGAAGCGGAAGCGCGCAGAGCTCGTGTGCGTCTTCTGCCATTCCAAGAAGATCAAATGCGACCTGCAGGTAAGATCCATCCTCGACCCGCTCTCATACCTTCCTACCTACCTACCTACCTCCCTGCCCTCATCGACATCGTCTTCCCGTCTCCTTGCTTGGCGCTTGCCTCAATCACCTCTCCCTCTTCCCTCCTCTCCGTCATGAGCCGGCCCGCACAAGCTCGCCCATCCCCTCCTCCTCCGTCACCTACCTCGAGTCGCTAACCACCGTTTGACCGCCCTCTCCCCTCGAATGCAGGGTCGCCGATCTCAGGGCCATGACAAGTGCTCCAACTGCGACGGCCCGGACCGCGAATGCCGCCTCCGGCCTTCCAACCGGGGCAAGAGGCGGCACAGCAGCGCGACGTACGACGGCCGCCGCGAAGCGCCCGTGAAGCCCACGTCCCCCATCTCCAGTACGTCCCCGCGCCCGCCCTTCGCTTCCGCTCTCTCCTGGTCCGGGCGTGAAGCGACGGTGGTCCCGCTGTCGGCGGACACGAGGCCGTCCCCTCCGCTCACACACCGTCTCTGCCAGTCCGCGAGAAGAATGGCGTGCTGCCGTCCCCCGACATCACTGTGGTCGACACCGTGGATCCCCCATGATTCCCAAGTCCCACACCATGTCCTCCCCCAACAACGTCAGCGTCGCCGGCTCCGTCCACTCCGCCCCGGCCCAGTCTCTATCCGAAATCTCCCACGCGCGCGTTGGTGCGCCCAACGGCGGCGCTCCGACGGGGACGTCGCCCAACGAGGGCCAGGGCCGCAGCCACCTCGGTGACGTGGACACGGGCTTCCTCCAGGTCTACGAGCCGGAAAACAACCTCTACGCCGACCAGACGGAGCTCGAGGCCACCCTCGAGGCCAAGCGCCGCTTCTCCCACCCCCAGCAGCAGGAGCTCCTCCAGAGCTTTGCCGAGACGTACTGGGAGTACTGCTACGCCTGGTGCCCCGTCCTGGACCGCGATACTTTATCCGAGGACCTCTCCCGCTCCCCGCTCCTGGCCAACGCCCTCGCCTTGGCCGCCAGCCACATCCAGCCGCCGCTGGTGCCTCACGAGGGCCCCGCGACCTACTACAAGCGGGCGCGCAACAGCTTCTACAACGACGAGGAGGTCGACAGCCTCATGATGCTCAAGGCCCTCGCCCTCTTCTACTGGTGGGCGCCCCGCCCGCCGTCCACGGTCCATCGCCACGCGTCTTGGTGGTGGACTTCGGTCATTATCCGCCACGCGCAGCAGATGAACATTCACCGCGAGCCTGGCGCCAACCATCCTCTGAGAGCAAAGTTGAATATTAGTCTCCGAAGGAGAATCTGGTGGACTGCATTTGTAAGGACTTTTCTTTTTTTTTCGCCCCGAATTGGGGAGCTAGTTTGATGAGGTACTTGTTCTGCTTGCTAACATGTATTCGTGCCCGGACAGGCTCGCGAACGCCTCACGGCTCTCTGCCAAAGCAAACCGTGCTGCATCGACCCGGAAGACTGCAGCATCGAGGAGCCCCAGCCCTCCGACTTCCCCAACGACCCCATCTCCCAACACAAGGGCAAAATCTTCATCTACTGGGTCCGCCTATGCGCCATCATCGGCAAGATCGCCAAGGTCCTGTCCCGCACGTCCCACATGGCCGCGCAATCCTTCCCCGTGCACCTGCACCAGGAGCTCGCCGACTGGGTGCACTCCTTACCGCCCGAGCTGCAGCTCCCCATCGGCTCCGCCCGCACCGCGTCCTTTGACCGCGACGTGCACCAGCTCCACCTCCCCTACCTCACCACCGTCATCATCCTGCACCTCCGCCGCTCCGCCGACGACCTGCCCCAGGCCCTGCCGCCCGCCATCCTCGCCGCCTCGTGCATCGCCCGCATCCTCCGCGACATCCTCTCCCGCGGCAATGTCCGCTTCCTCATGGCCATTACTTCGTGGTACAGCGGTACCGCCTTCATCCCCTCCTGCAGGCCTGCCGCATCCCCCAGTTCACCAAGGAGGCCGAAGAGGGCCTTGACGTCCTCTCCCACGCCATGAACCAACTCAGTCCCATGTGGGCGTCGGCCCAGGTCATCGCCAGCGGCTTCGAGCGCCTGAGGAAGATGCGCCCGGAGCCCCCGTCATGGCGGCCGCCACGCCCAACGGCGCGTCCAACGGTTCACCACCCGTGCCTCACGGCGTGGCCGTCACCAACGGCACCGGGGCGGGCCACGGGCTCAGCGTCAACCTCGACGGAGGGGTGCCCGGCCACACGGGTGAGTTTGACTGGACGCTCTTCTTCCCGTTTGTCACGCGCTCGACAAACCGTATCGCCGAGTGTTTGCTCGTGGATAAGGAGGAGGGGAACCCGACGATTGGGCTCCCCTTCCCGAGGACAATTTGTTCCACGAAACCTTGATGCACCAGTACCAAGACCTGCTGGACTTTAGTGTCGAATACCCCTTGATTTCTCCGACATGACGTTTTCCATGTAACCTTTTTTGCATTTTGGCGCCTTCTTTTTTCTATCTCTCTCTCTCTCACTCATTCACATGCTCTCCATCTTTCACTTGAGGGTTTGGCTTGCGCCCCTAGGCAGGTTATGGGAAATATTGTTTTGGGATCGCGTGGTGGTTTTTTCTTTCCGACATAGGAAGTGTCTTGGTCTTGGGTGCTGGGCAACTCTGGGTTTTGTTTTTGGTAGTGGCTGGAAATGGCAAGGGGATTTTTCTTTTCGAGTTTCCTTTTGACCTGGATCATGGTTTGGTTACGGCTTTCATGTTGTTTTAATGAATGGGAAGGATAAGTTAATTTTGGGTATCTTGGGAATTATAATCGTATTCTGTTTCATCAATTGTCTACCCGACGTTCTATTCAATGGTTTATCTTGGACCTTGGACAAAACAAAGAAAAAAAAATCACACCAAGCAAAAGTATCTAGTATCGAGAGTGGTCATGTAGTTAGTGAATTGGGATCGATCAAAAAATCGTCCACTTCAAATGTCGCCTAGCCTCGTTGTCTTTGATGTTGGATCTTTCCAGAATAGGTGATGCCGTGACCGAGAAAAGATAAGCGAAGGATCAGAGGTGGCGCTGGGCTACAGGTATTCACGGCATCGCTTGCCGAGTGCACTCAAGATGAGGAGAAACATGTTGTTATGGTTGAAAAAAGGTTCCAAATGTATTTTAACCTAGAGTGCTACTCTTCATCTACTATTCATATCATAAACAAATGGGGGAAGAAAATAATAATGCAGAACAAAAATGCAGGCGTAGGCGTGAGAGAAAAAAAAATAGGAAGAGACGAAAGATGGGGGTAACTCTAAGAAATGCAACAACACAAGAGGGAATTAATAGTCCATCATGATCCCGAAGAAATGAAAAACGCCGCAAAAAAAAAAGATTCATCTTCTTTTTTTGTTTCCTTTTCGCGTTTTGCTTTGCGTCTTCTATTCCGTCAACACCTCCGCCTTCTCGACGTACCACGAGAGATCGCTAGTGGGATCCATCTCGAACTCGGTGAAGCCGTTGCCCATGAAACGGAAGGAGTTGTCGGTGTTGTACTTGATCTCAAAGTCCTCGCCGCGGATGTCGGTGAGCATGCGGTTGAAGAGGTGGGCAGAGCCGCCGAACAGGGCGGTGACGCGGCCGTCGACGCGGTTCCTCTTGTACCAGGACTTGCAGTTGCCGGTCCAGACGAGGGTCTTGTGGATCTCGTCGCAGTACTTGATGAAGTCGTTGACCTTGTCCTGCTTGGGATGGACGTACTTGATGTCCTCGGTGGCCATCTTCTTGATCCACTTGACAAAGTAGTCGCCGGTCCAGTTGAGGGACTCGACGAGGGAGCCGTGGCCGCCGAGGCAGTTGGGTCCCATCATCATGAAGTAGTTGGGGATGTTGGGCACGGCGACGGAGACATAGGACTCGGGGTCCTCGGCCCAGGCCTTTTGCAGGTCCACGCCGTTGAGGCCGACGATGGGGAAGCGGGGCCTGTGGGAGACGTCGAAGCCGGTGGCGCAGATGACCACGTCGACCTCGTGGTGCTTGCCGTCGGCGGTGACGACGGCGTTCTCGGTGATGCGGACGATGCCGCTATCCGTGAGATGGCAGTTGGGCTTGAGGAAGCACTCGAGGTAGCCCGGGCCGGGGGTGATGCGGCGGCAGCCGAGCTCCCACTTGGGGATGAGCTTCTCGCAGAGGACGGGGTCGTGGTTGAGCTTCTCGGCCATCTGGGCCGAGGCCATCTTGATACCCTCGTCGTTGTTCTGGCCCTTGACGAAGATGTAAAACGACTTGTTGGTCTTGGAGATGATGCCCTTACGGTGCTGGAGGTGGTACTCGGGGTCGCGGAAGCGCTTGCGCTCCTCGTCCGTGTACTTGGGGTTGGGGTCCGGGTCGTCGCGGCCCAGGTGCTTGGACGGGGGCGCGCGGTAGTAGACCCACGAGGGCCCGCGGATGAAGTTGGTCACGTCGGTGCCGGGGAGGTCGACCATTTGCGGGACAATTTGGATCCCCGAGGACCCGTTGCCGATGACGGCGATCCTCTTGTTGGAGTAGTCGTAGCCGTGGTCCCAGGCGGCGGAGTGGGTGACGTGGCCCTTGAAGTCGCGGAGGCCGGGGATATCGGGCCAGTTCTCGTGGACGAGGACGCCCTGGGAGGAGATGAGCACGTGGCAGTACTCGTCGCGCTGCTGGCCGTCCTTCTCGACGGTGATCTTCCACTGGCCAATGTCGTCCTGCCACCAGGCGCCGACGACCCTGGTGCTGAGCTGGAGGTCGCGGTCGAGGGACCACTTCTTGACCGTGTGCCTAATGTAGTCGAGGATGTCGCCGCCGCTGGCGTAGAACCTCTGCCAATCCGGGTTGGGGTCAAAGGGAAAGCGTAGATGTGGGCGGGCACGTCGCACTGCACGCCGGGGTAGTTGTTGGCGAGCCAGGTGCCGCCGACGTCGGCGCGGGCCTCGAATATCGTGTGCTCGACGATATCCCGCATCTCGGGAAACCGGTGCTGGAACTTGTGGGCGACGAGCAGGCCCGAGAAGCCGGCGCCGATGGTGACGACCTTGATCTTGCGGGAGGCGTAGGCGAACTCGGGGTTGAGCTGGAAGGCGTCGGCGACGCCGTTGGCCTTGCTGGCGGCCGCGGCGGCGGTGGCGGCGGCGCGCATGCGCTCGAGGCCGTTGGCGACTTCGGGGAGCTCGGGGGCGGGCATCCGCGAGATGTCGTTGCCGTTGGGGAGAGGCGTGGGCTTGTCCAGCACCGGGGTGGCGAGGGGGCGGTCATGGTGGCTGGTGTGTGTGGGAAGAAGCGATGCTTCTTTCTTTCTCTACTCTATGGTTTTAAGATGAGGAGAAAAAAAGAGAGCAAGGGGGAGGTGAGGGGAGAGAGAAGGTATCGTCGAGATGAGAGGGGGAGACGAGATGGTATAAAAGGAAAAAAGGAGGGAGGCGGTGGGGAGGGTGATTTATTGGAGGAGAAGGAGGAAGAGGAGGAAAGGAGGGCAAAAAGATGCAAGGCTGACGGTGTGGAAGAAGAGGAGGAAGAGATGAGGATGATGATGAGAGTAACGAATTCTTGAACACTCTCAGTCTCAAATATTAATAACTGAGAAGGGGTGTAAGTTGCAACATAGGTCCCGGCATTTTGAAATGTGCACCAAAGGGCCTCCCCCAATCGAAAGAATAGGCTTGCGGAAAATTATTCGAGATGCTTTGCCCCAGAGGCTTCTTTCCCACCCCGGCAATACACAAGAGCAGTGGTGGGGGCGAGATACCAAGCGGCGGCCATTTGGCCCTTAGCCTAACTTCCAATGCCGGAAGAGGGTCTGCCCCAATCCTGCTCTCTTGTCTCTCCTTGTTTCCTTGTCTAGCTGCCCACGCGCTGCCGCGGTGCGCGTGTGTGTTGTGTGTGTGGGTAGCTCGTTGCGGCTGTGCCTCTTTCTGGCTGCTTGCTATCCACTCGCTATCTGTCTTGAGCTTCAGCGAAACCCCATAATCCAAAAAGAAGAAGCACCCAAAACAATGAAAAAATGGAGCCGTCCCCATGTGTCCCGGTTGCCACTTGCCCAGTCTCCCCCTTTAGTGCCTACCGACTTCTCGATCGGCAGACGGTAACCTCCGTGGGTTCATGGGAAGAGCGGAGATAATCTCCCGAGAACAGAAGCCGGGGTCCCGAATCGAGCCAGGCGAACTTTGTCGTGCTCTTCCTATTCCATTCTCTCAACTAAAGCTAGGGGAGCTGGGGCCTAGACAAAAGTTGCCACGGAACAAGAGCCCAAAAACGAACAAAAATGGGAGGGGGAACCAAAGCTGGGATGCTTGCATGGAGAATCGAATCCATTGATCCACATCGGCATTCTCAATTGGGGTTTACCGGAGATGCATTCTTGGGGGTGTGGGTCCGGGTGGGTCCCATGGCGCTGGGTCCTGGTACAAGGTACAAGAGTTACCCCAAGTCGTGTATCCCCCCCTTTTGGTCTTTTTGGGGAGGAGACCGGGCAAACTTGCAGAGCCGACTTATCACTCGAGCTCCCCGACCTTTTCCCTCCTTGCACCAGCGCAACTTCGCAGAAAGAGGAAAGAGGCACACGTTGACTTTCTCGTCCCATCACCGAGGTTAGAAGTGGTGGATTAGCAATCCGGCTCGCCGGCCGCCGTGCGTGCCTGGTTTTCCCTTCTTGACAGGCTTCTTTCTTTTCTGCCCCTCCTTCCTCTGTGCTTTCTTCCCCCTCCATCTTCGATATGCGGGGTACACTAATACTCGGTTTGCACTGTAGCCGAGCGCAAAGCACGATGACGAGTGCGGGGGAAAAGAAAAAGGACTGTAGCAAGCAAAAGCCATAACTCCATCCAACCACACACACTTTGCATCCAACCGCCGTCCTGCATCCCTGATCCAGACTTCCCGGATTCTGGACATTTTTGCATTGCCGGTCGTAATAAAAACCGATGATGAGAACTGTATTGTGCCAGAATTTCCAATATCGTACAATTCTTCTTCCCTAATCATACCATCCTCCTCTCCCTCTTCCAATCCTGCCCTCTTGACCGTCTCCCCCACCCTTGTCAACCCCCTCCCCACCTACCATCTCCGTATCGTGTCCTCCCATATTGGACCCTATCTCGTCATCAGTTGAAAGTTATTCCCGACAACCAACCCCTCCTATCTTTCCCCCTCCCCTCCAAAATGTCTCTTCCCCGCTATCAGTACACCGGTCCCGTCGACCACACCGTGGTCCCGGACCGCGAGAAGATCAGGGGCAAGTCCGTCATCATCACCGGCGGCGCCAACGGCATGGGCGAGGTATGCGTGCGCGACTTCGCCGCGGCCGGCGCCTTTGTCACTTTCGCCGACTTGAACGAGGAGCGCGGCAAGGCCATCGAGGCGGAGCTCAACGCCAACGGCGTCTGCTCCGTCTTCGTCAAGTGCGACATCCGCGACTGGGACCAGCAGATCGCCATGTTCGAGACGGCCAAGTCCAAGAGCCCGCACAACAGCGTCGACGTAGTCATTGCCAATGCTGGCATCAGCCGTAGCTCTGGTGATAGCCTGTGGAATCTCGATGGTGAGTTGCCGATACACTCTTCATAGAAGTGCCCCAAGCAAGTCATTCGCAGCTCAAGATCGCTAATGTCCTTTCGAAATTCTTTGCCCCTCTGCAGACCCCAACGGCGAGCCCACCAAGCCCAACCTCAACATCGTCAGGGTGAACCTTGACGGCACCTTTACACCTGGAAGCTGGCTGTCCACTACTTCAGGAAGCAAGCCGATACAGAGGACAGGGATCGATGCTTCATCATGACTGGTAGCATGGTCTCCTACATCGACTCTCCCGTAAGTCGCACGCCCCTTTGTTCCCATACAGTTCCAAAAGTAGTGGTATGATGATCAAAACATGCATTGCTAACGCGATCCTCCGGCACCATAGGGAAACTGGGAGTACACTGCTACCAAGCACGGCCTTAGGGGCTTTATGAAGACGGCCCGCCGCTCCAGCTGGGAGCAGGGCATCCGCATCAACTATGTCGCTCCTTGCTGGATCAAGAGCGCCATCCGAACCGCCGAGTACGAGAAGTGGTTGGTTGACCGCGGTGTTGAGTTCGGCGAGCAGATCGACGTTGCCGGTTGCATGATGAGGATTAGCACAGATAGGTCTATCAACGGTATGACTACCCGAAGCCCCATCCCTCCCCGAAGCCCCATCCCTCCAAGTAGAGCAGTCGCAAAGAAGAACATCTCAGCTAATCCGTTTTCTTTTTCTTTCTTTGTGTAGGCCGCTCTTTCATGATCACCCCCGCTCCATCGCCAAGGAAGGCTTCATGGATGTCAACAGGGAAGATTACTTTGATACCCCCGAGGATGCGTATATGAAGAGGACTCAGGAGTCTCAGCTCGTCATCATCGAAGACAAGTGGCGCGATGATTACAAGGTTAGGGTGTACAAGAAGGATTAAGGTGCGACAATGACCGTTGATCCGGCCGTACCGGTAGTATAATAGCATGAGACGATGTGTTATGAGCTTGTACAAACGAACCAACAACGTGCTTTTTGGCCTATGCCTGCCCATCAACCTTGTGACCTGTCATCGTGAAGTTCACCTAATGCCACCCCTTGCGACACAAGATTCTGCCCTATACCAGTATTTTATGTGGATCACAGCTGAGGGGTGAAGATTTAAACTCAATCACTCAGATTGATTCGTGATAGAAGAATAAAGCCAAGAAACAGCAAGGGGTAAAGCAACCTGTGTGTTCAAGTCCCCACCCGTTTGCTATACCACCCGCTACGTCAGTGACCGCAACATCGTGCCCAGACGCAAAGCCACGTGTTAGTCGCCTCCCAGGCGAGCCGGAACAACGGTAGGAAAATTCCAAAACAAAGATGCACCTCGGGAGATTATCGCGGGGAGTTTTTCGACATGCCGCAAAGCCTGTGCATCTGACAAGGGTCATTAGGGCGCTGTGTGGGCCCCTCTTGCCCCTCGACGATCAACGCTTGCATGAGGAATTTTCTTCGTGAAAAGTGGGCTCAGGAAAGCTTGATGACCCCAATTACGCCACCTTCTCTCTCAACTTCCTCTGCACAAACAGACGATTCTGCGGGGCGGCTGGCGCAATGGTAGCGCGTTGCTCTCCTATCAAAGGTTCATTGAGCACTAAGCAAAGGTTGCAAGTTCGAGTCTTGCGTCGCTCGCTTTTTTGTCGGCGTCTTTTTGTCGGCGTCTCTCTTGAGCACGTCCGTTGACTCTTCCACACTCAAATTTTTTTTTTTTTGCCCTCTTTATGTAGCCTGGAAATTCTTGAGAAAAAGATTTGTTTCGATATATGTAAGCAAGACTAAACCTTGTCTTCATGAGATTAATCTTGGCCTTGCTCTTTTCGTTGCCCCGCGCTATAATGTGCTTGTCAGGTGCAAAATTGGGGTTGTCTATTCATCACCCCTAGGTGCATGCACTTGATTTTCACTACGATGACATGAGTGACTCTATTTGTGTGCCAGTTGTATACATTCAAAGGAGATTGTAATGGTTTGGCCATGGTCCTAGGCTCTCAAAAGGAACCTCGTTCCCGGCCGCGAGGTAACGATGGGAAAGGACCTCGAAGCCGTACATATACCTGTCGTTGTTGAGCCACGTCGTCCCTCCAGCGTTCAAAGGTACAAGTATAGCAGGTGCACCATAATATAACTGGTGCGAATGAATGGTGTCGTGATGCTGTTCAGACTGTGGGTAGCCTGCGTGTTATGAGGCACTTCCGGGGAGAAACCACGGAGTTGCTCCGCCGGCTAGCAAGCCAACATTACATCAAGGAGTCTGCTTTCGCCATCGGACAGGGGCAGGGAGATCCACTGGGATATAGGATTGGTCGTAGGCCTTCTGGTAGCTAGGTGCCTTGGTAGAATAGCTGGAGACTAAACTGGAAATGCTCCGTATCGTTTACACGCTGGGCAAGTCCACGGATGGGTCTGCCTTGTCCGTTGTGTAATCCTCGTGAAGGGCTACTGCTCTTCCCAGCCCATCTCGGTGCGGATACAAACATCAGGCTCAAGCAATACTCAAAGTATGTTGAGAGAGCATTTCACTAAGTTGGTGCGTGGTCGCCGGCATATTTGGCCGAGACAATCATAGAAAGTTGGGGGCTCATAATAATCAAAGCAACGCGACATATCCAACTGATCTGATGATTGAAGGTCTCTAGACTGGCAAGTCGTTTTCTACTACCAGTAACACAACGTATCGAGCGACATGGAACAGCTGCACGTAAAAGGGTCCGAAGACGGCTCCTTTTGTCTTTCCTCGTCCCGCATTACCCTGTTCTAGATCATCTGGACCCGAAGTAAATTTGCTCGCCTCCCAGTGGCCGCGCGCGGGAAGCGTGGACAGCCAATTTTCTAATAATATATTGGTGACGATCAATCAGGCTGATGTATCCGTGGTGCCAGCCCGGAATTTCCATTGACCGCCGCTGTGTCTTGCGCTCCAATCGAAGCCTATAGCGTAATGTAACTTTAATATCGGCCGGCATGACCACCTTCACTTTCCAGAATGCGATCCCCGCAAAACGTCCCGGTCCCACGGCTTCTCGGAATGCGCCCCCGCATCGCGTTGGGAAGCGAAAAAGGGGAAGCGCAGGCTATATATCAACACGATCGCAAGTCACGATGAGTTCCTCTCGCTACCTACATTTCTTCGTCGCCACGACCTGTCGATCGACCCGTTCAACGTCAACGAACCTTGCCCTTCAACACAAACTTCGCGGACCAGGCAGACAACGTTGCCATGTTTTCCGATTCATTGCTTTCCTTGCTGGGAGGCTTCGCGCTTTGCGTTGGGTCGGCACACGCAGCGTTTGGGCTCACGACGTCCGGCAACTCGTTCCGGGTCGACACCAATGCCGGCTTAGTGTTTGATGTTAGCAAGTAGGCGAACCCCCGTGTCCTCGTGAAGACTGTTAGCAAGAAAAAGAAACAACTCGATGCTTTTCTTTCCTTCCTTGAAGCCAAATCTTTTTTATTCTCCGTGTTCCAAGAAAGCAAGAGCTCACGATGCCCCACCAGGTCCACGGGAGACGTGACGAGCCTGCTCTACAATGGCGTCGAGTACCAGGGTACGAATAAAATGACGCACATCAACTCTGGCCTGGGCAACTCGCAGGTGACGGCAGAAACAAAGGACGGCTTCGTCAAGATCACGATCAAAGCAGGCTCCGAGCCGCTAACGCAGTACCTCGTGGCGAAACCCGACGATCCAACCATCTACATGGCCACGTACATCACGGGCGAGATCAATCCCGGCGAGCTGCGGTGGCTGGCGCGTCTCCGTCGCTCCGCCGTTCCCGATGGTTGGCATGGCACGGCGGCGAATTTGGATGGCTGCGAGGCGTTCGAGGGCAAGGATACGTTCAAGTGCCCCAACGGCGAGACGCGGTGCAAGATGTATACGGCGGATAGGTTCATCGATGACATTGTGCACGGTGTCACAGGGCCGGTATGTACTCCCTCGTCCGGAATTCTCATTTTGCGTCAGCCAAATGGTTATCTTTCTAACGGGTGCCAAATTTTGAGTAGAATGTCGGTATTTGGATGATTATGCCTGGTGTCGCCTATGAATCTTCAGCGAGCGGACCCTTCATGCGAGACATCAACTCCCAGAGCGGCGACGACCAGGAGCTCTACTGGTACATGAACAGCGGCCATGTCAGGACCGAGCCCTGGAGGTTTGGCCTCATGGGGCCATATGCGATGCGCTTCACGTAAGTGCACCCTATCATAATCGGCGTAGATCTTCCTCTAACGCTATTTTACTTGCAGAACTGGTGAGCAGCCCTCGGGCGACGTCGACACGAGCTTCTTCGAGTCCCTCGACATCCAAGGCTACGTCCCCGCCAGCGGGAGGGGCCACGCCACAGGAGTCGCCGGTGGCGTGCCGGATGGTTTCGAGGCCGTCGTGCACTGGCACAACGAGGCCGCTCAGTACTGGACCAAGGCCGTCGACGGTAACTACACCTCGCCTCCCATGAAACCCGGCACCTACAAAGTCAAGCTCTACCGCGGCGAGTACCCCATCGCCGAGGACACCGTCACGATCACGGCAGGCCAGATTGAAACAAAGGACATCGTTTCCGCAGAGAAGGAGGCTTCTGTCATCTTCCGCATCGGCGATTTCGACGGCCAACCCTTCGAGCTCAGGAACGGCGACAAGATTGAGCGCATGCACCCGTCTGACGTGCGCATGGGCACATGGGGCGGCACCTATACCGTCGGCCAGTCCAAGGCGGAGGATTTCCCCATGGCTCTGTTTTCCAAGGAGGGCGGCGTGGCCACCGTCAAGTTCAATTTGCAGGCGGACCAAGTCGCCAACACCGTCCTGCGGGTCAGCACCACGTTATCTTTCAAGGGCGGACGACCCAATGTGAAGATCAACGAGTGGCAGGGAAGCGACCCCGGAGCGCCCGTACGTTAACACTAAATTTCTATCGGATGATTTCCCCGCCTCATTTTTTGAAATCTAGACTAACGCAGCTACGTGTAGGAATTGATCGACTCTCGCGGAGTAACGCGAGGGGCTTACCGTGGTTACGGAGAGCAGTACTCGTGGGACGTCCCAGCGTCTGCGCTTAGGACAGGAGAAAATACTCTTACAGTCGGAGTCTACGGGAATGGAGACCAAGGATTCCTGAGCGCCAATTACGTTGTTGATGCCATCGAATTGCAGGGCCCAGCGGGTCCGGATAGCCCCGCGGCTTATGTCTACTAGGGAGACAGGCCACAGATGCCGTGTATACATCTATAGATGGATCAAATGATTGATTTCAAGTCACTCATCCTATCAAAACCGATGTGCTAAAGTATACGACGGAGGTGGACGTTGCAATCGGGGCATCATCACCAGAACATCGACACCACCTTGATATGAAAGCCTTGAGGGCGGACTATACGTTCATCCAAAGGCCATTTTCGTGTGGGGTCTGCCAGCCTCACATTTCCTCTGTATCTTGTAGTTCATGCATTGGTGCCCAAAACTTTCGTCTACAAGGTGAGGCGGTGCTCGGATTATCAGATCAGGGCTACATCTTTGATTGGCTCTTAGGATGTTTTGATAGTCGGTGGCTGAGTTGGGACAATTGCCCCGGCACGTTCTCTCCCGTCAACTTCAAGAATGGCCTCGTGCCATTTGTTTTCACACCTATGAAGGCAGTTGGAAGGATCACCTATCGTGTCACTTGACAGATGTAATAGGTGAATAGATAGAGGGATGGAGGGTGGAAATGCGACTCTGGGGTAATCGCCTTTCAAGAATTCAGCAAGGGAAGCGAGTCATGCAATATCTGCAGCCTGCCTAGGAGCACCCAACCATGAGCATGACCAAAGGGGGGATAGAAAGTCGGAAGGCTAGGCAGGCAACAGGGCACCTCACATATATTCACCTCGTCCCTGTCCCTCGCTTCATTCGATAATTCCCACTGCCAAGGTCACCCCTTTTGAAATAATCCAAACATATTAGATATCTCAATAAATTACTATATCACAATGAGTGAGACACCAGTGTGCCTTCTTGCCTTGGGTAAGCAAAATAATTCTTTTAAAAATGGCATTCGGGTCACTAACTAGTGGGTGATAGATGGCGGTGGCATTCGGGGCCTTTCTGAGCTCTTGATACTCGAGGAGATCATGGATAGGATCAAATATGATCTAGGCATGGCGGACGATCCATTACCTGCCGACTTCTTCGACCTTATAGGTGGGACATCGACTGGAGGGTAAGCCTACCTTTAGAGTCTTGATGCTCGCGAAGGTGAAGCTAACGCTGCCTCTATTATAGCTGGATTGCCCTCCTCCTGGGACGTGTGCGCTTATCAGTGCCCGAAGCCCGAAAGGCATATATCAGGATCGCCAAGGAAGTCTTCTCGATGGATCGATATGCGAGGAAGAGCAAGTTTGATGGGAAAAAGCTTGAAGAACGAGTCAAGCGGGTCCTTCAACGTAACCTTGGGGAAAGTCATAGCGAAGAAAGGCTACTCGATCGTTCGAGTCCGTCCTGCAAGACGTATGTACCGTACCCCTTGATTCCAATGATTATCACTGTCCTAATTCCATTCTTATATAGGTTCGTCTGCGCTGTCCCAAAGCAAGACACCCAGGCCCGGGGTGGCGCTAAGCTATTCCGAACTTATGCAGCACGTAGAAACGGGACATACGACTGCAAGATATGGGAGGCAAGTCGCGCAACGTCTGCAACACCGGTATGCTTTGATTCAATCTGGATCGGCAGGAAACACGAGCAGGAGAATTTTATAGATGGTGGCCGGGGTTACAACAACCCCACCGAACAGGTCCTTGAGGAGGCTCGCAATACCTTCCCTGGGCAAAGGGTTGCCTGTGTTGTGAGTATAGGAGCGGGCCTCGCTCGTGGTGTGAGGCTCTCCAACCCCGAGGTGACCAACCCTGTGGGCTTGATCAATGCGCTTAAAGATATCGCAAACGAAGCGGATGCGACGGCAGAAAGAGTGCAGCAACAGTTGCGGCATCTAGAGGCAGGGACATATTTCCGTTTCAACGTCGATCACGGTCTTGATGAGATCGCGCTGGAAGAGTGGGAGCACCTCAGTGAGGTCCGCACATATACGAAAGAGTATCTGGATCAAGATGAGATATCATCAAACATTGACAAGATCGTTCTAGCTCTATTAACTTCCAAGGCGGACCTAAGCCAGGGTTCCTCACGTGCTTACGTCCAAGTATCGGTCCCTCGGTCATCGTTATCAACGGCAAGGCGCTTTACACGTAAAACCCAAAGGCAGCGCTGGCGGGCTCCCGAACTCCGACCTGAATTTAATGTTACGGTGGAGGACTTTGCCGTTACCGGCGGGTCTTTTCAAGAGAACCCCGAAGTCTTTGAGGACGATTATTCCGAATATTATCAGCTTGATTCAGCCCCACCGCCTTCCAGCGGAAGATACAGCCAACAGTGGATCGGTCCGTTCCAGAACCCATCCCTAGGAGATGGGCCCGCCGACTTTGTCGGACGTGATGCCATCCTCGCCCAAGCCCTGGAGCTGGTCCGAGCAACGACGGCCAATGGAATATGCATACGAACTGCTATCGAGGGTCACGGAGGGAACGGCAAGACCCGGATCGCCCTTGAAGTCGCCTCCCGCATCTACCAACAAGATCCTAATTTCAGCGTCTTCTGGGTATCCGCCGTCGATGCGGCGACTTTCGAGAACGGATACTGCGAGATCGGCCATGCTTTAAACGTACCAAACGTCGGGGATGACAGGGCAGACTTCAAGTCGCTTGTCAAGACCGCGTTAAGCCAATGCGCCTCAGATTGGCTTCTAGTCATAGACAACGCTGATGACATGGACTTGTTTTACGGCAAGCGCACGTCTTTTCACAAGTATCTCCCCTTCACCCGCGAGAGTGCTGGCTACAAGGGTTCTATCCTATTCACCACCAGGAGCCATAAAGTTGCCGTCCAATTGGCTACGGGGCGAGGATTCATCGTTGACGTCCAAAGAATGACCAGGGGCGAAGCGCATTCGCTATTAGAGCGTTGTATAGGTCCAACCCAGCCCGCAGACGCCGAAAACGTGTCGCAACTATTGGACTACCTGAAAGATCAACCACTCGCTATCAAGCAAGCTACGGCCTACATCCAGCGACACAGGGTAACCATAGCGGAGTACTTGGGACTATGCGACTCGAGGGATTCACGTAACAAAAGTTCCCAGAAACCTGTAGACAAAGGCCCTGAAGCTCAAGGTAGCCACCGGGATGCTGGAGCTCGAAGCGACCACAGGGATGCTGGAGGTCAGAAAGACCACCAAGATACTGGAAAACCAGTTACGGCATCTCTCCGTGTTTCCTTGGAACAGATCGCCCGCTCCGAGCCGCTAGCGACGGAATACATCAAGTTCATGTCTTTCTTAATCGAAAAGGACATTTCATTCGACATTCTACCGGCACCTCAGCACAATCGCCGACGGTTGATTGCAGCAATTGATGTGTTGAAGCGGTACGGCCTTATTAGCGAGAACCGCAAAGAGCTGTACCAGATGCACCGGCTCGTCCGAGTAGAGGTGCAGGATTGGCTTAAAAGATAGGTCAACTGGAGAGCTGCGGGAGCCTCGTGCTTCAACGACTTAGCGAAAGGCTGCCGTTCCCAACTACTGCCAACATCCAAACTGACTGGGTGCGATGCCGTCCACACGTCTTAGCAGTAGTACGTCGGCAGGATATTAGATCAAATAACACGGCCAAGTCAGTTCTTGTGGGGAAGCTTGCGGCAAGCAGCCGCCTCCTCGGGAAGCATGACGAGGCTGAAGATCTATACCGGTTGAACCTACGGCTGCAGAAAGAAATGCTTGGACCCAACGCCCACGAAACCCTTGCTACTATGAGGAATCTTGCAGATTCTCTAAGGCAGCAAAAGAAGTATAAGGAAGCCGAAGATCTCTACCAGCAGACCCTCGACCTATCCACATATACACATGGATCCAAAACGCCTGAAACCCTTGCTACTATGAATCATCTCGCAAATACCCAATCCTCCCAAGGGAAGTATAAGGCGGCTGAAGATACCTACTTGCAGGCCGTAGAGCTCGCGGAAGATCTACATGGACCTGAAGCCTCCGGAACCCTTACTATCATGAACAATCTCGCAGACTGCTTACAAAGTCAGGGGATGGTGAAGGAGGCCGAGGAACTGTCCCGGTACACCCTACAGCTCAGAAGAAAAGCGGCTGGACTTGAAGCCGCTGACACCATTATGAATATTCATAACCTCGCAGATTCCCTATTCGCGCAGGAAAAGTATAGGGAAGCTGAAGATCTCTACGATTCGGCCCTACAGCTATGGAGAAAAGCGCGTGGACCAGAAGCCCCCGAAACCATCACTGCTATGAATAATCTCGGGCATTCCCTCTACAAACAGAAGCAGTATAAGGCGGCCGAAGAGCGATGGCAGGAAACCCTACAGCTGCAAAAAGAGTCTTTGGACCTGAAGCCCATAAAACAGCCCAGACTATGACCCACCTCGCCAACTCGCTTTACATGCAGCAGAAGTACAATGAGGCTAAACAGCTATACCGGCAGATTCTGGAGCTGCGCAAAAGCTGTATGGGCCTGAAGCCCCCGAAACACTTGTTGCTATGGAGAGTCTTGCAAAGGCCTTGGAGTACCAGGGAGGCATACGGAGGCCGAAGATCTATACCGGCGTGCCCTACAGCTACGGATAAAGGTGCATGGGCCTGCAGCCCCCGAAACCCTTCATACTAGGCATCAGCTCGCAAATTCTCTCCGGTACCTGGGAAGGTATGAGGAGGCCAAAAGGCTAGAAAAATAGGCCGTTCCGTGGATCTAGAAACTCTCGAAGCCCCTTAATCCACGCAAGAGTATAAGGGGCCCTAAGATGAAGTTGTATATAAGCCTTGTTTACGGGTATCATGATTCTCTTTGCCATTCATCTATGCTATGCTTTTGATGTGCAGCCCCAGCACTGAGGCTTCCGATAGCTGGTGAGGCTGCTCTAAATGCCCAATTTCCGGGTTTTGAGCACCAACGACCTCCCACTTCAGGATCTTAGTCTGCTCCATTCGTAAGATAGCCCAAGGTACAAGGAAACAAGGCTTATCCACCGACCCAGTCGCCGTCGGATTCTCAGTCTCTACCACCTGGGAGAAGCAGTCCGCCCGCTTGCAATTTATCCCCTACCATCTTCCCAACGACTGCGCCTGCCTTCTAATGCTTCGCGACGGCCTCACGATTCCTTTCCGCGGTGGTGGCAGAAAATAGTAGAGCAGCGTGAGGTATTATAATAATAGGGAAAAGGCCCGCCACCTTTGTCCCAAAGTTTCAAGTGATATAGTTTCATTCTTAGTGCGTATAGTACCCTAAAGCTAACATACCAAGTCGAGTAATCGTTACGAAACGTTAGATATGCTATTGCCTCCGCCTGTGAAGCTGGTATAATTCCAAGATTAACTCAGTCTGTCATGCAGTTCCATCCAAACCTCCGAATCTACGCTTGCTTCGCGAGAGCTTCGCGGCGCGAGATAGAGTTAGGGTCGAAGTACGGCTTCTCGCCGAGAGATACGACTCTGTTACCCTGTCGCTTTCCGGCGTAGTCACTGCGAGGTACAACGTTAGCAATGGTCCGCGAGTCTGGCGCATAGCCACCATCCATAGGTTAGGGTTTTGAAACTTACTCTGTGGCGGTGTGGAAAACGGAGCGGCTGAGAATCCCTTGTTAGCACTAGTGGTTCGTCTTGACGGAGAGATCTCCTCTTTCCCTTGTACTTACTTGTCCCAGACCGCGAGATCGTCCTTGTTCCATCGGAAGCGAACTTGAAGGTCGTGGTTCTCAACAACAAGTTGGGTAACTGTGAGCAGCCCAGATTAGCATCCACATAAGTCATAACACGAAATGGATACCTCGAAACTGGCAGTTGTGAGGGTATACATACAGTAGTCCTTGAGGATCTCGCTCTCACGCTCATTTACACCATCGATCCAGCCAGCCTCAACCTGGTGACCGGCGGCGAACAAACTCTTCCACCCGGTGACAGGGTTGGTTCGGACGACAGGGCTATCTCATTGTTAGCTCATCGCCCGTGTATGGCCTCGTCACCACGTGAACAAGGTGAAAAGAAAGATACTATAAAAACAGAAAGCTCCGTGGGAATCTTACTGGGAAGCCTTAAAGTCGAGGCCAGTGTTCTCGGGAGCACCACGGTAGTCATCAATCAAAGCCTCGCCAAAGCTATCCTTGACCCTAACGAAGTTGGGCTGGTAGTGGGTAGCGGTGAGCGAGTCCGCGAGCTGCTTAAGGGCCGGCGACAAGCGGTCGTAAGCCTCGTAGCCAGAGGCCCAGAGGGTATCGCCACCAGCATCCTCAGAGGTCTGGTTAATCTTAAGGATAGCATAGTCTGAGGGAATACGCTCAAAGGTAATGCTTGGGTTGGGGTGCCAGATGTTAGCTTTGTGAAAATCAAGGAGCATAATGTAAGGGTTCTTTGTTTTCGGCGTTGGCAAACTCACTCCGCGTGCCATCCCTTGCTCGCGAGCTTCCTGGAGGTGGCGCTGTAACGGTCCTGGTAGAACTTGCGGTTCTGCTCAGAGGAGATGACGGAAACTTCATCATCGAGTTTGCCCTTGTCATCAACGGCAATGCCGCGCTTGCTGTTGGAGAGCGCGTGGCGATGGAGCTATTACATGCGATATTAGCGCCCGGCTATCAGGTGTCTTGAAGTCACGACAAAGTGGGATCATACCTTGGAGCTCTCGGGCTTTCCAGTGAGTTCGCCCAGCCTCTGGCCAAGCAGCTTCTGATCCTCAATGCTCAAATCTTGGTTGCGGAAGAACAAGACACCGCGCTGGGAGACTGTGATTCAGACAGGTAAGCATACGAGCAGTCATTGAAAGAGATATGATTGGGCAAGAAAAGAACGTAAGAACATACCCAGGATAGCAAGGTCACGAATCTTGTCATCGTCATGAAGGATTTCACTGAGCTGGAGAGTTGGGTACTCGCGGCCGATCACGTTGGTAGTATCAAAGTGCTCATAAGAGTCGAGGGTGCCAGAATATTGGAGGGGACCGGTCAAGCGCGAAGCACTGATGTGGGTCGGGGTGGCGGCCGGGGCCTCGCTGGGCGCCGACGCCGCTTGGAGCTTGGAGGGTCAACGGGCAGGGGCTGAACAGGGGTGGCGATATCGACGTCTGCGGCGGGAGGGGCCATTGTGAAGGGATGACAGTATCACAGAAGATGATTGGAAAAGAAATATTTGGCTCGAGACGAGATATTGATGCTTGAGGAGGTGAGGTGGTAAGTTGCTTTGTTCTTGATGGCCTTTTGTTGGTAGTCTCTATTCTCAACTGACAGAATATCTCAAGTGGCGTCGCGGAGGCCATATCTTTATATTCTTATGTCTACACTGGGACTGCATCTTCCCCTCCTCCTTCTCGGATGCTGTTCGGCTACGGCACACGCAGAGAATCCCGATTTTCTCTGCTGTGAAACTGCCATTATGAGGTGCGACGGTCTTTTGATGGCGTCAAACAGCGAACTGCGTGCCTCTATTGATCAGCAAGTTTTCCTCACCAGCCTCTAGCGAAGGTCTGGCTATTCTTCTCCGACAACCATCCCCAAAGGGAAACCAAAGAAAACCGAAAAAAGTTGGAGGTGCGATGCTCCAATCTACCATGATCAAAGCGAAGCGAGGAGGAGGTCTCGGCTGTGCTTGCTCGTCTACTGGACCCCTTTGGAGATGGGGTTGAACCCACGCAAGCGAGACGTGGGATGATGAACCATTACTCCATCCAGGAATTACCCGAGCCAGCAAGTAAGACGCCAAGACTCGTAGGGAAACGATCAGGGAAGAAGAAAAGACCAAGATGATTGTATTAATAATTCAACGCGCCTGGTTGTTCGGGGTGCCGGGTCGGAATCGGGCCCCACTCCTGCGACGCGCGCCGGGGTGGGTTGCCATCGCACCATCTTGCGCCATCCGCATGGGTTGCTTTGGAGTGCAGCCTCTCTCTCTCTCTCTCTCTCTCTCTCCCAACCTGGTCCCCTTTCCCCGCGAACTGACAACTCATGTCGAAGGCAAAGGGACAAGTGGCGCCATCGATAAGTGAGCGTCTTCGGAGTTTGTCGCTCCTATCTCCTCCCTTATCTCCCACCTGTGAACGCTTTGAATGCCAAGACAAAAAGACAAAAGATGTGATGGGGGCGCCACGATTTTTTTGTCCCCGTTCTTTTCGATGTGGGCAGGGTCGAGACAGGCTACTCCATGGATGAGATTTCTCGTTTCGGCAATTCGTGTGGCGCAAAGCACGCCGACGCACATCATTTGATACTTTCCCTCTTTCAGCAGCGAAGCTAGGACCCCGAAACCAAACGCCATTCTCCCAAGTCTCCAGTTTCTCAAATCTCTAGTCTCCTCCTCGCTGGAGAATTTATTCCTCTTTTGTCGCCATTTGCCACGATGAAAATTCAGCCTCACCAGCTCCCCGGAACCGGGACCTCGCACACACGTCCTTGTGTGGTGGACGAGCCCAACTCGACTCCACAAAACCAAAAGGCGCAAGAAACAGGGTAAGCGGGATCGGATTTCACGTCGCGCCCGGCGGCATTCTGCATTAGGTGGGGGTTGCTCGTTTGAATTGCATCCCGTTTGATTGGTTCGTGGCAACGTCTATCCCACACTAAAGCCCGAACTCGCGTCCAGAAAGAGGATCAAGATGCGTGCTGCGTTTGAGTGTTCGAGCAAGACCTCACCCTTGAGCGGAAGTGGGGATCTATCTAATAGTATCTTGGAGACTAATAGCGGGAATTCCAAGTTGGGCCAACAAGTGAAGGGATCATCACCCTGTCGGTCCCGGTCCCCACCCCGAGTTGACGTTTGTCCATGTGGTCGCGATCCAATGCGGACCTCGTCTTTGCTCCCTCTCCCACGCTGATAATCATATTCCCCCTTTTACGACGTGTTACTGGTCCACCGGCTGCTCACTGGCTTGTCGCCCGATTGGACCCCAGCCGGCCGGTTTCCCCTTTGTCGAGTCTTGCATTTCGGATCAGCATCTTCTGTTTCCCCATTGTCCTCTCTGCCCGTTCCCAACACAGGGGGCACGCGTCTCGACACGTGGGGAACCACCTCATGGCGTGCTCGCCCAAAACCCAAAAAAGCTGTCAATGTTGCATATATCCTATCCATCGCCGTCGCTACCATGGCGTGCTTTAAACAGGAAATTGAAAATGAACTCAACGAGGTTAGATATCCCGGAAAAGGAAGCCAATATTGGCTCCCACGAGCGAGAAGGCCTTGATGATACCAGCCGCTTGGGATGGCTCACAAATCCGACAAGGACGAAAATCGGAGCAGAAAAAATTGCCTCGCTTGGCCTTGGCATATCGGCAGGCGAGAAAGAAGAAAGACGAAAGCAAAGGGGCTCACGTATCCAAGTATTTTAATCAATCCGGTTCGCCTGCCGAAAACTTGTCAAAAACATTGTTCCTTCACCCGACGCCGTTGATCAAGCCGTGTGTCGTTGGATGAACGTTGCATCCCAAGACTCGCTTCTCCGCGGAGTTCCAACATAGGCTTTTCCCCTTTCTTGCAGTAGCAGGTCACACCACCTCTTTGTTCCTTCCCCCTCCGTCTGCAATATGCCCGTCGTCCGCCTCGAGCGGGACGAAAAGTCGCCCGCGTCCAACACGGGCCCGGGCATCCTGTCCTCGTCCTCCTCCGACGACGAGGACAAGAAGATCGCCGACACCAAGGATGGCGTCTCCATCAACGTCGACCCAGACGTACCCCCTGGGCGTCCCAAGCGACGAGAAGCGCTTTTGGTGGCAGCGCACCCGGGGCAACTACGACGGCGAGGCCATCGCCACCCAGGTCTCCGTCTACGATGACCCCGAGACGGCCAAGCACTACCAGCCCCGCGCCGACTGGGAGAACCTCCATCGCTTCGATCCTCTCGCGCGCTGGTCCTGGAACGAGGAGAACAGGCTCATCCGCAAGATTGACGTGCGCATCATGATCTTTGCCTGCATCATGTTCATGGCCCTCGAGCTGGACCGTGCCAATATCAGCCAAGCCGTTACCGACAATTTCCTCGGTGACCTCGGTCTCACGACCAATGGTGAGCTTCCCCCACCCACACCCCTTATTTACTTGTACACTCCCCTCGTGTTAGTGTGAAATGCGGCTCTAACCTTGAAATTTTGTAATTGTAATCAGACTTCAACCTCGGTAACACCGTCTTCAAGTTGTCCTTCCTTTGCGCTGAGCTGCCGTCTCAGCTCGTGAGCAAGTGGATCGGCCCCGATCGCTGGATTCCGGCGCAAATCAGCTTGTGGAGCATCGTGTCCTTGAGTCAGTTTTGGCTTAGCGGCCGCACGTCGTTCCTCGTCTGCCGATCCCTCTTGGCCATTCTCCAGGGTGGTTTCATCCCAGATGTAAGTGTTGCTATCTCCGTGTCATTTTTAGGGTTGATTCTCCTCCACATCCGATGTTTGGCCTATTGGCTCGAAGCAGATGCTAATTCGCGCTCCGTCTGTCCCCGTCGCCTCTTCGTAGATTATTCTGTACCTGTCTTATTTCTATAAGCATCATGAACTCTCACTCCGCCTCGGCTTCTTCTGGACCGCCATGTCCATCGCGGACATCATCGCCGGTCTCCTGGCCGCTGGTATCCTGCAGCTTCGCGGTGCAAACGGCCATGCCGGATGGAGATGGCTTTTCCTTCTCGAGGTAAGACTTCCTTCGCCCGTGCTGGGCTATAGCGTCTGAATAGCCGTGCTAACCCGTAGTCTAGGGTCTGATTACCTTGGTTGTTGGTGTTCTCGCCTTTGGCCTTATGCCTCCCTCGCCGACCCACACCAAGCACTGGTTCCGGGGTAAAAACGGCTGGTTTAGCGAAAGGTTCGTAGCGCCGTCACTTTTTGTGCACTTTCATCTCCTTGTGCCGTGCCACTGCACATGTAAACAAGCACCTTTACTGACTCAGCCCAAACAGGGAGGAGATCATCATGGTCAACAGAGTCATCCGTGACGACCCAAGCAAGGGCGACATGCACAATCGCCAACCAATCACCCCCAAGCTTTTGTGGAAGAGCATCACGGACTTTGACCTCTGGCCTTTGTATATCATTGGCATCGTGTGGAACATCCCGGCGACGCCCCCCAACCAGTATCTCACTCTGATCTTGCGCGGCATCGGCTTCGACACCTTCCGTACCAACTTGCTCACCATTCCCACCACCTTCCTGCACATGGTCACCATGATGCTGCTTACCTACACCGCGGAAATCGTCAAGGAGCTCACCTTTATGTCCATGTTGAGTCAGATTTGGCTTCTTCCCTTCCTGGTCTACCTTTCCGTCAACGATATCACCAAGATTGACCGATGGGTCGCGTGGGGCGTCTTGACCGCTCTCCTTGCATTCCCCTCTCGTAAGTTTGCACACCCGGGCCCCCTCACTCTATATCTTCCTCGTTATAGCTGTAGTATCATCAAGGATGAAATGGAAATGTGGCACTGACGCGAATTTCTTCAAACAGCTCACCCCATCCAAGTCGGCTGGAACTCCCGCAACTCCAACACCGTCCGCTCCCGCACCGTCTCCGCCGCCCTCTACAACATGATGGCTCAAACCGGTGGCATAATCGCCTCCAACATCTACCGCGCCGACGACGCGCCCCGCTACAAGAGGGGTAATCGCGTCTTGGTTGCCATCGTGTCCACCAACATTGTGCTCTACCTGCTGACCAAGGCCTACTACGTTTGGCGCAACAAGAGCCGCGACAAGAAGTGGGACGCGCTCTCGGCTGACGAGAAGCGCAACTATCTCGAGACTACCAAGGACGAGGGTAACACGAGGCTTGACTTTAGGTTTGCCCACTAAATGGTTATGGTGGAACGGAGTGAGCGATGCTTGAGCTCGGGAGGCTTAACTGGTGAACATACGGCTAGCTGCACCGCAATTCCCCATTTGCAAAGGCGACGCTGGAGGATACAGTCGAGTGATCAAGACTAGCATAATTGCCGGAGGGAGGCGCGCGTGTCTTTTGGGGAGGTTCATAAAAGGAAGCAAGTGATAGCCCAAATCTTCGTCAGGCCACGGCCGTATTTTCTCTTCTTTACCACGGGTCGGGAGTATGGAAGATTCATTTCCCTGTTTAGCGCAGCAAATACCGCAGTTAAAACAACATTTTAGAACCCAGCACGTGTATCGTTCCGCCCGGCCATGTAAACAACAGAGAGTTCTCCCCTCCGTAGCGCAAGGAATAGTGTAATGAACACATCTCATAGGGGCAGGTTGATAGAGAGAGCGAAGCAAATGCAGACTTTTTCTTACGCCGTTCGAATTTAACGGAGTAGACTCGGCCTAAATGGAATCTAGCCGCCAATAATCTGGTCAAGAGGACACCACTCTAAGCTTCCCCGATCGTCTCTCCAACAGGGGTGAAAGTCCTCCTACGTGCGTCTTTATTCAATTCAAATTTCATCTTTATCCGGGTCGTCGTAAGCTCCATTGCGCTGGAACAGCGAGCCCACCTCAACAATTGGCCAGCGCGAGGGACAACTCACGGTCCCCTCCCTCGCCAAGAGCGGCCCCGAAGCATCGTCGAAGCCGAACTATGTGCCGAAGATCGATCGACCACGCGGCCCGGGGGAACCACCATATCCCATATCCCACACTCTGGGTTTCCGCGCCCGTGGGAAGCCTCGTTTCCCAGCTGGCGAGGTTCCGTTTGGATAATCCAAATTGCCACCCACCTATCAGAGGGCGGATTATTCGGTTTACTCATATGCGCACCAGCAGAAAGAAAGGACGAAACATCTCCAATGGGAAAGGTCGTGCCCGGTTTTTCTTGCTTTGCTTTTACCGCACAAGACGCCGATGCGTGCCTGTTTGGAGGGGACAATATCAGGGGTTACATGTGTAGGCTCTAGCGAACGGCTATATTAAACGCCGCGCGGCCGCTACATGTGGATAATATTCTGGGGAATACTACACCTCGAGTATTCGATATTCAAAACCCCCATTGCTGAATCTGTTGATTAAATACAATGACGCGGCCGGGAACGTTCAATTCGCGAGTAGCAAGGGAATTTCGGGCGGTGGTTCAGCTTGGGACGCGCGAATAGGATGGTCGGTGATTACGCCAGAACCAATTACACGATATATTACTCGATTTGGCGGGGAAACCCACGAATAGTTTAATTCGAGAGCTTGGCACTGAATTCTGGTAGACTATGGAGATATATAAAACCTCAACACCCACCGCTAGGAACGAGATGGACACCAATCCTCCCTCGGAACCTGCTCCCCTCAGGATACCATCGTGAAGCGGAAACAGCAAAACGAGGTCATGTCGCCATCAGTTCGCGCTGCGTTTATAGGGGCTCTGGTCGCCGGATCAGCCCTGGCAGCCCCGGAATCCACGAGCGAAGGCAGTCCGAAACCTGCTCCTCGGTCAAGAAGCGCCGCGCGTGGTATGCAACTTGGAGAGCCCCCGTGGGTGAGAGGGTGAAAGGAGAGTGGGTTGTTGGCCACAGGTTCTAACGACTTGGAAACACTATTGTTCTAGGCACACGCTCTCGGATGACGAAAAACGCGCCTATCTCGATGCCGAGGTGTGTTTGATGAACACGCCGTCGACAAGCGACCTCCGCGGGAGCAAGTCCAAGTTCGACGACTTCCAGGCCATCCATGTTCTTCAGTCCGAGATTGCTCACTTTGTTGTAAGACCACCCGGCATCCAGCCCTCACGCCTCATGAGATGAGCGCTTGGTACTGATACAGGGCCTTTCTTATCTCGCAGGGCCAATTCCTCCCTTTCCATCGCCTATTCGTGTACGCCCACGAGCAGGCTCTGGAAGCCGAGTGCGGATACACAGAGGGCCAACCGTAAGTAGCCCTTTCACAAACTCACCAGATTTCGGCAACTTACCTACTACCTACTTACTAGGTACTGGGCCGAAGAGGTGGACGCCGGCGCGTTCAGCAAATCCGTCATCTTCGACGCAGATCTCGGTTTCGGCGGAGACGGCGCTCCCGACACGCAGTGCATCCAAGACGGTCCATTCGCCGATTACATGAATCCTCTCGGTCCGGGATACACCATCGAGGATCATTGCATCCAGCGCCAGATCAGCGACAGGGCAAGCAACTCGGCCCAAGAGAGCGTGTTGGAGAACTGCAGGAATAAGACGACCTTTATGGAATTTTGGCCTTGCATCGAGGGCGGCCCCCACGGAGCCGGCCACGGCGGAGTGGGCGCTCAGGTTCGTTTCTTGCTACCCTTCCCCAAGTCCGCGGAGCTGACACTTCTTTTCGAATCATCATCTAGATGTTGAACCCCGTCTCGAGCCCTGGCGACCCCTGTTCTTCATGCATCATACTTGGTTGGATAGGCTCTGGGCTAAATGGCAGGAAGGCGACCCCGAAACCCGCCACGCCGAGATTGGCGGAAACAACGAAGCCACCGGATTCTTCGGAGGTGGCGCGGGCGGGTTCCCTGGAGGTCCGGGTGGTGGTTTCGGCAATTTCCCCGGTTTCCCCGGAGCCCCGCCGACGGCGATTCGGAGCCCGAGGAGCCGGCCGATCCGGAAGACGCCGAGGACCCAGCCGAGCCCCGCAAACTCCCGGAGGAGGTGGATTCACGCCGCCGTTCGGAGGCGGTTTTGGAGGCGGCATGCCAGGCTTTGCCCGTCCGGATGACGTCCCGTAAGTGTTGAATGCAGCGTTTTTGTTCTAGTTGAAATGGTACTAACACTGAAGCCTAATACAGTGCCCCGGAAATCATCGGGGACCCGGGCAACGAGACTACCTTGACCCACCTCTTGGAGATGTACGGAGTGGTGGAGGACCGCACCATCGCCGAGGTTATGGATATTGCTGAACTATGCTATGAATACGACTAGCGTGGGCACCATGAATAAGTCGAGGTGAATGACGAAAGAATAGCTTAGTCCCCTGTTGTGTTGATAGCGAATAAGCCCTTCCCATCTAGTAAACCCGATTTTTCTCGTGCATGGGTGTAAGAGCTGGTGTAATCTCGTGTAGGTAGAGGGCCAGGTGCTTAGCCCCTCCGTACACCTTATTTATAGGTGGGGGAGCATGCAGCCATACATGGCTATCTAGATATCTCACTGTTTACACTTTTGAACTTGTGCAAGTGGCGATCAATGAATACTGCTGCCATTGAAGGATTGCCGGATATCACGTGGTACACCCAAGCGAAATTGAGCCAAACAGGTGCCTGTCTGATGTGAGGCCATATGAGCCCGCGATGCATACAAGGTTGTAGATTCTATATGCAAGCTAGACCAATATCACCTGTGGACCATGAACGATGGACATTCACATCCTATGTGTTCTCATCCCACGGGCACTTTCTCTACGGCCGTGGCTGGCAAGAATTATGCCCAAGCTCAGCCTTCACGGTTGGTTGCGAACCCCCAAAAAGACGTGAAATAGGGTCGTATCGAAGGATCGAGAAAAGTCAAGTCGTCCAGTGTTCGTGCAACATCACTTTTGTTAACACGCGTTCCCCTCAATTTTTATCCTGATTGCTTCATCGATCTTTTGTCCTGGCGTATCACGACTGACAATTCGTGCAGCGCGCATTGGAGTGACGGCGTTGAATGCCACTCACCCACAGATACCGTCTGCCGTTGAGCTAGTTTTCACTGCCGATGCCACTTGGAGGCCGTCAGCCACGCCAAGAAACAACAGCATTTCTAGCGACCTTCCACGGCTCACGATAAATCCTCTGCCACTTGTTAGCGGCGGGCGCTAAGGAAACTAGCACAATTAGCCAGTCCAACCGGATATTATTCTTCCTTGTGTCTTTCTCCCGCTTCTTTGTTTCCTTCTTTCCGAAATTCCCCTGAGCCAAGAAATCCTCGCTTCCCAAAGAGTTCAGACGCGTCAATCTTCAATAGCAGCCAACGATTCCCTTGTCGCCCTCGGATAGGCGGCCGAACCCCTCTTTTGTTTTTTTCTCCCTCTGTTCTTTTCCCTCCCTTTCATCGCCACTTGAGTCTCTCCTGTCCCACGGTTACACTCACTGCCTGCACCGCCTCCTTATTTTGTTTTGTTTCTTTTTGTTTCTTTTTCTTTTTGTTTCTCTTTTGCCTTGCTTCCACCTCTCCCTTCCCCCACGCACGCAACATCGCATTTGCCCGTTCTTTTCCTTCCCCCTTGGGCACTCCCCCTTACCCGAAAGAAAAAGTCGGTTGCTGCCGTGTATGCGCTCAAGGACAATCAATACCCGCCGGAGCATGACCAACCATTCCGGCACCCGGCTACGGGCACAGTCCTTCGATTTCTTCCCCACCTAAACGTATCCCAGGAAGCCGCGGATAGCGACGAGACGACCCCGCCATCGCCGTCAACTCCCCTTCGTCCTGAGTTATCTCGGGCCGCTGCTCGAACCCAGCAGCGAGCACAGCAATTGGCTCCCCGCCTCGTTCCACAGATGGGCGGGCGCCACACTAGACGGGAACCTGCTCGTTCCCCTCGCCTCATTCGTCCTCCGCGCCAACGATTTTCTCCGGCAAGAGGGGCTCGCCCACTACTGGCTCACCATTCGCGCCACCCAAGCCACTCCCGAGTACGACTGTCCGCGGTGGCACTGCGACGAGTACTTCTTCCATGAGGCTGAACGCCCGGACAAGGGTCCGAACTGGTGGGCAAACCACCTCCCCCATGCTAGTAGGAAAGAGAGGAGGAACAGGGCCGTCGTCCCAACCGCCAACGGACTGGAAACTGTGCGGCGTGCTCGCCGGCCCCCACGCTCTTCATCCCCCAACCAACAATCCAAAGCCCGTCAAATCCGCGACCGCGTGCGGGCCTCCTGTGCCAAGGAGCACATTTGCGCGTCGGTCCGCTGCGTCGGGTGCGCCACCGCCGCCGAAGAAGTCCGGAAACGCCTCGGCGAGGAGTACGCCGGCCTCGGCACCGTGCAGGCGGCCAAGGGCCAGATCGCTTGCTTCCGCGTCGGCACCGCCCGCGGCGCCGTGCACTCCGAGCCCAAGATGGACGGCGACCGCATCTTTGTCAACGTCGTGCCGGGGACCGAGGACGAGCTGAGGGCTCTCTCGTCGCGGTGGGGGTGGAGTATCCGAGGTCATGGAGCTTTCGGGTTGTGGATCAGCCACGCGGGTATGTGGGAGACTTGTGCCCGCTGCCAGACTCGGAATAGTCAATCTTTTTTTTTTGCTATTTGTTTTAATTTTTAATGGGGCACATATTGTCTTTTTCGCCCTTATTTATTCAATATATACCCAGCGACGTTTTGCCTCTCAGTCTTGAACCCCGCACCGTAGACTTCATCTGCTTGCGTGCTTACTCCTATATGTACCTTGTGTAGACATCATTGATGCAATATAACAGTCGTTTATTCCATCAGCTGCGTGGTCTCTCTCGCTGCACCATGGTTACGACTCACGTACCTCAACAATTCAATAATAAAGACGCATGTAACCCCATTGCCTGCATGATACTTCGTACTTGATATCAGCGTCTCTGCGTGCAGTGTCTGACATTGCACTGACCGAGGATGGAATCGGACCATCTGTAATGCCGTGTGTTCCGCTTCATCATAGGCCACATCAACATCAGTTCACACTCAATATCCATGCTCACACTGCACTGACAAGACAGCAGTGGGAACTTGATACTTGATAGGTGCCTAATTTATTGACGCAAGCGAGGGAACAAAATAGGAAAAGATCCAAAACCCTTGTCGCCAACGAACCCCTGCGCAGAGACTATGCTAGTTCCGTTCGTTGCGCGTGGCTAGCCTCCGCCACTCTTATCTCTGCTTTTACAAATGCTGGCTGCCCAATAACCCCCAACGACCTTCTCGCTCGTTTCTCCAAGAAGAGCAAAAAACGCCCGGGTATCGAGATTGAGCGCCCCGGTAGAGCCAGTAGAGCGGGGCGTAAAGAAAACTGCAAAGACAAGGGGCGGGGATGCGAACGGCGCGCGGGATTACTGCATGACCACCAGAATGCAACGGTCGCACAAGTTGCCGCTCGACTAAAAAAGCTTGTGGTTGACAGTTAGTGCAGCAAAGGCCAATGGTGTCGAGTTATCCCTCGTCGTTTGTCACCATCTCGTGCGTGGGGAGGCGGAGGGGAGGGGCGAACCTGCACTGCAACCATGGCAGGGACTAGGAAGTGAAGATGAAATGGCTCCAAAGAGGACCACCCGGGGCAGTTGGTCCTGGTTTGGATGTGATATGTGAGACAAGTGTCTGTTTAAAATTCATTCTCGTCCGCTGTCAGCGAGAATAAACTGCGAGAAGAAAGGGAAGGACAAAGGGCCAGACGCCAACTCGTTCTCTTGTCTAGGAAGCTCATCGCAAAAGAAAAAGAAAAGCCATGACAGTAGTGCACTCCCTCCCCAGCGTGTCCCTCGCCGCCGGCGCCGCCGTCTTCCTCGCGGCCGCCCTCATCGCCAAATACCTCCTCTCCACCCGCCGCCCGCGCGACTTCCCCCGGGCCCCCACGATCCTCGGCCTCGGCAACCTGCACCAGATCCCCTCCAGCAGCCCTTTCGCCAATTCCACGCCTGGGCCGAAACCTACGGCGACATCCTCGGCCTCAAAGTCGGGCCCCTCAACGTGGTCGTCCTGCGCAACCCCGTCCACGTGCGCGAGGTGCTCGAGAAGCGCGGTGCCTCTTACGCGGGCCGACCCTACAGCTACATACCCGCGGAGCACGTCTTTGCCGAGCACGCCGACAAGCACATCCTCAACCTCCAGCACGACGCGTTCCTGCGCCGCTGGCGTACCGCCGCGAATCACCTCCTCGCCCCCGCCGGCGTGAGGCAGTGCCTGCCCATCCTCGACGCCACCGCCGCGACGCTCGCGCACAGCCTACTCGACGTCGACGCCGAGGTCATCGACCCCCTGTCGCACGTCCGGCACTGGGCGCTGGCGACGCCCCTGCTCGCCATCACGGGCCAGCGCCTCGAGGACCGCGGCCCGGGCTTCGCCGCCCGGTTCTTCGACGCGCAGCACAAGTGGCTCGAGCTGCTGGAGCCCGGCAACGCGCCGCCCGTCGACTTTTTCCCCTTCCTCCGCTGGGTGCCCGAGTTGTTCGCGGATTGAAGACCAAGGCGCGCGAGGTGCGCGAGTACATGCTCGACGAGTACTTTGGCTACTTGCAGACGGCCAAGGGACTGCGTCACCAAACGGACGAGGAGGCGTCTTCCTCCTCTGGTGGATTGAAAGGTTTTCGGCCCTTGCTGACCAAGGTCCTCGAGGACGGCGGGCCCGAGCCGACGGAGAAGAGTCAGGGGAAATGCTTTACGGATGCCGAGATTGCGTACATGGGCGGCGGGCTCCTCGACGCAGCCGTGGACACTACTTTGGCTTCCATCCTGAGCTTCATCATGTTCATGGCTCGTTATCCCGAAGTGCAAGCCCAAGCGTTTGAGGAACTCGATGGACAATGCCCGGGCAAGGTACCGTCGGCCGAAGATCTGGAGAAACTGCCGTACCTTCGAGCATGCTTGTTGGAGGTAAGTGTATAGCCTACACTATGTATAACAAACCACCGCGGCTGGCAAAACTAAGCCTCATTCCTCCCTAACAAAAAGGCACGGCACATGCACAAAGGGAAAAATTGACATTAACACACACGCTAACGTTTCCATTTTTTTCTTCTTCTTTTTCCTTTTCTAGATCTTCCGTCTCCGCCCCCCGCGCCAACCTCGCTCCCCGCATCCTCGACCGGGACGACGTCTTCCACGGCTACAAGCTCCCCAAGGGGACAACGATCCTCGTCAACGTGTGGGGACTGCACCAAAACAGCGACGAGTACGAGGCACCCGACGAATTTCGCCCGCAGCGGTTCCTCCTGCACCCGCTGGGCGTCAAGCCCGACGCGCTCGCGCCGGACGCGGTCCACGGGCGAAGGGCGAGCTATACCTTTGGCACGGGACGCAGGGTGTGCCCCGGGGAACAATTCGCGGAGGCTTCTCTGCTCCTGGCCCTCGCCAAGGTCGTCTGGGCCTATCGAATCGTTGCCCCGGGACCGCTTGACACCTCGCTACAAGGGGGTATGCGACCGGCTTAGCCCTCGTGCCGAAGCCATTCAGGGTCGAGTTCCAGCTGAGGGACGACGCTAGAAGGGAGCTCCTCACTTCTGAATACAATGCCATCGCTCTCTAATCCCGAAACGACGGGTGTCCAAGCCGCAAGTGGGGTCTACCATGAACCCTCTTCTCCCCCGGCTCCCTCGATGAAGATGCCTCTCTCTCTCTCTCTCTCTCTCGGTTTGGACGGGCCATCTCAGATCCCATTGAGATGCAGAGTGGGGACGGACCAATAGGAGCGCGGGTGGCTGCTCGATATTCCGTCTTTACTCTGCCCCCGGGCCCGGGGAATATGGGAAAAAGAAAGAGTAGTCAATGGCTGTGGGGATGGGGAACTCTTTTTAATGGATCCATCCACTCTGTCTCTGTCTGTCTTTATCTTTTCTGCCGTCCCCCACACGGACAACGATGCATAGATCTATCAATTGCACCGATTGATGCAATCACAGTGTTGATGGGCGGACCCCGCACAGCTTCGAGCCGGAGTGTCGGTTTTGGGCGCCGCCCCTGGCTAAAGTTCAGATAGATTGATCAACAAAGGGTCGATTCGGCTTATTATATTTTCGGCGACTCAAACTCGTCCCAAACAGGCAAGTCACGCCCCGGGCCAGGAGTGAATGGGTGGGGAAGAGCGCAGCGAGAGTCGAGCGAGATGGAGAGGCAGAGCGAGTCCAGAGCGAGTCCAGAGCGAGACAGAAGCCAAGAGAAACCTGACACACGGGAGGGGATTAATACTTAGTACTCTCTTCTCACATGCTGTACAACTGGAATATTTTTCGACATTGAGCCCCATGATCGACGATGCGTCGGCCCCCATGGAAAAACCCGTACGATTGGGCTTATGGATTTAGATTAAATTTGTGTTGGATATTTTCCCTCTTTTCTGGGTTTGAAAAACATGAGCTGATTTTTCCTTGTCCCCCATTAAGCCCTCTAATGAGCTCAACTCCTTATTCGGGAATGCGGCTAGCTGTCAACGAACAAGGTGTGGGATGGGGAGCGTGTGTTTTGTGTTTGTGACTCTCGTCTCTCTTCCTCTCGTGCTGCTGTTCCTAATACAACATGTCCCTTTGCATCCTCTTCCTCCGCCGTTTGCGCGACAGCTGGTGCTTTGACGCACTCAAACTTCTGAAAAAAATGATGAAACTTCTAATACCTTGACACCTTGGACCCGCCCCATATTCAAGGGATTGAATGTGCGACTGTGATGGATGCTGTGATGACAGAATGAATGCCCTGTATCGACGGACAAAAACAAAAGACAAAAGGAAAAAGAAAAAAAACACAAGATCCTTCTACTCAATTCCCGCTGGACGAAAAGGCACAAGAAAAAAAGAAGACGGTACAAGATGTAAATATAAATGAATGAAGAGAAGATTGTAAAAAGATTTAATCAAGAAAAGAAAAGGAAGAAGCGGGATGGCGAAAAAAGAAAGAAATCATGTGCTGCTCGGCAGCGGATGGTTGTGGCTGTCGAACCGATAACCTCGAGGAAGGCGATGCACTATCCAAGTTCCCGGGTTGTGTATTAAAAGTCCCACAGCGTGCCGAATGCGTGTAAACCAGCTGCAAGAATCGTACGTTAGCCGCCATTTGCCTTTTTTGCGTCTGTATTTTTTTTCTTCTTCTCTTTCCGCTTGCTTTTGCGGGGTTTTGCGGGGTGGCGACACGGCTGGGTTCCCAAAGGAAAAGAAGATGGGGGAGAACTGGCAGACAAAGAAACGGGGGCTGGAATCTGGGGAACGGGACATGCGTGCAAGATGGGGGCCGGAGGATTGTGCAAGGGGCGAAAAGCGGAAAAGAGAAGAAAAAAGAAAAAAAGCTTTTTCGACGTACCTGCAGCGCAGCCCTGCATCATCTCGTCGTTGCCCTGCATGTTGGAGGTGATGAAGATGACCTCGGCTCCGAAGCTGTCCCACGTCTCCTTGAGGAGGCCCACGGTATCCGGCCGGCCGCCTCGCTTCTTGGAGTCCCAGAGGATCATGCGTTCCGGCTCGATGTGCTTGTGGATAAGGCCCGAGATCGTAGGTCCAAATGTCCTCTCTTGGTCCGAACCGATCCAGATGAGGAACCTGAGATGAGACGCGGCGATATTAGCGATTTGTGTGAAGGAAAAAAAAAAAAAAAAAAAACCGAAACTCACCAGTTCTTGCTCTGGATACAGGTCGAGAGCGCGGCTCCAATACCAGTTCCCGTGCAAATGCGAATTCCTCGCTTAAACATGGCCGAAGCATGTCCGACGCCGGCTACACCAAGGGGAGGTTTGAAGTTAGCGAGCGATCCTCGGGGCTTTTTTCCTCTTCTTCTTTTCTACTTCTTCTCCCTCATTTCGTTCGTTTCATGAAACAGCACTAAAAAAAAAAAGACGAGACGAGACTCACCGAATTTGAGTTCGCGGGTCCAGACAAACTTGGGCGGGTCGTCAACGAGGCCCTTTGTGAAATCGCCCTGGACGCCGCAAATCATGTAGTGGCAGTCGGACTTGCGACCCTCGCTAATGATGCCAAAGGCGTGGTACTCCATGACCGAGGTGCGGCTGATGCGGCCCAGGAGACCCTGCTGCATGCCACGCTGGAACTTGAGGATGGCGACCTTGGGGGATGGCTAGGGAGAAGAGTTAGTCGAGCGGACTTTGCTAAACAGGTTTTGACGGAGGGAGACGTACGATTTCGACCTCGACGGGGACCTTTCGAAGCGTGATCCAAGGAATGAGGACGCTGGGAGGCAGAAATTATTAGTACAATTCCCCGGCGTGGTTGTGCGTACGCATGTGGACTTGGACTTACAAGACGGTCATGAAAACGGCAAACCAAAACTCCTGTGCACTAAGGAGGGAGTCGGCATCGGCACGCCACTCCTTCAACTTGATGTCGTAGAAATTACCCAAGATGACAAAGACCCAGGTCGCCTAATTGATTTATTAGTACCATGATTATCCGAATTTCAATATTTTTTCGGTCCTTGAAGAGCGGGGCTGGCATACCGCAAGACCAAGCCAGCCGATGAAGCGGTGATGGCCTTCGAATACGTTGTGGTAGTTGCTGCGCGGAAAGCGTTAGTCTCCTTTTTTCTTTCTCTTTTTGTGATTTCGCCCAACTTACTTTCGCACCCACGGGAACGCGCTCAAGATGGAGATGAGCACGAGAACGTTGGTGATGATTCCGGCCACGATTACGGTAATGTGCTGCACGGACTGGTTCCGGATGATGTCGACAATCTTGAAAACAAGCCATCTTTAAAACAAACATCGCGTGTTAGTCACACCCTGCACACTGGATTTTCTAGGGCGAAATTCTTGGCCTTACCCAGCGCCCGAGAGAGCGCATCCGGAGTGAATGCCGCCCACATGCTGCAAAACGGAGGTGACGCCCAATTTAATGGGAACCGGGGCCCACTACTCAAACCGTCAGCGATTTCAGCCAAAAAGAAAAGAAAAGAAAATTCTTATACATACGCTTCGCAGTCCGTAAATAGCAATGATGTAGAGGATTCGAAGAAACAGCTCGTTGCGCATGAGCACGGCACACAACAAATTCCCCAGCACCAAGGCACCCAAGTGATTCTCGGCGTACTTGAAGCGCCCCAGCCCGGCCATGACGATGCCGGTAATGTTGAGCAGGACGACAAAGGTGAAGAACTTGCGGTACGTGTTGAACCAGAGCCAAAACAGGATCCAGCGGCTAGGCTTAGGCTTCGGGGTTTACCACCACCGCCACCACCGCTGCCTTTCTTCCCGGGCTCGTTGGGGGCCTTGAAACCGGTGGGCCAGGAGAGAGCGAGCTCGGGCACGCTGGTAAACGGGGTGAGACCTTCGTGCACGGGGGACAGCGGCCACAGATCCGTGTCGACGTAGAGCGACTTCTTCCTGTCGGAGCGGCTGCTGCGGGGCGGGATGATGGGCAAGCCGGGCGTGTAGTCGAACATGCCCTTTTCTGCGTCGTCGAAGTCTTGGTTGCGGCCTGCGCCCTTGGCCTTGCCCTTGGACCACGGTCGTGAAGACATTGTTGTATGCGAAGTCCCGCCTTCGAGACGCAGAGAGCGCGCGCGGACCGGGAAAACGAGAGAGGTTGTGGAACAAGCGGGGGAGAGAGCTTGGTTCTAACGTTTTGTTGTGTTCCGGGAGGTCCGTCTGGTGTCGCGGAGGCTTAGTTTCGAAGCTCGAAAAGGGGAGGGTGGGGGCCGGGGGTTGGTGAGGGAGGGGAGGAGGGAGATATATATATGAATGGAAGGGCTAAAGGGAGAATGGGAAGGAGAGTTGAGGTTGGGCGGAAAGAGGTACGCTAGGAAGATCTGGAGCTAGCGGAAAGGACAGGGGATGTCCCGGGAAGGGAGAGAGGAGGGTAAGGTGTGTGCCTGTAAGTGGCGTGTGCGTGTGTGTATGGGCAGACAGATCCGAACCAGCTGATGGATTCCAGCGGTTCCTTTGGGTTGAAGAAAAGGGGGGGGCGGCGGAGGAAGGAAGGATGGAAGGAGGGTATATGGAAAGCGACGGTTGTGTCCGGCCTTGGCCTGGAATTTTAAAGAGAATGGGCTGATCAAGGGATCTAGACGACGGAAAAAGGCCAGGCACTCACTTTAAACCCACAGGGTTCCCAAGATCCAGAGCTCGCAACTTTAGGGTTCCAATACCGATACCCCACGGGGAGGGAAAAAAGTGGGATATGGGCTGTTACGAGCAGGTGGCTCGACGCGCGACGCTGGCGGTGGGAGAGACGGTGTAAGGTAGCAGGAAGCAGGAAGCAGGAAGTGGAAGAAGAAGAACAGAGAGAGAGAGAGCGAGAGAGAGTCCGTCAGTCAGTCCGTGGAAAGAGAGTTTTGCGTTCCCTTTTTTGGTTCGCAGGGTGGGTTACATGGAGATCCCGGGGCGGAGGGGCTGATATTTCCAGAAATCCAGACGCAAAAAGGAACGAAAAAGAACGAAGAGGCAAGGCCAGCCCCAAAAGGTTTAAAGGGTCCTGTCCTTTTGAACAATGGAATGGAAATAGATCTTGGGTGTCGGGGTCACGACGGAACATGGAAGCGCCCGCGTTCCTTGACTCCTTAACCTCGAACCGTGGGCCGGGGGCTCCACAATTAGTCGTTTATTCGTTTTCTTTTTTTCTTTTTCTTTTTTTTCGCGTTCCGCATAGCTTGCTTTCCTGCTTTTGCTGCGATTCCCGACCCCAGGCACGAGCTCCGAAGAAAGACCTGCCGCCGCAACGAGCAAAGTAAGGCATATACCGAACTATCCGCCAAGGAGAGAGATAAACTTGTGGGCAGCCAATAGCCTATGTGGGATGTGCGGAGGGCCCTTTTTTTTTTTTCTCGTCTTCTTTTTTTCTTTTTCTTCCCTTCTTCTTCCTTCTTCTCTCTCTACTACCAGTGCGTGCTACCGCTAGTCCTGGCGGTGCCTGTCCTGTTCCCCCCTCCCCCAGATAGATTTGCCGGCTTCCTCGAGTGGGCAAGCAAGGCAATTGCAAGCCGCCTCTGGGGCGGACTGCCGACCCCATACTCTCTCAATTATGTCGTCAGATCCATATTCGAAGCGAGATTGTTATTGTTCATGCCACTGGCTAACAGGCTGGGGGAGAGGGCCCCCGGCCGTCATTTGTGCAATTATGTGCCCTCCTCTGGCCCCGTTCTGCTAGGCCCTGGCGGCTGTTCCTCCGTCAGGCCAGGCAGGGAAATCCATTTAAAGCTCCGATTATCCATATTAACCCCAGATTCGGGGCGGAATCTGCATCTACAGCGCTGACACGTGGGGGCCGGCAGAACATTGAACGATCCAAGTACCTTGACCCACGACCGACTTGCTTTTTTGGCACCTTTGGCAATCCCAGCGCTCTCAATCTCTCTTTTTCGCCCTCCCCTCAAGTGCTCCCTGCGCCGCCCTCCCTCCCTCAACTCTCTCACACACCCCGGTCGACCGCCAGGGCGTCGTTCTCCTGCCTGCCCGCCAACTCTTTCGCGTGAGGGTGCCCATCAAGCTTAATACCCCAGGGTAGAATTGACAAGCCCCGCGCGTTCCACAACCGGCGACCATCCGAGTACGGGGTACCTCGATGCACATGCACACCCTCGCAATAAGTGCCATGCACCAACGTCGTGGCTTTTTGCCATTCTTTTTCTTTCTCTTTTTCCCTTTGTTTTCTCGTAGGCGCCCTGCTCTCTTTCTGGCTGTTTTCTCGATTCTCGGTCGAATGGGTAGCAGCGACCGTGAATAAAACCAGGGGCACGCGCTGCCCTCTCTCTCTCCCTCTCTATTCAGCATCTGCTGATAACGGCGCGCCCCGATGACAGACCCCATCATCTCACGATGCATCCACCCCTCCCCTTCATCCATAGCAACTACAGTTGGACCTGCCTTCTTCGCCTCTTCGCCATCGGCCCTGTTCCCTTAGCTTTTCTCTTCCCCCTCTCGCGTTTCTGTCCCCCTTGCTTATCTCTCCCTTTGAGAAGAAAAAGAAGCAAAGAAACCTTAATAGATCCTAAATATAGGGCTTTGGTCCCGGAGCCGTTCAATCTCGCTCCCCGCGTATATCCTCCTCTCCTCCTTTTTCCTTTCCCTTCCCCCTACCCCACCGCCACCCCTCCTTTTTTATTTTCCTTTTTCCTAATCCATCAGTGATTTGAGCTCTCTGCAATGGAGATCCCACCCGTGGGCGGCCTGCCGGGGAACGGCACTGTCTGCGGTTGATAGATCCGGGGGAGGGACCCAAGCAGGGGAGGGGCAAAGGTCCAACAAGGTACAGAAAAGGCAGTTCTCTGGGGTCAGGAACCCACCAACGGGAATCGATCGAGCTGGCTCGCTCCTCTCTCTCTTTCCTCTTGCCGTCTTCTCCCCCGCCCAGAAAGGGGAGAGACCAAACCCCATTCGGGCTGGGCTGGCGGCGGAACCGACGGGCCGGGGTGGGTGTTGGCCACACTTAGAGAGAGAAGAGGTCTCGTCCAAATAGGCTCCACAGGTTCTTCGCATTTTCCTGAACGGGACCCGTGTGTGTCTGTGGGCTGGGCCCCCGGGCTGGGCTGGGCACCCATCCCGCGAACCTGACTCTTGACTTTGCTCTTCCCTGTCTGCCACGCTTGTTTGCTGAAACCCTTCTTGCATGCTTGATTTTTGGCTCCATCTATCCTTCTATCCCTCTCTTTCTCTCTCATTCTCTCTCGCCAAGGTCTTCAATGTTGTTTCAGTGACGTTCTTGCCCTGCCCTACCACACACCCGCGCTGCAAGCTTGCAAGCGTAGCCCCTCTCCATACCACCCTCCTGTACCCTCCTGTCCACCCTCCTGCTCACGGCCTTGCTGGCTTCCACCAGACAATATTCCCAGTATTCCCCTGCCAAGTAAAATAATGACGTCTCTTAGGGCGGCTCAACCTTGCAACTGTTTTGCAGATCATGTGCCCCCTCCCAACCCCCAACCTCATCTCTGCCTGCGTCCGTCCACCTGCATCTTTGATTCCGCATCTATCCCACCATTGTCATGTCATCTGCTCGGCCGCAGCCGCGATGCTTATTTTTCCACTCCTCTCCGCGCCCTGAAAAGAAACCCCCTCTTGTATTACGCTTTTCCTGCCGTGCTCTCGGTTTTTTCTTCCCACCACGTAGCTATTTGCTTTCCTGGGAGGGTGGTTCCTTTTTTCCCTCTCTATTTTGCTAGGCCTCTCGCAAAGGTGACACTCGGCGGCTTCCTCGGAGGGGCAAAATCCGTGCCGTCCCTTAGCGTGCTCTCTCGACAGTGGGACAACGATGGGACTGGACAGTCACGAGACACGAAACCAACTTGGATCCTTCAGGTACGAGGTTTTTGACCATTTATTTCTCTGCCATTGGTGGCCCCAAACAATAATCATGCCGCCCCACGATTTGCATTCTATCTGTTGTTGAGATAACCTCGCGGGCTAGTCCCTGAATCTAAGCAAGCCCCGATATTTTAGTCTGCTCCTTAATTCCTAGCCATGTCTAGTTAATTATTCCCTTTAAGCTGGCCCCCATCGTCCATCGCTCCCTTGGCGCCTTCATGGGGGAAAGAGAACCCGAAGAAGAAGAAGAAGAAGAAGAAAAAAAGAAGAAAAAGACAAGTGGCCCTCGTCCGAAGCCAAGCCGACGGATGCTACTCCAGCCCAAATTAAGCGAAACTTGATCGCCCCCTCGATTGTCTGATGTAGACACGGCGAAATATAACGTATATATATCATTCCAGGCCCGCCCACCCGTCTTTTCTTCCCCCATTTCCCTGCGTGATCCGCTCAGCCACCGTCAATTGTTTGCCTTGGCATGAATCCTCTGGTGGAGTTTCTCCCGTTGTTCTCTCCTTGTTCTGCGTGTTTGGATATGTGGATGTGCGCGCGCACATGAGCGTGTTTTTCTTTTCTCCTTCCGTCGCCTCGCCGTGAACGGAATGAGGATAGACAGGACCAAAGAAGAGAAGAGAAAAAAAAGCGCAGATCCCCCCTTAGAACAATTGAACGAGTTTCTCCGTCTTGTGTCATGGCCGCTTGGCTTGCTCCTCTTTGCTAACGCACCCCACATCTGAGTTGGACTGCAGCCGGACGTAGTTTCGCCGACTACCATCCTGACATTTGCCATGACTTAGAAAAAAAAAAACATACGACTCGTCAGATTCGTCCTCCGCATCTCTTCTTTTGATCGTGTTCGGCGAAAAGTGCCCCCGATATCCGACATCGCGCCGACAAGGACGAGCGACAGAATTGCTGTGTTGTGCTGTGCTGCGTTGTGTTGCGTGGGGTTAAAGGGAAGCCGAATGGGCATGCTCTGCGATTTGATTTTTTCTCTCCCTCGTCAAGCACAAAGTACGTCGGTCATCCTGAGAACTAAGGACCTCGCTCGTCAAATGCAGTGCCTAGAAATGACGCCGGCGATGACACCGAAGCGAGGCCCCGGCGCCCTATGTCTCCGAGATCCGTCCCGGAGTCGGGGGCGTGGGGAATCCTCGGCTCCCATTGCGTCATGCTTGAAACTTGAATCGTGGGACATCGCATCACGTCTGGGAAGGCGCCGTATCAGAGTGTCTTCAATTCTACGCGTTTACCTGTTGTTTCCTACCTTTTTGCTTAGATTTCTTTTCAGGCAACGTGCAGCCCGGAGAACAATGCTGAAAAGCGTGTCTGGGGACAGCATTGATGCTATGTTGCTCGTGTGGGTCCCCATCGAGCGTGCGTGGACAGCTGCACGGCCCATTGCAAGTGGCCGAGCGACGCCGAGATAGTTTGCTTGTCGTGAGAGACGTAGCTTGCAGTGCGGGCACGACTCAAAACGTCCACCGGAGGTATCGTGAATGATTTGTAAAGTGTGAAGTAATTGAAAATATAAAATAGAAGAAAAGAAAGCCCGAGCTGCTACAGACCATTACTTCCCACATGCCTTTCTGATCAAATTGATCGAGTGGAGCGTCCATGGCCACGGTGCCTATGCGTGGTACCCTTCAATAAAACACTTGATAACTGCAGGGTTGAACAGCGCCGTCTCCTCGAAGGTCTTACACTAGCGCATGCTTGGATGCGACCCCAAAGTGTTTAGGCCCGAAGCCTTTAGCTCGCGCTTACACCTACGGAGCCGATCACCAGATGACACATACCCAACGTCTCGTGTAGGCAACCGAACTATTCGTTGAACTTGGTGAGAGTCTGGGGGCATCCATCTTCACGTTCCTACGCACGCGGAGCTGGCTTGGTGAGTGGGGTAAATCCAATAGATCCATGTCCCCTCCGTATCTATAAAGCGCCTTGTTAGTCTGGGGGTTGCAGCGAGTGGCCCTCTCGCGCATGTTACAGTGAATTACCCTACCCGCCTTTGACGTCGGGATATGTTATAGGTTTATGGGCTTCAGAGCTGGGGAGTGACGATAGAGAAGTGTCAGAGTGTCCAAGGTTGCCACTTACGTGTATTGCGTTGCTACCGTGGCATTGATATCACTGCCCAGATGCACTATTGGTGCCAGGCCCTCGAAACGAGCCAGGGAGTTGCCTGGATCTTTCTTATGACGGGAGTATAGTATCCAGAATGCATGGCCATGGAATTACAACAGTAGCCACCAGTGTGTTGGGCTCCACGAGAGCTTTCTACACAGCCAGGTGGCGGAAATAGCTGCACCGATCGCTAGGCACTATAGAGGCGATGGACGGGTAGTGGACATCACTCGACAGGATTCTCAATTTACACAATGAAAAGATAGCTAATCTTTTGGAGACAATACAGTCTTACATATATACGGTGCGGAAGTTCTTATCGAGTTCCAACATCTCGCTGGCCGTGTTCATTAACCCTGCTCCGCGAGCCCCGCTCCCGGGCTGTGACTGAGGGAGGGAGGGAGGGAGGGACGGGGATCAAAGAGCGCGCCCAACACCCTTCCTTTTCTAAGCCTCTCTTAAGCCGCCTTGCGGGTCAAGAGGTAAATCTCACCCTCGCTCGAGTTGTCGCTACCGACAAAGAGGCCGCGACCAGCAGGCTCCCAGGTGGAAGCGGTGAGGCGGAAGCAGTTGCTCATGGTCAATCCGTTGGCGGTGCAGCTACCGGGGTTCGAGGCGCCAAAGATGTCCTTGTACCCGTCGCGGCTGTCGGCGGGGGCGACGGGGTCGTACTGGCCGGCCTCGGTCTTGGTAAAGGGGATCTCGACGACCTTGAAGCCCGTGGCGGGCTGGCGGTTCCAGGAGCCGTGGAAGGTCACGTACATGTTGGACGCGTCCGAGTCGAACGAGTTGTAGATGGGGGCGCTGTGGGCCTGGAAGGTCAGGCGGGGCTTGATGGCCTTGTCGTTGCAGGTCGCGTCCGTCATGCCCGTCGACGAGTCGATGACGAAGTGGTCGCCCGTCTTGAGGCGGCCCTGGAACGGGGTGGGGTCCCAGACGGAGAAGCAGTTGGGGTAGCCGTAGAACTGGTCCCTGGCCTTGGTGGGGTCGCCCACTGAGAAGGAAAGAGACGATTAGCAAATGATACTCTTGGCTTTTTTCTTTTTACTTTTCCTCTGAAGAGTGCGAGGATGAGGACTCAATGGTGACTTACAAAAGTTGAGCTTCTCAGCAGGGTTGTCGATGTGGATATCGGCGCCGTTGAGCTTAAAGTCCTGCGGTCCCCCAAATGGGTTAGTATCAAAGTTCAAATTGGCGCAAAACAGGTGAAACTCCATTGACAACTTACATCGCCGCTGTTCTCAACACCCCAGACGTCACCGTTGGGATCAGCAATGAAGCCAATCTCGTTACGAAGACCGTAGGCAAACACCTCGCCGTCGGTCTTGTAGTTGTATCCGCCGCGGGCGCCTTATCCATGTCAAAGATCTTGATGATGGCGCGTCCGGTGGCGGGCTGAGCAGACTGCATGTCCAAGTTGCTGTTGCTGCCGACCTGGAGCATGACCAGGTTGGGCGCGTTGGGCGACACGAGCAGACCCCTGGTGGAGTGGATGCCCGTATCCATGCCGTTGACGACCGTCTTCTTGTCGGACACGGTCTTGGTCGCGGCGTCGTACGACCAGGAAAAGGCCGCGCGCTCGGAGCTGGCGTAGAGGGTCTTGCCGTCCGGCGTCAGGGCGAGGCCGTGGTTGAGGGCGATCTCGGGAATGAGCATCGTGCTGCTGGCCACGCAGCCGTCGGCGCCAAACGTGTGGATGGAGATGCCCTTCCTCGCCTCCGACACGAGCATGTTGCCCTCGGTGTCGAACACGATGGTGCGCACGCCCTGGAGCCCGCCGGCGATCTTGATGACGTTCCAGGCGGGATCGACCGTGTATTGGGGAACTTCATGGCCGCGACGCCGGTGCAGGAGGTCGGAATCGGGAGCTGTTCGGCCTGGGCGACGACATAGCCTATTTTCTCCGATTAGCGAGCGAATTCACTTTTTTTTCTGTCTCGAAATCTCATGGCTCTTCATCTTTCTGTCTCCCTCCGATCGCGATGAGCGAGAGTGGCCCATCCGTCGTTGGCCGGTCGCACAAACATAGCCATCCTGCAAGGGTCGAATAAAGAGAATCCACTACGTACCGGCGCCAAGGAACGCGGCTAGAGCCGCTGAAATGCCAAGGAGTTGCATTTTCTGGGGAGGACGATTGGAGCCAAACGATTCGATAAGTTTATAGAGCCAAGACCAAACAAGCGGAATCGAACGACACACGACTTGATCGAAACCGACATATGCTGGGCGAGCGTCAATTCTTGGCGACCCCCAAGATAGTTAAATAGACAAGAGCCAAGTCTTTGCCCCCGAATCCCGCCAAAGCGGAAAAGCCAAGCTCCATACTTTTTCGAGGAGGAGTCGAATCAGATTGCCACGCGTCTCCCCGTCGTTTACAAGCTCCAATTTGCCGGAGCGCACCTTGGACAGTCGGATAGGACGGCAGCCCCTAGATTGGCCGGCGCTCGACGATTTCGCCCGTGTGCGCGTAGATTGGGGGAAGGGGGAACTTGATCAATGTCAGGCGTTGGCGTGCGGTGCGGGGTTTTTGGAAGCCATTGGGGAGGAGCTTTAGCCTTGGGACATTGACAGTCGGCTATTTTTCCGCTGATATTGTATATTACTCCCGCACATCGGTACCCTTCGGTGACGGGTCTTCTGGTTGGTCGGCTTGCACTCAACTTGGAGGCTCCGGGGCGCATCGTAATATTGGGATGATGGCTTCGGTTTAAGATTGTTCGATTTTGCCTTCTTTCGAGAAGATGAGGCTTGTTGGTGGTGGCAAGGGTCGAATGTCATGCTAATTACGAATTCCTGGCATCGTGAGAGCAGACCAGAAACACCCGACACGCTCTCAAGTATAAACAAACCCCGTCACCTGCCATCGCTCCTCCCTCGAGATCAGACGATCTCTTCTACACGAATTGATGCCGGATTCCAATGACCGTGGCTATAACATACATCCATCTATGGGTGCATGTCAAGTTGGCTCAGATGGCCTCAAATGCTACATGTAGGGAGCCGTGCTGTCGGCTTTCGTCTGAATTGATCGAAGGACTTCACGTTGACGAAAGGTGGCCCGAAACGTCACGGAAAGACACCCACGGATTATCTCAACCTACCCATCAGCTTTGGTGTCAACACAGCGTCCATTTTATGTGCCGAACCCAAAAAGCAGCATTTTGCTCCACTCACATTCCGACGCCAGCCCCGGGCCGGTGTCAAACTGGCGACCTGCCTTTCTTCCCTTTTCCGCTATGATTTTTTCCGACTTCCTTGACCCGTCCAGCCATTCATCACATGACGGCTGGAGCAGAAGAGTCTCAATGTTTGGTTCCCGGTTGGCATTTCCCGCCCATTGACCCATATTTCATCTATCAATAGTCCCCCTCCTTCCTCGCCCTGGTAGTGACGGCGTGGCCGTGGCACCCGGGAAAGAGAGCCATGCTCGGCCAAACCTCTTTGCTGCCCAAGTTCTTGACACAATCGTTAATCTGGCGTCAGCGATGGGTTCATCGTTCTTTGTCCGGTAACCATGCAACTTCATGATACGCACATGGCAATTTATTAGTAGCTTTACCTGCGTCACCCATCCATTGCATGTATGCTGCGCGGCTAACAGAAAACACCCTTGACTACATCTCCTTCCTCGCTACTAGAGCTGGACCTGGGGAATGGTGATTCAAGAATAGAGACGATGGGTGCATAATCTTGTGAAATCACGGCTCAAACTGAAGTTCTTGAGATGAGATGCCCAATATCACATACAATGAGACTCGAGTTGTTCCCAGTCTGTCGGGATACACATCATTCCTAGGGCTATAGAATATTGTAATGTCACTATAAACCGGCGAGTCTTTGAAGAGCGAATTTGCAAAAGCAACGCATGACTAGAAACAGAAGAGGTGAGCTTTAGAACATGCCCTTGCTACATACGTGGCTCAAATTCTGATAAATCTACTGAGGATAGGCCGACCCGCATCCTGTATAAATCTGCGCCTGACTAGCCCCTTGTCGTTTGTCCATTGCTCTTCATGCTGCCCATATTACTCGCGGCGGGAGCATTCAAAAGTACGACACTCTCGAACGGATTCTGGCCGTCAAACCGCGAAACGATCAAGAGTACTGGGTTATTACATTGGCTGATCATGCCCTGGATATACGCGTATTCACAGAAATGTCGGCAGACGGCATGACTCGGAAGATTCAGTCGGCTTCTGCGTTCTGCACAGAGGTCAGGCGGCTATCATTTCGAGCAGGAATGAAACAAGCTATAGCAATTAACAGCAGTCGTTGAGAAGTTTCAACCCAAGCTATAGGTAAGGCATTCTTCCCTTTGTTCTTCCCAATTACTAATAATTAATCCGAGCGTAGGAAATGGTTATTTGAAAGACGAGTTGATGAAGCTTGCCGCACACGCGAACAGGATGGCCATGACCAGAGACTACTTAAGCTATATTACAGTCATGAAAGGCCTAGGAAGATTCCTTAACCTGCCTCATCGAGGCGACCAAGCCACAGGACTTCTGGTATATGACTGCGAAGAGGTACCCTGAGCTATCCCTACCGTTGCCTGCAAAGACACAGGATGAGCTATGACTGAGGGAAGATTATGTCGCTATTACAAAGGAGCTTGAGGATCTCTCTTTAAGACGAATGCCGCAACGCGAACAGCTAACAGGAACCAGCTTCCCAACTAAAAGCGCATACTTGAGAAAACAGAGCTTACTAGAGTCCGCAGTACTCAGGACCGGAAGCATCCTCCGGAGACCGAAGGGAAAGAGAAGCATCGTATAGACACAGACCGTTCTTGGTTCGATCGCCTTCGACACATGATGCCTGAACGCCAAAGGCTCTCACAAAGGCTCTCCATTCTCTCCTGAAGAGAAACTGCCTGGTTGCGTATCAGCCGTCACTCTAACCGTGGCAAGGTAGATGACCGGTGCCTTGTTGTTGAGGGGATCTTGAATGGCGAGAAAAAGGTAGAGCTGAGTTCGCCGGGATAGATGCCACGACACCCTTACCGTGCATGGCATTCCACACCAATGACTGTGTCATTAGGAGCTTGATAGCAAGGCGGAAAGGTTTACTGTGGTGAGTATTGGCCAAGTGAAAGCACGAAGCAGGCTATCCTGTCCTCTAAGATATCCTCTAGGAACAGTAGTAAAAGCCGTCTCAGGCGGGACTGAAGGATCATTGTCACTAGCACCCAGCGAATCCGGACAAAGCGACTCCTTTATTCCAGCAGTGTATCAGTAGGGCAGGCCTCCAGAAATCCCGCATGCCGATGCAAGAGGTCCTCGATCTCGAAATGCCGCTCGCGCTCCGGGTCGTGCCATTTCCAGGGCATCTGACCGTCCTCTGTCGGCTTCTTCCTCCGCAACATGAACGAGTTGGCCAGGTACCGACCATGGCAGGAGAAATCACCGTATGCAAGGATCTCCAACGAAGAGATACCATTGGGTCCGAATACCCAAGTGGCAAAATTAAGAAAATCCCGAGTCAATACACGCACGGTGACAGCGTTGTTGCGGCCAGGAAGGCTAGCCCAGCAGAAAGGATCGGCGCCGGGTAACACATGCTTCCCAGGAGGTTGTCCAGCAAAGTAGGCAGCGTCCGCTTTCTTCGTGTCGAAGACCCACGAAACACGCCGTTTAATATCAGCGCCAGACTGCCGAGCGTGTAAAATTCGGAGGCACGTCTTTTCGGCGAAGGGCTTCAAGACCTCTTGCTGCAGGTTAGTCACAGTTGTCAGCTGATGCTCCTAAATGACACTCAGGTAGGCTAGTGTCGGACGACATACTAAACGATGAGGACCACAAGCCAGGCCAATACACTCTAGGTTTAGTTTGTTAAGGGGATTAGGGTATGTTTCGTTGAACCACTCATCGTCCCCTTCGTCTTCGCAGGTTTCCCCAAAAGGAAAAACGGTACCCAGCAAGGCCGGGCTCACGATCCCCATATTCTTTGCGTCTATTTCTGCCACAAAAGTTTCGGATTCATCATAAATATTGCTGGTCCTAGCCTGAAAGATAAACCGCTTCAGAGTTTCCGTATGCCGTTGCAGAGTATCCCACAACGTCCTTGGACTTCTCGGATTCCAAAGCGAGAGATATATATCTTCAACTCCGACCAGGCTTTCCAAGATCGTCTGTATTACCTCGTTGTAGTTGAAGTCAACGGCGTCATCGCCGAGTAAAGTATTCTGCACCTCTAATGATTGAAAGTGCAGTTGACCTGTATCCCCTAGCAGGTATTGCACAAAACGGCTCCATCCCGGACATTGGCGGAGGGTAAGCGAACGCAGGTGTGGGGAGTTGAGGGCAGACGCCATCATTTGCGTATCTGACCGTAGGTCTAGATTTGATAGAGAAAGTCGTTGGAGGACGGGAAAGCTGCACCTGGCAGAATTGCAAGGGATTTCCAGAAGCAATGTTTCAAAGGGGTGGGCATCGAATCCGAGGCCATCTTCCCATAACACCTCGAGCTCCTTCCAATTGAGAAAGTCGAGCTCCAATTCCACGAGATGATGGGCACGGTTCGCTAATACCCTTTCAAGAGATTCGAATTCGTCCTCGGCCCGTAATCCTATCCATGACAAAACCTTCAGGCGCTTGAACTGGTCGAGAGTGAGGGAGCCGTCGCCCAACGGGCAGCTGGCATCGGTTATCAGGCGAATGGATTCGATGCCGCTTTGATGTTGAGTGAGGTAACCGTCACAACCGAGAAGCCGTGCAGGCACGCATAGTCCCAAGTTCCACCTGCACTACGATCAGTCAATGAGGAAGGAATGGACGTCCTTCAGGAGAACAACGCACGTGAAGCTTCGCAAATGGCCGTCAGAGAAGCAACTTATAAGAGATACGACGCGGTCTGCTAAGTGCCTAAGCGTCGGATGTTCAGCGGCCCTTTCGATGCTAGCCCATACATGACTTTTATCAGACGTGTCGTAGTCTATATCAACCTCCGCATCCCACGTCTCACCATCGTGATGCATGCAGCGGCGTTTGATTCTCGTGACGAAGCCAGCAACTATTCGGAAACTAGTTGTATAGACTAATGGCTTCCGTTCGCTTGAATTTGTTTCAAGGAGCTTTGAAACATCGATGTCGCCGAAATCACTCTCGGACAATGGCCGCACAGTTAGGTCGCGGTAGAGAAAGGGAATCGTTCGGTCATGGAGGGTCTTCGAGACTTGGCTCAGGCTGTTGAGATCCCGTCTATCCGTGATCTTACAGACGTCTAATTGTTAGCTGTCAACAAACCCTTCGTGAGCAACATTGCTTACCTGCGCGATCACGGACATCCACAGCTCGTTCGGCAGCCTTTCTAGCATGTTGTTGCATTTGTCCAGATGGCCGTCATGAGCGGGGTACGACTGGCGGAACTGAAGAATGGCCTCACCAACCAACAAGAAAATGTGTCTGGGCACCGAGGTACTCCAGGGTACGTACATGCCCACCTAGTTTGGGTTACCCATTGCGTTGCGGTTGCTTAGTCAAGGTGATTTGGGGTACTAAATAATGCACCCGCCCACAAGACAAAGCAGCACCATGAGCAGGCCACACGACTTCGACATGTTTTTCTACCTTCCATAGTCTGAGTTGCGTGGTTGAAAAAGTCATAAAGGTATCGCGAGCTTTTGTGGAATAGGAAGTGTTGTGTGGACAAGTATTAACCGTCACAGTGTGACCTACCTGATGTTAGAAAATGGATATTTTCGCTGAGATCACTCCTTGCGGGCCTACGCTTGATCATGGACCGGGGCTAGGACACGAATATTGTATGTGGCGGCAACACTCAATGTCTTAGTTAGGTTGGCTTACCCATCCCTTGACCTTACAAAGTCTTCATTTGAACCACTTTTCGTGTCTTTCCGTAAATGGTGCAACAAGTGAAAAGAGAGAGACAGACTCAGATCCGTCTCCTACAACAGAGGGTCCCACTCTTGTGCACGTCTCGCAAAATAGGTGGCTTCAGAAAGTGACGTCATGGCAGCTAAGACGCAGGAACTGACGTTGTTCCCATGGAGATCTCTGTGCTTATGTGTTTACCCATCTCTGTATAATTCGGCGCACCTGGATCATAAGGGTTTACAAGTCAAGAACAGCACTGCCCGAGGCATATCAATTTTGATGTGACCGCGAATCTCCTCTCTCGCCGTGGGTCGCACCAACAAGACTGACTCATAGTAAAGGAAGCGCTGAGCATTGTCAAATCAGAAAGAGCCCTCGGCGAAGGAGGGAACCTGAACCTGAACTCAAGTTACTTTTGGAATTTCGCTCATCCAAGCACGCATTGCTGCCATCACAACTCTGGTCGGAAGAAGAAATGGCGTATCAAAAACCCTGACTTGTGTTGAATTTTTGCATACTTCGCTCTACCTAGCTGAAAACAGAAACACAGCTCGCAGCCGCTCAGTTGATCCCTCTCAAACAAATTAAAGGATGATCCCCATCGACTAAACCCTTGGAAATCACCGACCTACATCACGGCCCACCGGGGCTAGGAAATTACCAAAATTGATAGGGTTCGACTTCGACCCGCCCTCCATCCTGTTAGTCGCAGCAGCGACCTCCCTGGCCGCCACCGGATCAATGCCCACGGTGAACCAACCGACCACCCCGGCGGCTGCCTCCTCCCCGACAAGAGCATAGTGGACGAATGGATCTGACCCGGCTGGCTCGAGTCGGAGGACGTAGTCGGCGCTGTTCTGCATGAATTGTTGCTGGTTCGTCGAATACGGCGCGACGGCGCGCACGCTGGTGATGAGGTCCTGGTCAAAGTATATCTGCCCAACGTGCGAGGGGGTTTGGTCGATGATGGTTCCGTTCTCGTGCACCTCTGCATTCACGTGTACCATGATGTGCACATGTACAGCTCGCCCAGTGTAGAAACCAGGGAATAGGGTGTGAAACTGGACGGCGCCATCTTCATCCGTCTTCTGTATCCCTCGCAAAAATGTCGTTTCAAGGTTGGCAGCGTCGCGGAGACCAGCGCCGTTCAAGTTGGATACAATACCACTGTAGACCCCGGTAGAATTTGCGCCTGAAACGGTTTACACGCTAGTTAGAAATAGTGAGGTGGATATAAGGGTTGCGAGGGTAGTATAACTTACTCCAGATTTCAACGTACGCATCCTTGACCGGAGTGCAACTGGTGACATCGATGACCTGGAGATCAAGCGCAAAAGGCACGCCTTCTTGGTCCTCAAAGATGTCTTGCCGAACCTCTTCGCCGGTAACATCTAATTTTCATTCGTTAGTGAATTCCAGGGGCATGATACCGGGGGTCTAGCCTACAGAATGGGCCCTCTGTTGACATGGGGGTCAGGACGCAAGAGTTGTTCCCCGCAAATACGACTGATAGCTCGGTCTCGGGGCTAAACGCCTCATTGGAGTGATGCGGCCCAAGACTATGGTCCTCTAAAGTGCGATAACGTGTGAGGAAGCTTTTATTGAGATGGTATGCACTTTTCTCACGTACCCTGGAGGTTCCGCTTCCTCTTCATACTGGTTGCTAGCTCCCTGCGTCGAGCTACTGTCGTTCTCAAAGGGTTACCAGAGTGGATGGATGCATCACAGTGTCCCATTGTCGGCGTGTATCTGCGCAGAAACCCTCGCCGAAGGTGCATCTCCTCGGCTAGATCTTCCCCTGGGTGTGCAGAACATGGGCCATTCAGCGCCATGAGGCCGAGGAAGGTCGTGACAAGGAAATGCATTCTATTGAGCGATCGGATAGATCCAGGAGAGGATTGATGACCTTTGACGTCGTGATATGGATACCGTTGTGATCTATACAGTAGAGGAACATGCAGTTTATATATTATACCACAAATCAGTAAGTGCCTTCCAGGAAGCCCTTATGCTTTGTCCTCCCCATCTTCCAGCCTGTGCGGTGTCCGTTTGGAAGACGTTATTATCCGGTAACTACGGACGCGCCATCATTAGAAAAGGCAAATATCGTCTAATTCTCAAAATATTCCGCTTTAAGCCAGCTTGCTTCGTTTATCTCTTGATGACGACGACACACCCGGGAGGCCAGCGTCCCCGGCCCCACACTATCGAACCCACCGGCCCCACTACGCGCGGATTGCGGAAATCAAGCATCGGGGACGAAGAGGGCGGCAGACTAACAGGTACAGCACAGCTATGTCGTCTACGTGTTGTCTACATGTAATTTACTGTTAGGGTTCGAGTAAACTTAACGGATATAGTAGCGCGGGCAGCGCAGACCTTTATAAGACGGCACGTCCTTATGAGTGCCGATGTGTACCGAAGAGGCTTCGGGTCCACACGAACTCAAGGTGTCCCGTGCCGAAGATGAAGATCACAAACAACCGGACATTATCACCTCTGTCGTTCTTTTTTTCCCTCTTGTGAAGTAACCGGCATGGCAAAGTTTTTGCCCCGGGGATGGACGGCAACTTTCATTTTTGAGAGACACGGAATACAGCCAATGATGCGAGACTGGATCTACGGCACATTGTAAGTCTCAACCCTCACCTCCCTCGACAAAAACGGCAGGTGTGTGTATGCTGATTTCTCGAATTCTTGAGACGGAGCCATGGGGAGATTTCTGCTTTTGAGCACCTCCGTTTGGGGTACCATTGGTTTCCTTCGAATCAAAATCAACGCGAATGAGATTTGTCAGCAAGCAAACTCTCCACTTGCGTGCTGGATGCTATCTCGATGCCAAACTTCTCCATGATAAGCACCGGGCACCTCGCACGCTAGATACTCGTGTCCCAAGGTCAATCTTCAAAAACACTCCTCCAGGCCACGTTCGTACCGCCTCGTTCCCCCATGGCCACACCCAGCGATCCAGTCGCGGCCTCGGCTCCGCAGGTGGTCGTCGTAGCCTCCAAAACCCCGTCAAGATCAACGCCGCCCTCCAGGGCTTCTCGCTCATGTTCCCGCTCTCAATCTACACAGCCCACGGCATCAGCGTCCCTTCCGGCGTCCCGGAACAACCATTCTCCGACGCGGAGACTCTCCTCGGAGCGCAAAACCGCGTCGAGAACGCGCGGGCCGCGCAGCCCGATGCGGATTACTGGATCGGTCTCGAAGGCGGGGTTGCGGAGCAGGATCTCGGGGACGGCGACGGCGCGTCGTTGGCCAATTTTGCTTGGATCGTGGTCACTGATAAGCACGGACGGACGGGAAAGGCGCGCACGGGGGCCTATTTCTTGCCCAAGGAGACGGCCAAGCTTGTGCGCGGTGGGATGGAGCTGGGGCATGCCGACGACTTGGTCTGGGGGCGGTCGAACTCGAAGCAAAAGACTGGCTCCGTGGGGCTGTTGACGGATAACGTCATTGACCGGACGGCGTACTATGTCCAGGCAGTCGTATTGGCCCTCATACCTTTCAGGAATACACATCTTTCTTTTTAGAAATTCCGGGAAACAAAAGTGGACGGGGACGAGAGGAAAATTGAGTGGTTTTCTAGATCTACAACAAGATTAACCTCGCGCGCCATGCATAATTCATTCAATTCTTAGACTTATTCACATATTCGTCGACAATGCCCTTGAAGTCCGGCTCATATAGCCATCCCAGCTCGAATGGTAACTTGTCCGTTTGACCTCCTGCCTCATTCCCAGGATTGGGCATGCGGCGCAAGTCAATCTGCTTATTGAGCTCCAAAATCTTGTCAACCCTTTCCTGGCGGTATGTCTGCCAGAAAGAGAGCGCCGCCTTACTTTCCTCCGCCGTCTTCGATTGGCGGACAAGAAGCGCTAGCATGTAGACGTCCTCGAACGCTTGGTTGATTCCCTGACCTGCCGAAGGCGGGATGGCGTGTGCTGCGTCCCCGACAATGATGACTTTGAGAGACGCGGACGCCCATTTCTCCAGCCTCGGGACGACGAAAAAGGGCCATTTGTTGACCTTGTCCAGGCTAATATGTGATACTGCGTTGCGCACAAACTCGGGAAAGTGGTCGTTGCCTTCCTGCAAGAATTTCAAGCCGGCTTCCTTATCCGCCACGAACTCGCGCTCCCAGTTGGCGTGCGACCCTTCGGCCACGCGTTGCTGTTTTCCGATGAGGACCTCGGAGCCGTCGGCTTGTTGGGGGCAATCACGAACGCTCCCTTGGGGGACATTATGGTAGTCGGGAGATGGTAGCCCTCGGGCAGCTTCAGCTGGCTCGTCGGTACGGCAGCGGTGATGCCCGCCATGCCAATAAACTTGGTTCCTAGTTCGGGATAAATGTACCGCCTGACGGTGGAATGGATACCGTCGGCGCCCACGAGAATGGTGGAAGAAACCGTCGTGCCGTCTTTGAACGCAAACGTCACACCCTGATCTGTCTCCTCGACGACGTGAGAGAAAGCATGGCCGTACCGAACCTCAACGCCCTTGCTCTGCAGCGTTTCGACTAACGTATCAATGAGAACATGCCGGTAGATTCGGAGACCCCGGTAGCCGTACTTTTCTTGGCTGCCGAATTCCTGGACGTCGAGAATGTCCCCGTCCACGTTCTTATATTCGAGGATGTCGAAGTTGTAGCCCTTGTCCTTTACGATCGAATACAGTCCCAAGTTATCCAGGACTCGCAAGGCATTCGGGGAAAGCATCACTGCGCCTCCGATGGCCAATGGTGCTGGGCGCGACTCGTAGACGACGGCCGGGATACCCTGCTCATGCAGTGCGAGGGCTAGCGTTAGCCCGGACAACCCGGCACCAATAATTGAAACCTCCATCGTGATTTCTCGTCTAGTTCACCGGTCGTATTTGAAGGGATTGGAGGAGGGAAATATGTTACACGGGGATTTCTGTAATGTAGAAAAGAAGTAGGAATAAAAGTGAAATGGACAGGCACAAATACCATCTCCACATGTCGGGACCGTTCGCGGCCTTCCGGGCTTTATAGCAGACGTCTCATCGATAAACTGAGCCCCCATCGCATTCATCAGCACGAAGCTTATGTAAAACCCCGACGGCGTTAGCGGCGGAGAATTGCGACGTGAGTATGTGCTTGTGTAATCCTGATGGATTTCGTCGCCAATCAAGTCAAGAATTTCCATCCATCGGTGCTGACTTCGCTGCTTGCAGAGGATGGTTTGATGTACGAGCGGCCGCCGAATCGATGCGGGTTGGGCGGACCAGACCTGGACCAATTGTTTGGTTACTGCTACTTCGTCAGGTGCGGGATTCCGCCCAACATACCGAGGTATACATAAGAGCGATCGCCAGATGCAACACAATTAAGGCACGAGTGGGCAACAGAAGCTGTTGATGCGCCAACGTCAAGAACATGTTATATACATAGAAATTCTCTTAGCTAAAGCTGAAGAAACAAGCCATAAGCTAAACCTTGTAGGGAAAAAGAAGAAGAGACGGGCGGAGATGTCGTTGTATCGTGTGCTCTTCGGTCGTCTCTCAAAGTGTTCGTGTGGCCCCCTCTTCCTTCCCAGAAGCCTCCCTATTTCCATGGCTCAGGTACGGGTAACCAGGTTCGGCGTGCATTTGCCTTGCCGTGATCTTTGCTTGAGGCAAAACCTCTCGCTGGAAACCGAAACCTTGTGGCTCTCTACAAGGCCACAAGAGTGGCCGTGTAAGCGGTTGTGTTGAACAAACCTGAGCCGACATAAGTCTCAGTGCCCGCGCCGAGCGACTGCACGCAGCGTGAGTTGGTGAGGCCCTGGTTGTTCACCAGATATGTGAGGAAGCTCTTCAGGTCCCCGGCAAACGTTTGCTGGGTCGTGCCAGACACAAAGCTGTAGACGGTTTTGCCTCCTCGGTGCCCTGGAATAGCTGGTACGATGTAAGGCCGATAGTAGGTGTGCTGATGGGCGATCCGGACGTGCTGATAACAGGAGGGTTGCCGTAAGAAGCGAGCCAAACAAGGACCTCGACGTCGATGGTTGAGCTAGAACAAGACGAGGACGTTTGAATGTCATACATCACAGTCGCAACCTTTTGAGCGTTGTTGTAGCTAGAATGCAGTGTTAGAAAAGCCGGATGATACAGTTGCCCGAACAAACGGGGAGCCTTGAGGATCAGGAGCAGAAAGAAGCAAAACAAGGCAAGACGTCCTGGACGAAAGGGTTGGTAAAACAAGGCAAAGGCAAATCACTAAGGTTACTTGCCTCCAATTCCAGGTGCTTAGGAAGGTCACAATGTTGGAAATAGACCTGGGCGTGAAGCTGACCCCAGCATTAGGGAACGAGATGGGCTCGTCACCGTCGGCTGCGAAGGTCCATTGAACCGACCAGTTGAGTACGAGGTTGAGAAGGGAATTGGCCGTGATGCATTGGGATCCGCTGCTGGGAATGCCAAACATAAGATTGTAGACGGTGTAGATTCCGCGACTGATGGAGGCGAAGTTGCCGCAGTCGGTGGTGCTCTGTGCGGCGGCTGGCGAAACGCTGGCCAAGGTGGCGAGGAACACCGACAGAATGGGAGAAAACTTCATGTTGAGATGAGATTTTGGGGGTTGCAATGTGCACGACTTTGAGTTTGGGTTTGAGAGGTGGGATATCTTGGTTTGAGAATAGGCCGTGATGAAGGAAATTGAATATGGAATTTCGTGACGGCAGAGCAATCCTCTTTTATACTTTGCGAAAGCCAGCTTGACGATATGCGGGAGTAAAGATTTATCATGCAGGGCTCCTATCAGGCTTCATCAGTCTTGAATGTTCAAGGGCGTGGAGAGAAACAAAAAGTGTGCCAGGTGATGGCGGCATCCCTCGTGGACTCTTCCTCGCCACCTCGTCGCCATAATCAACATTTCGGGATCTACAGAGACTGGTCTTTGAACCGTGCTGCCAGATCCGAAATCCGCAACGGTAAATGCTTGATCCGGTTCGTTTATGCCCAACTCTACAGACCGCAAGTTTCAAGAAGCTGCGAGGTAAGAACAAAGTCGTCTAAAGTTGTCAGCTTTCGAAGCCAAACAGCTTCCGAACCTCTTGGTGAGAAGGGTGTGATGTTTTCGCCGCATCTAGTGAAAAAGCAGGTTGCCGAATCGTAAAGACCGAGTGGTGGCTCTCCTTTTTCTTGATATGACGTAGGCTGCGCGGTATCGCTCATCGTTTCACCTAGAAGAAGTAGTTGAGAACTCGAGCACAGTGATCAACTTTGTACGAGGACTCTCTCGACACCGTCTTCCCATCCCCCTAGTCCGCGCGATGGTGTCCTCAAAACTTCGGATATCTTTGCTCCGGGCACCTCCATCTCGCACGTGGGTTCCGCCACTTATCCCCGCCCGCAGTCGTGGTCCCCGAACCACACGACTACTTCATTCCGCCGAGTCGAAGATCAGGGAGGAGGCTGAAGAAGAGAGAGGCGGGGGCTCAAACCCGGTTTTCCGGTTGAAAGGCTGCGCGTGTCTCGAGTCCACTTGTGCGCTAGCTCCCGAAGAGTCTTCATCATCAAGGAAAACCACCTTCCAAGGGAGGCCCCTTACTTCCCGCTTCCAGGGCTCGGCACTCACCGGGGTTCCTCTCCCCACATCAGCCTCGGGGTTTGTCTCAGCACACCTCTAGATAACTTGGAAAGCTCATCATCGCGTTTTCTTGGCTCATCGAGAGGCGTTGTGGGCCGTGGCTGACCCTCTCGTGCCCTCCTCGTTGAACTTGGAGGGCGAGGAGCTCCGCATCAGCTCCCAATAGCGATCGGGCGATTCCCATACGCCAAGGATGTGAATTCTCTTAGCCCCGATCGAGGACAGAGGCATGTGGTTGACCAGCTTGCCTGCCGGGAAATCATGGGCTAGCAACTCTCGTCGAGTGTTTCTAAGCCTTCTGATACGTCAGATTAGGGGTTGCTTTTTTCTTTCTCAGCTCGCAGTTTGAGCCGATGACTCGTCGGCCGAGTCCGCTTCCCCAACCGTCGTCACCAGCCCTTGACTCGCAGCTTGCATTGCTTGCTATGGGGAAGAAGAAGGATCTGAAAGGATTCGAGTCGCGGATCTGACGGATGCCAGTGTGCCCAACGCAGTTTCAAACGAGCAGTATCAGCTCGACATTCTCGTGGCGACAAGTACCCCGTCCCCTCTCAATAGGGCTGTCTGCTAGAGACAGCATACGCAAGGGATCGGACGCTATCCCGCTCTTGCGTCGACCAACTGTTGGACATACATCATCCTGAGACAAAGGCAGAGCGAAGTTGCGCGTTCTGCGAATTCCGTCGCGAGCCTGCAACGCGGCAGCGGATCGTGCGAATGAGCTGGCCCAAAGGCGATTCTGACCAGCGTTGATCCCCAAGCCCCGGACCAAGTCTTCTAGAAGGTGTGTAGAGACCTAGCACACCGACACCCAACCATCTTCCCAAAAGGTGGTCAGCGGTACCGGCAGCTAGTGGAGCGGCTAAGCCCGGCGATGAAGAAACATGCAGTCAACACAAACCGCGCATCCACGTTAGAGTTTGTCCCGGCGGGCTGCAATCCTGAATGGGGCCACGGAGAGAATCCAGCAACAACGAGGCCCCGAGTTCCTTTACGGCCCCCAAAGGAACTTCTCATGGCGTTTAACAAGGGCGAAGGATGGCCTTTTTGCGGGACCGGTTGACGCAGTGCCATCCGAGATGGGGTAGTGGCACACCACTAGGAGGTTGCTTTTTCCTGCTCCTTGGGCGAGTGAGCTTTCGAGCTTTCGCGCGGGTGCCTCGCTTTCTGTCGGTCTCTGTTTCAAGGTCGGTGAATGCATATCCTATGGGGGAAATGTTTCAGTGGGCGCGTTTCCCCCGGGCATGGCTGGGATAAAGCCAGTTAGTATCTAGACGAGAGCGTATGCTTTTGAATGGAGAGCATAGTCGTAGGGAGGCATCTCTAGAACAGGGGGAAACAAATTCTGAGTGAATATGCCCAGTACATGTAAATATCTCGTGTGCAGGAGTGTGCTCATAACGTCAAAATTTGGCTTGGCATATTCACGCGGGCACATCACCACACACCGTCTGAGAACTCGATGGGGTTGTTCTCGATATGTATTACACGTAACATGTTATAACAGGACGCGCAGCCCACCTCTAAAGCCGATCTCAGGCATTGGTCGACAGGTAATGCAGCCCTATTTTGCTTTTTCCTCTCTTGCCGCTTCTTCCTCGTCGAGATTTGTTCACATAAGACTGCAAGTGTGGTGTGGTGGCTAGCGTACCCGATGCTTTTGCTCGTGCAGGTCGGCGGCGCAAAGCAAAGTGCGGGAAGGGAAACCCGGAACTCGTCGAGTAAAGGAACACACTTGAATTACTATAATCAATCCCATTTATTACCAATGTTTCAATTCAGCATAACAAGCCACTTGACTACCAACCATAGAGCCGTCTCTACGCCTTGGGTTTTATCCAATCGAACTGATCCTCTAGGTAAAGATGGGCGCGCAAATCGCCCGACCTCGCGTGGCCCTCGAAGAGCTCGACCCTGGCGGCCCTGCCGCAGAGCTGGCCGAGCTTACCGCTTTCTTCCGCATTCCTCACCTCCTGGTAGGTTACCGTCCTCAAGAACTTGCCTACCCACAGACCTCCCGTGTACTTGGCCGCGCCCTTGGTGGGAAGAACGTGGTTTGTTCCGATGCACTGTTTTTTGCCAAAGTCAGCCTCAGAGTCGTAAAGGTCGCCACGCGAAAACCTAAACGAGGTGGAATGAAGCGGGGTGTTTAAGCGTGTGCTTACCTTGTCTCCATACGATACGCACGTCATGGGTCCCAAGAACAGGGCGCCGTAATGCTGCATCTTTTGGAGGGCATCCCGCGGGCTAGCGGTAAGAATTTGTACATGCTCGTAGGCGTACTCGTCCGCAATCTCGTACGCTTCATCAATGGTATCGGCGACGACGATCTCTCCATAATCCCTCCAAGACACGCTGGCAATCGGGGCAGTGACCAAGGTCTTGAGCAGCTCGTCGCAGTACCGTATCGTCTCCTTCCCAACCTCGGCCGACGTCGTGATAAGCACGGCGGGGCTATCCGGGCCGTGCTCCGCCTGGGAAAGGAGGTCCGTGGCGACCATGAAGGGGTCCGCCGTCTCATCGGCCACGATGAGTACCTCGGTGGGGCCGGCGAAGAGGTCGATGCCGATCTGGCCAAACAGCTGTCGCTTGGCCTCCGCGACGAAGGCGTTGCCGGGCCCGGCGATGAAGTCGACCTTGGGGACGGTGGGGGTGCCCACGGCCATGGCCGCCACCGCCTGGATTCCTCCGAGGATAAAGATCTCGTCGGCGCCGGCGAGGTGCATGGCGGCGACGGTCTCGTTGGGGATCTTGCCGGCGGCGGGGGCGTGCAGCCGACGACGTTGCGGACGCCGGCGACCTTGGCGGTCAGGATGGTCATGTGGGCGGAGGCGAGGAGGGGATAGCGGCCACCGGGGATATAGCTGCAGTACACGGGTTTAATATGAGAGCCCTGAGCCGACAAAGTGTGGGGGTAAATGTTTTGGACAAAGGGAAAGCAAAACAGGTTTACATACGCTCCGACGGAATCGATCGGGTTGTTCTTCTGGCCGAGGAAAACACCGGGTGCCATCTCCAACTCAAACTCCTTGATGGAGTCCTTTTGCGCCGTCGCGAATTTCCGCACGTTCGCCTGTACCTGCTTGATGTCCGTTATGACCTGCTCGGAGCATTGTGAAATGGCGTGCTCGATCTCGGCTTGAGACAGTTTGAAAGAGGCGGGCGACCACTTGTCGAATTGCTCGCTGTACCGGCGGACGGCATCGTCGCCTTCGCTTCGGATAGAGTCGATGACGCCCTTGACGATTGTCGAGACGTCGAACGTGGGGCTCCCGCCGTTGGGCGTGACCTGAGGGTCGGACTTTTTCAGATATGTACGAGGCATGATGTCGGCTTGTTTTCTCTTTTTGGGGGTTTGTCTTGGAAAAGTGTACGCTCCCTTTCTGTGCCTGATTAATGTAGCTTTGAGTATGGGACCTGACAGACTAAATTCGCACGAACGCGGCCCGGTATTATTATAAAACTGCGAATCCCTTCAATTGATGTCTGCTTCCCCCAATGGTCCGCGTTGAAGTCGACTTGTGAGGTCTCCAACCCGAAGCAGGGGAGGCCCGCACGCAACCCGGTGGTTGACGAAATGCGGAGGTTTTGCCCTACAGTTCCTCGGCTATCGCCTGTTTCGGCTGCCCGCATTTGTCTTCGCCATCCAAAATTGATGGAAGGAGAGAGGGGGCGGGCGGAGCTTGCGGGTTAGCGTGTCCGCGGGGTTCGGTAAAGAGGGGAAGAGCACCAGACAGCTACGGATGTGGTGTAGACTAGGAATAGCGTGTCATTGACCGTGTGGGCCGGATTGGAGCAAATGAGGCGCTGGTCAATAATCGGCGAGACTATGACTGGACGGCTTCGCGGGGTAGTTTCCCCCTCTGACAATTGCAGGGCCTTGGATTTCACGCAACATGGGACCCGGGACCGCTCTCAGTTCAGTGTTAGTGATGGACGAACCCAATGGAGCTATCCCAAGCCGGGACCGGCGATCAGAGAAGTGGCCGAACATCGGCGGACATAGGGCTGAGAAGTTTACAAGCCCCCGTCCTGGTCCGAAGTACGGCGCGATGAATGGAGACAAACTCAATGGAGAGCTTGGCTACTCAATGACGCGGGTCACCGGAGAGGGGGTTCTACATTTTCGGAATATTCGATACTGAGCTATCTATGTAGTGTTGTATCTTGGCTGACGGAATAATTGTGAATGAGGCTTGATACTGTCCGCAAGCCTAGCGGAGCAACTTCGGACTTCTATAGACAGTGGCATGGAACCTTGACGGGAGAATAGGGAAGGCCGAGTCGGGTTGGACATTGCAGCGAGAGGAGTCTGAACAAGGGCTTGTTTGTATTATCTCTCTAATATAGGGCAATGTGAAAGTGACCATCATCATTATAAGCTAAATCCTGCATCGATCACCGCGTTCTGGCCAGTGATTGTCCGAGACACGACGAACGTCCGAACTTGTTCTGCGACGTCCTCCACAGTCGCAAATCTCCCTAGTTTGTTGGCCTTCTTCGCAGCATCCAATCGTTCTTGGGGAAACGACAAGCCCCATTCCTGTGAAGCACGCAAGTTAGAGTCTCTCAAGGACCGCAAGACGAGGGAGATTCTTAAAGACGTGTAGCATACCGTTAATAGAATTCCGGGCGAGACCGAGTTGACTCTGATGTCGGGCGCCGAGATGATCGCGAGAGATTTTATCAGGTGAATCAGGGCGGATTTCGTGACTGCGTAAGGCTATCATGGATCAAGGGAAAAGAAAAAAACGTTAGAAACACTCAATAGATATATCCAGGCACGAGGGACAACATCCTTACCAAGCTGCTCCCGCTAGGTTTCACCCCCGCCACGCTCGCCGTGCTCACAAACACAGCCGACCCCTCGTCCCTCTTATTCGACTCCAAAAGGTAGGGCTTGCACGCGTGGAACAGCCACAGATGCGACTTGACGTTGGCGGCGTAGCACCGATCCCAGTCGTCCTCATCGACCCCGTCCTCGATATCGGCAAAGTTGCGGACCTGCGTCCACCCCACGTTGGAGATGACGACATCCAGCCGGCCATCGAACGCGGCGGCTGCCTTCTCGGCTAGGCTGTAGATGTCGCTCTTGCTGCTCACGTCTGCCTGGATCAGTCGAATTTCGGGCGTCGTGCCGTCGCCGGAGCCGGCTAACCTGGCGACGCGCTCCTCGCGCAGGCTCCGGGCCAGCTCCTCGGCGCGCGCGGCGTTGCGGTGGTAATTGATCACGGCGTTCATGCCGAGGTCCACCACGAGCATGCGGGCAATGGCCGCGCCGAGGCCGCTGCTCGCCGCTGTGATGAGGGCGACTTTGGGCAGAGACATGATCCTTATTCCGTTCCTCTTTCCAGAAATTCTCAAATTTCTTTTTTCCTGTTTTGCTGGGTGTCTTGATGCGGTGATCGGCGTGAGGGGATTTTCTGCTGGTTGGAAAGCCTTTTACCAGCCCAATTGCACGCAAGGAGTCGACTAGGCCATTCCAATTTAGGTGGGGTGCCTGCGTGCCCCTCTCAATCATCAATGGTCAACATTGAACTCAGTCCAAAGACTCAAAGACGTGCGTTGGGGCACAACTGGGGCTTGGCGCCCTCCCCATAAACCCGTCTTTCAAGACCGAATCATCTCGAGGGCAGTCTTTACGAATCTGGATTTCCCCAACAATCCAGAAGCCCGCCTCCGCATCCCCCACATCCCGGAACGACCAACCCCGCATCGTGGGAAACAAAGGGTCGGTGCCAGCATTATACCCCACCCTGCCGGATGAGTTTGGGACGCCGCGTCTGCCGGCGGGATGAACACGAGCCGTGGCAGCTTGGGATAGCTCGGAAATGGGGTGAGGCGATCCAATGTAATTACAACGCCCTTAAAAGTTGTCCGTCTCTTTGTGGCTATTTTGCGAGTATCAATTTTTTTGTTGACAATCTACACGGGTTGGTCGCGGATGCTATTTATTGTTACTTGGAAGTGATTCCCCCTTTACTAATTCTGTAAACTGAAACACTCAAGACCCCTTTGCCTACCTCCCAACGCTCTCCCCTCTCTTTGACAGGATCTATCGTCCCTGTGTATCTGCTTAGACACCTCGCGCACCTCTTTTCCTCTTTCACCGTGCGCCCAAATCAATCCGTCGCTGCCCCTCACCATGTCGACCAACGGGCACGCCGCCAACGGCGCCTCCCATGCCGAGCACCTCACCGTCATCATCGTCGGCGCCGGCATCGCCGGGTTGAGCGCCGCCATCTTCCTGCGCCAGCAGGGCCACAAGGTCACCATGCTGGAGAGCTCCCGCTTCGCCAACGAGGTCGGCGCCGCGCTGCACATCGCTCCCAACTCCAACGGCCTGCTCAAGAGGATGGGCATCCGTGCTGAAGACATCAACGGGACGCTGATGAGATCGGTAAGTTTTTATTTCTTCTGCTTTCTTCCCCACACCAAAGACCCATGCTTATGCTCTCCCCGCGCGCGTGTAGGTCACCGAATACAACGAGGCCAACGTTCTCAGCCGCGACGTCGACTTGACCCAGGCGAACAAGATATGGCAGCATGACTGGACGCTGCTCCACCGCGTGCACCTGCACGAGGAACTAAAGAGGAGAGCTACGTCCCCCGACGGTCCCGGGTTCCCCGTCGAGCTCCGGACGTCGAGTCGCGTGATCGACGTCGACCCGGCTACGGCGACCGCCACTCTAGAAGGAGGAGAGCAGGTGGTGGGCGATGTGGTTCTCGGAGGTGACGGTGTCAAGGTGAGTCGCTTCGAGTCTTGCGCAGATTCGCCTTTTTTTATTCCCGCCCCGGCCGTGCGCTAAGCCCCGCTTCATAGTCTGTCACTCGATCCAAGATCCCCGGCGGCGACGTGAAGCCCAAGCCATCCGGCAAGAGCGCCTTCAGGTTCCTCGTGCCCCGCCAGGTCGCCTTGGACGACCCCGTCACCAAAGACTTTGTTTCGCGGGATGGCCAGTTGATAATATGGTACGGAGAGGACAGGAGGGTCGTCATGTACCCCTGCGACGCCAACCGCCAGCTCAACTTTGTCTGCATCCACCCGCGAGACGAGAGCTTGTCCATCGGGGCTGCCGAGGGCGGTAAGTAATCTCCCAGCGTTATTTCTCTGAATGAACGGTAATTCTGACTCGTGCTCGTAGAATGGAATACGTCTGTGGGCAAAAGCTGCCTTCTCGAGGTATTCAAAAACTTTCACCCCTCCGTTCTCGCCCTCTTGGACAAGGCCGAGGCGGACTCCCTCAAGGTGTGGGAGCTCTTGGACATGGACGTGCTCCCGACATGGGTGGAGGAAGCTCGCCCTCCTCGGCGATGCCGCCCACCCTTTCCTACCTCGTAAGTATTTATTTTTGTCCCTAGGGCGACACAAAGGGAAACTATCTTTGCTAACAAGTTTGCTATTTCAGATCAGGGACAGGGCGGTGGCTGCGCGATCGAGGATGCCGCGTCGCTCGGCGTGGTACTTCAGCGCGGTGTTCAACCGGAGGAGGTACCTGAGAGGCTGCGCTTGTTTGAAAAGTTCCGCATGGAGCGCGCCCACCAAGTGCAAGAGTACTCCCGACTAGCCGGCCTCGATCTCAGCGAACGAAAACTAGACAGTAAGTCACGCCGTGCCTCCCCACATAGCCCCTTTCACCCCCAAACCCCCAAATTTCTAACGTGCCATCTCGCCCCAGTGATGGAATACACAAACTACAACTTTGGCCACGACGAATGGGACTATTCCAGCAACGCCTTCCGCCGCTGGGACTGGGCCCGCAAGCCCCACCTCTACTGGCGCATGCCCGTCTCCTTCGGCCCCATGCCCGGCCCCCGGCAGACGTTCGAAGGCGTGCCCCGCAACGCGCTCGACTCCACCTTCACCACCGCCTCCATCAAGTTCAAGACCTCGCGCACCCTCCTCCAGAACCTCTTCCCGTCCTCTTCCTTCCGATTCAAGAGCCCCGGCACCGTCGCGTACGCCAGCTTCTCCCAAACCACCCTCAACAAGATGGAGTGGCTCGGCGGCTCCGGCTACCGCCACATCGGCTTGTACATCCACGGCGTCGAGTTCGTGCAAAAGAGCGGCGAGGTGCTCCACGGCACGTTTATGCCCATCCTCTTCGAGAGCCTCACGGACCCCATCGTCAGCGGCCGCGAGGAACTCGGCATGCCCAAACTCTACTGCTCCGTCGACTTGTGGCGGCGCAAGGATAGCTTCCGGATCCAGACGGGCTGGCAGGGCGCCACGTTTGGCAACTTCCTCCTCGAGGGGCTTCAGGAGGTGGATCCCGCCGCGGATAAGGGTACTATTGGTGGCGAGGACGACGACGGCATCTTTGCGTACAAGTACATACCTCGCGTCGGGGACCGCGGCAAGGCCGACGTCGAGCACGCGACGTTTGTGCCCCACGCGCAGGAGGCGCATGTCGTGCCCAGCACGGTCAGCAAGGTGTACAAGGCCACCAAGGCCAGCTTCGAGCTGGATCCCCTCGACTGGGAGTCGCTTCCTACCCTGCACCATGTCGTTTCGCGGCTGGCTGAGATTCCCGTGTACGAGGTGATTAGCGCCAAGCTCGTGGAGGGAACTGGCGTGCCTGACGTGTCGAGTGCCCGGAGGATTGATTAGGCGGTGATGTATATGGGGCTGCCTCTTGTTTTACATTATATCATTTTCTTTCCGATAAGTAGATAGTACGAATAAAATGCATATTGGTCTTTGTACTCTTTTATGTGTATGAGTATTGAACCAATTACCTCTGTGGTGCACTTCACGAAAAACCGAATCATTACGACCATGAGTAGTCTGAGGTAGAATCACTACATGTTACAGTAAGGCTTAGTGGATTTTAGATTGAACGATTTGAAATATATCAAGACCCCTAAAGTTTGTAGATGACAAGGTCGCGTGTTTGTCGTTCTCTTCGGATACGTCTACTCTGTATTTGAATAGAACCATATTCGGCTCTACAGACCCTGAATCTCAAACGAAACGCCCTCTTTCCCTTTCCCGGGGCAGGCGTCGCACCCGTCATTTACTTATTGTAAAATCCCATCAATTTCTAGCTGTCGCTCGATAGTTTGTCTCGGAACAGAACTTGGCACCCCGGAATTCCTCTTATTCAGGCGAGCGGGTGGTAGGTGGTCCGCTGTCACCCCGCGGGGACTGTTGCCGTGAGGGCGAAGCGTTCCGGGCCAGCCAGTAGTCAGCACGTTTTCGGCCCCCGCCTCGGGAGCAGTGTGGGCTTTGGCGGGAAAGTGGGCAAAGCTGTGCTACATCGGCTCAAACGAGCTTGTCCCCCTTGCCATTACCCCACATGAGCTTCGTAGGGTCCTCCTCGGCCCCCATTCAACCCCATTTAAAATGCCATGGGGAGATCCGACGGGCCTATTTCTCACTCATCAGATAAAACTCCAGCTCCTCTTATACTTTTATTTCCTTTCTCAACGATACTATCCTCATTCTCATAGCCCGGTAAACAGAGCGCTGCGCATACAACCCAAAAATGGCTTCAGAAAGACCACCCAAGGATCTCCGGCCCATCAACCGGTTCATCACCACCCACGACGCGCAAGGAAAGACCACATTTTCCGACGCCGTCCCCGAGCAGGCTCCTTTCGAGGCCCTCCCCGATGGCGCCGAGTTCTGCCTAGGCTACGCGACCAACCAGTTTCCAGTGCCGCTCGCCGATGATGGCGACGTCAAGACATATCAACACTACACCGAGAATCTCCCCGGAGTAACCATCGGCACGGGTGAGCACATTTCCCGAGTCAACGTTGAATACCAGGGCGATGGAGACACAATTTGCTAACCAGGAGTGTGATTCTCTATCTAGGGACCGTACTGCGCGTTGTCGACATGGCCCCTGGTGCACTGTCGCCAATGCACCGAACCATCAGCCTCGACTACGGCGTGGTGCTCGAGGGAGAAATCGACCTCGTCCTAGATTCGGGCGAGTCGAGGCACATGAAGAGGGGAGACATATCCGTGCAGCGGGGCACCAACCATGCGTGGAGGAACAGGAGCGAAACATCGTGGGCGAGGATGCTCTACGTCCTCCAGCCGGCGGAGAAGCTCATAGTCAATGGCGAGGAGCTCAAGGACAACAGCAGGGAGACGATTCCTGGTTACGAGGATAAGCCATGATACGATGAATGCATATATGACGTCTGCTAAAGAAATAAGAGTAGAAAAAAAAACACATAGAAACAAGGCCCGTTTGAAACACGTGTACGTGAAAACACAGCCCAAGACTAGCTTCAAGATGAATAGTTTATTCTTCATCCACACACAACACTCAAGAGATTGGGGGAGTTTGGGGGAAAGGGTTGGAGGCGATGTTCTCCGCCGGAAAGTGGAGCCGCTGGCCCACCGGGTGCTCCGACTTGGCTGTGGGGAAGCTCAATAGTCCGGCATAAGCGCCATTGCTGATTGGTAGCTAGCGTCTTAGTAGGCGAGCTTGAGAATGGGGATTCCTCGTGCAACTGCCCCCAGGCCACCGGGGGATGTTCCATCTCTACCCCGCAAGTAGGCTTTTCCGTGACTGTCCCTTGGCGTAAGTGATGGTTGGATGACATGGGGTAAAGGGAAGAAAGGGCGAAAAAAAGAACTCCTTGTTCCAAAGTGCATCTGCCGCTACGTCTGTGTCCACATCTCGCGTGCAGGTCGTTCCCCTTCAACCTCTCTCCCCTCACTCTCCAAAAAAAAAAAAAAGAATTCGTGACGATACCATGAGAGAAAAGTCCCCCTTGCTATCGACATGGATACGCTGTCAGACCAACAACGGCAGTCGGAGCGGAGGGCGTCCTTGAAGCCTTTATTCCAATGCTCACACTGCCAGCGCACGTTTAGCAGGGTTGACCACCTGGCAAGACATGTGCGGTCCCGTATGTGTAGTCCACAAACGAGCTTCCCTGTCCTCGTAGCTGACGAACCCTCTTCAGATTCACAAGACCGCCCTTTCCGGTGCGAAACTTGCCATAAGGCGTTTGGTCGACAGTAGGTTTGCCCAGTCCCTGAGTTCCTAACCCGTTTTTCTTTTTCTTGGTGCGCTCTGCTTGCAGCGTCCATGACTTGCGTTGACACCACCTTTCGTAGAGACCTACTCAAGAGGCACATGTCCTGCCACGACCCGAGCGAACGACGCGGCAAGCGACAGAGGCGACACCAGAACCAAGGCCCGCGCGTCTCTCAGGCCTGCAAGGCGTGCGCGGCCGCCAAGCTGAAGTGCGACGAGAATCCGTCATGCAGCCGCTGCCAGCAGAGAGGCATCCTCTGCCAGCGTGAGTCCCGAACAATGGATAGACTGATGGCGGTTGCGGACAGTCCGTCAGGTAAGGAAGAGCCACGGCCGATGGAGGGAAGATTGCGACGCGCTTTTATTTTTCTTTCTAATATGCTTGCTTTTTGCCCGCGACGCTTGCTAATTCTCCTTTCTTTTTCTTCTCGAGCAGGCGCGCAACCCGCATCGGCCATTAGCCCGCCCTGCACCGAATCCAGCAAAATCACCATGACCCAGAGTAGCACCGACGGCCACAGCACCACCACGCCCACCCCCGACGTGCTGAGCACCGAACTACAAGGTGCGCCCTTCCTCTTTTCAACATATTAATGCGCTTCTGCTTTTGGCTTTCTCATCCTCTAACCTAAGAAAGGGGAACCCTTCCCCTCTTTTCTCTATCCCTAGGTCCCCCTCAACACACCTCCATCTCGGCCTCGGCCAACCCGCCACCCTCGCCGAACACGATTTCTCCAGCTTCCTCCGCGATGTCGTCACCGCCGTCGAGCGCCCCGCGACCACGACCGTCACGACGACCGCCCACTTCGGCACTCTCGACGAGCCAGACTTCGACACCGCGCAGGCCCTCCACGGCCTGCTCGACTTCACCATCGACGGCGACTTCGGCTTCGAGGACGTCGCCATGGGCCTCTCCAACCTACCCACCAGCCCGTCCCACTACTTCGCCGCCATCCAGCCCCTCAGCTCCGCCTCCGCCACGAACAGCAGCCACCCGGGCGCCCCCGGCCCCGGCCACCAGCAGAAACACATCGCGCTCGGCATCGAAGCGTACAAGCAGTCCTCGCTCGGCGTGTGGGAACCCTCCACCGACGACCAGGCCGGCACCGGCATCGAGAGCCTCTCCGCGCTGGGGCCCAGCCCCCGAGTCCTTCAACGTGCCCCAGTTCGAGCCCGACCAATCCCTAGCCGACAAGAAGATCCCCGTCACCGCGCGGGACGAGATCCTCTCCATGGTCCTCAGCAACTGCCGCCCCGAGAAAAAGAGGCTCGTCACCAAGGCGTTCCCGGCCCCGGCCCTGCTCGACACGCTCATCCGCGCCTTCTTCTCCTACCACCGCTACGAGGTCGACTCCTTTGTCCACGAGGCCTCCTTCAACGTTAGCCAGCAGAGACCCGAGCTCCTCGCCGCCATCATCTCGTCCGGCGCCACGCTGACCGACTCCAAGCTGCTGCACACCGTCGGCTTCGCCATGGAGGAGACGCTTCGCTCCTCGCTTCGCCAGGTGTGCGAGGAGGAGAACGCGGCCACGCGCAAGTTGTGGGTCCTGCAGGGGTTCACGTGCCACCTCGAGGTCGGCATCTGGAGCGGAATCAAGCGGAAGATTGAAATTTCCGAGAGCCACCGACAACACCCATATACGGTACGTTCAGTCAAGAATAGCAGCGAAAAGTGGAGGGGCAGTAGCTACATCAATTATATATATAGCGCCAGTCACTAAACCTATCTCGAGCAGATGCTTCGCCGCGCAGGCAGATTCAACGCCGCCAGCTACCACCCCGCCCCGCCCCTCCCCAGCGACACCGGCGCCCTCCTCCACCAGAAATGGCACGCCTGGGTCGAGCACGAGAGCTTCAACCGCATCTCCTACCGCGCCTTCATCACCGACACCCAAGCCAGCGTCGCCCTATCCACGAACCCCCTCATCTCCTTTGCCGAGATGAAGACCCCCATGCCCACCTCGCGCCACCTATGGCTAGCCCGCAGCGCCGAGGAGTGGAAGGCCGTGTACCTTAGTCTGCCGCGCGCCCCCACCACGGCCAGCCTCGTCGACTACATGAACGCGCCCGCCGACTTCGACACCTGCTACGACGTGCACTTTTGCCAAGTCATCGTCCTCTGCGGCTCCTGGGGCATGTTCTGGCACTACCACCAGCTCCGCGTCGCCCTCAGCCAGTGCCGCGACACCAACGCCGGCCTGTCGCTCCAGCACCGCCAGATCCTCCAGGGACTCGACCACTTCCGCATCAACTCCCCGACGAGGACGAGCTCCCCGCCCGGCCCGAGGCCGCCCTCCTGCTCGAGCTGCTCTACATGCACCTCCACATGCCCTTTCAGGAAGTCGAGCTCTTCGCCGGCAAGGGCACCCTCGACGACGCCCGCAGGGCCCTCCCCGTCCTCCGCGGCTGGCTCGATAACGAAGAGTCCCGCAGGGCCGTGTGGCATGCCGGCCAGGTCCTCCGCGCCGCGGCCACCTTTCGCCCCATGCACCTCCGTGCCTTCTTTGCTATCGGCGTATACCAGGCCGCGCTCACCATTTGGGTCTACAGCATCGCTCCCCAAATCAAGGGAGGCAGCGTCGGCATGGCCAACGCCGCCGCCGCCGCCGCCGCTGCTGCTACTACTGCTGCCCCCAGTACTCACGGACCACCATCCTCGCCCCCATCGTGTGCTTAAACGGACCAGACATGCCGGTAGTCCAGCGCTTCATCAGCCGGGGAAGCCGGACCTGTGTGTCATTCGCCCCGGCGGGTCACATGCGGACATGATGCCACCTATCCCCTTGACCGACCAGGAGTCCATCGTCAACATGGTGCAGGAGACGCTAAACGACAATTTCCAGGGGTGCGACGCTCTGCCCCCGCTTGTGGAGAACCTTAACCTCCTCCTCCACAACCTTGGACGGGCAGCCACTAGTATCAAGACCTGAGCCCATATTTTTCAATGTTTCCCTTGGTGTGTTGCCTCCTCCTCCCCTCCCCCTCCTCTTGCTTGCCCATATCATCCCCCACATCGGAAGCCCAAAAGTCCGACCACATCCCGAAAACGCTCCAGCCGAGGGTGGGGGAACCAACGAAACCCGGTTGATCATATCCAATACCGCTTCCCCACAAGCCTCCACCCACCACGGTTGCCACACCCCCATCCCCCGTCCCCCGCATCATCCTCCCTCCCTGTACCATGCTCCCCACACTCCTCATTCCATCAACAATACACTACAAGCCATCTCCGGATCTAGGTGTGTCGTGCTAACCATACCAGTCACCATAGCCCCCACCTCACAGCACGCCCGCCGATCATTGAGTGATAGTCACTACAAAGACCTTCAACAGATCCCGCCAGCACAATCTGCACGCATTCAGCATTGGACGCACCTTTTATCCTCTTTCGTTTTATCCCTCCTAAGCAGCCAGCCCACCCATCATGCCTAATCCAATCCGCACAGATCTACACACTGTAGACTCCTCTTCATTCCCCTACGTCTATGAACAAAATGCCACCGTGGCTCTGAAATCAAGCGATGGACTAGTCCGGTGCAACGTGTACCGGCCTCATGGGTCCGGACCTGACGCAAGAGTCCCCGTCCTAGTAACTTATGGCCCCTATGGCAAGGACGCATATTACGGAGAGTAAGTCTATAAGCCAACATGCACACATCGTGTAAACTCAATAGTACCAATTGGACGTTCTCAGCTCACGCAAGACCTTTTTCATCGCCTATTTATAGCTTCCATGCCAAGTCGTTCGAGGAAGTCAATCCCGAACACAAGTCCACCATTCCGCCTGGGAAACCCCAGACCCCGGGTTCTGGACCAACCATGGCTACGCCGTGGTGAGGGCCGACGAGCGGGGTATCGGGCAGTCTCGCGGCTTGCTCGACACCATGTCCCGCGGCACCAGCGAAGCCTTCTTCGAGGTGGTGGAATGGTGCGCCGAACAGCCCTGGTCGAGCGGCAAGGTCGGCCTGCTCGGAATCAGCTACTATGCCGGCAGCCAATGGCGCGTGGCGGCGCGCAAACCCAAGGGCCTCGCCGCCATGATCCCGTGGGAGGGCATGTCCGACTATTACCGCGATCGGTGTCGACACGGAGGCATCCTCTCCAACAACTTTATCAAGTTCTGGTGGAACCGCCAAGTCGTCTCCAACCAGTACGGGCGGCCCCGGGACGAAGAGATCCTCGTCATCAAAGACCTGGTCGGCGATGGCCCCAAGAGGCCGAAATCCTCGCCCGAAAGCTTGGAGGGCAACCTCTCGGCTGAAGAGCGGGAGCAGAACCGCCGAGACCAGACCGTTGACAACCAGCTGTATCGGTTCCGCGACGAGGAGTATTACGCCTCCAAGGAATACGATCTAGGGGACATCGACGTGCCCCTCCTGTCCGTGGCGAATTGGGGCGGTATTCTCCTCCACTTGCGCGGAAACATGGAGGGCTACGCCCACGCCGGCTCCGCGCAAAAGTGGCTCCGCGTCATCACCGGCCGCCACGACCTACCATTCTACTACAAGGAAGAAGTAGAAGTTCAACGGTCATTCCTCGATGCCTTCCTCAAAGCGGAAGACCGCGACGGCTGGACGACCGGAAAAGTACCCCCATCGACCTCGTCCTCCGCAAGGGCGACGTCGGCTTCAACAACCCCGAGGGCGAGAGAACCTTTCCTAGGCGCACGGAAACCGAGTGGCCCATCGCGCGGACGGAGTGGACGAAATTCTACCTCACGCCGGAAAGGCAACTCACCCGCGATCTGGCGCGAGCCCAAAACGCCAGCCAACGCCGCCAAAAGCTCACGTACGAGGCGCTAGGCACGCTGGAAAGCCCCAGCTCGTGCAGTTCCAAACCGAGCCGTTCGAGGCGGAGACCGAGGTGACGGGGAACATTGTCGCGCATCTGCTGGTCAGCGCGACGCCCCAGCCCGACGGGCCGACGCCGTCGGAGATTGACCTGTTCCTCACACTCCGCCACATTTCCGCCGAGGGCAAGGAAGTCTTCTACACCGGCACGGCGGGTGATGCGGTACCGCTCACCAAGGGATGGTTGAGGGTAAGCCTACGAAAGGTGGCCACGACGCATCCCAAGCACCGGGAGTATCTTCCATGGAGGGAGTACCTGAGCACGGATGTGCTCCCGTGATTGTTGGCGAAACCTACGAGGTGGATGTGGAGGTTTGGCCGACGTGTGTCGTCCTAGAGCCCGGGGCGAGGCTCGTGCTAGAAATTGCGAGCGGCGACACGCAAGGAAGTGGCATCTTTCAACATAACGATCCTATTGATAGGTAAGATTTCTCCTTTTTTCGTCTTTCTATTCGCGCCTGTACACCTCTCAATGGGTCTAACGTACCGACATCACAGGGCACCAAGCAAGCTTCAAGGATTCAACCACATATGCTTCGGGCCTGATAGGATGAACTACATCACCTTGCCTGTGATTCCGCCCAAGGCCGAGTAAAACCATCTGGAGAAGGAATGCCCAGGCACTAGCGGCCAGGAAGAGCTCTAAGCAGTACCTCAACTAGAATCTAGAAAATACCAAATCATGTCTTAAACAGCATTCGCATGCCTTTCTTTTTTGTTTTCTGATTTCCGCAGCACGCGTATGAGTAGCACTATAGGTCGCCATATAATAGTCTCAGATTTGCGTACGTGCCTGAAATTAGCATCCATGTGGACTCGGACCGTCAATGTCATTTCATGTTGCAAGTTTTAACCAAGTCTAATTTACCAACCCTTGCTTAGCCCGCCACGCGCCCACACACGTGCCCAAGACAAACGCAACTCAGCTTCGTGGTAGACCTGCCCTAACCAGCTCAGATAAACAAAAGGCGCCGAGCTACATCCAGAGATGTAAACACCCCTTTGACTGTCATGGCTTCTACGTGCTTGAGATGATGGTCCTCTGCAGAAATTATGACAGAGTAGAAAAAAGACAGCACCTACATTGTACCACGGCGTGTAACCATGGAGCTTGGACTCTTCGGCGAGATAGATGGAAGAGCAAGTACGAGAACAATTCATGAGTGTGGGGCCAGAAGATTAACCGACTCAATTTGGTATGAAGAATTAGTATAGAGAAAAAAAGGAAATTACGAGTTCAATACTACAATGGCGCGAGAGGTAGCGAGTGCAAACCCCGTCCACCCTCAAGTCCGACAGGAAAAGCCTTTACTCTCCAACCTCCCTGTCCTCGTTCCAGTGAATGGCGCTGAGGACGGGCCAGTGCCAGGAAGCGTGGCGGAGGGCCTTGCCCCAGATGTACAGAGGAATCCACAAGAGGAGCACAAAGGCGGCGATTCCGCCCATGGCGCCGTAGGCGTTGATGTATCCGGACTGCTCAACCCAGGGGTTGGTGTAGAAGGAGAGAAGGAAACCAAACATGGCTATTCATTTCGCGTTTGGTTAGCAATGCAAAGAAGAATAAAAAAACGCGGAGAGGGTGTTTAACAAGGCAATCAAGAAGGCCCACTCACATTTGAAGCCCATGACGGACAGGGTGATTTCGCCCGCTACAGGCCTATACGCGTCGATTACGTAGACGAGACACACGTTGGTGCCCTGGGTAATCGAGAAGTTGACTGAAGAGAGAAAAACAACAGTTAGCAAGAGAGCGACGGTACAGCCATGCAGAGTTCTTCAAGACGGCACTTACGCAAGCCGAGACCAATGGTAGGGCAAATCCAGTGCAGCTGCTTCTCGATACCCACGCCGTACAAGACGAGGGCAAGCGGGGTAGCGATGAGGCAGAGGGTCATGGTGGGCAGACGCATCTCGGGGACGCGAACACCGCCGTTGCGACGCGTGAAGAAGTCGGCGCAGACATCGGCAAACTGGCCACCGGCGGGAATACCCACGAGCGAGCCCACGATGGCGGCGACGAAGCACAAGCCGACCTGCCAGGGCTCGAAGCCGTAGGCGGCCTGGAACGCGGGAGCGACGTTGGAGGTGACGGCGACGAGGAAACCAATGGTGACGGACTGGACGAGGGCGGCCCAGAGCACGGGGGCAGGAGGATGAGGCCGAGGGGCCGCAAGAACATCTTGAAGAGGCTCTCGTCGGTCCAGACGCGGTGGTAGATTTTGAGGCTCTGCAGGTACGTCTCCTTGGCGGGCACGGAGGCGGGGGCGTCGTCCTCGACGTGCGAAGGGGCGGCGCCCTTGGAGAGGCTGTCGGTGGTGGCGGTGTCGGCTTCCTCGGCGGCGGCGGCGGGGATGGGGCGGATGTAGGCTGTTTCCGGGAAGGAGAAGATGGCGAGGAGGAGGACGAAGCCGATGAGGCCGGCGGCGACTTGGTAGATGACGCGCCAGTCGTGGTGGAGGACGATGAAGCTGGCCGGGGATGGTTAGTAACGGCGTGTTTTTGCGTTTTGGCACTGACTTTGATGGCCGGGGGTTGAGAAAAAGACTTACCCGTCAATGATCATGCCGCCAGCAACACCGATGGAGAGGAAGCAGGTGTAGAGGCTGTAAGAAGGAAAAGAAAAACAGTCAGCAAACGCGGGTGCGGTTTACACGAGGCATGAAATTCCCCGAAAGAAATCTCCCATGTCCCACTTACGCCATGACAAAGCCACGCTCGTGCAAGAAAAACACATCAGCGATGGACAGGGGAGCAATAGTCTCGGCGGCACCGGCTCCGATGCCCAGAAGAATACGGCCGGCCAAAAAGGCACCGTAGCGCTTCTCGAAGATGAGCCAGACGCAGCAGGCAAAGTAGAGGAGGTAGCTGGTGATGTAGACGGGGCGTCGGCCAAACTTGTTGGTGAGGGGTACCCAGAAGAAGTTGCTGGTTCCCTGGAGCAGGGCGGTGCAGGTGAAGAAGTAGGCGACTTTGCTGATGGCGGCGGGGACGGGGAGGGTGGGGAAGAAGCTGATGGAGGTTGATACAATGGCGATGGTTGGGCCTGCATAACGACAGGTTAGTATCCCCGAGGGCGATACACAACTGGAACTGGCATTAACATACCTGCGGCGAGGAAGTTGGACATCATCATGGCTAAGCAGATGACAATCACCATGTAGTACTTATACGCCTGGGACCTAGATATGGGGAGAGACAAAAACGGCGGCCATCATGGTTAGTCAAAGGGACCACTTGTTCGATTGGGATATCTGCAATCCAAGACAGTGTATACGTACCAGTTCAACGGGTCATTGGGATCGTTGGAGGGCGTGGGGATGAGGATGACCTCGTTGGTTTCATGGTGGCGAAGCTGGACGGTGCCGAGGGTTCTCACCCTCTTCACCGTGTCCGCCTCCTTGGCACCGCTCTCCAGCGCGATGGACTGCTTGTGCTCGCTCATTGGAACCGTAAAAAAGAGAAGAACGGGTATCTTGGAGGATGATGGGGAAAAAAAGAAAGGGAAGGGAGATGAAAAGAGGAGGACTCGCGAGACTCAGATCTTGCTTCCACTGCGAGAAAGACGGAGAGACTGAGTGAGTTCGGACTGGGCAAACGAAATCACACCAGAACCCAGATGGACGGTTGCAAGCACCGATATAAATAATAGAGAAGCGCCGGGTGATGCGTTTGGGGAGAGCAGAGCTGGAGAATCTGGGGACCCCGCGTTACCCGAAACGCTAAGACGAAAAGGCGAGACAACTGACCCAAGCCAGGTCGTCCAACCTCTCCTATTGGGGGTTTGTCACCACCCCAACAGCCGTTTCCACCTACACCTCCTCTGCAACCCGGCCTAAACCTGTGCAGATACCCTCGGCCTCGGCGGTGGGGCCGAGCAGAGAGAAGTTGGTAAACCCAAAAACGAAAAGAAAAAAACACAAGCGTCGGGGAGCTGTCCAAACGAGAGCTCGGCCACGGCACTAGTGGACTAGAGATGTCCGTAGCTTTTCTGCCAACAAAGGCCGGGGAACCTCCCGGTCCTCGACGTGGATGGGGGACGTTTGACGCGTCAACTAACTGGCCCCGGGGATGGGGGCTCTTGAGAAAGGGTGAAGAGATGGAGAGCCGGAGGGAAGCCCGCCCGGAAGAGTGATATCGGAAGAGAGCGAGAGAGCCGCGAAGGAATACAGCTCCTGCAGAAACGATGGGAGCGAAAAGTGAGGACAAAAATATAGAAAAGGGCAATGACCCACAAAGAACCGTTGTCGTGCAACTTGACGACAATAGGAACAACAGTCTCGACCAGGGGGAAGGGGCGCGACAACGGAAATCTCTTCTTGATGCGTGCAGCAAAAAAACAGCGAGCGTCCCGGACACGCGTGGCACACTCTCTCGCTTCCCTGGTCGCTTCGCTGCGTCGGTCGCCTGCAGAGAATGAGAAGCTTGGGGCGTGGGAAGCGACGTGCACACGAGCCAAAGCCCGCCCTCCACCAATGCAGTGATTTTCAATAAGCAACGTCGTCTCCCCCTTTTTCCCAATCTCCACCAGGATTCCCAAACGAGACTAGTGTACTTTGTCCCCTCCCCTCGATGCCGAAGAAGAAGTCAAGTTCCCCGAAGCGTCCCAATTCGTCTGTGGTCTCCCCTCGTTCCCGAATTCCCCAAATTGGAAGAAAAAGGAGTCGTCATCAGCGTTTTAGACTTTTTAGATTGTGCGTGCGCGTTGCATCGGGCTTCGAACTGGATCTAGAACAAATTCAACATCGTGCCGCTTCCTCTCTCTCTCTCTCTCCCACTTCTTTCCGAGGTCAGCGTCTCCTAACCCTCCCCAGTATCTTCACCCCCGCATTCGGGCGGAAGGTCAGGACTTGACGCTGAATGCTGCCCCATCCCCAACTGAATGCCACGTGCCGTGCTTAAAACGCCTGTGTCGGGATTGGGTCTTGAGGACGAGAGCCCATCAATTGATCACACTAACAACGCACCTGTTGAAACCGCCATGTCTCCACTGAGGCGTAGTTCGAGTCGCACGGCTCAAGTTCTTCACAAGCCCCGGGCAAACAACTCGAAATCATCTAGTCTCATTGTTTTTCCCTCCAATCTATATAGCCATCATCGCATCAGGGTAGAGGAGCTGTCGTCCTATGATCTTGTTTGAAGTTGGGAATGGGAGGGGAAAATTCACTGTAGATGCATAGACCTCTTGCCATACATGTACATGTAGTCAAGATTCAGCTCCCCTTTCTCCTTCTAATAAGATCAGATTTCGGATCTTCAAGCTAATGACCTGTGACTCTTCAATATTGTTATAATCCGACATGTTGGTGACCCAAGCCACCGACCTTCCCCACAATCCGGTAGATTCTACCCAAGATTGTGTGGAGCTACCACCGTCTTGGTGATAGTGTTGGGCCCCTCATTTCCCGCACGACATGAAGGGAAAAATATCGTACCAGGTTTCAAAAGCTAGCTTCATGCACCCCATTACCCTGAAAAGCCCCCTCGAAAAAGAAAAAGGTCGCAGGACTCGGAACGAGGGCATAAGTCTTGGCTCTCCTCACCCTTAGCTCGGGCCCTCTTTCAACCCCTCTACGGCGTCAATAACCACCATCCATTGTCGTACGACGGGGAAAAGACGAAAGGAAAAAAGTCCGAGATATAAAGAGCCAGAGGAGAAAAAAGAAGAAAAGAAACTAGTCTGAGAAGGCTAGAGGAAGCAATAAATCAATCAACACGATCAATCACCCCTATGCGCAGAGCCTAAAGCTTCCCTTCGATCTTTGCTATCTCGAGCCCTTGCTTCGTTTTAGTTCCCTGAGTCCCTTTCCCCCACCGTCCCTTTTCCACCACCCGTCCCTCCCAGTCGCCACCATGTCCGCCGCAAAGCCGTCCACCGAGGCCTCCGCGCTGCCCATCCTCTACCGCGATACCACGGAAGCCTCCGCCTTCCACGACGCAGTATGGGGCCGCGTCTTCAACGAGCGGCGCGACACATCCCGCAGCCCAAAAGCCGTCGTCCTCGCCTCCTCGGCTTCCCACATCAAGGCCGCCGTCCAACTCGCCAACGAGCAGGGCTGCCGCGTGTCCGTCCGCAGCGGCGGCCATAGCTGGGCTGCGTGGAGCGTGCGCCAAGAAGCGATCCTGATCGACCTGGGCAACTACCAGGGGGTATGGTACGACGAGAAGACGCACGTCGTCAGCTGCACCCCGAGCTCTACGGGGCGCATCGTGAACGGCTTCCTCAAGGAGAAGGGCAGGATGTTTGCGGGCGGCCATTGTCCCGATGTCGGACTGGGGGTTTCCTCCTGCAGGGCGGTATGGGCTGGAATTGCAAGGTACGAACAACTCGCGGCTTGCGAGGTACACCTCCGGATAACACGCCAATTCGGTCTTAGCTAACTTAACCTTGATAGAACTGGGGCTGGGCCTGCGAGAACATTGCCAGCATCGAGGTCGTCACGGCGGACGGCGAGGAGCTTACCTGCAGCGAAACAGAAAACTCGGATCTGTTCTGGGCGGCGCGAGGATCTGGACCTGGTGAGTCTTGATGAACCACATATACTCTACAAGCAGTTTACCCTTGCTAAGACTCTTTGTCTAGGATTCCCCGCCGTCATAACGAAATTCCACCTCAACACAAGGCCCCTCTTTGAGCTCTTCGACTCAACCTACATCTTCCCGGTGTCTCGGTTCCAAGAGGTATTACAATGGGTCATTGACGTAAGATCACCCCTTTAACTAGGTCAACACGAAGAAGATAGATGATTGGAACACGAGCACTTGACTAACCAGTCCCCGTTCCAGGTCTCCCCACCGCCGACCCCGACATGGAAATCGTCTGCGTATCCAAGTGCAACCAAGACACCGGCGCCATAGAAATCGTCGCCGGCTTCACCGTCTTCAAGCAAACCAAAGAAGAAGCCGAGGCCGCCCTACGCCCCATCCACGACGGCAGGCCCGCCGACCCGGCCGTCGACGTCTTTGCATGCACAACAGCCTCCAGTGGCAGTACAAGAACCAAGCCGCCGCCAACCCGGACAACCACCGCTACTGCTGCGAGAACGCCTACGTCGCCAACGACGAGGACGTGCCCTCCGTCCTCGAGGCCGCCTTCACCACGTTACCCAGCAAAAAGGCCTTTGCCCTCTACTTCTCCATGAACCCCACCTCGCGCCGGCCCCTCCCCGACATGGCTCTCAGCATGCAGTCCGACCACTACTTTGCCCTCTACACCGTCTGGGAGGACGCTGCCGACGACGAGCGCTGCACCGCGTGGGTCTACGACGTGATGCGCGACGTGGAGCGCCGCAGCGTCGGCAGCTACCTCGGCGACGCCGACTTCCGCCACCGTAGGACAAAGTACTGGTCCGATGCCCATGGCAAGAAGCTCATGGACGTCAGGCGGAAGTGGGATCCTCGCGGCACGGTATGCGGATACCTTGACGTCGGCGACCAGAGCGGCGTGGAGGGACTAAAGAATGAATTCGAGTGGTCCTGATGTATAGAGAGGCATGCATACCGACGGACCTCCTTCTAAGTAAGGATAGACTTTGCGCAACCCCGTCCGTAGCGGGAGAAAACAAGTAGATGATATGAAATGAATGATTTTCTTTTACCCTGTACTTTTAACCTTTCAACTTTTTACATTGCTTGCGCAGTTATATAAGACTGCTGGTCTCAAATCCTTAGAAACACCGGCTACGCTCTAAGTTTTCTTCGTCCCTCCCATGCTCTCCTGAATCTTCCCGCCAATGTCGCCTTCCGTGGTGAACTGCTTCCCCACGGCTCCCTCCTTATCAAACATGCCACTCAGCTGCTGAGCCGTGCCACCAATGGCGCCTTCCTGTATTTTGGCGTTAGCTAACGCGTACTAGTTCCTCGGAGCGCGCTAGCGCAGGTTCGACCGACGTGCATATCCTAGGGGAAAATAAGGGAGGGGAACACTTATCCGTAAACTGCTTTCCAATGGACCCTTCCTTGTCCATGGCCTTGGGCTGCTGCTGGCCCCCAGAGCGAGGGTACTGCCCAACTTTGTCCGGCAGGCTAAATGGGTTGCTCCCGGCGGACTCGGGTTGGTTGGTCGCGCGGTCAGACATGGCGATCGACAAGGGGAACGAGGAGTACGAGGAGTACGGCAAGATCTGTTCAGTCAGGATTCACAACACGCTCTGCAGATACCTGGCAATTGGGTATCGATGAGGATGATAGTCGATTGACGAAAAGATGCGTTGTAGGAGATGGAAAAAGAAATTATTAGTCCTGGTGCGAAGATGCGTCTAGCAGCTGGGATAGGCCCGGCGCACTTATACGACTGCACTTGACAGCGAAGCTAGACGTCAGGAGATGCTGCTACGAATGATGCGGAATGACGTTTCCCCGCCGATGCTATCTCATCCTAACTCTAACAAGTCAAAGGCTCTCAGCTTGTTGTAGGTTTGCCCAGCAAAGAAACATCACCAGATCCCCTTCGTTCAAGATTGTGAGTTTTGACGTTGAAAGGGATGGTGCGAGACGGAAAGCACATGTCAGCCGCAGATGAAGAATGTTTCTTTGGAGAAAACAAAAGTGGAACCATGACTGTTGTCAAGGGCGCGCTAACAGGAAAGCTTGATGAAGATTAGCTGTCGTTACATATCAGGCCCGCAATACTTACGTTGTCTCTGCCTGAAACAACACTATGTCGCTCGCGCTTATCCGCGAATGACTTTCTCTTCCAGGCCCGAGGGTTTTCATCTTCCCCAACTGATGAGGTTGGCCTCTACTGCCTTTTGTAGTTGCTGGCCTGCATATCTCGAAATTGATGTGGACGAATCTTGGTGATATCATGCCGCACCGTCCAGTCACCCTCTGATGAAGGAAAAAAGAAATGCCTTGGGATGAGCAAGGAAGAGTGGGGGAAAGTAAAGAAAATATTTCGAGAGGGAATGAGACGGGATCCCTAACAGACAGCGTTGCTCGCCGCGAGAGACCCAAGCAATCCTGCTCCCTTGACACCTGCATCGGCGTAGCGAGATGTCGGGCCCATGGGGACCACCGCTGCTTTACATGCGCACCGGACCCGCGAGAAAAAGGGGGACAGCCGAGTTGAGCTGAGGCTTGCAGAACAATGATTTCAAATCAGAGCCCGCCGATGCTATATCGATGCGCGAGCTCCATGGCCACGCCGACGCCAGACGTTCATCGACGCTGACCTCTGCACCCGCACTACTCATACCCTGCATCTTGGGGGAGTTTGTCATTTTCTTTTTTCCAACCGAATTTCCCTATCCCTGCGATCAGCTTAGCCCGACGGAGGGGCCACACTGAGCTTTATTTCCCGTGTTTGCTTTTCGCACTTTCTTCCCCGTTCAATACCAAGCGCGCCACGGAAAGAAAGAGTCAGCAAACGGCGTCTGCTTTGGCTACAAGCACAAGGCTTTCCTTGCCCTTTTCTGCTCGTGCTCCTTGCTCATCCCATCCACCGCTTAGTCGGGGAAAAGCGAGCAGACGTGAAGACGAAAAATTTTTCTCTCGCGGTTATAATTACCTACTGACTCGGCTTCCCTACCAACTTGCTTCTTCCATCCACAACGTCCGATATTCCAGTTGTGTGGACGACGCCAAACATCTCTTACATCTCTTAGCGGTGGCGGCGGCTGAACGCCACTCTGCGTGTCTTAGCCCAAACCCGGACTTTGATTACTGAGCCCTATTGAGCTTTCGCAAGCCATGTTGGGAGTGTACGAAACTCGAGAAAGATGGATGAGTTGAGGCTCGTCTGCTTCAGGGATTGATTGGTTGCCACTCTACTAGGGCTGCTTTCTCTTTCTCCTCCTCCGCCACCCTAATGTCAGAATAGAGCCAGCTCGAGGCACGTTTCGCCTCTAGGCGTTTACCCTGTAGACTTCTCGCCATCATTCAACCGTGATGGCCTCCATGTCATCGCATAGATATCGTCCAACCTTTATTTTTCTGCAAGACCCAGCTATACGTGCGGGTTGGTAGGCCGATCTCAATGCCACGGATATGGCTATGCATACCCGCTTCGGAGGTTGGAGATTTAGGTTCTGTCGATCCAGCTCCGCGCACTGATTCGAGCCCCCCTGCCGACGAGCGATAATTTGTCCCCAAGCACCATGTGAGACACATGTCCGCTTGACCTCAGGCGAATTCGGGATTGGCACGTACTGCTCGGCGTTGGCGAAACCGACAACTTGCTTTCTCGCGCAAAGGGGGTCCCGGCAAACAAAACCATCAATCTCCCCCTCTCCGCTTTTCTTTTTGGCTGGACCCTTGAAGCTCGGGCCTGGAGAACTCCGGACCCTTTTGGCACCCGGATTCGCGGGTTCTCTCTCCCGCAGGACCAACAAGAAAATGCTGGGGAAAAAGTGGCGGCCGTCAACCGCAGAGAGGCTCAAGGTTGAGAGTGACTTGGCTTGCTCCAACGTTCGGGGGCGCTCCCACCCCATCTCCCCTCGTCCATTGTGTATTCACCAACTCGTTTCTTTTTGGTGGTTCCCCTCCCCCAAACCGCCAGCACGCACCAACTTGTGTAACGCCATGATCGGCGCCACGGCATACGCTCACTAATGAGATGGCGCAACGGCAATGAAAGGGAGAGTAAGAGAAAGGAAAAAGAAAAGAAGGTGAGAGCTGACTGGAGTGGGGTTAGCAGCGCAGCCGCTAAGGCTTTCGCTGGCTGAGCTCCTCTCGTGAGAAGCGCATGCCGGGTGTTCGGGATCAAAGGCTGTCGAGGGAGCTTGTTCATCACGGGCAAGACGAATATAAAAGGATGGTGATGTCCTCCTCTCTCCAGACATATTTCCCTTCTCCATCATCAACCAACTCATCTCATCTCTTCTACTACAATCAACACACTCTTCCAACCTTCTCTTCTCTCTCTCTCCAGCCACACTTACGAAAAGCTCACTCTTTTCCTCCCCCACAACCTTCAAAATGCGTTTCCAGATCATCGCCGCTTTCCTCGTCGCCACCGCGGCCGCCCTCCCCAGCGTCGCTACCGGCAACGGGGCCACCGCTGAGACCATCAACGTTGGCGATGCCAGCGCCGTCTGCGGCGCCAGGGAACAGACTCTCAAGTGCTGCAACAAGGAGGTGAACGTCGCGAACACCAGCCTCCTCTCCGGTCTCCTCGCCGGCCTTGGCGTGTTCGATGGCTGCTCCTCTCTTTCCGTCTCTGCCCGTAAGCCTCCCCCTTTCTTCACTGCCTCTTCCTCAAAAAGACCCGTTGGGCAGATTCCTAACAGTTAGCAACAGTCATCGGCGTCACCGACCTCCTCAACCAGAAGTGCAAGCAGACCGCTGCCTGCTGCGGCTCCAAGACCGTCCAGGTAAGAACAGCCCCTTATCTAGAACCATTCCGCTTTGCATCGATAACCACGGGCATCACTAACACACCCTTTAAAGGACGGCCTCGTCAACATCGGTCTCCCCTGCGTCGCTCTCGCCAACCTTATCTAAGAGACGCAATTCGTCGAGGATACGCGGCACCACAGTCCGCGACTGGTGGCACCACTCAACTGGAACTGGTCTGGGATTTAGATAGTCGGCCTTAGCACCTAATATAAACACGTTCTTTGGTTTACAATATGCTCTTGTTCTGAATACCTTCGTTTCCGTGACATCTAGTAACCTGTCAGGAACAATGCGAGATGACTGTTGTGCATTACCCATTCTTGTACACTTATGATTAGACGCATCAATGAGTGACACGAAATCATGTTGGTGGATGAATTCTATGACCGAATCACTATAATGGGCCTTTCGTATTATTTTCTACGGGAAACCTTCGGATTGTCCCTGGTGGCTATGGACGAAGAGAATGTTGATCAATAATAGCTAGATATCGCCCTTAACGTTCAATCAGTTTATGCCTGGGATATATATATATATATATCTAGAGAAGTGGATTGCGGGCTGTGTGATAACCATAAGTCCTCCACCACAGATGTAAGTCTCGTGCAACTACTAGATAACTGAAGTTGGGTAGACATCCAGACATGCTACTCCTAAAAGCGGACATGACGGATGGGAAGGACGAAAATGGCGGTGGACACCATTGAAATGTTTGGAAAAGAATTTGTTTAAGTCTACAATTATATTTATGGGTGTGATATGCGTGTTGGTGTAGTTACCGGGTGGTCCCTCTCCGTCTATATAGGAATCATATTGTGAGGAGACGTGTGTGAGCTGAACCAATATGTATCATGGCCTCCCGGACGGGTATTCGACGCAACCAACTCTATCCGTCTTGATGTGGTTATCCGCAGCCCTAGTTGTCGATCCCCAACGCTCCCGGTGCCTTGTCGCCAGGGCCAGATTCATTCTTGTCGCAGGAGTCAACCTTATATATGCCAAAGCTGACGCCGCTGACAGTCACGGACAGTAGTCATGACGCATGCCTGCAAGGTGAGACAAGGAGACATTCTTGACTCTATAATGCCACGCTCTCATGTCACGCTGGAGGTGGATGAGCCTTGCTATTCCTGATGGGGGTTGGATTCCCATCTTGCTTAAATGCTCTGTCAACCTTGGGCATTAATCACTTTGTGCGTTCAAAGTTGTCGACCTTTGCGCCACGCCACCAACTCATCGCACCACCGATTGCCACGTGGGGGACGAATGATGCGGTAGTGTGTGCACCACGCTGGACCCCTGTTCTGTTCCTGGTTCCTTGCTGACATGGCGTAAAAGACCTCAATTCACCTCGACGCTCGTCGCGACGGCGTAGCGACGGTGTAGGGCTGGGCAATTGATCGGGCTCGCTTTATTACCATGTTCCCTATTTCTTTCCACGAGTTGACATCGGGCATGACATCCATCCTTCTTCATCAAGTGGGCGAATTGCATGATGCCCCCAATTTGCTTAATCATGGTCATCCCGAGATTGGAACAAAAAGAAAAGGGAAGGAACGGGGGCTAAGATTGAATGGGATCCAGTGTTCGTGTTCAATGCTGCCGGATACCGAGTTTCGCGCATCGGGAGAGAGTCCTTCACTAACAGAGTTGCACTAAAGTCCTATGGTGGTTGTCATAGTGTGATACTTTCCCGAGGTCCCCACCGTTGAGCCAACCAGCAGTGGCTTAGCGGAAAACCCCGAATGAGCTGATGTGATTGGCTCAAATTATGGTTCTCTCACGTCGTTGCCTCTGTCATGTCTTCCCCTGACAGTTTGCCCCTTTCCTGCTGATTTTAGCCTCGAGCTTTTTTTCTTTCCCTGGTCGTCGTGTGGCTCTCGAAGCCTGTTTTCTTGATCTTTTCCAATTTCAGCCTCCCTTTTTCCCACTTTCCTTTCTTTAACTGTTATAATCCACGTTCGCTCCTTCTCCGCCAAGGCTCGCCTGCCATCTGGAATTTCTCTCAGGTCCTTCTCTCTCCTCCCTCGCGGCCTGCTCCGACTCAACGACGAAACACCCCCCTCCTCCTCCCCGCTGCCGCTGGCAGACGGCACACACAACACCATGTTGACCACCAACTTCAGGCCATCGCGCCTGGCCATCACGATATCGGCGACCGTCTTCGTCGTCATCTTCCTCGGCGTCTTCAACTACATGGCCGAGACCCCCTTCGTCGACATCTCGATACGGCGACCCGGCGCATCCCGCCAACCCGACACCCATGCTCTCCCCGTCAACGCCTCCTCCCGCACGGCGGCCCTCTCCGTCGCCGCCGCCGGCAACGCGACCCTCGGCTTCTCCAAGATCCTCATGATTAACATGGAGCAGCGGTGGGATAAGCTCGATGCTGCCACCATCCAGGCCTACGTTTCCGGTCTGCAAATCGACATGTTCAAGGCCGTCGACGGAAAGCGCGAAATCACCGATATGGGCAGCGTGGGCATGCCGCCCGCGAGCGGCGGAAACTTGAGCGGTGGCCAAAGGCCTGCTATCGCTCCCACGCAAACGTACGTTGAAACGGGCCGCGCCCGCTCCCCTTCCTTTTCCCCCTCTTTGTATTTCGTGGTGTCCGGAAGGCTCGGGTCTGCCTTGGATTATCCGCTAACGTAGAGGACCTTTCGTTATCTTTTTAGATCTGGACCGACATGATCATGAATCGCTCCCCTCCCATCCTCATCCTCGAAGCTGACGCATCGTGGGACGCCAACCTCCGCTCCATCATGTCCCTCGCCAACGAGAACTTCATCCAATACCTCGGCGAGATCAAGTCCAAGCCTCAGTCGAGCCCCGTCTACCAAGCCCAAGGCATCGTGCCCAGCGAGGAGCGACCCATCCAGTGGGACCCCAGGGATCCCTGGCTCTCCGAGCACTGGGACATCATCTCCGTCGGCCACTGCAACGACCAGCCCTCGTGGTACGGCGAGTTCCCCGACCGCGCCTACAAGGACAAGTGGGCCTCCACCCCGGGCGACCTCTTCACCATCCCCGCCGGCTCCTCCCGCGTCATCAAGCGCTCAAGGGCTTCGCCTGCACCACCGGCTACGCCGTCTCCCACCGAGGCGCCGCCAAGATGCTCCACCGCCACGCCCTGGACCTCAACCAGCCCATCGACCTCATCATGCTGAGCATGATCAACGAGGGCGGCCTCATCTCCTACACCCTCAACCCGCCCCTGTCGCCCAGTGGTCCTACGCCCCCAACATCGGCATGGACAAGGGCGCCGACAGCGATATCCTGCAGGTCGACAAGGGCAGCGAGGAGGGCGCGGAGAGGGACATGTCGGGCTGGGACGCCGTGCACAAGAGGAAGTCGGCCTGGGTCGTCAGCCCCAAGTTCGCCGGCATGAAGTTCAAGCAATGGGCTCTTGATATTTCTTACAGCAGGATCTTCAGTTAGGAGCTGGACACGTCCTCCTCAATGACCGAGCCCTTAACGATACCCACGGAGCCAGTGGCGCCTAAAGCTGCACCCGACGAGCGCCTGCTCACACCTTCATCCACGAACCAACGGCAGAAATGAACCTAAATACTCGACAACCCGAGCCAAAATAACCCGGCAGTCCGTCTGTGAGAGAATACCATTCAAACATCGGTTCAATCCCCGGAAGCTGGGGTGCCTCGAGATGTGGTTAATTACTGTATACCCGATCAATGTCCTTTCGTCATGTCCTTTTTTCTTTTCCCTCTTTTTCGAGAGTCAAGAGGGACCATTCCTCCTTTTAGCATGCTACTGCAGTTAGCATCGTGTTATTTAATCCCGTCTTTTTCCTCATCCCTTTCGCCCCTTTTTTCTTTTTTTCTTTCTTTTTACGGCTGCATCTCGGGCGAATCTAATGGATCAATAGATGGGAAGGTATCGTCGTTATGATGCTGATAATTCGACTTTATTGAGTTCAATCAGTTCAATGTTGCGTTCTTTTTTTAATACAAAAAGTCACAACGGAACTATCTTCTCCACCGTTTCTAGGTTTTGCTTCTGCCTCATCTATGAGTTCAATGTTCATCATGCCACATCCAACAGGGCCGGGCCCAATATATCGCCCTTGCTAGGTATTCTCCGCATCTCGCTTGATGCTACCGTACAATATTACTTGAGAACGGCCTCCTCGGTTTCAGAAGAGTTAGCCGGCAAGAACAGAGCAAGCCGGACCGGAAGACCTCCAGCACAGCCAGGTCGAGATACTGTCAATCGACCTCAAGCCAGCGCCTCTCACAGCACAGACAGGCGTAAAACTCCTCCCCAGAATCACGGCGACTAGTGGCGAACCGTTCGCTTCGTAAATCGAGATATCGTGGCTCGCGTGCTCGTCCCTCGAGTAAAGGCGGCGCTCGCCGACTACAGCGTCGCTTCATCCGGCATATTCGACCTCCACTTCATCGTGGCGTGCTCGTTGGCCCACTTGAGCACCGCGTCGTAATCCTTGCACTCGTGCTTGGAGCCCCAGCCGGGCCGGCCTCGGTCTGGCCCTCCAGCGTCGTGTCGGCGGCGCACATGATGCCTTGGCGTATGTAGTCGAAGCAGTGCGCCGCGTGGTGAGCCACTTCCTCCGTCAGCCGGGCCCCCGAGTACCCAGCTTGTAGGTGCTCGACCAGGTAGGACTATTCGTACGACTGTTTGTCAGCGGTGCGAAAAGGGAGAGGGGACAAAAAGAGCAAAAGAAAAAGCAAGGTACTCGTCTGGGCGCCAAGATTATAAAGGGTGCGACCTTACAAGACAGTGAAGTTGGTGGTACAGTGTCACCATGTAGCCTGGTCCTTCGGTATATCGGTCGATCGGCGTGATGTACGGTTGGGGCAGATCGTAGGAGTCCTTCTCGTCGAATCTCACATATCCTCGACTTTCTAGCTACGCATTAGTAACCTCTCATGAGGGGAAACAGTGACCCCTCCGAAAAAGAAATTCAAAAATTATAAAAAAGAAGAAGAAAGAAAGGTGACCGGCTATGTTCTCACCAGAGCTGAGCGGAATCCAGTTATGAAGGGTACGGAATGTATCGGTTCGATTGAAGAGCATGTGCTCGTCGAGGAACGTAGCGTCCTTGGTAAACGTGTATACCTTGCGTGGGACTACGGTTGCGCGCGCGCCCGAGAACTTATCAATCACCATGCACCAAAATTTCGATTTAAATATGCCAAGGGAGTACGATACATACATTCTGGAACGGGAGACTTGCTCTTCTTGAAAATAATCGTCCCATCAATCGGCCGCGACGTCAAGAGAATGAAGATCGCGACGGCCATTAATATCTCGATCACCCATCGCATGTGACGCACTCCCTTTCCCCAACATCCCCTCCTCTGGTGTCCAGGGTCGACGGTCTTTTCAGACAAGTCCAGGTCGAGAAAGGCCTCTGTCTCGTCCTCGCCGGTTGGGCTGTGCATCGCCGTCGATTGTCGGTGGGAAGCCATGGCGTGCGGACATGGGCGTAGGCGCGAGCGACAAAGAAAAAAACCGTCCAAGACTCTTACAATTACTCTACAGGTGTGCGCCAAGATGACCTTTATGAAGGCTTGCCTTGGAGCAAGGACACGCCATTTGCCAAGTGTCGACTGGCTTCATGCTACGGGCGTTTTTAGGCATAATTTGACGGGTAAATGAGTGGCGAACGACCCATCTTCCACCTATGATGATCCTACTCTTGTTCGGAACCACAGTCACGGGTGCTACGGTCCCCACACGTGATTGACAATGCCGGCAGCGCAGCATTGACTCCAGAGGGGGGGGAGACTGCATGGCTGAAGATGTATGTGCTTTAAAAGCCATAAAGACGTAGACGTTGTGAGTGAAGAGGCGAGGAGTGGGTGATCAAGAGGACGAGAGCCTGGAGCAAAGAAACAAAAACAAAGAAAACAACATATAAAAACAAAACAAAGGAAAGGAGCAAGTGTCTCACCTGTTCGTCCCTGTAGAAAACGCCAGCAGAATTACAAAGCAACCCAATCACTTGGTCCATCCGCCTTTGAAAGCGATTGACGTAGGGTCGACATGTAAGATCCTTGGCGTGTTCGCAGCATAAGACCTCCGCAAGACGACAAGACCCAACCCGACCGTTCGGCGCCTGCGGTGAAAGCAGAGCCTCTGTTTCTCCGCCGGTCGCTGCGCTGAAATGAAACCAGCTCCTGGAACTTTTTGTTAGCAAATGTTTCGTAAGGAAGCGTAGTGTACATAGATAAAGATAAGGGGTCTCAGGAATACGCTGGCCCTACGACCCGGGGTAATTCAGGTTTGTTGTGTTTTTTTTTTTTTTTGCAAAGGTATTATTCTGTCTTCTCAATGAGGATGAGACTTCTCCGTGCGGATGTTTGTTCCACACAAGATCATCGTGGGATACGGGTTTTCGCTCTTCTACCAGCCGTGCGGGAAAATATCCACATTGAGCATGCAGGATCGACGATTGGATCAATGTACCTCTTGATTGCGCTCCCATTAGCATGAGCTGTGCCCCGTATCCGGGGGTTTACTCTGCGGACAGTTTTAAATTGACTTGAGTTAGATTCTTCCACGCTGATGGAAGATCATTCGCATGGAGATACAGCATGGCTCCCACACAGGACGCATACGGTTGTTATGGTCTTGTGCCTGTCGTCATGGGCCCCTCTTACAACGTGGGCCTTGTCTCTGTAGTTCGGTGGCAGGAAGGTGACCGGCCAGCAGAACATCTTTTACACGGACGATATATATTCTACTGGTGGCGGCCTCGCTCGCTGTCGGTTTTTCTTTTTCTTTCTGTTTTTTTTTCTTTCTTGTATAGTCAAGCGTATCCAACTTCTTCTCTCCTTAAACATAACCCCCTTGCCCCAGTCACACTATGCGGTCCCGAACGCAGCTCCTACTGCCACTCCTGGCCAACTCGTATCTCGCCGCGGCACATGACGCGGTGGATCACCCTCCGTACGAGTGCACTCCCGCCCCGGAAGCGGCCACCCCACCGCTCGGGTCCTGACGTTTACCGTCGTCGTCACTGCGGCGCCGACCGTGACGCACTGGGGCCAGGTTCTCGAATCCATCTGCCCGACGGTTCACGGTTCAGCCAATGCCAAAGGCTCGCCCGCGGGTTCGAATCCCGCGTTACCGGGGCCGCCTGATGGCTTTTCTACGGGCCCCCTCGGGGACTTGTACATCAGGACCAGATGATCGTCTACCCTGATCAGCTCAGCGGTCCCTTGGCTGACGGTGCCGCCCCTGGGAGGTGTGGAGGATGGAGCCCTTGCTCGTTCACCCTAGTGGGGCCCAGCCGCCCTTTTCCGGGGAAGGTGAGGGCCCGCAAGGACAGGGACAGTCGCCTGGGCAGCCAGGCGGGCCTGGCTCAGCCTTCCCTCCCGGCGCAAATGGGGGCTTTGGCGGACAACCAAGCGGCCCTGGAGGGAACGGGAACGGTGGCTCGGGTGGGCAGCGGCCCGGGCAGCCAGGTGACCCCGATCCTCCCTTCCGGCCTGGAAGGCCCCAACGCCCCGACGGCTCCGTACTGCCGCCACCATTCAGGTAAGTGTTAGAACCTAAGCGCTTATCTTTGATGCATGATCCTGATTTGTTTTCTCTCTCCCTCATATAGCTCCACCGCAACCAGGGGTGTCTCGAGTGCCTCGGGGTCACAAAGTACTTTTACCACGTCACCGCGCACAGGAACGTCCTCTGCCAGCTCCAGCTCGTCGCCTACCCCTTCATCTTCAACGTCTTTCCTTACGATACCAGGAGGTCGAACAGACCTTCCCACGGCTAGCGATTTGTCTACAGAGTCAAGCACTGCTTCCGACAGCGCCCTCGCCACCAGTTCGGGTGCTGAGACTACAACAGATACACCAAGTGTAAGCTCCTCCTCTGCCGAGCTACCCATCAGCTCCTCTCCCACTAGTTCAGAGGTCGCCACGCCGAGCGAAAGCTCCACTTCCGAGGCACCCGCCAGCTCCACCGTCACTTCGGATACCAGTTCCGCTACCCCAACACCGACTGCGTCACCGCAGCCGGAATGCCAGGAGATTGACGGAAACTTCGAAAACGGGGTCGAGGATCCGTGGTACATCTCCAACCAAATGACAGCAGACTCGTCTACTGTTCTCGAGTACGAGCCAAGCGACTCTGGTTACGCTTTTGCCCTGATCCCCTCCCAGCGTGACTCTTCCCAAGTTTATCTCAACCAACCGCTGCCTACTTGCTCGAACACCCCCATCACAGTCACGCTCCAGATCCGGTTCTTTTACGAATTTGCAGCCGAGGCTGTGGGATGTAAGATCACGGCCGGGTTGGCTGGCTCGCCTACCGGTGCGGCGGAGATTATCGAGGACGATACGAACCAAGGGGCTTGGCTGGAGTACGTCGGGACACCGTTTGAATACACCCTGCAGTCCTATACTCTATTCACGGTGGCCCTATCCTGCGCGGGGGATGCTGAGCCTGGGAACCCAGCTATCCATATCTCCAACATCAGCGTCTACCCATGAGTCAGACCAATAGTGAAGGTATGACCGATGTGCTCCGAGTGTGGGCTTGACAGTATATGCGAGGACGCACCCGCACCCTTGTGGAGTGACGCGCTCGTGTGGGGTAAAATGAAATTCCATGCATGGGGCGGGCTAGTTCACCTTTAATTCTTCTTTGTAATTTTTTTATCTTCTTCATCCTTGGTATTTTCTTTCCGTACATACGAGTAATTCAATCTTACATTTCAATCTTACCGTGATGGGCTGAAACCCCCTAGGCTTCGCATGTGCGCTAGCCAAACTGAGCCCTCCTTGAACTCAATCTACGGGCCCAAATACCGAGGTTGAAATGTGTGACTCTTCATTCGCTCGCCATTGCTTGATCCCTGATGTGATGACACAATACTGAGCTCGCCGATGATGACACAACCTCGGACGAAGCAGGTCGGCTATCTCGGCGCTCCTGGCTTCCTGAACAATCGCCTTCGACACTTGTAGAAAACTATATTTACTACTACCTTCTCGAATATACCCCGTTGTTTATTGCAAGTCATGACAATAACAAATATGGCGTCCCTTCAAGATATCAAAGCTCTCGTTTTCGACGTGTTTGGAACATGCGTTGATTGGCGAACCACCGTCGTGGCCGAATTGCAGGCCGTCTTCGCCTCCAAGGCCGAAGCGCCGGAGCTTCCCGACCCACTCCGACAGCGTCTCCAGTCGCTCACGCGGCAAGACTGGGAGGAGTTTGCGCAGAAATGGCGCATGTCGTACGGAGAGTTCACCTCGGGCTTCGTCCTGGGGCGCACCCCGTGGAAGGACGTCGACGCCCATCACTACGATAGCCTGGTCGAGCTGTTGAAAGAGTGGGGATCCCCGGCGCGCTAACCGAACCCGAGACCCGCCAATTAAGCTTGGTATGGCACCGCCTCGGCCCCTGGAAAGACTCGGTGGAAGGGCTCCGCCTGATCAGCGAAAAATACCCGACGGCCACGCTCTCCAACGGGAACCCGGAGCTGCTTCGCGACCTCAACGGCATGCTGGAGGGCGGTTTCCGCTTCATCATCTCCGCGGCCGATTTTCACGCCTACAAGCCCAACCCCATCGTCTATAACGGCGCGGCGTCGAAGCTGGGCTTGGCCACGGAGCAGGTCGCCATGGTGGCGGCGCACGTCGGTGACTTGGAGGCTGCGCGGGGATGTGGGATGAAGACGATTTATGTGGAGAGGCCGAAGGAGGAAGATAGTCCGGCGGAGGACGTGGAAAAGGCTCGGGACTGGGTCGATTTATGGATACCCGTTGAGGGTAATGGGTTTGTTGATATCGCGAAGCACCTCCGTGGCGGGGAATAGGCGGTGCAGGGCATTTGCCCCCGACACTCGAATTTAATCAAGATTTTTTTAAGTTTGAGACGTTATGGACAATCACAGTGAAGTTGAGGAGGCTAACTCTCCATCAACTGCCAACCCTGTTGATCAGTGCCTTTTTGCCCTATTTTCTGCTTGGTCTAGGAAGATGTCTGAAAGCAAACGAGTATTGCCAATCGCATCCGGCCAAGCACAGATTGCCACGCGGACCATGACTGCCGAATTATCGCGCCTCGTCATAGCGCCGCCTGCATGTGACATTGCGCGACTGTCTCGGTGAGTAGCGTTTGGCAAATGGCGATACATGCATCGTTCCGCGAGACTCGATATGGCCTACTTGACGTTTTGGTGTCCCAAGGTGACCAAAAGGCAGCCCATGCCTGTGCGTGTCGTGGCACGGCTCGCTGGCCTTTGAATAGCGACGAGTAGGGTATGAAAAAGCCTCCAGAAAGGGAAATGAGGGGCTGGCTCTCCTCTCCTCTCGAGGGTATTGCGCTTTGTGCGGGGTGCGCCCTTAGATGTATGTACGCTTCGGAATCGCTACGTGGATGAATGATAAGATTAAAAACGAGGGATGGGCAGCGGCTGACTGCCCTACAGGGCTCCAAGGTTTGAGCTGGGCGTTTGTAGCGAAATCGGCGCCCTCATTTTCCAATAATACATGTACGCGGAGCACTAGCCTAGAAAATGCTGATTGGGTGCGTTGGGTGCGGACAGCCAAATACTCTTGACGCACTTGACAGGGTCTGGGTTCAGCTCTCGGTAAGCCCAATCATCGCCTCAGTGTGACAGACGTTGGTCCTCTGTACATGTCGCCTGACAATATGAACTATTTTCTTGGCACTCTTATTTCTTCTAATCACGGACCAAGATGTGTAACCAGATGGAGCGGGGGAGGGTGAGAAGTTGAGTGAATAAATAGTTGAGATGAGAGCCCTGCCCATCTTGATCGGGCCCTCGCGCTATATTCCCCTCCCTTTGCCATCACGACATCACTTTCGCGAAGATGATTCTGACGCGATATATCCTGGGCGCCTTGGCCACCGCGTCGGTAGCGTACTCGGCGAAGAAACGCGATCCGGTATGCATCATCGGCGCCGGCCCAGCTGGGCTCGCCGCCGCGACCGCCCTCGAGCAAAAGGGTAGGGAGGTGGTGATTTTCGAAAAGCAGGCAAAGGTGGGAGGAAAGAGCCAGGCCGTCTACAAAGAGTTCGTCGCACGAAACCCCCGCGGAAAAAAAGACGCCATGTCGTACTTGGTATTTTCAAAGTACCGATGCTAACCTCTAGCCGGCTAGTGGCCTCTTTCAGCCGCTCGGCGCCGTTCTTTTCGAAAAAGCAGCCTACGTCGAGACGATGAAGATTATCGAGCAGACCGGAGTTCCTTACAGCGACCTGAGCATTGGCGAGCGTTGGTACTTTGACTGGAAAACGGGCGCTGCTACTCTAGCGCCGCCCGTGTCCCAAGATCTGGCGACGGCGCTGGGCCTCGAGTTTCAACGATATGCTGCGTATTGGGGGACCATCCACCTTCCCATGACCAGCGTCGGCTACAAGGTGCATTTTCCCCTCTTCACACCACTACTTCGAGTTCCCTTTGCCGCGTGCTTGAGCTTCTCTAACTGGCATGCCCCCTTTGTTTCTATTTTTAGGATGGAATTCCGCCCGAGCTCGCGGTCACCGGAGCTCAGTGGCTCGCGCAGAATGGCTACCAGGTGCTGGGGCTGGCCATGATTGATGCGTTTGTGACGTACGGATATGGCGACTACCGAGAGATACCCGCGGTAAGTTAGTTTCTATGCGTCAGGCGCTCGCGGCGCGTGAAGGGTTCAAATGATTTAAAGAAAGAAACGAAAAGGCTAACGTCAGCAGCTCTACATGCTCGAGTTCTACACTCCCAGCATCTTGGCTTACATGATGGGTCTTACCCCGGGATACAAGATCGGTGAGGCTCACTTGGTCCCCCAACCTTCAGCGACGATGCTTACATGGATGCGTCCGTAGATTTCCACAAACTATTGGTCGAGTATTCGAAGTCGGTCAAGGGTCCAATCAACCTCGGAGCCGATATTAAGTTGATATGTATGTCTCACCCATCCAGGCCACCATGGTTCCACAGGGGTTTTGCTGACCGTGGTCATTCTCCTTCCAGCTCGATGGGGTGCCCCGCTCGTCTTCTACCGCAAGAACAAGGAGTGGCTCCCCGCGTGCAAAAGTGCTCCGACCTCGTACTCGCTTTCCCCCTACGATTTCGGCCCTCAAAGGCGCCGGCCTTTTTCTCTCCAAGGAAGAAAAAGCCTTGTTTTCCGCGGTGCAAGTCCACAACTACTTTTCCTCTGCCGTGACGATGAACCAAATGCCCCAAACCATATCGTTTTCGCCCGCAAAGACGAATCCGTTCACGCCCGTCACGCCCGAGGGCCAGCCAATTTTCTTCTCGGCCCTGCACCAGGGCTCGGGGGTTGTTAATGTCTGGTCGTGGGACAAGACCGGAGCAAAGTCCAACCCGGACAAGGCGCGAAAGCTTCTGAAGGAGACCTTGAGCAAGTTCAATAAAGATCCTAGGAACAGTGCGCAGCAGGCGAAGGCCGTGACGGATAAGAATATCATCGGCTTCAATGCCGTGGTGGATTACTTCCCTCACGTTGGCCCGGCGGAGATCGCCCAGGGTTGGTATGACCGGTTCAACGCCTTGAATGGCGAAGATCACACAGTTTACGCTTCTGGTTTGAACGCTTTTGAAACAGTTGAGCATGCACTCCGGGCAGGAGAGATGTGGTGGACTCTTACTTGTAATCGGATAGCCGTTTAGAGGTGATGAAGAAATGCGGCGTATAGCGTAATCACGGAAGCTGGCTTCAGTCATTGTGAAAGTATCACTGGTGGTCAGGACTTTTGAGGCAACACGATTATTGACTCGGATTGATACTGGGGGTTGTGGTAATTTTGGAAGTATTGAGTGATTATTTATAATTAATATGGCATTTCCCTTGAATTGTGGCGGCTGGCAATGGAGAGTTAGGGGTTATGAGAAGAGTGATCTTCGAGGCCGCTCTTGACTCCATATGTAGCAATCTATTGAACCAATCGGAACGGTAATCAATGACAAGTTGATCCTAACTGGGGAAATGAACCAGTCTTCTTTCAATAAGAATCAGAAGCTTGGAGTAATCGTGATAGCCTCGAAACGATCATAACCTATACATACCATGTTGGGGATTGAAGGTTGGCGACGAGCACAACAGGGATTTGCGCCGACGACACTTGCATAGTTCAAATTCTGCGTGAGCTTTTCTGCAACGGATGCTGCGAGAACAAGATCACAAGATCATAAACGTGGGGGATTCAGTGATTCTATAGGTAGTGATCGCGATGTTTGGCCGGAAGCCGAACTTTGGTCATGGCACCAACTTTCAAGATTCACGGAGGTTAGAGTGGGGGAGGGGAACACTAGCTTAACCATTATCTAGGATAGTGATTGGTAGGAGGCACGGGGTGCAGGTAGAAGCGGCACATCTGTGTTAGTAAATGGACTCACGTCATGCAGGTGATGGAGAGTATTCTTGAACAGGGAATTATTGTTACCATCTAGTGTATATATCGAAGTTAGGCCGCAGGGCACCTGCAATTTGTGATGCCTGGTCGCCGGATGTCCATATTGGTTGTCTATAGGAAGTATGGCGGGAAAGTAGCCACACTAACCCTAACTTGGGATGCGGTAGATATAGAATATCCTGGCACCGACGATGATACGTCCATTTTTACTCGGGTTATTCTCGCGCATGAGCCCTCAGCTATTGTTACCACTGATTGCCGAGGTGCCACCCCGGCGCCGACCCTGGTCCCGGTATCGGCTACGGATGGAGACTCTCGCGAACATCAACATTGTACTGCTTAGCAGAGTGCAAGTTGTTGCTGCATAGTGGACATATGCGGGCCTGCCAAAACGACCTCGCCGCAGTTGTTCGTGACTATCACCAAGCAGTGGTAGACAGCGGAGGGGGTTCCACGAGCACTACTCGGGCAACTACACCGTGGGACACCAGGTAGAAGTTGAAGTCACGTTTTCCACCCTGGACATGAAGGAAAAACAACTATCGGGCTTCTCTGAGGGGACGCTGTGCAAACCGGGGTGGGGGCCGGCTTATCTGACTTGAAAGGAACATGTGTGCTCGACGGCGAGACCTAGAATTAACGAAACGCGATTATTGTTCTTTTGGTGGAGAGGTTCCTGTTGCCAAAGAGCCAGGTCATGGCTGACATGAAGGATGATGGCCCCCTTACTTTCCTTGAGCTGGCCCCCTCTCGCGAAGCGGAACAGGAAAACAATGCGCTGTGGTGGAGTCGCCCACCATTAAGCTACCCGCCGGATAACCCAAGAGAGTGCGTTCCACTCATTGTCGGGATACTGAAGGGGGATAAAGTAGCCTCAAATTACGGATGAGATGATACGAAGTGCTCGCGAGCAAGGGAGTGTCCGGCTGGTAAGCAGGGGAGCCCAGTGCGGTGATGTTCGTATTCCGCTCCGCACTCGTCTGATCCATGCTTCATGAAAGTCGACGGGGGCGGACGTCGAGATCACCAGGCGCCGCCGAGGTGACATTGCGTGGTATCTGGAGTATGTGGGATGAACTGCTCCGGATATCCCGGTCATGCCGCACGGAAAACCGTTGCTGCTGCCTACTCGTATCTCTAGTGTAGTACCAAGGAGAGATGTATGGGCGTGGGACTTAGGGGAGTGTCTTTGAATACAATGGTCGTGAATTTCCCGTTTTCATTAGTAAAACCGGGGACTCACAATCGAGTTAAACCCTTTGACCTGACCGACCCGGTCATTCGAGATGGTGGCAAGCCTTTCTTGCTGTCTTGGCAAATATAACAATCAAAGTGAAATACCACATGGCCTCTGGTTCCTCTCCCCGCCCGAAACCCCGACGTGTCCCCCGCCCTTATCCTCGGTCTCCTCTCGAGTCGATAGGGTTCCTGCAGCCGGGCCCAATGATATCGTTGCAGAGACCAGGGCAGGGCCATTCTCGCGGCCTCACCCCTGCGTTGGGATCAAGCTTTGAGGCGCTTAAACTCACCCGCATGGAGTCGTGCCTCGCACTACCGATCCCGGAATAGATCAGATACCCGAGCCAGTTCTGCCAGCCCACGCTATAGTGCGGTGCAGTGGAGGGCGGACGGTAGGTAGCGGGCGAGAATGATTCAGGTGACGGCTAGCACGCACATGCTCACCGGACTTTGACAACAGCTAGTGCACTAGTGGCAGCGTCGGGACAAGAGGTATGAGTAATCCTGGGGGACGTTGGAAGGGGAGTCATTTCCTACCATGCAAGCCACATCACTTCCACGGCGCTCTTTGCTCGCGGGCCAGCTTGCTTTCCCGGAGGGTGGAGGTGGAAAAAAGGGGTGGGGGAGGGATGAGGATAGGGATAATAGGGATGGGATAGGGATGGGATGGATCTTTGAACGAAAGCCTAATGCCATGCTAGGCTCCTTCAATGTAACAATGCACAGACTTTTCTTCAGAATGCCGCCCGATGGTGGTGGCAAAGCGAACCCCAGCCCGCACTGACCCGTCGGGCTGCATCAAAGAAGCGCTTCTTTTCCATTCTTTAATGGGTTTTATTTGCCGTCTTTTCGTTGCGGAACGGGAGCGGCCCAGGAACATTATGTCTAAAATAAGCTTAGTCGGGAGATCTGGTTCCCGCTGCTGCTCTTAAACCATTGCCAGTGGTTACTAAGACCCTCGCCGCTATTTGCCAATATCTCCAATCACAGTCAAGGCCCAAGCCGCTCAATCGGTTCGTCTTGCCCTCCGCGCTCGTCGCTCGTCGACCCCGCAGGTTTCGGTTCGTCTTTCCATCCGCACAACTTCCAGCTGCAAGCCACGGCTGCATGCACGTTCCAGCTCTGCACCTGCCAAAGCAGAAATGTGATAGTCCACCCCAAGAGAAGACAAGAAAGAAGACAAAAACGAACACCCCCTTTTTTTTTGTCTTGACCACGGACTCCTCTTAGATCGAGCCCCCGAGACCGAGGCTGACCCGAACGCATCTGTGTGGAGATGAGGATGGCTATCCTGGAAGTCTCCTCTCCGCTCTCCATGCCCGCCCTGTCCTGCGTCCATGGTTGTTGATGGGCCCTTGCACCATGCACTCCGATCCGCCATTGAAGAATCCGTGAGCCAAGAAAAGGGAGAACGAGGGAAATCGGTGGCTCCTGTGCAGGATCGTGGGGAAGTTTGCTTGAAGAAGGGTAAGCTTGGACGGTGTTCATAGTCTCTAGCCAATAATAGAGCGACAAGATCGCAAATAGGAAGATTTGGCCCCTCAATCCGGCATGTACGCTATCGATTCGGGATACACTTGCTCGGCCGGGCAAGGTGGTTGTATGCCTGGGGCCCGGGCCGCTTATTCAACGACACACACGCATTTGCACTCGCACTCAGACTCAGATTCACACTTACGCTCACCCACTTTCTTGCATTCTTCCTTCCCCATCATCCCCTCTCATAACCGGCTTTGACCACGCTCAAAGTTGTGATGAGTCGATAGTTGACGCCAGTCACGATGCCTACCCTTGCAGACCGTCGTATCCTTGACCTTGTCCAAGTCGCACAGTTCGGTCGGTGGATGCTGGTCACGATGCCTCCTCTTGCAGATTTTTATTGACGTCGTGGGGTAGCCGACCCCTCCTCCCCTTCTCCTTTGAACTCAATGAAGTGACCCGACTGGGGAAATATTGGTCACCGCCGTCTGGGTCAGCGCGGAGGCACTTCACGGCCGACGCGTTGTTGATCACTCTCTCCACTTTACGCGCCTTCGCGCTCGTCCGGGTTGTGATCCTCCCCCATGCTGCTGACGGGCGGGATGATCACGGCGGTCGCGAGTTCTTCACCTCGACGGGATGTGCTTGCCTTTCCTTTGTCTATAAATTCCATCGTTGAGCCCGTTCAAGATCACATTTTGAAGTCCATCACTCCAGTCGTCATTCCTTCATCCCCCTCCCCTTAACCCCACACTCCTTATTACACCCCTTTCAGGTCCCGTCAACGTGATAGTAAAGATGGCGTCCAAGTCTATCCTGGGCTTGGCCTTGCTTCTTCTGAATACCCCCTCACCTTGGCCAAGGACTGGGAGAGCCCCGCTTACACGTGGCTCTACCAGTATCCGCTGCCTATTCCTCCCGTGAAGACACCCAAGATGTGAGTTCACGTACTATCCACGGACTTGATAAGCAGACACTGGAATTTATACTGATCTTTGTCTTCACTCCCCTTGTCAAGGACTATCACCAACCCGGTGACTTCGTCTCCCATTGACTACTATGAGTTCAATGTGCTCCCCTTTACGCAGCAGGTCTACCCCAACAAGGCGGCGGCTGCCATGAGAGGCTATGATGGAATCTCTCCTGGCCCAACCATCATTGTGGAGAGGGGCCGAGAGACCGCCGTGCGGTTCATCAATAACTCCACCATGGACATCTCTGTCCATTTGCACGGCTCCTATTCGGTATGTCTTCCGGATCAACGAGAGATCTTGCCATATTAGGACGGTAACTCACAATAGTGGTACATCTAGCGAGCTCCGTGGGACGGATGGGCCGAGGACCTTACTCCCCCAACTATTACAAGGAGTACTTTTACCCCAACAGCCAGTCCGCACGACTTCTCTGGTACCATGACCATGCCATGGACCATGTAAGTTCGCAACTCACTTCTATTCGCTGGCGACATGTCCTATGCTCACGCAGGACCTTTGATTGCTAACACGCCTTGTGACGAATCAAGACCGCTGAAAACGCATACTATGGTACGTTATCTCCCAAATTACACCGCACTTCACCCGCCTTCCTACCAACGAGCATGTCGCTAACTCCCTCCTAGGTGAAGCTGGTGCTTACATCATCCACGACCCTGCCGAGGATGCCCTAGGCCTACCCTCCGGATACGGCGTTAATGATATCCCCCTCATCCTGAGCTCCAAGCAGTACAAGAATGACGGATCCCTCTTCTCGCCTGCTGGAGAGACGGACAGCCTCTACGGAGATGTCATCCATGTCAACGGACAGCCGTGGCCCTTCTTCAACGTCCAGCCCCGCAAGTACCGCCTCAGGTTCCTCAATGCTGCCGTCTCTCGCTCCTTCAGGTTGTACTTTGAACGGCAGTCGGGAAGTGGAGGCAAGCTGCCCTTCAAGGTGATTGCTTCCGACGGCGGACTGCTCTCCGGCCCCGTGTCCACCGACAACCTCTACATCTCCATGGCCGAGAGGTACGAGGTGGTCTTTGACTTTGCTCCTTATATTGGCACCAACATCACCCTTCGCAACTATGAAGACGTCGGCGCGGATGACGACTACCTCCACACGAACAAGGTGATGCGCTTTGCTGTCGGCGGCACCGCCGTCACCGACACTTCGACCGTCCCCACCACCCTCAGAACCGTCCCCTTTTCTCCCTCGACCACCGGCATCGACCACCACTTCGAGTTTGGTCGCAGCAACGGTGGATGGAGGATCAACGGCGTCGGCTTCTCCGACGTCAACAACCGCGTCCTGGCCAACGTCCCCGAGGAACCATTGAGAGGTGGGAGCTTGAGAACAGCAGCGGCGGCTGGACGCACCCCATCCACATCCACCTCGTTGACTTCAGGGTCGTCAGCCGCACCAACGGCCGAGGCGTCCTCGCGTACGAGTCGCAAGGGTTGAAGGACACCGTCTGGCTCGACAAGGGCGAGACCGTCGTCGTGGAGGCCCACTACGCTCCCTGGGACGGCCTGTACATGTTCCATTGCCACAACCTAATCCACGAGGACCACGAGATGATGGCTGCCTTCAACGTCACGGCCCTTCCCGATTTGGGATACCCCGAAACCGCCTTCATCGATCCCATGGAGACTCGTTGGAGGGCCAAGCCCGCGGGTATTGCCGACTTTACCCCTCAAGCCATCACGGACTCGGTTCAGTTCAAGGCCACGCTCCAGCCCTATAATAATGTTGGCGCTGTCATGACCGAGCTGGACAACTACTGGGCGAATCACCGCCGTATCAAGAGGAGGGTTCTCTCGAACCGCGGATAAAGCGCAATACCTGCCGTGGGTTGACGGAAGCCAAGCCACATCTAACTGTCAAGCGCTCTTTAAAGCCATATCACTGTCATTCAAGTTTCATCTTTCCTATGTATGATTCTAGTATTTAATTTTATCTTCTTTCATTTTTAATTGACATTTTTCTGCTATCCACATGCCCTCTCCCGCCTTCGATCACGTCCCGTGAGTGTATGCATTTGCCATTCGGATTTGGTAGATTTGGTTCCTTGACAAGATTTTCCTAGCTGTGAATACGGGACAGGTTTGATATATGAAAAAGCAAATGAAGGAGGTGTTACGGGGTTTCGGTGATTGCGGAGGCCGGGAACGGGAATGATTTCCAGCTGATCGCCCAGTCCACGAAAGCCACCTCTTATTTAGGTGGCATATCGCCAGCTTGGGTGGTCATCGCCCATATTGTCAATGTCAGGCTCTTGAAGCCGCCAATCCCGCTCACCCCTATCCCTCTTCCGGTTCTCCCTCACCGCACCAAAGTAGAAGACGATGCAGCTAAGACCACACAGCCACATCATGCCGAGACTGACCCACAAGCCAGTCTTATATACCGGCGCCTCCTTTTGAAGGAAAACATTCGAGGCGAGGATGCCACCGAGATTACCGACACCGATCTGAACTGCAGACGAGATGGAGCGTTTATAGTGGCCACTAACGCTGTTCGACAACCATCCGAGGATAAGAGGTTGCGTGATATACCCACCGGCGACGATGGGGAAGAGAGCAAAGTATTTGACCCCGACGCTGAGGTTGCCTTGACAGATGAGAAGGACGTAGCCGACCGTGGCTATGCATATACCCACGATCGTGAAGGTAAAGCGGTGCCGTAAGCGATCCGCGAGGTAGGCTGCCCCGAGACAGGTCGCGGTGGCAACTACGTAGACCGGGATGGTGCGAACCTGCGCTTCCTCGGCCTTGAACCCCATCTCGTTCAGGATCGTGGGAATAAAGAACTGTGGGAAAACCATTAGTCTAGGCTGTAGAATGAATACTAGTAGATATGGAAGTTGATGAGTGATACGTACCGAGCCCGCATATCCAGTGTTGAGAACGCCAAAGTAGGCAAGAGTGCCAAGATATATTTTCCAGTCCTTGGCGACGCGTCTGAACGAGGCCTTGTTAAGATGATCCATCCTGGCGTCTCCGACGTCTTGTGAAAGTCGGCTGATGAGCATAGACCTCTCCTCATCATTGAGGAACTTGGCGGTTTCGGGCCAGTCTGGAATCCACCAGTAAGAGATGACACCAGCGACGACAGTAATCAAGCCTTCGAGAATAAAAATCCTGCGCAGGGGATGTTAGGCCGGGTTGTTGCAGTGTGAGTGTTCAAGGGTCAACGTACCATCGCCATGCCTCGTAGCCGCCTACACCGGACATGTTGGCAATGGCAAAGGCTAAAAGTCCGGAAAAGGCACCCGCGATGATGCTGCCGCAGAAGAAGAGAGACATGCGCCACTGGACTTCGTATCGCTTGTAGTACATGCTGATGAGGTAGATGCACCCTGGTTCTCGAGTTAGCTTCGGACCTCCTCTCAACCTTCGCGTAGCCACGTCGCGGCTATACAAGACTAACCAGGGACGATGCCAGCCTCGAAAATTCCCAGCAAGACGCGACATGCGACTAAACCCCCGTTTGTCTTGACCAAACCCATTCCAACGGTGCTAATTCCTATCGATGTTGGGACGTGTGTTAGCCCTCGAATTCAATCACTGCAAGGGACTAGTGAATTGGTTATAATTTGATGGAAGCAACGAACCCCATAGAACCGTGATCAGACTAAGCCAAGTAGATGGCGGAAGCCGCTTGATTACAATGTTGGAGGGAACCTCGAACAAAATGTACTACCAGGCGGGATGAGTTAGCCCAGTACGTGGAGAACGGCAGAGTGCTGATTCGGGAATATTGACTTACGGGAATGAAGAATACAAAGAGGGCCATGTTGTAGTCCGAGCCCGTCATATTGAGATCCCCGGTCATGCCTTGGATCTTAGCGTTGCCTAGCATGAGGAAGTCTCACTGGTTAGAATTGATGGAGTGGATAGACTTAGGAAGACAGGGAGGAACGAACCGATATTGGTGCGATCCATGAAAGATAGAAAGTAGATCACAATCAATGGAGGAATGAGGTGCCTATCGCATTTGCGTAGCAGCTTCTTCTCAGCCTCGGGATCCAGAACGAGGGCGGCGGCTTCCCCTTCTGACCCTCGACGTGGTGCGACTCGGCGTCGATGTCCTGCTTCTCCGAGGCCATGGTAGCCATTTTTCAAGCGCGGCGGCTATTCCTGCGTGCACTAATGCGCGAGTGATAGATGCGTGCAACGGATGACAGGAAAACCCGCGGGAGCAGATTAGGTGGATGGGAGGAAGTTGTTCGGGTGATTGGTGAGGACAATACTCAGGCCAAGAAAGATTCTTTGGAATTGAAGGTGGGGCAACTTGCAAGATATATAGATCTTTGAATCTGGGATTGACTCCATACGGGGTTGCCTTTGCTCTCTCATGCGTTTTGGTGTTGCCGAATCGCTAGCACAGAACAGACGGAGATAAGAAACAATCGAGGATGTTGTTTGCGGGGACGTCTTTCAAAAAACATGGAACGGCATATTTCTCCACATTTTGAATTCCAAATCTCGTAGTTAGCGTCAAAGGGAATCTGGGGTAACGACTAGTAGGTTCGTGTTGCTCTCCTGCAAGTCCATCAGAGTGTGGGTTACAATCTCCATCTTGACACTGGTCCTCGATGAACATGAACTCATTAACCACGAGGAGGTGGGTCGAGGTGCCTCCTAGTGGTGTCAAGTTACATTCCAAATAGTGATTCTTGCCCGCGGAGAAGGTGGCTGTCTCGGTAGTTAGTCTCAGCTGTTTGCCCCTTGCACTTCGTAGGAGAATGGTGGACTTCGGAAACGTCCCGGCCTCGGATGTTATCCGACGGACCTCAATGACCCGAATATGACAGGGTTCACTGCACCAAATCACTAATACGGCCCAGTCTGGGTATAGACAACTTTGCGTTACTTGTCTGAGATGTTGATATCTTTTCAACATCATCGATCCGTCAGGGGCTGGCGTTAAGATCATGGGTGACTGTCTGGAGACCTGCTGAATATAGGTTTTAGTGCCGGGCTCCTCGATAGCCGGCAGCAAAACACGGAAAAGGAACACATTGTCTGGGGCTTGAAAAGAAGCGTGGTTGCATTGTAGTCCACTCCTCCACCTCCGGTTGCATTTGCCCTGATGGAGACTGTGCAACGTCACTAGAAGTTGAAGTGCATATGGGGCAGTTTCACGATGTTCAAGTTGACGTTTTAACAAATAGAATTCAAGCTACGTCCAAGGCCGTGGAAGATGTGTTCAAGGCAAAAATGAGGTCTGAAACGTAAAACTGGGCATTAATCATTGACGCAAAAGTTCGTATAGAAATGCAACTAAGTAAGTGGAGATTTCATTGCCGCATCTCCGAGTCTAGAGCTGGGTCGTAACATCAAAAGTGATATTCTTGGTCCTTAGCCACTCGTCCATTCCCGCATTAAACCTGCCGAAGCCGCTAGACTTGGCTCCACCGTGGGGCAACGCTCCCTCATCATGCACCGTCATTCTGTTGATATGAACGGCGCCAGTCTCTATCCTCTTGGCGATGGCCAACGCCCTCCTCAGATCCTTGGAGAAGATAGCCGAGCTGAGGCCATACTCGGTATCGTTCGCGATGCGGATAGCTTCCTTCTCGTCCTTGAAGGTGATGAGGGAGACGGTGGGGCCAAACGACTCGGTGAGGTAAATGTCCATGCCAGGCTTCACGCCACCAACGATGATGGGGTTCAGGGCTGAACCCGCCGAAGAAGGAGCAGCGACGTCGCCGGTGACGATCCTGGCGCCTTTCCCGACCGCGTCCTGCACGAGCGCCTTGTTCTTCTCGACGGCCGCCTGGGTGATGAGGACGGGCGAGGGCCCGCCCGCAGGGAAGACTCCTCCCACGGTGGCCTTGAGCTTCTCCTCAAACGCCTGCGCAATGTTCTCGTGCACGAGGATGCGCTCGGTGCTCATGCAAATTTGGCCGGCGTAGATGAAGGACCCCAAGACGCACTGGAGGGCCGCCACGTCGAGATCCGCGTCCTCGCAGACGATGGCGGGCGCCTTGCCTCCGAGCTCGAGGAGGATCGGCTTCAGGTTCTGGCCGGCCAGCTTGGCGAGGATGCGGCCGACAGCGGTGCTGCCGGTGAAGTTGATCTTCTTGACGGGCGAGGCCTCGATGATGGCGGTGGATACGGCGGACGCGTTTTCCGGGGAGCAGGCGATGTAGTTGAGCACGCCGGCGGGGAGACCGGCGTCGTGCAGGACCGAGCTGATGGCCCACCAACAGCGGGGGCTGAATTCGGAGCCCTTGAAGACTACGGTGTTGCCTGCGGCGATGGCCCAGCATACGGCGCGGAAGCCGAGGGCGTAGGGTGCATTCCTAACCCGACATTGTTAGAAAGTCTGGATGCACAAATCACATGGGGGCTCCTTGGTTTATGCGTCTTGTGTGAGCGAAGGGGAAGGTCTATTCTTACCAGGCAGCCATCGCAAACACGACTCCATAAGGCTCCTTCACAATTAGGCCTCCGGAGGTGGGATCCTGCAAGGTCGGAACAGTTCCGGTGATACCCGTCACCTTGCTCGCGCATCCGAGAAGGCACTCCTTGGACAGGGCAATGTTCAAGCCAGCCCAGACCTCATCTGAACCGGTCTCCTCCTTCATGTAGGTCTTCAGCTCCTCCGCTCGGCTCTCCAAGATGGAAGCTGCTTTGAGGAAGATGTCTCGCCGAGCTGTGAGGGGAGTTTCGCTCCATGACTCGAAAGCCTTGGCAGCCGCATCGACCGCCGCGTTCGCCTGGGTGACGGTCGCGTTCGCGGACTGGGACATCACCTCGCCGGTGGAGGGATTGAGCACGTCAAACACATTCTCCGTTGAGACCTCCGCACCGTCAATGACTAAAGGAACGATGGGGAGAGACGCCGCCATATCTGACTGTGGGGTGCGAGGATACGTGAAGAGGATACAATGCTATCGCAAATGGCTGGAATCGCTAGGAGCAAAAGGATGGAGGCTTCGGAAGAGGGTACGGCGGTCTGATTTAACGGGTATAATAAAGGCTAGAAATACTAATAATTCCAACCCTTTCCGAAGCCCAAGGGGCGCAAGCTAGCTTTTACTTATATACAATGCCTGTAACCCCCAAGCTTATCAGCGGCCCTTGGGGGAGGTCTATATCGTGCGTCCTCCCTGCCCAGATGACTTCCTGGCTGGCCGCAGGTGGCTGACACGGCGCAGCGATCCTCCCTTTCGGCAATGAAATCGGTAGTCTTAGCGTTCCGGTGGGCTCTGTGCTTCCTCCTATGCCTGGTGGCCATTCCGATCTGAGCTCGGCCCCGCTCGCCTTGGCGTCCATGCAATCTGGGGCACAACCCCCTCCCCTCTTCTACCCCCGGAGCCGGGAAAAACCCCCATCGGGCCCGAATTGCCACAATAACCTCTCGAAGTTACACGGCGCAGAGCCAATAGGTTTGTACATGTAGGATTAGCAACGAGAAAGGGGTACCCCCGCCCTCCGCCACCACCACTCGTACACAAGAAGTGTGCGCGAGTGCGGGTCATGCCTGAATGAGCGACGAGCTGTCGCCGTGTCAATCGAGTAGCCCGATTTTGCCTAGCCGGGTTGCCCCGTCCTGCGGGGCGCCTTGGTCCCCTCAACCCCGCAACCTTTCCCCGCTTGGTGGGCGGCCTTCCCCATGAAGGAGTCGGTCGGGGGATTCGAGTCCGAGAACCTCCACCTTGCCCAAAACCTGGGATTCTCGCGGAACCCAGTAAGTCGGGTATCTTCCGCTGCGTCTTGTCCGGAAGAGCCCACGCGTATTGAAACAGGCATACATGTAGGCTCATGAGCGACGTCGACGAGAATTTCGACAGTAGAGCCTGAGATCAATCACTTGATTGTTTAATTGTCCAGTCGTCAGTACACCAATTCCCCCTCTTTGTCATTTGCCCTTCAGCCACTACTAGCGATGCGTTCAGCTGTGACCCAGAGGCTTGCCCAGCTAGGCCGGGCACGGGGCCTGCACCATGCGGTCCGCCATCCGATATGCCCTACAAGAGGTGTTGGTGGGAGAGTGCGGTGGCAAACCACGGCCTCAACCATTAATGCGCCAAAGCCCACCGCCTCCAAACCCCAAACGGGTAACGCCGTATACTGGGCCGCCTTGGCCTCCCTTGCCGTGTGCATCGGTGGATGGACCGTGTTCCGGAGTGCCCCTCTACAGTGCCATACGCCACTCTCCGTGAAATGGATAAGGTAAGTCAATTCTCGGAGGGCAAATTTGTCTTGCATCAGAAACGCGGTTCGCTGACCACCATACTTTGTAGGCCATAAGCGAGATTTCTCTAGCGTTGGGAAATGATGCGGTTAGCAAGGAAGAAGACATTTTGCGCTCTCATGGCTATTCGGAATGGTCGACAACAAACATAGACCGTCTTCCGGTAGCTGTGGTCTTTCCGAGCTCGACGGCCGATGTTGTCAAGATTGCGGAAATTTGCAGCAAATACAAGGTTCCAATCAGTGAGTCAGGACCTAGACGAGGTCAAACAGCATTCATCGATGGGGTCTCACACATTTCTTTTTTAGTTCCTTATTCTGGAGGATCGAGCGTAGAAGGTCACTTCTCTGCTCCTCATGGCGGCATCAGCGTTGACTTCATGAACATGAATAAGGTTATAGAGTTCCGCGCTGAAGAGTAAGTGATTCACAAATGGGTATGGCAAATCTTTCTTTGACTAACATTGATGCTTCTCAAGCATGGATATAACTGTCCAGCCTGGACTCGGCTGGATGGACCTAAACGAGTCTATCAAAACGAGCGGACTTTTCTTCCCCATTGATCCCGGTCCATCTGTATGTCTGAACAAATCTGGAGGTCGCTCACTTACGATGCAGAGCTAACAATATAGGCTCAAATTGGTGGCATGATTGGTACGAATTGCAGGTAGGCAACTGTCTTAACATAACCCTCATGTTATAAAAGTACGAAATGTTAACTTTTTCAGTGGAACCAACGCTGTGAGATATGGTACGATGAAAGACTGGGTCGTCAATCTAACAGTCGTCTTAAGTGATGGCAGAGTGTTGAAGACACGGAGGAGGCCGAGGTGAGTGCCACTGAAGGACTATGGATGCCTTCGCCCCCACCCCTCAAAACAAACACACTCGGTGCAGGTGGAAGCTAATAGAATGTGCCAAGGAAATCATCTGCTGGCTACAACCTTAACTCGCTAATGGTTGGCTCTGAGGGTACACTGGGAATAGTGACCGAGGCGACTCTGAAGTTGGCCCCGATTCCCGAAAAGACAGGAGTAGCGGTGATATCATTTCCATCCATCAAGAGCGCTGCGAACATGGCCATAGATGTGATACACAGGGGAATCCCAGTCGGCGCCATTGAGATTCTAGACGATGTTATGATGAACGTCGTCAACCGCGTGGGTGCCACTGGCAGGACTTGGAAGGAGGACCCGACCATTTTTGTCAAGTTTGTGGGATCTCAAGCTACCGTGGCGGACAGCATCTCGCAAGTAAAGCAGATCTCGAGTCGCCATGGTAGTCTGACATTTGAGTTCGAGCACGACGAAGAACGACAGAAAAGGCTTTGGTCCGCAAGAAAAGAGGCTCTATGGAGTATGCTCGCGCTGCGGAAATCTGGCAACGAAGTCTGGTCTACGGACGTAGCTGTGCCTCTGTCTAAAGTCGCGGACCTGATTGGTAAGTTTTCCGCAGATAGACCTTTCTGTGCGCGGTCAAGACAGATGAAGAATCTGACAAAGTGAGGACAGAATTGTCGAAGAAGGACCTTGAAGGGCTAGGGCTTTTGGAAGCATCTTAGGACATGTTGGAGACGGCAACTTTCACGAAACCATCCTGTTTGATGGAGAGCAGGAACGCCAAAAGTGGAAGCATGCGTTCACACAATGATTGAGAGAGCTCTCGAGATGGAGGGGACTTGCACGGTAAGCAGCGCCAGTGGCCCTCGTCCAACAACGGAATCTATCTACTGACACTAGTATTCCGTATAATGCAGGGCGAGCATGGCGTTGGGATCGGAAAAAGGGAATACTTGGAAAAGGAACTAGGGTCCACACCTATTGATGTGATGAAAGCTATCAAGGGGAGCCTCGACCCCTTGCAGATCATGAACCCGGGCAAGATATTCAAGTAATGTATTATGTAGTCTACAAATTAGCTCATTAGACCCCATATGCGTTGACGGAGCGAATGAAACTAGTTTTGTATAAACATATGTCAGGATCACCGTCTTATGCATACAGGTATCGCTTGGGACGCCGCTTTAAGCTTCAAAGAGCGAATCGATTCGTCCAAAGTGTAGACACTAGACAAGGCCGTACCACCCTCCCTCCTGCATGTTTCCCTCCCCACAATCATACAAGCGCCGTCCTAGCATGAATCCCTGCTGCATCACATCTACGACATGACATGACGAACCGGGTCTAAATGCTCCTCCCGCATCAAGAATATTCCAAATCATCGTCAGGATGCTAGCGTGGTCGCTTAGCAGACGGCCAAGAACCACGGCACTCTGCTCTAGGAGAACAGGGTCACACATGGGTCCAGGGAACCAGTCGCGGTTCCTGTTAGTCCCAGCGGGATAGCTATTCGGTGAGCATTGATCCGAAGCGCGCGGAGCTAGTTTGTTGGCAGAGGGGAGGTAAATAGTGAAGGCAGGCACCCGATTGGCTGGCGTCGGGCTTCGGATAGTACCCGGGCTGCACTCGCAACCATGAAAGACGTCAGGGCCTTAATTTACACGCCATTTTGATGGATTAGATCCTACATGTACGCACCAGCTGAGTTTAAAATCCTGTAGCCGTCTCTTGTTACGAGACCCATTCTCTATCGTAGTTGATAGTAATTGCGGCAAAACTTTGAAAGAGCATCACAATGTAGGAGCATGTCTGACGGTCGCGGATAGTCCCTCCATGCTAAACAATGGTGTAACAGGTATACTGCATCTTCCGCGTTTTTTGAGGCCCTGATTGAGGTAAGAGCTCTGGGTATATGAGAAGTCTCGAGCTGAGAATTGAAGTTGCTAATTTACTTCTGCAGGCGGGAGTTAAGAACTGCTTCGTCAACCTTGGGTCGGATCACCCCAGCATCCTCGAGGCTATCCTCCAGGGCCAGCAGGACCACCCCGACACCTTCCCCGCATAATAACATGTCCTAATGAAATGGTGGCGCTGTCCATGGCCGACGGTTATGCGCGGAGGACGAACGAGCCCCAGTGTGTCATCGTGCACGTCGATGTCGGCACGTCTGGCATCGGCGCTGCCATCCACAACGCCGCCACTGGTCGAGCGCCGATACTGATTTTCGCGGGACTTTCGCCATTCACAATTGAGGGTGAATTGAAAGGGTCTCGGACAGAATACATGTACGTTTTCCATGTTCGACGGGGCAGTTCAGGTTTCTCGTCCTGGCCTTTTTCTGTTAGATCGATCTAGCTAACTCTACTCTCAAGTCATTGGCTACAGGATGTTCCTGATCAGAAACAAATTGTGGCCCAATACTGTCGTTATGTCGCTGAAATCAAGACCGGAAAAATATCAAGCAGATGGTCCACAGGGCTCTTCAGTTCGCCACCAGTGATCCTAAGGGCCCCGTGTATCTTATGGGCGCCCGCGAGGTCATGGAAGAGGTTATTGTCCCGTATACAGTGAACCCGAAGCACTGGCGCCCACTCGGTCTCTCGGCACTTCCAGAGAACGCCCTACAGGAGATTGCTGAACTACTTGTCGGTGCGACAAATCCTCTTGTTGTTACCGGATACAGCGGCAGGAACCACGCAACTGTCAAGTCGCTAGTAGAGCTTGCCGACACCGTCAAGGGTCTAAGAGCTCTCGACACTGGAGGTTGCGACATGTGTTTTCCGGCCGATCATCCTGGCTGGTTAGGTATGAAGTACGGCTCAGATCAGAGCATTCGAGAAGCCGACGTCATTCTCGTCGTAGACTGCGATGTGCCTTGGGTTAATACTCTCTGCACCCCGCGGGAGGATGCCAAGATTATTCACTTGGATGTTGATCCTCTTAAGCAGCTGATGCCTGTATTTTATATCAACGCGGAGATCAGGCACCGAGTCGACGCCTGCACGGCAGTTGCCCAGCTCGTCGCCCACATTCGCTCCTCCCCAGCCTTGACGCAGGCGCTATCCAGCGACGAGGTTGCCAACCGATGGAGAGCGCTTGAAGAGTCCCACACTACTCTCGTCCAGTCGCTACGGACACAAGCTGAGCCATCGAGTGACGGCGGCATGAGCGCGGCGTATATCTGCGCGGCTATCCGCGATGCAGCACCACAGGATGCGTTGTACGTTGTGGAGGCCGTCACGAATTCGGTCATCGTGTCTGAGCAGGTACGCGCCACTCTTCCCGGCCAGTGGATGAACTGCGGTGGTGGCGGCCTGGGTTGGAGCGGCGGTGCTGCTCTCGGGGTGAAGCTCGCCGCGGACTCGGAGGCGCCGGGCTCCAATAAAGTGGTGATTCAGATTGTTGGTGATGGCACGTTCCTCTTTAGTGTCCCCGCGAGTGTTTACTGGATATCTCGTCGGTATAAGATTCCCGTCCTGACTGTCGTCCTAAACAACAAAGGTATGTCGCGTGGAATCCGGTCCATTCTTTTTGTCTTTCTTTTAGTGTTTACAAGCTGACGTGAGTGTACTTGCAGGTTGGAATGCGCCTCGGCGATCAATGCTCCTTGTCCACCCCGATGGTCCGGGTTCGAGAGCCACCAATTCCGAGCTCAACATCTCATTTGATCCTTCACCGAATTACTCGCAGATTGCAAGAGCCGCGAGCGACGGTACTATATACGCAGCTAGAGTGGACACCCAGGACAGCTTCCAAAAGGCGTTGGGCGAGGCACTGGCGGCGGTCCAGTCTGGGACGGCGGCTGTTCTTGATGTAGCAATTAGTTGAGCAAGTTTTTGTGCTGAGAACGCGCACTTAGCGATTGAAATAGACTATTGTTCTGTGCTGTCATATTCACGAAATGTCGACATCTCATGTGGAAATACCAGTCGAGATTATAGTCTCACGCTTGGTAACCTCCGCTCAGCAGCGACCAGCCACTCGAACATTATCGCCACGGCATCCGCTGACCCCCAAGGAGGAGACTACATGTCAAAGCCCTCAGCAAACACCAGCCAAGCTCATTCGTCTCAACTTCTCTTTCAACTCTCCCGCGTCCCGTTCCTTGGCATCGTACGTAGTATAGGCCGACAACCCCACCTCGCTAATTTATCCGGAACGTCCCAACAACCTGGCATGGTGATCCGACAGATAGCGGCAAAGCACCACGTTGCCTTTCAGGATTGAAGACTGGTTTTATCTCCTCCGATAAATCCAGTAGCTTCCTACTCTCTAGAACCGCCCTAGGAGACATAGCCTCTCGTAACTTTAAGCACGATGCTGGGTCTTAATCAAGCCATCGCCGTGGCCTTCGGCGCCGGGCTGGCGTTGCTCGGCCCGGGTGCCGTTGAGAAAATATACCCAACTTTTCAAGGCGTCCTGTTTCCTCCAAATGCGCCCGAGCCTTGGGCATGCCCCGCACACAACTACACGACGGAATTAATATCTTTTGATCCCCTTCTCATCTACATCCACAACTTCGTCAGTCCGGAAGAAGCCAGGCTAGTGATGGGTGCAGGAAGGGATCTTCTTGTCCCGTCGCCCGTCACAGGGGATGGTTCAGATGTCAAGTCGCGCAGCCGTACCTCGTGGAGTGCGCCGCTCCCTGATGATGATCCGGCGGTGCAGTGCGTCTTAAGTCGAGCAAGTAACTTCATGGGGACGCTGATGGCGCCGGGGCGCGATGAGATGGGCACCGCGCAAATGGTGTATTACACCGACAGCCAGAAATTTGACCTGCATCACGATTGGTTCCAGCGGCCGCGGCTCAAGGATGACGATGGCGGCCGGAAGAGAATGTACAACCGGGTTGCGACGTTCTTCGTTGTCCTCGAGGCAAACTGCACCAAGGGCGAGACATATTTTCCGAACGCTCGGCCCATTGCACCGCAAGATAGGGGTAAGCCGAGCCCCTACTGGAGAGAGCACGAGGATGGTGGGTTGGCGTTCCAACCGATTGCGGGAAATGCTCTCTTCTGGCCAAACTTGTTGGCGGATGGAAGCGGGAACCCCAAGACTTTGCACGCTGGGCTTCCTGTTGGACAAGGCACGAAGACGGCCATGAATATCTGGCCGAGGAACTTCTTCGGCCCTGAGGCTTGATATCTAGAGCTGCATAGATTGGAGAGCGGAGAGGAGTTTGAATCCAGGCCAGGGCCCCGGAGAAATAAGGGCCATCTTATATATCTAAAACGAGCTCTGCTCTACAGCACATTTACTACCATCATTTCCTGGAAGCGATATTGAGTTCAAAGAGACTGTATTTGCCTTGGCCAGATCCCGAGACATAGGTATCCATGCATACACAATTTATCATGTTGGCTACTCTATCAACCCAGCATCCTATACCTTGGCCCGCATATCTGCAAGCGCAATGACTGCTTCAAAACATGATTGGGGAACAATGTATCCCTCTTGATCCACTGCTTCGTCGAAGCGATCCCGGATAGTCTCCGGCGTATAATCTCCGTCGGGGCAGTGTACACCCCTAGTTTCCGCCAAGAAGATGCGTCCGAAATTCCTACCGTAGGACGAGATGAACTGACTAGTGACCTTGCAATCCTCGTGGACTAGCCACGCCACCACGGGGAGACGGCCGAGGCGGGGTAATTCTGCTCTATCAGGTCAAATATTGGTCCCTCGGTAACAATCTCCGTTGTCATGCCTGTGTTGGCGATGGGTCCTAGAGCATTAACGAGGATTCCGTGGGGTTCGCCGTCAAACGAGAGCGCTTTCGAGAGGCCGAATAAAGCACCTTTCGCCACGGTGTAGGCGGAGTTTTGAGGCATTCCGTAAAGCGCGGCGGAGGACACGATGAGAATGCGCCCGTATTTCTGCTTCACCATGTGCGGCCAGACGGCCTGCGCTAAATTCCACGACCCGTGTACGTGGACGCCCAGCATTTGCGAGAATTGCTCGGGGGAAACGTCCGGGAACTCGCCTGCTATGTCAATACCCGCGTTGTTAACCAAAATGTCGATTCTGTTGAATTTGTCGATCGTTGTTTGGACGATGGCGTCCGTTACAGAACGCTCTGCAACCGAGCCCGGGACGGCGATTGCATTTCCGCCGGCATCGACGATGGCTTTCGCCACCGCCTCGGCCGTTGCAGCAATTAGGTCGTTCACGACGACTGTTGCACCCCGCTTGCCCAAGAGTAGGGCGTGCTCGACCCATGCCGGCCCCGGCGCCGGTAACGATCGCGACGCGGCCATCGAAGCTTAGGAGACTAGTTGACATAGTGGAGAAGGGAATATAGTATTGTTCTTTTGGCGCAAAAGGACTGGCTTCCAAAATTCTATTCACTTGCGAGGGTGGCTCGAGGAATTATACTTGAATATTCCCTGCCCATCCGGATAACCCCACGATACTCCCGGACAGTGTTTGGGCCATTTCTAGGTTCTGTACACCTTTCGTGGTATGTGCCCATCTGAGAACTTAGATGCGCACCCTCCAAGCGAATCATTATCCTTTCAATGCGCCTTGGCTTGTCAAGCTGAGCCTGGCGTCCTATGCATGGCAGCTTCTTTGCGGCGGTTGGGAAACGACACCTGCCGGAAGTGCGGCCTCTGCGTGCCAAGCCTTGGAAGGAAAGGATCGCCGACCAGTTGATCAGATGAAAGCCTTCGGAAAAGGAAACTATGACACTTTTGAAGAGTAAAGTAGAACTCTTTCTGTTGCACGTGTTTAGGGTGAAAGCGGTGTAGAACGAGGAGCAGAGGATCCGGTTCTCTTCTCTACGTGTGGCTCGCTTGTTGTCGAGCGGGAACAGCGAAAACACACTTCTCAATCAAATTGTCCACTTTGTGTTGACAGGATATAAGCCTCTTTGGACCTCAAATAGACAGGGAGCGTTCCCCTGTCCTGTTTTGGTCTATCACTTTGTACCTCGGGATGAGCTGAGATACTTGTTTGAACTGTAGAGCCTTCTTGATACTAACTATAGAAATGGGAGATATGAATTGAAGAGCTGATTTTTTTAACACTTTACGCTATTTAAACTATAATTAATGTGTTGACCTCGAGAGAGTCAGGTCCATGCCCCAAAGAGGCCGCCTACTGTATTCATTACGACATTGCATTCGATATTAAAGTTGTACTCGTAAAGGAGGTAAGAGAATCCTGGGAGTAGTTATTAATATAAATGATTGATAGCTAGACTGGTGAGATACTAAACATCACAAAAGATGTTGTTGAAGCCGAAGCAAAATTATGCTCTGAGGGTTTGCATGTTAATGTGACTCATGTAGCCTTGGTGTGTCCCCCTATTGCTTTTTTCGCCCACTTGAGGGGCCAAGTGTACTTGAATCGGGGACGAGAGGGGACGAGAGGGGACGAGAGGGGACATGGGATATTGATCGCTGTCTCCAAGGTTTACTTGCTTCCTTATATATCTAGAGTCTGGGGGTGGACCATGTTTCCATTCACATCCATAGATGTACGGTTGCTACATCTGTTTTGTCGTTGCGTGCCACACACACAAATAAGTATTCAAATTATTTATTCTCTCCTGTATGCCTGTTGCCTATATGTATGTTTGAACTGGAAGTCTGAACGTGAACGCACATCTAGACCTCTGCCGCCGCAAAACTTACTAGACGGGACTCCTTGGTCACTGTCTTGGCTAGCTCCCAGATGCTTCCTCCCTTGCGCAGCGCGAGAAGAGGGATGCTCGCTTTGAGGTGCCTTCCAATCCAATTTCGCAGCTCAACTGCCACGAGCGAGTCTACACCGTAGCTGTCAAGGCTACGGGTCTGGCTTAGTGACTCTACGGGGGTAGCGATCAAGTTGCTGAGCTGCTGCAAGATGCTCTGGCAAATTATGTCAGCCGCTTCCGAGAACTTTTAGCACCCGGAAGTAGGCGGACTAGGTCGACCGAGCCACTCTTATCTGCCTGCACCTCCACCTTTCGACGGCAAACGTGACCAAAGAGGCGGGTGTCTAACCCGGTTTCCACTCCCATGTCGTTGGTGCTTGATAGCTCGCCAATGGAAAAGACGCTCTTGGATGGGCTGGAGGGCCGCGGGTGCGCGACGGCATAGTTGATGAGCTGGAGGAAATCCGCCAAGTTGATCACCCCGAACCCTTGGCGGCGCAGCGATGCCTCGATTTCCGCGTTTTCGCTGACGAACCCGACTTCCAGCACAGGCCCAATGTTGATCGCAGATGCTGGGAGTCCTATGGTAGTTCGGTGGCGGGCGAGTGCGTCCTGGTAAGAACAGCCGGCAGCATAATTGGACTGACCCGCGTTTCCGCGGAGAGTCACGACGGATGAGAGCATGATGAAGAAGTCGACCTCGCCAAACATCTCATGCAGGTTTCGGCTTCCGGCAATCTTGGAATTTAGTGCACCTCCCCACTGCTCTACAGTCATGTCCTCCAACAACGAGTCCTAAAACGGCCGTGTTAGCTGTAGGGGGTCCGAAAGGTGGTCATTTGTGTAGATGAAGAACTTACCTGCAACACCATTGCCGAGTGAATGATGCCCCGAATTGGCGGGAGTCCAGCGTTGCTCACATCCTGAACCATGCAACGGAGGCTCTCCTTGTCGGCGACGTCGCAGCGCATAATTACGAGCTGAACGCCCTTGGTTTCCAAGTCTTGGATGAATTGTCGGTTCTCATCTGCGGCGGCGGACCGCGACAGCGCGACGATGTGACGAGCACCATGGTCCGCCATCCACGAGATGAGCGGCCGGCCTAGCCCACCCAGACCACCCACAACCACATAGGTTGCGCCCTGGTCTAGCTTTGCCGGGGCTGGTGGAGGCGGAACTCCTTTAACTTGCTGGCCCACGCTGACGCTGAGCACCGTCTTGCCTATGTGCTTCCCATCATGGAATTGTCGCAAAGCCGCTTCAATTTCAGAGATGGGGATACTCTTTGGCTTGAACGGGCGAATGGACCCGCGAGCGACCGCATTGACGACATCTCCGAGAATTCGTCGTGCGAGCGGCTTGTTGGTTTCCATCAACAGGTTCAGCTCCACGTAAGAGAAGGTGATGTTATTCAGCAAAAAGGCCATAGGCATGAGCGCGTCTTCCATAATGTCCTTTCGCCCGATCTCGACAAAGCGACCAAAGGGCCGGACGAGATTACACGACATGCGAAACATGTCGCCGGATAGGGAGTTGAGGACAACGTCCACCCCAGATCCGCCCGTGAGGCGCTTGATTCCGTGGAAAAAGTCCGAATTTCTACTCGAGAAGATGTGCGAATCGGGAATGCCGTATTCCGTGCGCAAGAACTCACGCTTTTCATCGTTGCCGACAGTTACGAAAACCTCGGCGCCGAAATGCTGTGCTAATATGATGGACGCTTGCCCAACTGCGCCAGCCGCGGAATGAACCAGGAGCTTTTCTCCAGCCTTTAGTCGGCCCTGGTCAACTAGAGCGTAGTAAGCCGTACACCAAACAATTGGGAGTGCAGCGGCATCTTCAAACGTCATGGTGTCGGGGATGATGTGACAACAATCGCCGTGGACGACGGGGTAATTGGCATAGGGCCGGGAGTACATGGCACACACACGGTCACCCGGTCTAAACCGAGACCGCATATTTTCGCCGACGGAAACAACCACTCCGCTACAATCGTTACGCATATCTGTGATGCCTTCAAGCTGACCGGCTGCAATGAGGACATCCTTGAAGTTGATACTTGCCGCACGGAGCTCTAACTTGATGTCATCAGGCCCCAGTGCGGGCGCTTGTTCATCATCCACCCAGCGAAGGCTCTCAAGAAGCCCTGGGACGGCCAATTTGGCCGCTAGCGGGCGTCTTTCGTCTAGGAACGGGATGAGTTTCGTCGCGGCTCTGCCTGCACCGCGTGAAAGGGCGCTGGTGATGTCGTTGCGGTTGAACGCGCGCGGGACGTAGAGTTGGCCATCGTTGTAAGTGAATTCAAAGTCCACCCGTGTTTCTCTTATATTGGGGTCCAAGACCCCTTGACTCACAAATGTGGGTAGGACGTCGGCCAGAGCCTTGGTAAGCTGGCCATGCGGGAGGCCGGGTAGGTCCAGAGTGATGATGCGATGTTGCGGCATCTCTGCCCGGAGACAGCGAACCACACCAACCCATATCTGGGCCTCGGTGTCGCTTAAACGCGATGGACTACCGCAGCTGACGAAAACGAGGACTTGGGAAGCCAATACCCAATTTTTGAAGCCTCTCCATAGGCCGTTGGCTGGGTTGCTCGAAAGGGCGTGGGCAATTTCGGGCATGATGATGGTTACACCTGTGTTAAGTGGGGGCTCGGTAACTGAGTGTAAGTATACTCGGGTCCCGAGCAAGTGCTGCAGGTCTTCAACAGCAAGGCTAGTCGTAGGGTCGCAGCTAACGATATTGAAGACTGGCCGCGCGATCACGGTGGCATCCGTCCACGGAATGGTGGCCGCGAAAACGCTGATCGATCCACCACTCCCGCTGTCGTAGTCCACAAACTTGGGCGCCGTGTCGGTAAAGCCGGCTCTGCCCAACCTCGAGATCCACTGCTCGGGGACAAGAGCGGGGACGTGCGGCGGCCTTCGTCGTAACCGGCCCACCAACCCTCGAATACGCCAAAGAGAAGATTGAGATGAGGCATCTCACGCGTGATTTCCATCAGGAGAAACGTCCCGCCTGGTCGCAGGAGGGGTCGGAGATGCGCAACGACCTTGTCGATGCTTTGGGTGGCGTGTACGACATTGCTCGCGACGATGAGATCGTACTCGCCTTCCTCGAATCCTTGCTCCGCTGGGGCCTTCTCGATATCGAGCACCTTGAAGTGAACTACGTCGCCCAGGCTCCCCAGACGATTCTTGGCGCCCTCAAAGAAACCGGGCGATAGGTCGGTGAAATCGTAGTGCTCAGCTAAGCGATCGCCGCTTCCGTTCAGCGCTTGGAGAATTTCGATAGTGGCGGACGCAGTGCCACCACCAACCTCGAGCACCTTCAAGCCCGGGTTCTGCAGACCGAGCGCGCGACAATAGTCCGCCATCTGGAAGATGCATCTTGAGAAACGGTCTTGGGTGTACACGCGCGTAAGTAAGTTGTCTGGTACAAGCAGGGAGAGGGGATCGGTAGTCTGCGTCACGATGTCCGCCAGATGGGGCCCGAGTCGTACTACAGCCTCGCCAAATGGCCCTAAATCTAGATCATGCGGCTTCTCGGGGAACGGTACTTCTCCAGTATCGCTGCTAAATGGATCGAGGGATCTCATCCATTCGAAGAAATGCTCCGAGTATCCTATTGGAACCGCAGTTGGATCAACCTCTCTCAAGGTTTTCTGTACGTAGTGGAAGGTCATCTCGTCTAGGTATGCGTTTTGCTTGGCGATGCAAGCTGGCGGCGCTCTGCTTCGGCAGGCTAGATCCCGTTGCCTCGGCTTCCAGTCGTTGACAAAGGGAACCCACTCGATGCCGTAGCTTGCATCCTCTTGTGGGCCGGCGCTAACGTCGTCGTCCATCAACTTGGTAGTACGCACGCCATTTGCAGTGAGTAATATACCCTGGCTGGGTGACGTGCCAGTTCGGACAACGAGGTTATACGCGTCCTCCTCTTTGACAGACGTGCAGGTGAACTCTCTGGCTCCGGGAGTGGGGGTTCATGATTGACCTGCATGTCCTGGATGAAGGTGGGGACATATGTTGATCTAATCTGAGTTTCTAAAATCATGATGGAGTAGATACTGTGGAAAAGGCAAGAGTCCAGCACGGCGGGATGTAAGATGTCACCAACACCTCCGAGCTCTGGGAGCAGGGATTCCGTGGCGACAGCAATCGCGGCATGCTGGCAAGTCTTGATGCTCGTCACATTATCGAAACCGCTGTTCCAGTCAAGGCCAAGCCCGCGGCCCATGCGATAAAACTTTCGTGGACTTTCCCCTCTATTGCATGTCTGCTCTAGGCTCTTTTGCACTTCAAGGCTGGGATTGACTGCGTGGGCCTGGATTGCGTCTTCATTAACCCTGATGTTGCCGCGGCAATGCTCGGTCCACTCGCCGTTATCTGCGACGGTGAAGATGCGAAACTCATTCCACGTAGTAGAGGATGCGCGCGATGTCCGGGCTTCCGGCCTCAGACTAAAAGTAATTTCAACGTCTTGGCCGTCCTCCGGGAGCAGCAAGGCTTTCCCAATACTGACATTGTGGAGCTGGACACTCTTAATTGAGGCGTTCCTGTTCCGTTGCATGGCATGTTGTCTTATTGCCTGGATTGCCATTGTGATGAAGCCTGCTGCCGGAAAGATGACCTGGCCTTGAATGATGTGCCCTCGTAACCAAGGAAGATCCTTGAGGCTCAGATACCGGCGCCATCGGGGCTCCAGAGGTATAAAGTCGGGACAGGGAGAGCCCAACAGAGGATGGGGCGTGTGCTTCCGGTGCCTGTATTCCTTGGATATGCGCGTCTCGTGCCAAAACTTGCGCTCGCGATTGAATGGATACGGGGAAGATCTTGAAGCAGGCAAGGGGGCGTGGGGACGCCACTTGCGTTGATCTCTTGCAAAGGCATAGATGTCGTCTGGGAATGCAAAACTCCCACGCACTGGAGCAAACTACGATCGGCCTCTTTCCTCTCGCAAGAGCGTTCACATATCTCGGCTGCGCGGTTAGAGATGAACCCATGGACTTGAGGATCTGCTTGACGGGGCCGGCAAGTTGCGAATGAGGACCGATTTCCACAATCGTGTCAATGGGGTGTCCTCTAAACTCGTGGGCACACATGCTCTGGACTGCCTGGGAGAAAAGCACGGGGCTTATCAGGTTCGAGACCCAATAGTCCCCATTGACGACACAGCCAGGGGTGAGCTCCTTGCCAGTCACGGAACTGAACATGCGAGCAGCCTTGCCATGAATGCATTCCTGGGTCAGCTTGTCCAACGACTGTTGATACTCGTTGCTAATCAGCTTCATTTGGTGCGAGTGGTATGCTGCCCCGTTGGTCATGAGCTTTCTATTGAAAATGCCCTTTTGGTCAAGAATGCGCTTTAACTCGTCAATGGCTGTGGCATCCCCTGACACGGTGACGCTTGAGGGGCTGTTATAACAAGCGATGCGGCTTTGGCCGAAATCTTCGCCAAGAGACTCGATGCAGGCATTCACCGCGTCCGCATCCGCGCCCACGGCCATCATTCCACCCGGCGTCTCGAGCTTATCCCCGGAGAGGAGTTGGCTTGTAAAATATCCGCGGTAGTAGGAGGCTGCAATCGCATCCTCAAATGAAATTGCCTTGGCTGCGTACATGGCTCCGATCTCTCCGCTTGAGTGCCCGACTACCGCGTCGGGGATCACTCCCATCTCACCGAGCAAGTCAACCAGACCTAATTGAATGGCCGTTGTAGCTGGCTGAGATATGGCGGGGCTATTAATCTGTGAATCCGTTTTGGGCTTGCAGAGTTCGCTGATCAGGTCCCACTGGCATCCGAGCTGTTCGAGGGCTCGTCGTGCGCGGTCAATAGATCTGGCGAATCTGGGATGGCTGGGGAGTAGTTCCCGGCCCATCTCAGCATACTGGGCCCCTTGACCGCTGAAAACAAAGGCAATTCGGGCTTTGGATTCTCTTTCTCGGCGAGGGATAGGTTGACTGGAAGCATCAAGCAGCTGGCTGACCAAGTCTCCTACACCCCTGGCTGTGATTGCTAGCCGATACGGGTGTATGGACTGCCTCTGTAACGTGTACGCTAGGTTGATCAAGAGCGTATCGAGATCTTGTGGCGAACGTTGCCGAACAACGAGGTACTTGGCAAGACGCGTGCACATCTTTTGGCACGAGCGCTCACTTGCTGCGCTGATGAAGAATACGCGTAGCCTCTCATCTCTGGAATTATGAATCCGATTTCCATTGATCTTAACATGCATCTGAAGAGATGTCCATGTAGGCGGCGTGTAGCCATCGACGATGACGTGGGCGTTGGTGCCGCCGTACCCGAAACTTGGAAAAGTTAGTTTTGGCTCTCTCAGCTAGATTCCAAGCAGTGCGTTCGTACCAATTCACCGACACTCTCCGGATATGTCTCCGCTCAAGTTGGGTAGGAATCTGTCAAGACAAGTGTGTCAGCACCATTCGATAGCTCATAACGTCTATTGAGGAACGGTTGGGAAGGGGAGCCATTTACGCGCAACTGCCACTCATCAAGCGGTATGTCGGGGTTAGGATATAGGTAATTCGCCTGAGGCGGGATCACACCGTGTTCTAGCATTAGGATGGCTTTGACTAGGCCGACCAGCCCGGCCGCCGATTCAGTATGGCCGACGTTCGCTTTCGAGGACCCGATGGGCAGCTTAGAACCGACGGGCCTCCCTGCGGTGAACGCCTCAGCGATGGCGCGCGCCTCAATCGGATCGCCGACCTGTGTGCCCGTGCCGTGGGCTTCAACGTAGTCCGCGAAAACTTCGAGGTTGGCCTGGCGATATGCCTGGAAGATGGCCTCCTTCTGGGCCGATGTGCTAGGCACGCTAATACCCGGGGTCCTGCCATCCTGGGTTACTGCGGAGCCACGAATGACGCCGCGAATGCGGTCGCCGTCCCGGATAGCCGCGGAAAGCGGCTTCAGCACTACGCCGACGCACCCTCGCCTCGTCCGTAGCCGTTGGCGCGGGAATCAAAGGCAAACGAGCGTCCTTCTTCCGAAAACATCTTCAGACGGCTCTGGTACACGAAGCGCTGAGGGTCAAGAAGGAGATTGACGCCGCCGACAAAACATTGCGACGTTTCCCGTTTTGGAGGCTGCGGACAGCTTGGTGGAGTGCGACTAGACTTGCGGAGCAACCCGTATCGAGAGTGAAGCTTGGTCCGTGGAGATTGAAAAAGTAGGAGAGCCGGTTTGAACTGATGGCGGGGCCGGTTCCTGTGACCAGGTATGTGGGCGGCGCGTCGACGTCTCGAGCCTCGATCTCCTGGTAATCCGAGCACCATTGTCCGACGAAAACTCCGGTGTTGGACCCCCACAATGCCTCGAGTGTGATTCCGGCGTTTTCAAACGACTCATAGGCTATTTCGAGCAATAAACGGTGCTGGGGGTCCATGGCCTATCCTCAAAAATCAGAATCTCGGAGTCCGGCATGCGCAACGTGAGCTCAAAATAAGAGTAGCTACATGTTTAGGAATCACAACATACCTTTGCCTCTACTGGGTTGATACCAAAAAGTCGGCCTCAAACGCCGAGATGTCGCCCTTAAGAAAATGGCCACCACCTGTATATGTCTACCACGGAGCCGGATATCGGCGGTGTAAGTCAAGATTGTTCACAAGTGATGGCGTCTTGGCGATTCACGGAGCGACTTACCGTTCCCCTAGGACCGTCCCTGGAGCCCTGGAAAGCCTTCATGTTGAACCTCTTCCCGGGTCCGTCGGTCCAGGCTGTCCGCCCGGTCACCAGCATATCCCAGAATCCGGACACGTCTGCTGCGGTGCCTGGAAGGCGACAACTCATGCCTATTACAGCAATAGGTTCAACCGGGCCAGCGCCGTCATTTCCGGACGCGGCGGGCCGGCCATTTCGGGCGCACCCCGGCGACGATGAATTTCCCTTTGATTTCCTCCATGTTGTATTCTTTCCCGTTCGAAGTCATTTTTTAGTGGGAAAATTCGCAGCATCAGCTTGAGAAGTAGAGAGCTATGGCAAAAAATGGGGAAAAAAGAAAACAATTGATTAGGACAGCTCCCATGAGGATTGTCGATCCTTTTGGCCGCCCGGGCTCTCATTATCATTCATGATCATTCACCATCATTCACTTGCACATGCCTCACCCCCGATTATCCATCGGCGCGATCGTGCCCCTGATCTTCCCTGCCACTAACGCCGGGCCCCGCACCGCTGCAGATGGGCTTTTGCCCATCTGTTGAGCGATGCCCAACGTCGCGCGTGACCCGGCTACTAGGAACGACAAGAATTGCTTTTGGACCCAGACACGGCCATCGCGCCGGCTGTCGTTGGCTAGCGCGGAAAAAGTCCCCGGCGTGGAACCTACATGGAACGAAGGAAATCGGCTTAGCGTGGGTCCTGCACAGCTTGTGAGACATGGGCGAGTGGTGTTGTGTTCAGGGCAAGAACACGCTGACTAGTTCCGCGACCCATTGCGAAATATGGAGAGCGTAGCCCTGCTGTGAATGGGAAGAGAAAGGAAGGAAAATAGTGCATTGTGGGTAGGCGGGGATCGACGATCATCGAGCCTGACCCTCCTGTGACCCCTTCCGGATGGCCATCCGGAGAGGCTTTGGCCCTAGGCGGTCAAGCTGGGGCGGCTGCCAGTTTGAGAGGTGCAGTAGACCCGGGGTGGATGGATCAACAGAGTTGGGGAGCTGGAGCGTCGGGTGTTAGACGGCCACACCTAGTCAACGGAGTCCGTGCTGTGTGTCCATCCTTTGCCATGTTCCTTAGCTCGACTCGAGACACTGGGACTGCAAACTGCCTCGCGTGGGGAATCAAAGCCTCGGTGAAAGGGAAAACGACGACGATCAAGCCTCGCCGCCAACTATTTTCTACAAGAGTATTATTCTCCTGGCTAATGCTACTCAATATCCTTCTTTTATACTAACGCCAAACAGTTCGGCAGGTTGCAACCCTAGGCTAACTCTTATCGAACTCTTCCATTGCATTTCATCATGACAAAAATTACCAGTCTCATCGAGGAGACCATCGTCAAGCTCGATGTGCCCGTCGCCGAGGAGATCGTCAAGCTTTCCGCGCTTGATCAGCAAGCGCAGCGGACGTACGGCCAGTTCATGATCGCCTTTCAACTTCAGGATGCAACCACCCACAGCAACGCCGAGATTGTAAAGCACCTCAAGACCAGCTTGAGCATGGCTCTCACAAACGTGCCGGACTTAGCTTCAACGGTTTTCCCGGTTATTGGGTCTACAAGAAACGAACTGGAACTGCGGCTCGGGCCCGAATCCGGCGCGGTATTCAGGGTCGTCGACCATTTGCCTCAGCCCCACGGACCGAAGCAAGAGGACGTATCACTACCCAAAACAAATGGGGATGCTTCTCACATGGATATTTTCATTCCCACGAGCCTATACGGTTTACTCTTCGCTCCCACGCCACGTGCGAAGATGAGTTTGAACAAGGTCTTCCAGGCCTCCTCCTCCAGATCAATCTTATGGAGGGGGTTTGATCATTGGTCTCACATGGCACCACACCATCTGCGACCTTCGCTCCGTGGCCAATTTCTTAAGGCAATGGTCCGGTTACACCAAGCTATCCCTCACCGGAGGCGATCTATCATCAGGGATTGACTCGGCATGGAAACCTTCAGACGAGCGATGGCGCTTGGAATATGGCGACCATGACGCGGACGTATCGCGCATCAGCGATTATGCCGCGAACCCGTCTCTCCGTGCCCCCTACGTGAGAACTCTGCCCACTTACTGGACCGCCCTGACCCTGCGACCATCACCGCTGCATCCACAGTGTGGTATTTCGATTCCTCATCCCTCCGCGCCCTCCGAAACTCAATCGCTGAGTCCCAGATCGAAAATGCATCAGAGCTCACTCAAAGTGAGGCGCTCTCGGCCCTCATATGGAAACATCTCAGCCGCGCTCGTCTCTTGGACACCAAATATCCGCCAGAGGCAACTTCTTTGTTTAGCACGCGTATAGATTACAGAGGACGCATGAAGCCTGCTTTTGATGACTACTTTGTCGGGAATATCAACGAGCCCAACGCCAGAGTTCGCCTCTCTATCCGCAAGGTATGCTCTACTTCCACGCCCGACTCCCTTGCCCTCTTGGGTCAAGCCATTCGAATTGTCACCCAGGAAATGGGCGAAGATGCCGTGCGCACGTTTATTGGGGCCGTCAACCGCTTACCAAAGGTGACTGATCTTTCCTGGGACTACGATACTTACCCCGGCCCGGACCTCACGGTGACAGACTTGTCTAGCTCGGACATGCTGCGCCAGGACTGGGGGCCCCTCAACCACGCCACCTTTCTCCGAACAGCCTCGCGCGAGAAGGGGCTGGTGTGCGTTCTTCCTCAGGACAGGGACGGCGGATTGGAAGTGCAGATACAGTGTGAGCATGATGCTGTCAAGAGGTTAAGGGATGACCCAATATTTGCTCAATATGCCGATCTAAAAGGGTAATTCCTGATCTCCGTGATAGATGGTGGCGGTTGGATGCATGTTACAAAACGCACGAGGTGTTGTCGCCTTGGTGCCTGCATATGTGTGTAGTTTTTCGATACGTTTAAGCAAGGCAACAAGGTGTGCGCGCTGTATGAATCTGAAGTGTGTTTGTGCATCGCTTAGCTAGAAAAATAATTGGCCAAGTCTTATCCACTAGATTCAATAGGTTCCGGGCTCGGAAACTCGAGATCCTCGCGATAGTGCACGCGTCGCAAATGATTGGCTATGCAATCTCGTCGCTTTACACGATCTTCAAGACCAAAGGCCTTGAAGTCGATTGCTCAGGGTAACTGTTATACTTCAGCTGAATCGCACTTGGTTTGCGAGTGCGAAGTGCAGCGAAAGGTTTCACCTGCATTCATACTGCAGGGCCTAGCCTGTCTCACCCAGCATGAAGCCTAGCACGAACAAAGACATTTTAGCGCCAATATTTACTACCTTTTGGTCTGGGTAACCTCAAACACGCTAGCTTGGGGTGAATTTTCGACATCCATTTCATGTCCAAGTGTGTGGGTTTGTCTGTCTCGCAGAGTATATGCAAGGTTCACCTTGCATTCTTGCTCGCTACCGGATGGTTCGTATCATCATAAGCACGCATCACTCCTGGCTTTCATCACGATGAGTATTTATGCAACACATGTTTATTGTCTCTGTTATATAGAAATGGCACTATCTACAGCTACACCTCGGCAAAGGTCGGCTCTCGGTCGTACGACGATACTAGGGATTCTTAACTATGAGAGAACGTTGCTCTTAGGGAAAGAATACACGATGTCGGTGAAGACAGGGCTGGCTGTGAGCCGAGCAATCAAGCTAGGCCGCGGTGGCAGCAGTCAGCATTCCTTTCACAACCTTGCCACTCTGTGTCTTTGGGAGCGCAGGGAGGAACGTGATCCGCCTGTACAGCCAATGAGACTCCTGCAGTCTCTCTCTGATGTATTCCTCGATATGATCGCGCAGGTCGTCCTGCGAGAGGCAAAACGTGCTATCGTCGGCAAGCACAATAAACGCATGGGGCCTCTCCCGGCCAGCTCATCTGGAACGCCGATCACAGCGGCTTCTACGATGTGCGGGTACTTGAGGAGCACGGCCTCGATGCGCGTGGGAATCACTTGTAAGCCCTGCGAGGTTTGAGATGGGTGAGCATAGGTCCAGCCCCAAGGCCTTTTCTGCGGAGCTGCGAGTAAGCGGTCGGGGTTGGGGAGGGGAGGGTGTCTCACCTTGACCTTGATCATCTCCTTGGAGCGGCCCCGGATGAAGAGGTGCTCTGTCCGAGAGGTGCTCAGTTCCATGCTGCCAATGTCACCTGTCCGGAACCAGCAGTCCTCATCGAACGATCGTAATGACTCGTTCTGGTCCCCAAGATACCCTAAAAATAAGTTGGGCGACTGGAACAGAATCTCGCCAGCCTCGCCATATGCGTTGATATCTCGACCATCGTCGCCGACGAGGCGTAAACGGGTTCCTGGAAGCAGTGTGCCGGACGAGCCATGCCAGACGTCATGGGCGCTAGTAAATGTCGCGATTACACTTGTTTCAGTAAGACCTGTAGGAAAAAGAAAACGGTCAGCCACTTATCCTGTCAGCCTGTCAGTGCTGTCAGTTTTGGCATTCGGGTGATGCGACTTTATTACCCCAGGCGTGAATGAGCGTCCATGTGGGGCAAAGGCCGATGATTTTGTCCGTGAGCTCTTTATATATCGGCGCCCCACCCGTGACGATAGTGGTGACGGAGGAGAGGTCGTAGAGCTCGAAGAGGACTGGATTGGCGGCAAGCGCAGCGAGGATGGAAGGAATCTAGGCTCCGCATTAGCGCCCCCGGCCCAAACTTCCGTCCAACCACCGCCGCCGTCAACCTACCAGACAGAGCCTCTTGATTCGATGCTGCGAAACGGCTTTCAACATGAGCTGTAGGTCAAAGCTCGGAAAGACAACATATGTGTCATTGCGCCAGACGGCTAAGCTAAGCATGATGATGCCATAGCTGTGGCTAAACGGCATGGATCCGGTGAGAACCTCACTCCGGCCTTGCTTGACCGTATTCTCAAAGCTTGCTGCCTGGAGAATATTCGTGATTAACCCGTAGTGGGTGAGCATGGCCAGCTTCTTGTGGTTGGCGCATCGTGTTAGCATGCGGGGTGGAACTGAGTCGTGGCATATCCAAAGGGTGAATACGGGGAACGGAGCACTTACCGCAGTTCCAGTCGTTCCGCTTGTTGCACATAGATATGCGACCTGAGTTTTCCCCGATCCTTATCCCACCCAAGTGACTCGAGAGGCTGGAGCTGTGACCCGTGGGTAACTAGGGCGTCCAACGACGTGTATTGGGCAGAGGTGTTCTTGGCGTCGTTGAATGTAAAAATACGATCTGGCGCGATACCCAGGCCGGCTGCAAGTTCCATGGTTCCCGGGCCGCAGAAAATGACGTCGCATCTGGCTTTGTTCATTTGCACCGCAATTTCACTCCGCGTGCTGCTCGAGTGGATGGGCATGCAGATACCATTCAAACGATGGATGGCATAGCAGATAACAAAGTAATCCACCTAGTCAAGACATTAGACCTGAGTAAGAATTGATATTTTCTCCAATACTACATGTAGGGTTTCACTTACCGAGTTCAAGCCATACACTGCAATCACCTTGGACCATGGCGAGCCGCCGCTCGGTGACCAACCAAGGCGCGCAGCCAGACCACGCGATGCCGAATCTACCCGCTCTCGCAGCACACTTTTTGAGTACAGTGTTCCAGTAATCCCATCGATCAAAGGCGCAGTGCCTGCAGATATGGAAGGCCATGACACATCCTCAGTCAGAATGAAATCCCCCACCGTAGTGGAGGTAGGGATGTGATCCGGAAGCTGGGGCACCCAGGCGGGGGTAGGAAAACCATTGCTACAAAGGGTGAAAGGGGGTTGGTTAGGTGCTCGATGACCGATGCTTCTACAGCATGTTGCAGATTGCAGAGATAAGCCGTACGACAATAGGACCGCTGCTAGTATATTTATAGACGGTTGGGCACTATTGCTTGGTGAGTGTTGACACCAGTATCTCCCTATGTCTTAGCTGATACTGAAACGGGTCGGCATTGATAGGTGCCAAAGCATCCGATATGACACCTGGACTAATGGCATGTTCTCGCCGCAGACACATCTAGACCATGTGAACCGAAGGATAAACGTCAGACATGCTAACTATGGTCAAAGTATGGCTGACACATTCTTACACTTGCCTTAAGGCCTATCAGATGTTTGATGTAGGTACTATTATTTCCCGGCCCCTCCATCAATTGATCTATCACATCACACGGAAATACACAACAGTGAACAATGCACGACTCCCCACTCGGTCGAGGACTTCCTATATATGACAGGATAGAGTAACGTGGGGACACTCAGACTCGACACCGACCCCCACTCTCATGCTTCCTCTTGGCAGTGGAACGCGTGAAAGTTTGGCCGCACTCTCGACACATGAATCGGGTGGCCACACCGCTCTTCTCGCGAACGTGCCGGATATAATTTCCCAAAGACGAAAAAGTCCTCCCCGCACAGCTATGCTGGTAGCAACGTACCGTCCCCTGGGTGTCGGTCACGAGCGTCGGACTCTGAACGGATATCGTTATAGCCAACGGTTCGATCCCAGTCCTATTTGTTGCCAGCTTTGGGGGTGGCCCGTAGATTGGTAGTTCGCGCGCGTTAAAACATAGAAGGGCGTCAGTGAGGAGCATCTCGTCGGGTAGTTGTGGCAGAGTCGTCGGAGAAAGGCGGTTTTCGAGCGGAGAGCCGGCAATCTCGGGCTGAAGGGCCTCTCGTGTTTCCTGGTCTCCTACCCACGCTGTTGGTGGGACGCATGTGCAGAATGGCCCACCGTGGCAGTGAAGAAGAGAATGTGTGTGATGAGCATGGGCATGAAGAGCGAAAGAGTTTGGTATAAATGTATGTTCAACAGTGGCAGAGTGGCCTTGCCAAGCGTCAAGGTGACTCGAGGGCCACCGCATATGATGGTCAAGGGAAGTAAATGGATCGAGTTGGTCGAGACTGGCAGGTTTGGGTTGGCCATCTCCACACTGGGAAATCTCCATGCTTCCTCTCGTTGTTGAGTTTGGGATGACGCGGCCTCTGATAACCAATGGCTGTGGATTCCTCGCGGGAGAGGTTATGGAGCAGGTGGAATATCAATCGTAGGAGGATGAAGAATGGAAAGAAACTAGATTCGGGGCCACGCTGTCCACCCATGGTATGGGGCCACGATGTGTAAGTCATGATGACATCTATGAACAATCTTGGGCTTCCTAATAGGCCCCAGTCGACGATGATTCACTCGGCGCAAGTAATACCGAGTCCACCATAGCTGTCGCACCAATACACCGGCCCCTACGGACTGGCTGGATGGGTTAGCAGCTGCCGTGACCGAATACCCTCCCCTCACAACATTTGACGTTCCAATCAATTCGCCGGTCATGTATCAAGCGTGCTCTCGTCCAACGTTGCTTTGAGGCTCTCATCACTTGTTCCCTGGTAGCGCGATCTGCGCGGGCACTGTTGTATGCGGGTCGGCTTGTCAGTCTGGCAAGTAGGGAGACAGCCAGGTAGACGAGACCTGCATTAGCAGTGCCCTAGCCTTGGTGATCTTGACTCCCTAGCCGCTAGTAAAACTAATGCGAACCTTGGGCAAGATTGTTGAGGGGACTTTGTATAGAAGGAGGTGTACTACTGCACGAGACTTATCGGAGAGGAGAGGCGGGGGGAGGAAGAAACCCACCTATATCATGGCCCCCACTCGCGATGTTCCGCATGCATATGCATATCTTGTCCCACGCTTATTGAGTCAGCCTATCACACCAGTTGTACAAGGCATATAGCTGCAAGTGCGCGCAATGGCAGTGTACCGGTCAACTGGGAGAGAAAAAGCAAAGTGTTGGCAACATTGCGAACGATCATCGGTCCGACTTGCAGGCGCCACTCGATCGCTGGCCCCCATCGTCCCCCGAGCCCCAACGTAGAATTGGGAAGCCGTGGGGACAAACAGCCTCCACTGCACGTCTGCTAGTCCGCTTGTCATCGGCAGGGTCCCGCAAAAAAAACCTATCCATGACTTCGAAGCGAGCCCCGTGCCCCTCACGGCGGGTAAGCAAGGAGGCCGAACCAAATAGAGGGGTTGGAGAGATACGGAGCGCGCGTGCCAAGCCGTTGTCACCGAGAGATGACCTTGTTGATGGGCCGGGCTATGTTGAACAGGGTTCCTTTAAGAAGTAGATGTCTGCTTGACCTCACTAGATAGATGGATGGAACATAGCGGTTTGAATCGCGCTACTCTTCCCTTCCGACTAGAAACCGAGCCTTACAATAAATCTGAAAGTAAGAGGAAAAGTGCGCAAAGTAAACATGACTACCGACGAGATGCTGGCGATCTTTTCCGCCGTACTGGGGTCGGCGAGGACAAAGTCAAGATGAACCAGTCGTTCCAAGCCCAAGGCGGTGACTCCCTGCTCGCCATCAAGCTCATGGTCCAATGCCGTGAGATTGGTCGGGATGTCACTATCCAGGATATTCTTAGGGCGCAGAGCCTCGATAGAATCTGCCCACCGGACGAAATCGAAACTCCTACCAGCGAACTATCAGAAGAATCGGAGACTGATATCTTTCAGGTGCCCGTGAGCAGTACGGCAACCCTACACGCTGCTAGCGGTTCCTTCGACGTCAAGCTGTTTTCAATAGCTGGCGGTGTTCGAACAGTCGACATAATCGAAACCCTAGAGAGGGTTGCCTTCAGTCACCCAATCCTCCTTGCCGATCTCCGCCCCCGACTAACGGCCAAGATGGATATTGCCTTGCGCCGGGTGAGGGGAGTTGCTCCACGAGACTCGGGAAATCACCGATGGCCAGGTACCGAGTGGAGATGAATGGGTAGGCAGCGCAATCTCGTTGCTCCAGAAGAATCCGACGGCCACCTTTGCTGCCATATCCTTTGTGCTCAAGGATACCGACCTCGTTCGGTATATTTGCTTTGCTGCTAGCAGGGCTATTGTGGATGAAGCCTCCTGGAATGTCCTACTTGGAGAGATAATACCCACTGGCACTTCGAAGTCAGCAAACAGTGATGTTACCCAACATCCTCAAGTCCATCCTCGGTACGCGACACACGCAGGCTCTAAGTTGGAGCACGACGCATTCCTCACTATTGATGCTAGTACAATAAGTACGCTAGAAAGGGAGTGCGGTAGCATGGCCATGAGCTTGCGCCCGTCGGATGTCTTCCTTTCAGCTCTGGCCCTTGCGATATATTCGTTAGCTCCTGGCACGTGGAACCCTACCCTAAGCGTCATCCTTAGCAGTAATGCATCAGAGCCTCCTACTGAGATCGGATGTCGTGATAGGGCCACTACTGTGCATCTACAGGGCCAGAGCAAAGATCTCGAGCTCAGCTTCTGCGTAGCATCAGGGACCTTCAAGCGGGACATGCACCAGAGCCTGTGCTTCCAGGAGACGGTAAAGATGTTATTGTCATCGACGCGACGGGTCTTGCGCAGGCCAATCTACCTCAGCCCAACGACATCCACCTCATTCACAAAGTTTCTCACTTCCGAAATCCCACGACGGCTCACGCGACAGCAATGTTGCGCCAGGGCGGCGATTGTGTACAAGTACACCTGTGCCTGCCCTCGGAGCTAATCCAGCCCGGCTATCTATCTCAACTTGAACGCTCCATCCGATCCAATACTACCGAGCTTCTGAACAACCTCCGATCTGGCCCTACCATCGCCACAATAAGCGACTTTCCCCACTTAGGAGCCCGCTCGTACGACGATCTTGACAACTTTGTGAACAAGCAGATAAGACCTATCACGCAGGATCCTGTTACCGACGTACAAGAGGTGTACCCCTGCTCTGCTATTCAAGAGACCTTTATCCAAGCCCAGAGCGTGCACCCAGACTTGTATCAGTGCATAGCAGTAATTGAAGTGCGCTCCGGCGATGGAATCTCCGAGGTGGATCTAGCCCGGCTTCAAGAAGCCTGGCAGGGGCTCGTGGATAGACATACTTCTCTGCGAACTATTTTCCTCGAAAGCGTAGTCCGCCCGGGTCATTTTGACCAAGTCGTCCTACGGCGCTGGACCTCTGAACTAATTGTCAAACCGGCGCATCCCGACGAAGACATCGCGGCGCTGAAGCGCTTTTCGTTCCCTGACTTCTCTCCACCGCACCGGGTGACGGTATACAAGCAGTCACCCACCTCCGTTAAGATCAGGGTGGACGTACCACATGCACTTTTCGATGGTGCCTCGGTCGACATCTTGAAACGGGATCTAGCCTCCCTTTACTCAGGCATAAATCCTCAATCAAATATCCTCCGTTACGGCGACTACCATAATTACCAAAACCGGATTTCGCGGGTGCGGCGGCCAGTTTCTGGTCCACCTACCTATCCGGAGTCCAGCCTAGCTTCTTCCCCGTGACGGATGCAAAGGCGGAGCGTAAAGCCTATACTCGACTACAAAGAAGCATACCCATCAACACCGAGCTCCTTAGGGCATTCTGCAGTAAGTACGAAGTAACCGTTGCTAACATTTGCCAGATTGCGTGGGCTTTAGTTCTTAGGTCATATACCGGCATGCACGATGTCAGCTTCTCTTATGTGAACTCAGGCCGCCATCTCGCGGTTCAAGGCATAGAGAGCGCGATTGGGTGCTTTATCGAACTGATGATTTGTCGAATCAATACAAACGAGAGTCAGACTTTATCCCAAGCTCTCGTAGATGTCAAAAACGATCTTGTGGCTGGGCTTTCTCATTCGTACAATGTGGCAGTTGAGAAGGATAGCCCCCTTTCGCGCCTGAGAGGGAATACCCTCATGTCGTACCATCGGGAGTCACTAGAGGACGTTACTAGTATCACTGGACTCAGTTGCAAGCTCACGGACGCTTTGAATCCTTCAGAAGTATGTGAAAAGGCTTACTGGTATCGGCGGTGAGCTGAGTTAACTAAATTCTGTTTATAGTATGACCTAACGCTCAATATCGGCATCCTTGGAGATTGTCTTGAGCTTGACCTTTACTTCTGGGAATCTCGACTCAGCCTTTCTAGCGCAGATAGTGCGGCAGAGAGCTTTGCAGAGTCCTTCAGCCGCATTGTGGAAACCGGACACAGCCGGCTAGGAGACATAGATATTACGCCGGCAGGCCATGTTGACCAGATCAGACGCTGGAACAGCGTTTTACCTAGCCGGGTGGAAGCGAGGCTCCACGACGATGTGTGGAAACAGGCTCGCACACGCCCTAGGTCTACTGCTATACAGGGCTGGGACGGTGACATGACCTACCGAGAGCTTACGCAGGCGGCCGACAAGCTTGCGGCTTACCTTGTCAGCCTCGGCGTCAAACCCGAGACCAAGATCCCTCTGTGCTTCGACAAGTCTCGGTGGGCGGTCGTATCCCAATTGGCTATCCTCAAGGCGTCAGGCTGTGTGGTCCCGCTGAGCACAAAGCAGCCGAAGCAGCGCATCGAGCTTATCCTCAAGGATATCGAGGCTTCCATTGTGCTAGCATCCGAAAGTCATGCCGCTCAGTTCGGCAGTTCCTCCTCAACGTCCTGGTCGTAGACGACGCTCTGATTAACAGCCTCCCAGACGCGGCCTCACCCCAATGTCTAGCAACCCCTGACAACTGCGCTTTCATCATATATACCTCTGGAAGTACTGGTGTGCCAAAGGGTGTCGTTCTCACCCATGGGAGCTTGGCTACCAGTGTCCATTATCTAGGCGCCCAGTTTAGACTGGGACACCACACCCGCACCGTACAATTTTCGGCGTACACATTTGATATCTCCATCCAGGACATATACACCACTCTTCGCTACGGAGGGTGCCTGTGCATCATTTCGGAACAAGACCGACTCGATAATTTGGCACCAGCAATGCGCCGTTACCGCGTCAACTGCGCGGGACTGACGTCCACGGTGGCCGGAACTATTTCCCCGACAGAGGTTCCGTCGCTGAGGACACTCGTACTGCTTGGCGAGGCAGTGAAGCCCGCTGTTGTTAACAAATGGGTGCACACCGTCGCTGTTTTCAATGCATACGGGCCATCAGAGTGCTCCATCCAAGCGAGCTGTCGCCAGCTCACCCCTTCTTGCAATGCCCTGAATATCGGTTACGCATTTGCCGGCGCGCTCTGGGTGGTAGATGCCACCAGCTACGATAGGCTCGTCCCCATTGGGAGCCCAGGAGAACTTTTGATCGAGGGCCCCCTGCAGGCCCGGGGATACCTCAACGATAAAGCCAAGACGGACGCGGCCTTCATCGCCAGCCCAGCATGGACATCCAAGTTCGAGTTCGACACCCCGAAAAGGCTTTACCGCACAGGAGACTTGGTCCAGCAGAACACAGATGGCTCGATAACATATATTGGCCGTCGTGACACGCAAGTCAAGTTCCGCGGCCAGCGTATTGAGATTGGCGAGATTGAGCATCATATTATCCAACACCCAGCCGTCGCTGATGCCGCCGTAGCCCTCCCATCCACCGGCAACTGTAATGGACGTCTGGTCGGTCTCGTCACTTTGAAGGACTACCTAGCTCCCAGCGCGCGGACGGAAATCAGGCCAATCTCGGCAGACAAGATCGCGTCAACAAGGGCTACACTAGACAGCATCCGAGATTCTTTGGCCTCCCGAGTACCGGAACACATGGTTCCTACCGTGTGGATTCCGCTCTCGTCCGTGATGCCGCAGAATGAATCGGCGAAGTTAGACCGCAAGACTCTCGGACTATGGGTAGATGACGTCGACAAAGAATTGCTGGATTATCTTGCACAGCAGCCCAAGCAACAAGGAATCACTCGCGCTGCGTCGCCATCGGAAGCCAAGCTCCAAGAGATTTGGTCGCAAATCTTGAAGCTTCCTCCATCCGAGATTCCAATTCTGGGCAAATCATTCTTGCACCTTGGTGGTGATTCCGTCGCTGCGATGCAAGTGGTATCGGCCGCGAGGTCTCACGGGATATCCCTTTCAGTAATAAAGGTACTGCAGTGCAAATCAATCGCTGAATTGAATGGTGGCACCAGCGACGCGAGCAGTACGCCCGAGCCAGACAAAGATGATAGCAACTCCTCCTCTTCGGATGAGGGGTACCAGAGGTTCTCTGCAATTAGTACAGGCACTCTTGATAAGATCAAGGAAAGACTATCCGCAGATACGAAGGTGGAATGGGAGGCGGTGGAAGACGTATTTCCAACCTCGTCCATTCAAAGCGGCATCCTCACAAGCCAAGCGAGAGATCCGTCAACGTATTACATTCAACAGATCTTCAAAGTGCATCCACCCGTGGCCGGCGAAGCGGTGTCAGTCGAAAAGCTCCTACAGGCGTGGGAGGCCGTGGTGAGCCGCCAGCCCACACTTCGTACGATCTTTATCTCAACCTCATCTGGGCACGATTCCTTGGCGACTCATCAATTGGTGCTGCGATCAGTCACTAGCAACACAACAGTGGTCTCTTGTAGCGATGATGAGCTGGATTCGCATTTGGTCGTCCAATCCGTTCAAGACATTGGATTTCCAAGCGACAAACCAGGCCATCAGCTGACCGTTTACTCTAGCCCCAAGAGGGGTATTTATGCTCGCCTTACTGTGAATCATGCGCTTGTCGATGCGTCCTCTTTGCTACTACTACAACAGCAGTGGATGCAAGCCTACACTACGCCCCCAGCAATGGAGACGCTCACCAAGGGTATAGTTACGGCGCCTATGTCGCCTACTTGAGGAGATTTCTGCCGAGGCAGCCTTGGACTACTGGAAAGCCCAGCTTCGTGGTGCCGAGCCGTTTTATCTACCTCATCTAACCGAGAATGGTATGGCTCCAGTCGGGCGCGACATTCTTTCCACGACACGAGTGCCGCAAAAGCTGGTCACTGTAGATTTGGATTTCTATGATGAGCTCCGACGATTCAGCGAACAAGCCGGCGTGACAATGGCCAACATCTTCCAGCTGTCTTGGGCGCTCGTGCTCTCCAAATTCAGCGGGTTGAATGACGTCCTGTTCGGCCACGTAGCAAGCGGTAGGGACGTTGATGTTGCCGGCGTGAACGAGATGGTTGGTCCGCTCATCAACGTGATGGTAACTCGGATCCGCCTTGACATGGACAAAAAACTACAAGACGCGTTGGAAGAGACACAAGAATCCTCACTAGACTCCTTGAGCCACCAGAGAGCGTCCCTGCTCGACATTTCGCATGCTCTGAACTTGCAGGGCCAGAGTCTTTTCAACACATCTTTATCCTACCGCCCTGCTCTGCCAAAGGTCGGCTCCAAGGACGAGATCGCTTCGCTTGAATTCATTACCGGCGAAGACCCAACAGAATATGACGTGATTGTTAACATCATGACATCGGCGGATAACATCTCAGTTTGGCTGCAATACTCGCCGGATCTTGTGTGTCGCCAATCCGCCGACGGTCTCGCTGCATGCCTAGTTCAGACGGTCCGCTCGATGATTGGGAACCAAGAACAGCCACTGAGCGCAATCCAAGTCGTTACCCCTGCGGACATTGCGCAACTCCTAGCCTGGGACCGGGAAATTGTAGAGGTAGAGCAACGGGAATGTGTCCATCACCTCATTGAGCAACAGAATAGAGTCTGCCCAACAGCCCTTGCAGTCCACGCATGGGATGGGGATTTCACTCTTGGGGAGCTCGAAGCCAAGGCCAGCATCCTTGCTCGGCTTCTCAAGACAGAGTTTGGCGTAGGTCCCGAGAGCTATGTTGCCATATGCATGGAAAAGTCCAAATGGGTTGCCGTTGCGCAGTTGGCCATTCTCAAGGCTGGTGGCGCCGTTGTCCCGCTAAGTCCGAGCCAGCCCGCGCAGCGCCTTGAGAACTTAGTTCGCGACTCTAATTCCCCAACCATTTTGACCTCAAGCGATACTGCGTCCGTCGTGTCTCACATACGCCGCTGCATTAACGTGGATGACGATCTGTTTTCGAGCCTTCCCAATACCGAGGGATACAGCTGCGAGACCGTGCAGCCAGACAATCCGGCGCTGGTAGTCTACACATCTGGAAGTACCGGTATGCCCAAGGGCGTCGTCCTGACGCATGCCAATCTCATGACAAATTTCCGGACCATGACCAGACTCCATGGCTTCGACGCAAACTTGCGATTTGGCCAATTCTCATCTCTGGTCTTTGATATCTCGTTTGGAGAAATTTGGATGACGATTGGCTGCGGAGGGTGCGTCTGCATCATGTCGGAGGCGGAGAGAATGAATGACGTCGGAACGGCGATGAGAAAATACCAAGTCAACTGCACTTTCCTAACCCCGTCCGTGGCGTCTTTGCTCGACCTTGACTCGGTCCCAACCTTAAAACGGTTGATGGTCGGAGGTGAAGCGATGCAGCCCGCTCTGCTCGCGGAGCTTCTCAGCGTGCCACGCGTTGCGATCCACAACACTTATGGACCTACCGAGTGTACCATTATCGTGCTCTACAGCAAAAACCACAGAGATTTGAGCTGCGCGAATCTCCTCGGCAGACCCCCTGTTGGTGAGCTTTGGATCGTTGATGAGCACGGCCAAGTGTGTCCCATTGGGGCTATTGGAGAAATCTGGATCGGAGGCCCGGTCGTTGCCCGCGGGTATCTCAACGACCCAGTCAAGACCGACAAGTCATTTATCTCCAATCCACGGTTCTGTGTTGACGTAGGTACAAGAAGCAAGAGATTCTATCGCACGGGAGATATGGGGCGACAAAATCGTGCGGGTGAATTCGTCTTCGTAGGCAGGAAGGACACGCAGATCAAGATTCGCGGGCAGCGAGTTGAGGTTCAAGAAATTGAGAGCAAGATCCGACAACTCAACCAAGACGTCAAGAGCGCGACGGTACTTGTGATAACACCCAACAAAGGCAGCAACACTATCACACTTGTTGCGGCAGTGGAGCTCGAGTCCGCCTCTCGCAGGAACCTTCGCCGGTTCCAACCCGACCTTCCCTTCCTCCTTCTTTCGTCAGAGCTCCAAGACGAATTTTCCGAGTTGCGAAGCAAGCTACAGGATATCCTACCCGCGTATATGGTCCCCGGTCTTTATGTGCCGTACGACAGTGTGCCGTTGAGCATCTCAGGAAAGACCGATAGGCTCCTCATGCGGTCGCAAATCGAAAGCCTGTCCCCGAGGGTGTGGCGCATTATTCACTTGCCTCGGTGAAAAAGATTGCTCCTCAGAGCGAAATGGAGCTCATGATCCAAATGCTGTGGGCTTCCATTCTCAAGGCAGATCGGGACAACATTGGCATTGACGACAATTTCTTCCACTGCGGTGGAGACTCACTCACGGCTATGAAGCTAGCGTCGATGGCTTCAAAGTTCAACATCTTACTTTCCGTTTCTGATGTCTTTGGAAACCCCAAGTTGGCTGACATGGCGCGCCGCGCTGAACAGTGCGCGCTGGATGCTGCCGATGGCCAAGCAGAGGATTCGATCACAACGCCCCTCGGTCTCTTGAAGGATATTCACGAAGCTTCAAACACATCCAAGCTTGTCCCTTCTATCCCCGCTTTATCCCCAGAGCGCCAAGCCGAGTTCTCCGATCTGTGGTGCAGGCTTCAAGATGTCCTGCCCGCCGACATGCTTCCAAGCCTCACCATCCCAGACAGCAAAATCCCTACTGGGGCATCAAGTCAGTCCGGCAGTCTTTCCCAGATAATCTCCCCACCCCTAGGGGCCTTACTCGTCCTTTGCTTCCCGTCGTGAAAAAGCCTTCTCCTAAAAGCGATATGGAACTCATGACTCAAGTCTTGTGGGCCACAGTCCTCAAGGTGGACCGGGACAACATTGGCGTCGAAGATAACTTTTTCCAATCTGGCGGGGACTCACTGGTCGCCATGAGGCTTGCCTCCATGGCCACAAAATTCCGCGTCTCCCTTTCGGTGTCTGATATCTTCGAATACCCCAAGCTCGCCGATATGGCGCTACGCGCCAAGTGGCGTGGGTTAGACCATGCCGAGGACGCGCCGCGCACACTTCCCGAGAGTGCCTCCAACGATATCCAAGACCCCGCAATCTTGAAGCCTTTGGACGATATGGAATCTGAAGAGCTACGCCGAGCGGCTGCAGAGTGCGGCGTCTCTAGTGCGGATATCGAGGATGTCTACCCTTGCACGCCACTTCAGGAAGGACTCATGACTCTCACTGCTCTTCAGCCGCTCGCGTATGTTGGCCGATGGGCATACAAACTTCCCCAGTCCATCGATCTCGACCGTTTCAGGGACGCATGGCAGCAGGTGGTTAAGATCGCACCAATCCTTCGAACAAGGATTATCCTTGGCAACCTCGCCGGGGCTGTACAGGTGGTTATTCGAGAACCGCGAACGTGGCTGTCTGGCTCAGATCTCAACCAGTACCTGGAAAACGACCGCGCAACGCACATGGGCTACGGATCATCTCTTTCGCGACTTGCAATCATACAAACCGCAGATAGCGAGCGGTACTTTGTGTTGACAATCCACCATAGCACCTACGATGGATTTAGCTTGACGAAGATATTCCAGTTAGTCGAGCAGGCTTATAACTCGGAGCCTATTCCCGCCCTGCCGCAATTCACCCGCTTCGTCCAGTATTTACAGGGCGTTGATCCCGAGGCCACTGCTACTTTCTGGAGGGATCATCTAAATGGGGACCTCGGTCAGCCTTTCCCCGCTCTCCCGGCGTCTTCGTACAAACCGGAAGCAACCCGGACCTTGTTCCACAAGTTTACTCTGGAGCGGGTAAGCGGAGCATTCACCGTACCAATCCTTCTCCGCGCAGCATGGTCTCTCGTTCTCTCGGCATATTGCGGAAACGACGTCATGTTCGCAATGCCCCAATCTGGGCGTGCCGCCCCGGTAGAGGGTATTTTGGATATCGCGGCGCCAACCATTTGCACCGTGCCCGTACGAGTGCACGTCGACAAGGACCAGAGTATCCTCGACTTTTTGAACGAAGTTAACGGCCAAGCCACCAAAATGATGAAGTTCGAGCATACTGGGCTTCAGTATATACGCCGTCTTGTGGACAACAGCATCGTCATGAACCACTTATTTGCAATCCAATCAGGCTCTGAGCGCGACGCGTTGTCAAGGCGCCCGCTGGGGCTTGTCGATATGGACATCGCCATGCCCAACTTTGAAAACTATGCACTCGTCGTCGAATGCATTTTAACCCGCGATGCCACTCCAGGGATGTGGTCTGTGGAGATTGGGGCCAAGTTTGATGAAAACATTCTCTCCACCTCGCACGTTGAACGCATCGCCGAGCGCCTCGGTTACGTGCTTGCACAACTGGACTCGGCCCTGGGGAGCACGGGCGGCGGTCAGGGCAAAGCGATAGGAGACATGGAACTTCTATCTCGAAGTGAAATCGCCCTGCTACAGAGCTGGCATCCTTCTGTAGCTCCACCTCCCACCAAACAAGTCCATGAGCTCATCGAACAACGTGCCGCCGATAGGCCGACGCACCAGCCGTCGAGTCATGGGACGGAACCTTGACATATCGCGAGCTTATGTACCATTCAAACCGTCTAGCGACCCATCTGATTGGCCTCGGTGTAGGTGTAGGCCAATTTGTACCCATGTGCATTGACAAGTCAAAATGGGCGGTTGTGGCCATGATAGCTGTGATGAAGTCAGGTGCTGCAATGGTCCCGGTCAGAGCCGATGGTCTCGAGCGTCTGTACACAATACTTGACGAACTCAATGCCACTACGGCCTTGGCAACACCAAATAACGCTCCTGTGCTACGGAGCAGGGTTCAACATGTGGTGGAGATCGGCGAAGACCTACTCCTTAGAAAGCTTTCTGAACATTCTGGCCCAAAGGACGTGCTTACCGTAAAGCCAACGGACATTGCATATGTTCTTTATACCTCCGGTACCACAGGCAAGCCCAAGGGGGTGGTTGTCGAACATGGCTGCCTTACCACATCACTTGAGCCCATGTGTGGGATGGCTGACCTCGGACCAGAAACACGAGCGTTTCAGTTCTCCGATTTTACATTTGACACTTTCCTGTACGACATATTCTGCACCCTCCTCTCTGGAGGATGTGTTTGCGTCCCTTCCGAAGAAGAGCGACTGAATGACCTCCCGGGTGCAGTATCAAGGATGAAGGCAACCCACGCCCTCTTTGTGCCATCCGTATTGGCCACTCTTCACCCTTCGGAGTTCCCCAGTCTAGAGTCGCTTGTCCTCGCCGGCGAACTGGTACGAGAAGAGCATGTAGCTGAATGGGTTCGTAGGCCCATACGCGTGTTCAACGGATACGGTCCCACAGAGGCATGCATCCTTACTTGCGGCCACGAAATCGTGGACAGCAAAGAGTGCGAGGTCATTGGCAAATCATGGGTGTCAAAATGTTGGGTCGTGGATTCATCCGACCACAACACTCTACTCCCCGTAGGTGCCATAGGCGAACTAATAGTTGAAGGGCCAAACCTTGCTCGAGGTTATCTCGACGACGAGGAAAAGACAGCCGCCGCGTTTTGCTACAACCCCACCTGGATGAGCCTATACGGGCTGAATCCCCAGAATGAGCAACGCAGATTGTACCGAACGGGAGATCGAGTGCTTCAAAAGAGGACGGTTCATTGGTGTGCATAGGGCGAATGGACACCCAGATCAAGATCCGAGGGCAGAGAGTGGAGATCCACGACATCGAGCATCATATTCTTCAACACCCAGACGTCTCTCAGGCCATTGTTACCTATGGTCGTGCAGGCCCGTCAAAATCGCAGCTGGTGGCCTTGCTGGAGCTAAAGGGTAGCCCGATGCGAGAAGCAGAAATTGGGTCAGACGGTATTGATTTCATTCGGTCACAAGCAGCTGATGGCCAAGTACAGTCCGTTTTTGACCATCTGATGACAACCCTACCCGCCTACATGGTTCCGAGTACTTGGGCCGCCCTTGTCAAAATCCCCATGAACACATCGAACAAGCTTGATCGCAAAAGTCAGCCACATGGCTTGAAACAATGGATGAAGCTACGTTCGCCAAGATTAACTGCATCAGAGCCGGCACTGAGCAGCAGCCCGACACCCCGTTGGAAGAGAAGATGCAAGCAGTCATCGCAGATGTCCTGCACATCACCGCATCCAAAGTAGGAATGAACCACTCGTTCCTAAGCATCGGAGGTGATTCAATCACGGCCATGCAAGTTGTGTCAAGGCTGAGGGCCCTTCACGGCCTATCCACCCATGTACGAGAGGTCTTACAAGCGACCTCCCTCGCTCAACTAGCTGGAAAGCTATCAACCGTAAAATCTTCACAGGATATCGAAGAAGAAGAGGATGTAGATGACGGATCCTCGTTCGAGCTGTCTCCAATCCAGCGGTTCCACTTCCAATCATTCGCATCAGCCGGCTTGGACTCCCGGGACGACTTCCGCTTCAACCAGAGTCTTTGTTTATCCGTGCAAGGCCAAGTAAGCCTGGCTACCATTACTAACGCCGTGACGGAACTAGTAACGCGCCATGAAATGCTACGAGCCCGATTCCAAAAGTCACAAGATGGCTACTCGCAGCGTATTGAGACCAATATCGAGGGATCATTCCGCATCTCAGACCATCTTTTCCCCAGCGTGGACTCTGTTCGGGAGGTCATCTATACGGCACAGCGTGAGCTTGACCCGGAACACGGTCCCGTATTTTCCGCCGATTGGATTCATGTCACCTCTGAAAGCAAGACCTTCCTTTTCCTCGCCGCCCACCATCTAGTAATAGACTTGGTCTCCTGGAGAATAATCCTCCAAGAGCTCGAAGACTTGGCCAAGACTCCAGCGGCTAAGCCAAGCACGAAGAGCGTCCCATTCCGAAAGTGGACCCAATTGCAAATGCAACACGCTGCCTCGGTCAAGTCGATATCTGAAGTTTTACCGCAAGATTTCGCGACAACTAGCGATGCGGAGTACTGGGGGATCGAGCGATCCGATAATTTGTACGGTGTTGGCATTACGGAGGAGTTCACCATTTCACGAGAAGTCACGGATATCCTCTTTTCCCGCCATGAGGCGCTCAAAACAGAACCTATCGAAGCTTTGCTGGCCTGTCTCCTTCAGTCCTTCCACTCGGCCTTCCCAGACAAGCCGAGCCCCGTTATATTCAATGAGGGCCATGGCAGGGAGCCGTGGGATGACAAGACGGACCTCTCCGCGACCGTGGGATGGTTTACTGTCATGATGCCAGTTTACGTTCCCGACCACCATCTGGACATTGTAGAAGTGCTCAAGAGGGTGAAAGATGTCCGCCGAATGATTCCGGGGGAGGAGTACCCTACTTCGCGTCTCGATACTTCAGTCCCGATATTGCTCAAACTGCCGAGTCGCATCGCTACCCAGAGATTGTCTTCAATTATTCCGGGCGCTTCCAGCAGCTTGAGCGCTCAGACAACGTATTTCAACTGGACACTTCATTCAACGACCCGGACCTGCTCGGAGTTGGATCCAAAGTCAAAAGACCCGGCATTTTCGATGTGGAAGCTTCTATGAATGCTTCTAGTCTGCAAATCAAGGTCACATTCAACCAGAATATCAAGAAGCGCGCCGAAATTCGGCAATGGGTAGAAGCGTACCGCGACTCGCTCGTCAGCCTAGCAGGTCAACTCCCTCAGCTTCCGCGTGCATTTTCTCGCATCGACTTGCCCGGTCTCAACGCTACGTACGAAGATATTTCCAAGCTAGAAACGGAGACACTCCCGCAGTATGGCATTACGGACCTCGACGTGATTGAGGATATCTGGCCCTGCTCACCCATCCAGCAGGGTATTCTCCTGAGTCAATTGCGCGACCCAGAAAAGTATCACCTCTATCAGATATGCAAAATCCAGACTCGCCATGGTGGTGAAGTAGACCTCGATAAGCTTTCTGGGGCCTGGAACGCTGTTGTTGCGCGACATCCAATCATGCGTGCGCTGTTCGTACAATCGGTCTCGGCGGCAGGTTTATGTTACCAGGTCATCTTGAAGGAGTTCAAGGTTGAACCCCCTCGCCTACAATGCAGGACCGCAGACGAGGTGCAATCTACCTTTGCTCGAGACGGTCGGCCACAGTATAGCAAGACGACATGTCTCCACGAACTCGCAATCTGCACGACGGAATCCAAAGAAATATACCTTCGATTTTCCTTTAGCCACGCCATTTCAGATGCTTCGTCAACAGGAATCCTTGTGCGCGATCTCCTACAGGCCTATGACGATATTCTCCCGCATGAACCCGCGCCATCTTATGGATTGCACGTATCTTACCTACAAAAGACACCAGGAGCTGAATCACTCAATTACTGGATCACGCGCCTCTTGAACGCGGAATCGTGCTTCTTCCCGGCGGCACTATCAGCCACAGCAGCCGCTATCGGAAACAGGGTGGTCAAGTCCGAGCTCGTCAATATTGGCCCAATCCACAGGTTCCGAGACTCGCATGGTATCACCATTGCCAACATTCTTCAGCTTTCGTGGGCCTACACCCTATCTCGGTACACGGGCTCGCGCGACGTCATGTTTGGCTACCTGTCCAACGGAAGGGACACCGGAATTGAAGGTGTCACCGACATTGTCGGACCGATGATCAACTTGACCCTCCCGCATCCAGTTCCCTTGGGATAGTAACGCGTTGATCGTCGATGTGGCGCAAAAGGTCCAAGATGAATTCTTCAAATCGCTCCAACACCAAAAATGCCCCTTGGGTGACATCCTTCACGCCGTATCTACCTCCGGCAGGGGCTTGTTCAATACCGTCGTCTCCTATACTCGTGAGGCCTCGGAGACGTTCCATCCCAACGCTAGCCTTCGCGTCTTTGCTATGGACGGGGATGATCCGACAGAGTACGACATTAGCCTTAGCCTCATGTCGAGCGACAACAAGGTCCACGTCGCAATGCGGTATTCGCCGTCATTCCTTGATGACGTGGCTGCCAGAGCTGTTTTGGATACATTTGAACACATCCTCTACTCCCTCTGCAATGAGGAAAACACCACCCTGGCAAGCTTGCAGACGATCTCCAGCTCAGATGCCGCAAGACTTCGCGAGTGGTATAACTCCCGCCATAGCTCGTATGAAGGCACCGTTCAAGACGGCATCTACCAAAATTGTCTCAAGACACCGAACGCGCAAGCCATCCGCGGTTACGATGGGGGCTCACGTACGGCGAACTTAACGTTCGAGTCGAACAGCTCGCAGGCTATCTTGAGGAGCTTGGGGTCAAGGAAGAAAGCCCGGTTGCGTTCTACATGGAAAAGTCCCTCTGGGCTATTGTTGCCATTCTCGCAATCCAAAAGCTTGGAGCCTTGGTTGTGCCCCTGGGCATTTCACTTCCTACTCAGCGTCTACGTGTAATGGTTGGCCAGGTGCAGCCTATCGCCGTCCTGACGACAGAAAAGATGTTCGTCAAAGCTGAGGAGTTGGCTGCCACACGACTGTTGATAGTTCAGGCTTCATCGGATTTCTTCCACCATGCTCTCGACACATCTCATTCGATCCCTCCACGACCAGTTAAGCAAAGATCGTCAACCGTCGTCGTATATACATCCGGCTCCACCGGCCAACCCAAGGGTGCCCTCCTTACGCAGCACGGCTTGTACACGATTATGCGCCGATACGGTGAAATCACCGGGATCAATGCGGAGACTCGGGCCCTTCAGTTCAGCTCCTTCGTTTTCGACATCTTCACACTCGACGTCTTTGCTATCCTACTCCATGGGGTGCATATGCATTATCACAGAGGAAGAACGCCTCGACATTGCTGGTTTAATCAAATCGATGGAGGCGATGAAGGTCAACCACGCCATCTTCACCCCTACCATGGCCAACCTCTTCGGTCCACAAGACGTGCCGAGCTTGAAAATCCTAGGGTTAGCAGGTGAAGGAGTCCTTCCGATCAATGTTGAGACCTGGAGCCCATACGCCAGGATATTCAATGTTTACGGGCCTTGCGAATGCACCGTCTTCACAAATCTAGGAGGACCGTTGACCATGGAGCAGCCCACAACCGTCGGCCCCGCGGCCGTAGGCTGCGTGTGGGTCGTCGACCCGGATGATCACCACACACTCGTGCCGATAGGAGCCGTGGGCGAAGCCATTGCTGATAGCCCGGCCATAGGAGCGGGTTACCTCAACAACCCGGAGCTGACCAAATTGGCTTTCATCCCGCCCCCAGACTTTGTGTCGTCGTACTGCTTCGGCCCCCATCAGGTCGCATACTCTACCGGTCCGGTGACCTGGTCAGGCAAAATATCCAGGATGGCGGGCTCATAGTCATGGGGCGTAGGGATGGCCAAGTCAAAGTCAGGGGCCAGAGAGTGGAAGTCGAGGAGATTGAGCATAACGCGCTCACTGCTTTTACAGCCGCCAAGAGGGCCGCCGCGGTGCACATCACGCCGCACACTAGAAACTCGACAGACAAGATGCTGGCTCTCGTCCTCGAAATACCTGCGCCATCCGGTGGTGATTATGACAAAGAACAGATTAACACATCTCTGTCGTTCCTCCCGGTCGACGACGCCATGGTATCTTCATTACTCGCCCTTCAGCAAGCGCTGGAGGATGCGCTGCCCTCTTACATGATACCGGCAATCTATGTTCCAATCAGCGCGATGCCCATGACAACGTCCAATAAAGTCGACCGGCTGAACATACGAAAAATGCTCGAGCGATTAGACGAGGAGAGGATATCCGAATTCGGGTTTACCAAATCCGATTCTGATGAGCCGTTAACAGAGGCCGAGGCGCAGCTCCAGGGCCTATGGTCCAACGTACTTGCTTCGAGCAAAAGCTTCGATCCCAACTCCCACTTCTTCCGATCCGGCGGTGACTCCGTCGTTGCAATGCGGCTGGTTGCCCTCGCCCGGGAAGCGATCCCACCGCTGGCCCTAACCGTGGGCGACGTCTTCTCCAACCCCGTGCTTCGAGACATGGCTCGCGTAATGAAGAAGGGAGAAGCAGCATCAACCAAGTTGGATCTGGAGCCGTTTTCTCTCTGCAATGCTGGGGGCTCTAGGTTAGAGGCGAGTGATATCACTCGCATTTCTTCTCTATGCAATCTAGACCCAGAAGACGTGGATGACATCTACCCTTGCACGCCACTCCAGGAAGGTATGATGACCATCACATCCAGCCAGCAATCGGCCTACGTCAGCCGGTGGGCCTTCAGTCTCGACGACAGCATAGATCTCGCCAAGTTCAAAAATGCTTGGAAAGTAGTCGTCCAAGAAGCCCCCGCCCTGCGAACCAGGATTGTCCAGGACGATACATTCGGGGCCGTCAGCGTAGTTTCAAGGCGAGAGGCGAACTGGTTGTCCATCTCTTGCGACCTGGAGTCCTATCTTAAAGCGGATTCTGAAGACGCCATCACCTTTGGTACCCTCTCGTACGGTTTGCCGTGCTCGATGCGCCCACGACACGCTTATTTGTTTGGACCGCTCACCACGCTACATACGATGGCTGGTCCGTCACAAAGATCATGGACTCCGTATTCGAAAACTATACAAACGGGACACCACCAACGTTCGCTCCCTTAAGCCACATCATCCAACATCTCCAAAACTCTACGTCTACTAGCGAGGCAGAGAAGTACTGGAAAGCGCAGTTCGACGGCCACCTCGCGATCCCATTCCCCAAGACTCCGAAACAGCACACGCCTGGCCCCTACCAAAAACTATCGCGAAGAATCACCAACCCTAGCACACCTAAAACCGTGACAGTAGCTACCCTTCTCCGCGCCACCTGGGCGCTGATCCTATCCAACGAGATTGGGCACCCCGATATCTCATTCGCCATGCCCCTCTCCGGCCGCACCTCCAGCCTATCCTCAATCCTGGACATCATTGGCCCGACGCTCACTACCGTGCCGGTGCGCGTACAAGTAAACCAGGGGTCTAGCATCTCAGAATATCTAGACCTAGTACAGAAGCAAACGGTAGACATGATGCCCTACGAACATACGGGACTTCAAAACATTCGGCGACTAGCACCCGACTCTTCCCTCAACTTCAATCACCTCTTCGTCGTCCAGCCAGCCACGGAACGCATTGGACAAGGTGCCGCCTCAAGCTTCCCGGGCCTAACCCTGCTTCCCCAGGAGACTTCCAACTTTTTCGAATACCCGCTCATCGTCGAATGCAACCTATTCGAGGGGTCCACCGAAGATCATGAGTGTGACATCGGCTTCTACTTTGACCAGGAAGCTCTTGACGCGTCCCAGGTTGATACGCTTCTCGAAACCTTTGACTTGATCCTCGCACAGCTGTGGAATGCGGCAGCTAGCGACAGCACAGACTCCGAAAGCCCGACCCTGGACTCGATCGATTTCATGCCGCCGTCACAAATCCAGCAACTCCTTAAATACGACCGCGAAACAGTGGATACACCAGTCACATCCTGCATCCACGACTTCGTCTACGAGCAGGCCCTGTTCCGACCGTCCGCCCCAGCAGTTTCCTCATGGGACGGTGACTTCACCTTTGCGCAGCTCGATGCCATGGCGTCCACGCTCGCCCATCACCTCGTCTCCATGGGTGTTCGCCCGTCTGTTTGCGTCGTGCTCGCCTTTGAAAAATGCAAGTGGGCCGTTGTGTCTATGCTGGCGGTTTTCAAGGCCGGAGGAGTGGTGGTGCCTATTCACTTCAAACACCCCTTGAATAGAATTCGTTCGATTGTGGACGATACCGAGGCCAGGATCGTTCTCACATCCAGGCCTGTCGACGAGTACACGCCAATCGCACCGCACGTCCTAGGGGTCAATGACGAGCTGATGGCGACGCTACCCCAGAATACGTCTTCCGCTTGCCCGACTGTCCAGACAACGGATACTGCATGCATTTACTTCACATCGGGTAGCACAGGCAAACCCAAGGGGGTCATCCTAGCCCATGAAGGTCTCGTACACTCGTTGAAAGCAATTGCAGCGGGTGCTCAGCTCAACTCCAAAACGCGGTCTCTGCACTTCTCGACCTACACGTTCGATATGAGCCTCATCGAGATCTTCCCCACACTCTTCATGGGCGGCTGTATCTGCATCATCTCCGAAGAAGACCGAATGAGCAATTTGACCAAGTCTATAGTGGAGGCCAACGTCAACGCGCTCTGGCTCACGCCGCTCGTGGCTGGCCTGCTCCGCCCCGATGAAATGCCACAAGTCAAATCCCTGGGACTTGGTGGAGAGCTTGTGAGACGCGACGTCATTGAACTTTGGGCCTCCCGAGACGATGTCATGGTCACCATCATGTACGGGCCGGCGGAAGCATCCATATTGTGCAACATGACACCGCGGCTGAACGCCACGAGTGACCCTGCCAACGTTGGCCCGCAGACCAACGTCGGAAAGCAGTGGGTCGTGGATCCCTCCAACCACCATCGACTCATGCCCACTGGCAGCATCGGAGAGCTTTTGCTCGAGGGTGTCACCCTAGCCAAGGGATACCTCGGAGATCCACAGAGAACCGCCCAGTCGTTTATTAGCGATCCTGAATGGCTCAAGCGCTACAATTTTGTTCCCGATTCCGGTCGGCGGTTCTATTGCACAGGAGATCTGGTTCGACAGAATAGGGATGGCACACTTACCTATATCACCCGCGCCGATGGGGAGATCAAAATCAACGGGCAGAGAACCAATATTGCCGAAATCGAGTGCGCTATTCAAGCCAAGCTGCCACACATCCATAACCTCGCGGTCGGAAGGCTTCCCGTTGAGGCTTTGCGCAATGGTAGAACAGGCAACGCACAGCTCCTTGTTGCGTCGCTCGAGCTTGGCCCATCAACACCGTTTTCCGACTCCACCGATGTAGAGGGGCTATTGCTTCCACTGTCTGACGATATGTCTAGCACATTCGAGAAACTAAGGGAGGACCTCGCCGACATACTTCCCACATACATGGTTCCGACTCTCTATCTCCCGATCCGCAAGATGCCCATGACAACCGCCGGCAAGTCGGATCGCCGTACTCTCTGGAACGCGCTGAAAGAGCTAGATAACCTTGCCGATTACCTTGGGGATAACAAGGCCAAGGTCCCTCCGTCTACCCCACGGAGTGTCAACTCCAAGAGCTATGGGCCAAGGGCTTGCAGATGCCCGTTGATTCAATCGGAGCGAATCACGACTTCTTCAAGATTGGAGGAGACTCCATTTCCGCCATGCGCATCGTATCAATGGCTAGGCGGAGTGGAACCCTTTCAATTTCTGTCGCTGATATGATACGCCATCCGGTCTTATCGAAACTGGCATTGGTTGTCGATCAGCGAGGCAACGACCAAGTTCATTCGATTGAGGAAAAGTATGAACCCTTCTCAGCATTTGAAAGCACCAAGACCACCATTGTCCACTCTCTGGAACCTCTTTTGGACACGTCCGGGACAATTATCGATGCAGCCCCGACAACTGATTTCCAAGCATTCTGTGTCAGGGCCACCCTGAGCAAGACGCGTGATCTCCTCGCATACGTCAGTCTAGATGGTAGCGGCGCATGCGATATCTCGCGGTGGATCCAAGCCTGCCACAGGCTCATCGATAGCCACGAGATCCTACGTACTGCCTATGTTTCCATGACAGGACGACTATTCCAAGTGGTACTCGACGAGTACCGGCCCAAGATTGAGCATTATGAGACCGCTGAGCCGGTTGACCAGTTTTCCGACGATTTGATCCGGCGGGATATGGACCGAGTTCCGACCCTTGGCCGTCCGTTTACGGAGTTTGCCATCATCACATCGACCACGAGTACGAAGCACCGAGTTCTGTTTCGCGTCAGCCACGGCGAATATGACGGCATTGCACTCTCGTACATGATGTCCTCTTTGCAACAGATCTTCTCCCAGCCAAATAACCTCGAGCGTACCGCCTTCATCCCATACGTAGCCAGTCTTCTCAAGCAGCCCAGAGAACCTAGTCTGGGCTTTTGGCGCGATATCCTACAAGACTGCTCGATGCCCAAACTTGGCGGTAATCCTTCAGGGTGTCCGCCGGCCACCGCATCTTTAGTCGCACATTACATTCGCGACATCGAGATCCAAAACCCTTCCCAGCGGCATCACGCTTTCCAACGTGATTCGAGTCGCATGGTCTCTTGCCGTAGCCAAGTCTACTAACAGCTGCGATATCCTCTTTGGGGAGGTAGTCTCCGGCCGCACTGCAGACACACCTTTTCCGAGAAGGCGGTCGGATGCTGCGCCAACATCGTACCTGTCCGTGTTCGATGGGATGACTCCTGGACAGTCCGAAACCTCCTCCACCACCTCCAAGAGCAACAGCTGAGTCGTATACCGCATGAGCACGTTGGCTTCCGGGAAATTTTGCGCGACTGTTCTGGTCTTCCCATGCCACCCTATTACACCTCACGCATCAACCATGTCGACGCCCGGCCGCCACAGTCGCTCCGCCTCGGAGACGGCGAATATGACTTCTCCATCAGGTTTCCGGATGTGGCGGGGGATTCGAGCGATGTTTCCATCACGTCTTCGTCTGGACCCAGCCATGTTAAAATCGTCTTCTCATGTCTCCAATCAGTTGTCACCCCCATTGAGGCAACCGCATTGTTCACCCACACTGTTAATGCCGTTGAGAAAATCCTGGTCGGAAATCTCGATGGCTACATTGGATCTCTTCTTTCGTCTTTGGAATAAGGTAGCCCCCTTGATGTAGGTTTTTTTTCGCCTTTTCTTTTCCGGAAATATGACAGGGCTTTAAGGTTACGAGGTTAAATGATTCAATCCAAAATGTCATCATTAACGCCAGTACATGGCTGTCGTTTTATTCAATTGTTTTTTTTCCTGCTTGATACGGTACATGTATAGTTATTTTAAACCCATATCTGCATCATAATATTATGCTTATCCGTGTCCTGTTTATTGTAAGGATATGTTAGTTTACGTTCCTCCATCGTAACAGTCAATCAATTTTTTCCCCGTTCAAATAAAAAGTTCCAGGCACCTAGTTGCATCACCTTGCGTTGGTTGATGGAGGCAAATGGGTGGTCAAGAGACGCGTCACTCGGTACGCAATGCGAAATCCTGGCGGCTCGGGCTCAGCGAACCGATCTACCGTGGGGACCTACACGACGAATGCTGGTACTCCCTGCGCGTTCTCACCGTGCTGGTGCTGCGCTTACTGCAAGGGGTACATGCGGCCAGGTTTCGTATGCAATGCGAATAAGCAGATACGAATATTCACAAATACGGCAATGAACGGGCTCCCTCGCTCTGCTCGAGTGTCATGCTGTTCCACTGTTCCATTGGAATAAATGAGTGGCTGTGATGCGTAAGCACAGTTCGACCGAACAAACTTGGCATCGTTTGCGCATGCTTCTACAGAGGTCAGTCACGCACGGTTATAATCATACATCTCACTTTGCTTCTGCCTCTGCCTCTGCCTGTTGGTCCCGCACTTCGAACATAAGATCTTGTTGATGTCTTCGATTGTCCCCGCCCCCACACGATAAGCTTAAGCGCAAGTCGAACAAAACCGCTAAACTTTCTTTGACGCCCGGCCTGGACAAGGTAATTCGTCTTTGCATTTCCGCCCGGGCTATTTTCAACCACTTTAATAACCTGGGCAGCCGTTTCAATCATGGCTCTCTCCTCAGCTACCGAGCTCTTGCCGGTGTGCTCCAGCCTCGCAGCCCGCGCGACGTCGGGTGCGAGAGAGATCAATGGGGTATTAACCGATCACAGCGACCAAAGCGAAGCCGTCGAGTTTCAGAAATTGCAAGTGTTGTCGACAAAATTACAGAAACTAGCCGTGGACGCTCACGCTTTTGGGGGCAAGGTGCGGTCCGCTCAAGTGGTCTCTCTGGATCTCCAGACAGCATTGTCGGCGCATCTACCTGAGATTGATGCTTCCTCTGCTATCCTAGCAAAGCAGGTAATGAGAGTGGGGAGATATACCCCGCGAGAGGCCATCAATCTCGCTACTCTTCTTCAATACGAGGTCTTCTTGGACGTCAGCACGAGCTTCCTTACACTTATGATTCACTTACTTTCAAGGTATGACGATAGAATAGCAGGGCACGTTCAAATTTCACTATGTTGAGTCCTAATCCCCTCATTCCTTGTAGAAGCTCCAAGGCAGATCAGGACCGAAGCCTAAGCCACGAAGATACCAAGCTGCTTCTCATAAGAACCGCCACGGCATGCCATGATATCGCACGATCAAACGGCATACTGCGGGTAGATCAGCCAGTCCATACCTTGCAAGACGCATCGGGTTCTATGCCTCCTGCCTACGAGGAGCTACCTCCTCCATTCGAAAACTCGCCTACCTATGTGGAGAGCTCCCCTAGCGAAGCGCCACCAGAGGCTGCACCTGGATTTCGCGACAGCGATAGCCACACGCCCTACACCGGCAAGGGGAAAGCCAAGGAATCGAGCTCGGGAGGGTTTCTAAGCGCTTTCAAGGCCGTCACAGCAGCGTTGCGGACGAAACCAGAACTGTTGGTCGTACCGCTCTGCCAAGCCTCTGCGAACGGCAACGTGCCCCAGGTGAAGGCGCTACTCAACCAAGGAGCGAATATCAACGGCCGCAACGAGGAAGGCCAAACACCCTTGATCTGTACCATTCTCTCAGGCCAGCTCGACGTCTTGAGGTTCCTTTTGAGCGCTGGCGCTGATCACGGCATCTGCGATTCGGGACGCAAGGGTAAGACGCCACTACTACATGCTATCGAGGCTCAGAACCGAGACGCAGCGGAGCTTCTCCTCACACACGGCGTCGACCCCAACCAGGCCGACGATTGGGGACAGCTGTACTTTGCCTCCTTGGTCCGGGGCGACACGGCGCCGTCGTGGATCGAGCTGCTTCTTTCGTTTGGAGCTGATCCGAATGGCAAGGATATGCACGGACGACCTCTCGTGATCCTCGCATTGCAAAAACGCGCGAAACAGCCCGACTGCGAGGAAGTCGTCAAATTACTACTACGCCATGGCGCGAAGCCCGGCTCAAAAGGCCCTGACGGCACGCCTCTCATCCACATTGCCCTGCAGCAGAAGCGCGAGCGACTCGTGTACCGACTCTTAGAGATAGGTGCCAATCCCAACGCCAAGGACGTCTCCGGAATCTCGCTCCTGGCCGTCGCACTCAAGAAAAACGACCGCGCCCTCGCCAAGGCTCTTCTCGAGCGCGGGGCCGATCCCAACGCTGCCGACATTTACGGGTCGTACCCAATCATCAACGTTTTGTGCGAGAAGCGCCTCGCGCCAGCGGACCGCGATGCGCTCGCCAGAATCCTACTCGAGCACGGCGCGCGTGCCGACAGGAAAGACCACTGGGGCGTGACGGCCGTAGAGCATACCGTAGTTCCTATTCTAGAAGGCATAGCACTGCCTCCCTCCAACAGCGAAAATATCAGCATCGTGGAGCTGATATTAAGGAATGGTGGTGACGCAAACCAGTCCTTGTCCAAGGTGGCGGGCGAGCCCACTCTGCTCACCCATGCTCTCGACCGATCCGGTTGGGCTATCGCCGCTGCGGCGCTCCGGTATGGCGCAAACCCAAATCTGATGGATAAGGAGGGCCGAACGCCATTGCTCCTGTCTGTGAGAAAGGGCTCCGTGGAGGCGGTGGGGCTATTGATCCAGCACGGGGCAATGGTGAACTACCCTAGGCAGTCGTTGCCTCTTGATGTGGCCTTGTCGCAAGGGGATACGGAGATTGTCAGCTTGCTCAGGTCACAGGGAGCGGTTTCGGCCGCCAAACTACCAGACTCTACGGTGCACTAAACTAAATGACCGGTGGCCAGCGGGATATCTAGTATAGCCTTTTAACGATACCCTATTTTTTTTTCAGTTGCGTATTGACTCTACCCGGTCTGTGATGTCAATAGTTCATCAAGTCTTTTTCGTCTCTGGCAGGCGTTGCTGATTTGATCCCCGATTGTCAATGCCATGCCAGAATGGTCGATGGAGATCTTGGGATGGGCATAAGCAAAAAGTCGCACGAATATAAAAATAGGCCCCGCGGAATAATAGAACTAAATCGAGAGGCAGGTCAAGCGTCATCTACTTGAACGCTAGGACAATTGACCCTCTAGCTCTAAATTACTCCCTTCCGCTTGGTATGGTACTCGCTACACCGCGTCTGCATCCACAAGCGATAAACGAGAGGGAATTTCCTTGAACAAGAGGGAAACTTGAGTTGCGGATCACAGTGCGAGCTGCGTCATGTCGCCAGGCCAGCGCATCACTCCTCTCCACCTTTGGAATAAATGCTGCCGTGCGCTGAGAATAGAATCGGAGGAAATTGGGCCGCGCCTGACATGACAAGCGTCTTCCGCGCCTATTCCGATCTTTTCTTTTTGCTTTCGCCCCACCATTCGACTGTGTTTCTATATCCATTGTAGCTTTGAAAGGGTTACTTATGTACAGTAGCCCCACATACAGCCACACAAATGGCGGCGACTGTCTCGCCTATCATACCAGCGAAAGACGTCTCTGTCGCATCTCGGGTGCCCCATTATGACCCTGTGCGAGGTGATGCGGGAGCTGTCGTTTTGCGACGCTACCAGTGTTGTTCCGCCTCCTCTTCTGCTGCCTTTCTTTATTTTAAGCTTTAGTCCGCTTTTCTTTCGTCTCCCAATTTTGGCAACGAGCCCGGGCGGAGAGCGCGTCAGCAATATGTGCGCGGAACAACCTCACATTGACCGTTTAAAGGGAGCTGGACCGCCCTTGGGTGATTGGAGCGCGGTAAGATGGAGCAATGCGAAGAAATCGAATGCGACTCTGATCCTGCAAGCAATGTCATCGCGTTTGAGCGGTGGCTTTGAGACGATGATTCACACGCGCGCATCGGGGGCATGGTAGATGTCAGCATGCCGACGACTGCGTACATCACAGCTTCAGCTACGAGTTGGAAATGAACCTCTGCGAGGAAACTTTTGGATGCTTATGCTTACAGAATGTCAATTGATCCGAGGATAGCATGACAAAAACCGCGGTGGGACTTAGATATTGAAGTATATAACCATGAGATGAGCGAGCACAACAACTCGATTCTAAATTAACATCCTCATCACCTCTTCCAATTACAACCAACTACTCCATCTATCTGCCCTTCACTACAGCTTCTCTAAACTTCCATCTCTTTCTTTCATCCAACCTTGAAAATGCAGCTCTCTTTCATCTCCGCCACCCTCCTCCTCGCGACCGCGGCCGTCGCCTCCACCAAGAGCCCCCGCGCCGCCGATATCACGGACCTCGACAACCTCGACAACCTCGACATCAGCCCGGAGAACCGTGATTTCCTCGCGGAAGTCGGCGACCTCAGCCCTGAAGATGCCGAGGCCTTCGCCACCGCCCTCCACTTCCTAGCCAGCGACGACGATGACGCCGATGACGAGGCCGCGAGCGGTCCCACTCGCCGCGGTGTGGAGCGCCGTTGGGGCGCCACCTTTAACTTCTTCGTCAGGCTTGGCAAGAAGCTCCAGGGCAAGTCTCGAGCCGTAGACACGCATTAATCCCGCTGCCTTGCTAACTTTTCTTCAGGACACTAAAATCGATGCGTCTGTGAGCACACTTTCTCATTCAGTACAGGACAAGGTTCGGGTTTCGTGACTTGGCACAACTGGTTGGTTTTCCTTTGGTGTCTTGGTTCTTTCCATGGGCGGGTTCACTAGTTTTAAGTTGTTTATCGGGCTCTTGGCGGAGAAAGAGGGTGTTGGGTACAAACGTTTTCCTTTTTTTGCGCACCAAATTTTGAGTACATTCAATCTATCGGCGATTTTCCCCTTGCGTCTTCCGATTCAGCGGCCCCACTCTCGCGCAATTATCCTCGTGGACCTTGTTTGATTGGCTCAACCCGGGCCTCGCATTTCTCGCACCGCTCAATCGGGTCTAGCTGCCCCATAGTCGGCGGGTCGGAGCCGATCGCCGAGAAACCAAGCCCTTCCTGACAAAAGTTATCGCGGCGTATGTATATAAAACCTTTGCGTCGTCCACCGACCGAGAGAGAACGTAAAGGCGCCTATTCTTGTTATCCACGCTGTTGCCTCTTTCTATACCCTGGTACCAGCAATTTCCGACGTTCTCATCCACAACTTTATCCACGGAACTCCGCAGATCAACGTATCGAAAGATATCCCTCCGGCGCAGTTCCGCCCGCTATCAGGCAAGGCACTCATTTGGCCTCATAGAGAAAGTAAGTTGTATACCGCCGCTAGTCTTGTCTTCAGGGGTAGTGACTGGCCCCTATCTTGCATAATCCTGCACGCATATAAAGTGAACGGAGCGCGGCATTTCAACATAGCAACGATATATGTTTTGGCCGGCGTCGTTGTCTCGTGCTAACAAATTCTTAGGTCAGTCCACGACTCCCGCAACGTACCATTCCTCAACCTTCAATACCATCATGTCTGCCGCCGACTTCTTTCGGTTCTTGCATGCCCAGCTCATCGCCAAGATCCCCTCCCCCACCACCTCCTTTGCCGGAAAAACCGTCATCGTAAGCGGCAGCAGTTCCGGCTTAGGCAAGGAAGCCGCTCTCCACTTCGCCCGCCTCGGTGTCTCCACCCTCATCCTCGCCGTGCGCAACCTGCCCAAGGGCGCTGCCGTCAAAGCCGAGATCGAGTCTTCGACCGGCTGCGGGCCAGATGTGGTGCGCGTTTGGGAGCTCGAGATGGAGAGCTACGACAGCGTGAAGAGGTTTGCTCAAAGGTGGATGCCGAGTTGGAGCGCGTTGACGTGGTAGTTGCCAACGCCGGCATCATGTCTCCGCAATATGTCCTCACCGAGGAGGATGACAAGACCATCACCGTCAACGTCGTCTCAACATTCTTACTCCTAGGGCTGCTGTTGCCCACGTTGAAGAGGATGGCGCACGAGCATAGCATTGTACCAACATTTACCATTGTTACCTCGGAAGGCCACCGAACGGTCAAATTTGACATCGCCTCGGCGCCCGAGGGCCAAATATTTTCCAAATTGAACGACAGGGGAAAAGGGGACTGGGATGGCCAGGACCAGTATAGCGCCTCCAAACTTATCCAAATCATGAGCGTCCGTGAGCTGACCCAGAGCCACTCGGATTCCACATTCCCGGTAACCATCAACACTGTAAACCCAGGACTCTGCCACTCGTGCGTATATCACCTACCTTTACCTCAATCGCGTGGCGCTAAACTAATGACCAATCTCAGAGATCTTACTGGAAGCGTGGATGCGTTGGCCCTGAGGGCAATGTTGGCCGTGCTCGCCAGGAGCGCGGAAGAAGGAAGTCGCACTCTGGTTCACGCTGGCGCACAGGGACAAGAAACCCACGGAAAGTACCTGAGCGAGTGTGTGGTTACCAAGCCATCCTCATTCCTTGACACTGAGCGGGGAGTGGAGACACAGAAGCGTGTATGGGTAGAACTACAACAAAAACTTGAGGCGATTCAGCGAGGTATCACGAGTAACTTTCAGCCATAATTTCGTGGGCCCTGGAGACTAGAAGACAAAGCTATGCAAATAGGAAAATTCAACTTGCGGAATAGACGCAGTATTTGACGTGAATGACGTGCAATACAGCGTAGAATTGCTTATTGGTGCCAACCCTTGAATTCGCATATCCAACTCTAAAGCAACTTATTACTGTGGCATGTCGTCCCAGCACGCATGCGCGATGCATCTTTATCTAAATCCATTTGATATTTCTTCGCGTATTATTGCCTCGAACCAAAGCCGGGACGTTACACTAAACCTAGGAGCTCGGCAAACGGATCATCATCCTGCTCCAGCTTGTTCCACTCGAGGTAAATCCGGACACGCTCGCTTTCATTCTTCCCAAACAAGTGCTCAAGCCAACCCAGCGTCATATCAGTCCCCGCGCTGACACCGGAGCTAGTCCAAAGGTTCCCATCCACGACCCATCGCGCCTTGGCGATCCAGTTGATATCTGTGGCGTTCTCCACCGACTGAACCCATTCGAACGCGGCCTTATTCGTGGTGGCGTTGCGGCCCGCCATAGCGCCGGTGCGCGCCAGGAGAGAGGCCCCCGTGCACACCGTCATGATGTAGGAGAGGTCCGGATTCTCCATTTGGGCGTGGAGGTAGTCGACGTGGGGCTGGGTGAGCTCCATGTCAAAGGTGCCGTGGCCGCCGGGGACGATAATGACGTCGACTTCGGGAGGGTCGTCGAAAGTGTGTGTGGGAATAACATACTGCGTGAAGTAGGGGATTCAAGATCCGGTTCACCCCGGTAGAAGCCGTCGATAATTTTGCGGTCGATGCTGATGGGCTCGAGGTCGGTGGAGATAAGGGCGAGCGTCATGGGGTGCTCGAACGAGGCCATGTTAAGGGCACCGAGGGGTCCGAAGACGTCCAGGGCCGCAAAGGCCGGGAAAAGCACAAAGGCGATTCGGAGCGGGGCTGCGGGGTGGGGCTCGTTAGTCCGGCATGAGGACCCCGGATATCGGATGTGGTGTGGGCCTACCTGTACCGTTGGTCATGCTGCGCGGTATCACACAAGCAAATCTGCCTTTCGTCGAGGAGGTGGGAAATTACTACAGCTGTGCTCCACAGAAACGCGGTGATGGAGAAAATGGAGAATGTAAGGCGATGAATCTGGTACTTGGAACCGCGATTCTTCATCCGTCTGCTTTTATACTCGCCATTTTTCGTCTGCTGATAGACTGTCGGTCTATTTGTCTCCATTATTATCCTTGTTGCGTTTCGAGGGCTGCAGAGTAAGCTTGTCACCCTTTCTTGGAGATCGAGCAAATATTTCGCGGAAGCCATGTGCACGCGGCACCGAGAGCACTTTTGAGAACATTTTCTCTCGGCCGGAGGAGACGATAGGTTGGATGCGTGAGCAAGTTCCGCCTCCGCTGTGGTGGGTGTGCGAAGGAATGCGCGGGAGGCACCCGGGAACCCTGAACCGTGTACGGCGGCCGCCCCGGCGGCCTGGGAGGGCGGTGATGGGGGAGGGCTGCTGGAAGGCGACGGTCATACTGCGACCCCGCACTAGCCTCAACGAGCATCCATTGATGTCCTGGAGCCGTTCTGCGATGATGACATGGTCATCAATTGATGGTTGCTCGCTGGATGGCCAGCGTCCGGTTTTCCTTATCCCGACCTCGACGTGCGTCACGCTCAGAACCGCGGTGTATTTCCTCCAAGTCTGGGCAACCGCTCATCATTTTCCCTGCGAATCCTGGCTTGAATTTTCTACACCGGCTTACCAAGTTGTCACGCCGCTCTGATGCGCTCCACCCTCTTCTGCCTCAGTATTGCACCCCGCAGCTCTCACGTCGGCGACGCGACGGCCATTACCATCGTCATCGCCGAGCTTCCTCTCATCTGCTCTTGCCCAGCCGAGGTCAACATCTCAAATACGGGGCATGAGACATCATGCAACCGACTAGCGATGCAGGGCCTCGGTGCGCCAGGTTGTTGAGGAGGAGGCCCTATTCACACATTAAGCTCGAGTTGCGGCCCGAGGGTTAAAGAAGTCTAGGTGATGAGACCTTCAAGGAGCTTGGGAGAATTTAGTCGTTTCACGCATCTCGAAATAACCAATTGATGGACACCATCTAAACAAAGAAATGATATCCATCACCCTTAGAAGCTCCCAATGAGGTTGCATCGTTGTATATCCCTAAATGCATGCCGAGGCATCCCCCGCACGCTTCAAAACTGCCTCACGAGGTGGCTTATACGTGGCACTCACAATGAAGCAGCCCCGCACCGCCCACCCCGCACTGAGAAATGCAAGAGAGGATTCTCGGTGGCTTCATTCTTGCTCGAGGGGGGACGGCCCGGCGGTGGCCAAGGATGACTCGACGGGAAGTGAGATGACAAGCAATGCAAATGTGAAAAGACCGGGCGACTAAAACGAGTGGCTGGGGCACGAGAATGTGTTGTGCGGGACCTTGAGACCAAGGTTTAGTTTGTTCTTAGCATCGATTGAATCGGTGGATACGTTTCAAAATCGTCCCGTCCGTTGGGGGAATCTTTTTCCCGGTCTGCCAAGGGCAATAGGGCAACAGCTGGCTCGAGTCCCCAACATCCCCAAGATGATTACCCCACCAAGCTCAAGAATGCAACGCGATTCTCGCCGCATTTCTCATAAGCCTATCATCGAAATAGAATAATGCTCCACGTCTCGTCTCAGGAAAATGTAAAAGGAGGAGAAAGGCATAAAAACTGAATAAAAAAGGTCCTGGCATCACACCTTCTGACCTCCTTATGCAGTGTAGCTGCAGCGTCGAAACCTGCTTATTTGGGCAGGACCCAGGAGTTGCCGAGGCAAATCGCCGCACCCATGAACAGGGGCTTGGATCTGATTGTTGGAGAATCTGTAGCTGGAGGAGGGCGTGACTGGCCAATGCAACGCTCCACAGCCGCATGCATACTTGATGATTATCAGGCACCCTTTGATTCTTTTTTCTCCGACATCGTGAAAGCCTGAATGCAGCAAGGCGCCTGCCAAGTCGGAGGCTTGGGGGACGGAGATTTTGACCAAAGACTGCCGCCAACTGGTTCCCCATGGGGTTTCCTTGGTGTCCTTGGCTGGCGTCTCAGCCAAGACAAATGAGCACTTTCCATCATGGCCAAGCTTGATTTACCTGCGAAGTGAGGGAGGTGTCGATTCTAGGAGTTGCAGAGTTCGATGTTGGGTGAAGCTCGAGATAGAAGATGCTGATTGCAATTTTGAAATTGCCTTAAGCTGCGATCGGCTAGGGTTCAAACTTGCCTGTAGTAGTCTGTTCCCCGACACGTCAATCCTAATCTCGAGAAGAGCTAGAAGGTCAAGAGGCCAGCAGAAGAGCGATGCCAAGAGAAAATGGGCGCGTACCGAGGCAGCGGCGGTTGCGTCTGTGGGGCCCCCGCGATCGAACAATCATCTGCCAGGGTCTAAGCTTTTCCGGGTTAGAGTCGCGAAAAGCGCGCCTGGCAAAGGGGCCCGACAAATAAGGCTTAGATTGAAGAACTGTGGGGAAGGTCCCGGTCCCTTTGAAAATCATCTTTCGATGGAAAGAAACCCTGCAAAGCGTGCAGAGTCTAATAGACCTGTAATGAGAAAGGAGGGCAAATCTCTATTAGCTTCCATGCTCGTTGCTCTTCCATGTTGTCTATCCTGGTCGGTCATGTGTGGCTTTGCTGTCCCTGAGCCTCCCACACCAAATCTTCGATGCCAAGACACATCCTCGGCATCTTTTCTTTAATTCGAGTGCGCACCATCGCCTGCAGCAGAGACAGACCCCACAGCTTGGGCGGTGCCTGCATCCATCTCACGCACTTGCAGCATTGATGCCAACTTGGGTTCAACCCCGCAAATGGGGGCCATTTTCTCGCAAGCTATTCTCGTTCGCGGGTGGCGAACTCGACTTTGTGGGGAAACATGATATTCCATCCTTTCTTCCCAGTCGTGGAGGCTGGAAAAGATGGGGAGCTGCAGGGAGACCTGCGAGGCGTTTCTTAGAGTCGCAGATATATCTCCTGCTCGCGTGCCAAGACCGTTTTGGAAACCCTCGCGAACGATCTCCACGATCGACGACTGGTTGTAGGGAAATAGATCGTGGGGTATGGGGTAACCGCCCCATCGGCCTTACTCCAAGACCCTCTTCACGATGTTTCAACGGGTCGCGTGCGGCGCTGGCGATCGTCTCGTCTTATAGCAAAACAAAGCTATAGCGAAGGAGGGGCGGGTTATCCGAAGCAATTGAACAAGGCATATCGTGAGAAGATGAGAAATATAAATAGTCGTCGAGATATCCTCTTTAGATCTCTTAAATTCTTCATCTCTCACGACAACCTCATCCTCAAGCCTCCTGCCAGCCTTTCCTTCCTGCCAAGCCTTCCCTGCAGCCTACTCTCCTTCTCGCCACCAAGCACCTTCACTTCGCACCCCTTTAACCAAAATCTCCGGTCAACATGAAGTTCTTCTCTCCCATCCTTCTCGCTTCCCTCGCCTTGGCGACTCCCTTGGTCTGCAGGCAGACAAGCGCCAAACCGTTAGCTCCACCGCCAACGAGTTCAAGCGCTCGGGTTGCAACGACATCATCTTTGTCTGGGCCCGTGGCTCTACTGAGATTGGCAACATGGTAAGTGCCCTAAATCCTTCTCAATCCTCTCGTTTTTGCATCCTCTTACCGATGCCGAGTCCCGGCACCCGGCACTGCGTTGAATATTCTCCGGCCCAGGAGACCATCGCGGCTTGAAAACGCCTTCTTGGCAAATGGAACCGCAGACATGGCTAATACATATTTCACTCTGTTAGGGTACCGTGGTCGGCCCCCGTCGCCAACAACCTCAAGTCCCAGTTCCCCGGCAAGGTCCATGTCCAGGGTGTCGATTACGCCGCGCTTCTCTCCACCAACTTCCTTCCCGGTGGTGCTGACCTTGATGGCATCCGCGAGATGAAGAGCATCATTGGCGACATCACTAGCAAGTGCCCCAACGCTATCATCGTCACCGGTGGCTACTCGTGAGTAATTTCCTGACCACGCCATACTACTCCCCTACTCCCCTATTTTCTTTCACCCATACCACATGACCATCAGCTAACCTGCAATCGCGCGCAAACAGCCAAGGTGCCGCCCTCAACCACCGTGCCATTGAGGCTCTCCCCGCCGCTCAGCAGGCCAAGATCGTCGGTGTCGTCACCTTTGGCGACACCCAGTTCCGCGCCGACGGCGGCAAGATCCCCAACTTCCCCGCCGACAAGGTCAAGATCATCTGCGCCGCGAACCCCGCGACACCGTCTGCGACGGCAACCTCTCGGCTGCCGTTCTCGCTCCCCATCTCTCCTACGGCGCCAACGCCAACGAGGGTGCCGCTTTCCTCGCTGGAAAGATCCGCGCTGCCCAGGCTTAAACGGATCAGGATGTTCACGTGCAGTTCGGGGCGTAGGGCAGGGCAAGCTACTACGGTGTGGGTGGTCGCTATTTCTCGGATCGACCCCCGCCGTCGGTTGACATAAGTGTTACAGATGCCCCATGCACTGGAGCATGTTTACAGGCAAGGGTATGGACAGGAATGGCTAGATGGATAGGTCATTATTCGTGTGTGCTTGTGCAGAGATGCTTGGTCGGTGGTTGCCGGCCAAAGAGGGATAGGCGTGCACGTCTGGGTCAGCTGCAGGTTTCTTCAACCGAGGTGGGCTAAGCAGCGCTTGGCTCTCTCGGAGCTTGGCCTCGAAGGTCCCAAAATTTCTTCTCTTCTTCTATAACAAAATTTATACATCATTATCAGCCCCCACCACTGTTTCATATGCTTTCGGCCGTGACTTTTCTTAATGCTATCCACTGTAATCTTCTTTGAGGCCCTAGCTGAGAGGTAACCGGTAGAGACCTTTCCGACATATCCAATACTCCACCCACACAACCCATAGGTGTATCGATCTATCTGGGTGTAGGGGATTGTTCACTGGAATCTACAAGTCTGAAGAGGTATGGGACGAGCTCAAGAGGTGAAAGGCTGGCGCACCTGTAAATTTGATGAGCTGGATGGATCTAGTGAGTTATCAATATGAAGGTTAGAAGATGGGAAAGCACATGCACGGGAGGCTGTTAGACGATGATTAAGTACACTCCGTTTCGGAACAAATATGCATGGACTATGTATGAAGCTTTCTATAAATAACAATAAGGCGGACACAGCAAACAACGATGGGACGCTAGCCAAGGAGGGCAACCAAATTGAACGAAATCAAAGCCTTGCCTTTATTGTCTTCTCCACCTCCTTTCCTCGTCCCGCGCCCACTGCTTCACCAGCTTCCGCACAATCTTGCCGCTCGCCAGCTTGGGCACCTCATCAATAAACTTGATTCCGCCAGCCAGCCTCTTGTGCTTGGCCACCCTGGCTGCGATCCGATCCTGGATGCTCTTCTCCGTGGTCTTCCCCTCGCGGACGGTTGCAGCACGACGTACGCGCGGGGCATCTCGTCCCCGTGGAGCACGATGCCGACGACGGCAGCGTCGGCTACGTCGTCGAGTTCGAGCAGAGCGGCTTCCAGCTCCGCAGGGGCGACCTGAAGGCCATTGACCTTGATGAGCTCCTTTCTCCGATCCACGATGGTAAACATGTCGTTCTTTTCCACGGCGACATCACCTGTGTGCAGCCATCCATCAGTCGTCTTGCTGTCCCTCGTCGCCGCCTCGTTCTTCCAGTACCCTAACATGATTTGGGGTCCTCTCAGAAGAAGCTCGCCGGGCTTTCCGCGCTCGGTAACTTCCTCGCCGTCCTCGTCAATTAATTTCGCCTCGGTGTTCGGTAGTAGGTGCCCGACGCTTCCCGTGTCATCAGTTACCCAAGACGGCACCATGGCCCCTATGCACGTTGTCTCGCTCATCCCCCACGCCTGCACAATGGAGAGGTTAAACCTGCGGCCGACGTCGTTTTGGAGCTCCTTCGAGAGAGGCGCAGCACCGCAAGCGACGTACGTTACGCTGCTGAGATCGTACTTTGCTGTCTCCGGCCTCTTGGCAAGCATAAGGATGACGGGTGGCACGGTGAGTAACGAGGTAATGCGGTATCTCTGGATGTAGGCCAGATATGGCACGAACTGAAATTTTTCCATGATGTACACCGGGATGCGTTGCTTGAGCGCGATGCTCACCATCCACAGCTGCGAGTAGGCATGGTATAGGGGCAAAAAGTTGATCCAGCGTTCTTGCTTCTGAATCGTTTCCGACGACGTGCCTGGCGCGAAGCGGAGAGCCGTTGCCTGCGTCGCGTTCGCGACCAGGTTGCTATGGGTAATGCACACGCCTTTGGACAGGCCTGTGGTGCCACTGGAGAAGTTGATGACGGCTACCGCCGAGAGAGACTTGTCTCCCGTGAGCGGATCCCACCTCCAGTCTCGCGAAGCTTCTTCGCTCGCGAGCAGCGTCGTCCAGTCCGGCACACCATTGATAGGCTTGCACGGCTGGCCCGCAAAGAGGTACAGCCGCTCGAGGGGAAGGCCCGCCATCTTGGCGGCGGCGGTCGCGGTCGGCAACGCGCTCGGGTGAACCAAGACGACCGCGGCGTCAACCATCTTCATCTGGTAGGCGATCTCTGCCTCTGTAAACGCCGGGTTCGCGCCCGTAAAGCACCGGCTCGAGCCAGCTGCGGCGAGGTATACAACCGGTACATAGAGATGATTGGGCGTTACAATCATCACGGCTCGACCCTGCCCGACGCCGAGGTTGTCCAGGCCGACCGCGAACCTCTTGATTAAAGTCAGGGCTTGCGCGCCGGACAGGCTATTCGTTGGGTCGGCGGCATCGATCCATTGGGGGCGGTCAGAGACTGGTTCTCCCTCAGGGAAGAGAAAGGAGAGCACGTTGCATTGGCGGATGTCCACCGGGGGATGGGTGACTTATACGGCATGTTGGGAGAGTGGGTATGGCGACTTCAACGGCGAAGGGAGAAGATGAGAGGGGATGTAAGAGAAAACGGCCCGCTCAAGATTGATCAACGGTGAGGCTCTGCCGTCTTATTTATTTTTCAGGGTCCGGAAGCTTAATGCCTCGGACAAGTTTTACCCGCGCCGAGAGAAAGGGTGCATGTCGTGTTCGGTTGCCGATCGCGTGGGAGCAATCCCCATGGGGAAACCGTGCAGTGCGCGCAAGCCGGCGGCGCATACAAATCGGGGTGGTAAAAGCCGGTGGCTCTGGGCGTTTAGTCCCCCTGCCCGTCCCCGCACCGCGCGCAGCGACGATAATACCACTTTCGCCGGAAGCTGGGGTGGAGCGAGACTTCAGGTTCAGTGTTGACTTATTCAATTACAAGAGATCACTATTCACAATTCGATTGTTCCACTCTATGAAAGGGAGTTGAGGGGCTAGTCATGCTATGCTTCCTGCACAATTGATTCTTTCCAATTGATCGCTTCACTCTCCAGCTCGGGCTATACTCTAGATTTTAAACTCAATTTAAGCCAGGCGACGGCCACGGACGAGAGCACGGTGAGCACCAATTCATGCTCAGCGATGATCAATCAGTATTGGCCAATATCCGTAAAATACTATTGTACAACGCGTGGGACGAGGTAACCTCTATTACCGAAACACCCCAGCTCTGCCACGAGTTTTGGCGAGACTGGATCGAACATGCGTGTTGTGTTGCCATACATGTAGAGAATAAATGAAAGCTCTCTTAACGATGGGCGCCCCGTTGTGTCGGACGAAAAGCGATTGCAGGGTATAAATACAGGAAGAGAGCACCACCCCTTGGAGAACAAGGTCAATTTAATCAGGATCGAGAATATTAGTGCCGTGCCCCTCCCTTCCCGCCCGATCAACGCCAAGCTTTGTATTTACATGATTGAAAATGAGTCATCCCACATCCACGCTTGCGCAATGTCAGTGCTTTCGTAGCCAGGAAAATCCCAAACGGTTACCAGCGGTGAGAGCGGTGCCATGCTCACGGGATCCATGACAGTGTTGCGATCGACATCGGAGAACCCTTGATACTCGCTCTGGGTAACCAGGCCTGTGTGGGCCGCGAAATGCCCCTCAACGACGGCGTGCGGCACTCCATCATCGTCTACGAGACGTGCGTTAGCGCCGGCATCCCCACGGCCCGGGTTGCTGCCCTCGAGAGCGCTCACTCCTCCCTTGAGTAGTTCGCCTCCGATTACGTCACGCCCTTCGTTTCCCGGATCCCCGAATTCAACCATATCGAGGCTCACTTCCTCCGTCTTGGGCGCCTCACCATGGGAGAGGAGAGCCTCCGTCTCCTTGGTAGAGATGAGGCGCAGCATATCGGACCACACCTCGGCAGCCTGTATCCATACCGGCGCTGCCAGTTGCAGCGCCTTCGGGATATGAATCATGCGCGCAATTGCCAGCTTAGACTCCTGCGCCATGCTCGACAGCGGACTCGACAGTGCCAACATTCCCAGCATCACTCCCGCCGTAAAGCATTGGCTGCCCATGGTCACGGCCGCTGCGCCTTCAGCCGAGGCCTTCACTAGGTCGGGGTACCGGTTGATGAGGGACGTGCGCAACGACGAGACCCAGCATTGGCGTCGCGCCAGCTTGAGTATATCCGCCATGCCTTCGTTCACGTTGTTATTCATCGGGTCCGCGGACCGATCTTCGACCACGAAAGGGCGGAAGAGGAGTAGCTGTATATTGTCGTACACGATTTGTAGGTTTAACGCTTGTAGTGCAAAGATGCGGAAGGTCGGATCGGTCTGTGAATCAGCATCACGGCTCGTAAGTGAGGGAAGTCTCAGCTCTGGAGGCACCGAGCGCTCCCAGTCCAACAGCTGGCTGTGTATGCGCCGAACCTGCCGGACGATCTCGGCCCAGTCGCGCCGGGCGGTAAAGTAGAGGTCGCGGGTGATGGGGGCCGCGATGACGTAGAGCCTGGATTTGTATCGGTTATACGAGTGGATCGTGACTGGGAGGTGTGAACCACCCTCTCTCAGCTCGAGGGTGTCGAAGCCAGGGCATGTGGTCCTGCCGTCGTCGAGGTCGGTGGTTTCGGCAACGTAAAAGTCTTTGTCGGAGAGTACAGCAGGCCGGCCGTAGGCTTGCGACGTAAACCTGGGGTTCAACATTCATATCTTAGCAACCGCAACTTGATGATTTCAATGTTCCGGGGTGGTTTATGTTTCTTTCGAACCGGTGGGATTACTTACCCGTCACCCATAAACATGGACCACCACAGTCGCCGTCGAACTTCTCGATCAACGGTCCCCGTCTGGCCCCAATTCGCCTCATTGCTATACCCCATTGTCTGCACCGCACGCAGAGTCGTGCCGATCACCACGAAAGCCAGTTTGGTCCGTCGTGTTTGCAAATACTGGATTCCAACCAGGTACGAAAACGCTATGGACTCGTTCGACATGACTTCCAGCGATGTCAGATACTGCCTCTCCACAGTCTCCAGCAGGTGCGAATACAAGGTGGAAATATCAACCCCGGGGCATCTTTCCGCCGCGGCCTTGGGTTTGATGAGTCGAGCGCCATGGAGGAGCAGGACAAAAACAAGCGCGAGGAGAGGTCGCTGGTTCGGATAGGCAAGGCCGGTTTTTGGATCGGTTTTAGCTCAGCCCGAAGCGTAGGCTCGTGAAACAGGCACATGAACCAATGTACCGAGTCGATGTAGGAATCAATCAACGCGTCGGTAACCTGCATGCATGGCAAATCCGTGCCCATCAGAGTGGATACTGGGACCAGCGTTCCTGCGTTGCCGCTGTCGCTCGTGGACGGGGTCCCATCGGGTATGGCGTCGGCGTGCCTCTTCTCATGGGCTGGGTTTTGATTCTTGAATATCTATCAACGGAGAGGTTAGATAGGTCTCCAGATGAGATGCGATTCATCGCGATGTGCGAACCTGCTCTACCAGGTGGAACGTGGAGCTACTGCCTTGCCGCCCACCACCTGCGGCAACAGCCGGCAAGCATGACCGGCGTGATGGCTCTCGTGAGACAATAGTTCTTGCACCGGGGGCACAGCACCGGGCGGCGAAGGACAGCTTTCAGGAGTCACTTTACGAATAGGAGATTTCTCCTGCTCCGTTGCCGAGTGTGTGGGCGAGCGCACGCGATGGTTCGCCTTCTTGACACGCCTGTTGCTCGAATTAATACGCGCGCATACCAGGTGAGTGGTGATTGCATCAATGCAAACATGGTCGGATCTTGCCTTGTCTTTTCTGTAGCTTCGATGCACTCTGCCCCAGCGCGGATGCAGAGCTGGCATGGCCTTTCGTTGTCACACTGCGCGTTGAATGCAAATGCATGTTAGCAAACCCAGCATGATGGTTGAGCCGGTCCAAGGGAAAAAAGGAAAACCAACCCTGAGTTTCTGACGACGACACCTCGAACAGGCGTGCCGAACCCGTTTCGTTTCCATATCGCGATGTCTGATTGCTCGGTGTCGTGGCTACTCCTAGGAAGCCGGTGGAAGTGGAAAACACCTGCACATCGGATGTAGGGGGTGGGAGCGCTTGATAAATCGAGCCGGTGGCTGTGACGGGCCCACTCAGCTCGTACCGAGGCCTTCCACTGCACGCACGCTACCCCGGCACCCCCGGCGGTACCCCGCGCGGGGAAAGGTTCGCGTCCGTCTCCTTGGGAAGAGCAGAGTTGGAATTATTACACAGGTGCAAGCCCCAAATTTCGGCGATTTCAAAGGAGCCTATGCTCGACTTGGTTAGCACAATCCTTCTGGGGGCAGGGGATAGTGGATTTGTGCTTATTACTTCCTCTCCCTTTGGCGGCGCATATTATTAGCTCCGCCCTCCCCCAATCCTTCGCAAGAGGAATCTAGTCTCTCGTCTGCCACCCGGTCGAGCTTTCTTGTATAATTCTACACATTCATCAGATTGGCTTCTATTTGTCGCGGTGCAGAAATTACTTGAACTACTAGCTATCCTCCGACGAAAGGACATCTTCCGTGGTTGAGAAGGGTGATTTCCAGGTCTAGACGATGAAAACTATGAGGTGAGGGGTGGTTCGTCATCCCACGTTCAGCACGCCTAGTCGCATTATGATGCTATAAGAGTCATCCAGACACCATTAGCATTACCTTCCCCATTCGCCTCTCCAACGCCACTTGATGGGTACATGTACACATGGGAAAATAAACAAGATTCGAACCGGAGCCAAAATCCCTGCCCGCCCGCCCCCACTTATCCCACGAGTCCCAAATTAGATTAGTTGAAAAACACAAGGGTGAATACCATCTGGTAATCCTAAATGGTCGGTCATCGTGCTGCGTCTTGGGCCTGAGATATCTAGGATTTCGATCACTGGCATCCGACATTGTAGCCATCTCCAGCAAGCGAGATCATGATCTACCTTTATATTCTAGTTCTCGGGTCGTGCAGAGGCTTCGGAAGCCGGGTCTTCAAAGTTCAAGAGATATTGATCAAGCAGTGCCTGCAGAGTTAAACAATCCATTAGCATCAAGCACGATCGCCACGCAATTCTTTTTCGAAAACGTACCCAGTCGATATTCTCCGATCCGTCAAGCATCTGCGACATGATACCCGCGTGCGGAAACTGCATCTCTAATCCTCCCTCCGCCACACCAAAGCCATGCTCGTTGGCAATGGGCAGCCCCATGTCATTCTCGCTCACCTTGCGGAGCATCAGCCCCAGTGCCAACGCCGCCGTCTGCGCGTCTTTGTTGGACGCTCGGCACTGATTCAGCTCCCAGATCTTCTGGGACACCTGAAGGGCTTGGTACTCCTTCATCGCGAGCTTCTGCTTGCCCTCATCCCAGTCGCCGTGGAACGCGGATACCGCGCCCTTCCGCTGGCGCACCTGTACCGATAGGTCCAGACATACCGCCATAGCTGCGAGCAGGAAATCGTGAACCTGGAGCGAGTAAAACATCCAGCGGTCCTCGTACAACCGGCCACCGGGTTCGCATGCGCTATACAAATCAGCCTGGCGATGGAGGATCACGAGGGCGGCCTCGATGCACGCGCGACGTGAGGGCTCAAATGCCGGGTTTTGCACCTCGTGATTGAGGTACCGTCGATGGAGGATGACGAGCCCTTTGAAACAAAGCATTTCTATCGATGAACGCTGCCATATGCGGCACGAGTTGTCGAGAAACGCGCGGTTGACGTCCCGCCGCTTGAGCATCTCGGGTATACCGTCGTATGCGCGATTCATCTCGGCGTCTAGAGCAAGGGTCTTCTCGTAGGCTTGCGGCACGAGGGATTGTGTGTGGGCCACAATCTTCTTGAACACTGCCATCACACTCGCCTTCACGATGACGTAGCAGATGGTCGTATCTTCGGAAAGGGGTCGCGAAGGCGGCAGCTCGGCCATGTCGAGGTACATGTCGGAATAGTCCAGGTTCCGTGGGACCTGCGTGTCGCAAAAGTCCGCCGGGATCATGCTGGGGAACCCCACCTGGTAGGATATCAAAGCATCTATTTGAACAACGTTGAGCCATACGCGACGTCGCATCTCGCCGTCAAACGGAGTAATACCGGTCAGATTGCTCGGATCGCGATTGTATCCCATTCGAAAGGCTAGCCGAATCACGGTGCCGACCTCGAACCACGGGTCTACGGAATACCCGCTACGACCAAGAAAGCTGCTTTGGATATGCAGTATAAACGCCTCCATCGCATACGAGTTCGCCGTGGCATATCTACCGAGGGTAAGGCACTGCACGCATCTCTTCTGCAAGACGCTGATGGGCGGAATACAGCTGTCCGGGTCCGGCAGGTTCGACAGCCGGCGGATGACCATGGTTATGCTGAGGACTGCGAAGAGGAGACCCACCCATAGAGGAGATGTCGTGGAAGGGGAGGCCCAAAAGTCTTCGTACTGAGCGGCGATGTCAGCATACTAGAGCGGTTTTCATAGAACACAGTGGAAGCCTTACTTCTAGTTGAAATTTGGCCGGATGTATAAGCCCTTGAAAATGCCCCCTGTCAGTGATTGGTTGCCAACTTCGGTTCCCGGAAACCCATGCCAAACTCACCAAGCACCATGAAACGCGTGTTGAAATACCAGGACACCAACATGTCACATATTGGTTGAGGCGGCAATGACTCTAATATTTCGTCGAGCGCAAGGTCAGGCACCAGCAAAAGACTTGCATCTGTGCCTCCATTCCGAACTTCAAGAATGGGAGCTATTTGAGGGCTAGAGTTCCTCGATAAGGATAAGTGCTCGCGCACTTCTTTGATGTCGTCTAGGATGGACAACCAGTGGCTACGGTCGATATAGTTGACCTGACCATCGTCGGTCTTTTGAAGGTGTGGCGTTTCTGGGTCGAGCGGGGAGATGGCCGTGCTAGGACCATGCCCAACCGCCCCATGCTCTATCGCGATGTCGCCCCGGGTCCGCTCCGACTGCGAAGCTGAAATGCCGCCTCCCGTCACTCCGATCTCATTCAGCAATCTCGACTGAATCACCGTGTCTCCCGTGACGAAAGACGACACTAGGTTCTCCAGCGTCTTGAGCCGATCTTTTAGATCGCGAGACCTGGGCGCCGAAGGCTTGCTCCGCGCTGCATTCGCCGCATAAGTGCAAAGCGAGGCCTTGTCCCGCTTGCTACAAGTATCACAGGGCAAGCCGCGATTGCATTTAAGCCTACAAAACACTCGTCAGCCTTTGAGGGCTACAATAAACAGCGGAGATTTGTGACCAGGGGCAGAGATGAAGAAAATGATATACTTTCGTGTCCGACACGGTTCACAAGATACCGGTGGTCGGTTCCGCTTCTCGATTCCTCTCGAATGGCCGTCCATTACGCCAATGAACGCGCACCAAGGTATGTGGAATAATGGTGATTACCAGAGTGGGTTTGCTGGGCACCGATGACGATGGTGAGAGTTATCTGTGGAAGACTGAGTGGCCACGTGATCCGCGGCAAATCAAGCGATTCGCGGGCAACCCGGCGCAAAATGTAGAGATTTCGAGATTGGCTCGGTGAATCCTACTATCTCTCTTTTTGTTTATTTTTCAAGGCCAAGCATGGCGGCAAGGCCGTGGAGGACTTTACCTTGTCAGGCAACATGCTGTGGAATTGTCTGACGTGCTAGAATGAGCGGAGATAATAACCCCGCTTGGTCCAGAAGTCCTGAAATGCAAAGTCCGAGCCAATCAAGGACCGCCACTCGCCGCACGCACCACAAGGGCGTAATATCTCCGTCTCAGCGAGAATCTTCCTCGATGTTAGTGACCGGAGAGCAAAGTGTTAAATAGATCTGTAAATATCACTGCTGGTTTTTTTTTATTAATTCATCGATCACTTGCGCTTTAATTCAGCAATAAGTTTGCCACAATTATACTCTCGTGTGGCTACCTCTATTGTGTACCGTTTTCCTCTCGAATCATCATGGCTGTGTTCTCAGCCCTATACGGCGCAGGCCATGTTATCTTTTCTAGGGCGTTCGTATCCCTGCCCGTGCCTATTGGCACCCCGGATCTACCCAATCAGACCATCATTGTGACTGGCGCCAATACAGGTCTCGGCTTCGAGGCAAGCCAACATCTAGCGCGCCTCGGCGTCGGCAAACTGGTCCTTGCGGTCCGGACTTTATCAAAGGGTGAGGATGCGAAGAAGCAGATTATCGACTCTACCGGAGCTTCCGATTCCAGTATTGAGGTCTGGCCTCTTGATATGGACAGCTATGAGTCCATCAAGCTATTCGCTGGCCGAGCATCTCTACTTCCACGACTTGACGGCGTCTTGGCGAACGCCGGTGTCATGACGACCAAGTTTGATCTCAGCGAAGGCAATGAGAAAACCATCAACGTCAATGTCATCAGCACCTTTTTGTTGTGTCTTCTCCTATTGCCTGCCATGCGAGCATCTGAGAAAACCACCGGGTACACTTGTCGCTACGTCATCCCCAACAGCGCACTGCACTACATGGCGCCGCTAGCCGAATTGGAGCCAAATGGCCACGCCATCCTTAGCCAGCTCAACAATCGCGAGACATCAAACATGAGCGGCCGATACCCACTCAGTAAGCTATTAGTGCTTTATGCTGTCCGTGAATTTGCCCATAGGACCACATTGTCGGGCAAGGGAGCCTGCATCATCAACACGCCAAACCCAAGTTTCTGCAAGTCCAACTTGGCAAGGGAATCTCAAGGTAGCAAAGGCTTTCAAGTTGCGGAAAGCGTCATGGCCAGATCAACTGAGGAGGGAAGCCGAGTCCTTGTTCATGCTCTACTCACCAACGAGGATACAAATGGGCAATACCTGTCTAACTGCAAGGTTGAGAGGTGAGAACCCCACGATTACATCGTTTACTCCTAAACCCTGCTAACTTCAATAGTCCAGCATGTCATGTTACCAACAAATGGGGCCAGGAAGTTCAAAAAGATTCGTCGACGAAGTCTTGACGACGCTGGAAAATATTCAACCCGGCATCTCGTCGAACCTCTGAGTAATCCATTTCTAACGGGGTGGGCCGATACTCGATCGAGATCAGGGTTTCTCGTCGAGCCTTCTCATAAGATAATGAGTTCAGGCCTTTAGTTAGTGTAACGATAGTGTCGTTCTTCTTCTTATACCGTCCCCGAAGTCAACCGCACATTAAGACTCTCCAATTCTTGGTTATATGCGCTGTGATAACCTTACTATCATCTTCCTTTTCTACCGGGGTGTTGCAGCTGCTCCACAACGGTAGGGTAGGTAGGAGTTGCCATGGCCGGGCAGCAGCAATACATCTCCTCGTGTCTTGGCGTGTAACCCAATTTGGAGCGTTCACACGCAAATATCCATGGATTCTTCACTTCTAGAGCCCGGATATCGCCGCAAGTATCATAACAATGCCAGAGCCTAAGTCTATTCCGCCACGAGGCGGCACACACGTAATCGTAATCTCCGTTGTACAGTCAAGTCCCCTCATCCCACACCCTCCATTCTTGTTTCTCATAACTTGCTATGCACCGCACTTTTTCTGGTGGCTGGTCTTGCCATTCGATCTTGTTTCCCTCTTTTGGCTCTGTGGCCATCCATTGCGACACGTAACCCTTCAATCCTTTGATGCTTGTTGCGTGCTCATCATCATAACCTATATTGACGCTCGGCACTACAGCAATATTCCTGTACCCGGCGCGCCACATATCTTTGCAGAAAAGCTGGGGTTCACCTTGGAAACATTCTTTTGGCGTTGGTGCTCTAAACCGAGCGTAGCCCTCGATAAGGGGCCTCGAAGTAAACACAGCCGCCCCATTCCAGCACGAAAACACCTGGAACGGCCTGTGTGCCATGAATGACTTTTGGTCTGCGTGTGCATTCCAAAATAGATTCCACGCCGAATTCCAATTTCCATCAGGGGGATATCGAAGAAAGAGTCCCCGGCCAGAGTCCGGGCGATCCATACATCGTAGAATGTCGGGTCCACCCCAACGTAGGTCCAGTCGAACCCACAGGTCATATCAGCACCTAGGAGTGCCTTTTGATATATCAATTCAAGTATGTCTTCCGCGCAAAGCGATACATCATTGAGAAATATAACGGTTGTGTCGTGAGTGAACGCAGACGGGTTTTCGGTGAGTGGCTCAAGGGCCAGATTCCGTAACGCCGCTAGCCCAGCAATGCGACCAATATTTGTGGCCGGGTCTATGTCGCTTCGCTTTAGATAAAAGGTCGTGCCCAACTTCTCGATTTCGGCCTTGAGTAAATCCAGAATTTCGAAAGTGCCGTCTTGCGAATGTCCTTCGACAACGGACAAAGCGCAGTTCTCAGGCCCTAAAAATCGTATTGTATCGACGATCGAGCCTATAAGGGTTGGCAGAATAGAGACTTTTGGCGGATGTTTAGAGCGAAGAAGTATAACGGTTTTGTAGATGATTCTGGTCGCAGCTGCTGGTATCTTGTGTAGTCGGTGTGCGGACATGCAAGACGCGGGATGTTGGTGCTTCCATCACCCATGGCAGACGCGACATAATATTTTGCATTCTTGAGGAGCTGTGGATCAGGCCCCGGTCTCGATACGCGATCAATCGTGGCTTGAAAAGGTGTTGGGACTGGGACAGGAGCAGATCGTTAGTCTCTACGATCACCACGTAACGGAGGGAGAATAATTCTTACTAAAAGAGGGGCCTACAAGCTGAGTTTTGACAAGGAGTTCGTGGAAGGCGATAAGGCAGAATAGCGAGAGGGCGGCGATACCTCCGAATCGACGGATGACTCTGCCATTGAGATACGGCATCTTCGTCAGCGTGAGCGCGACAATTTATGGTGGAGAGGCTCATTGGGATCTCGAAATGTTGGAGAGGAGAAAAAGGGGAGGGTCAATCATTCAAGCCTGAAACTGAAAAGCCGTGTTGTGTTGGTTCGAGATCTCTCCCGTGTTGCCTCCCCAGCCTGCATGGGCGCTTACCTCCCGCGAGATGATTTGGTTCCAAACTGTCGGGTCCGGCCCACGACTGGTATCGCTAAGTCAACCTATTTTCCCGGTCCCCTTTCCTGGACAGAGTCAAACTTAGCCACAATATTAATGAATACTACCTTGATTTGGCGTTAAATTGGCCAAGTGATGTTGGTTTGTGAAGGAAGGAAGTTAGAATGTCCTAATCCCACGTAGAGAAATATAACCAACCAACACCGTCGTTTTGCTACAGGGCCCTCATTCTCGCCCCCTTTCCCCCGAAGTTGCTCGATCTACTACTCATAAGAAGTTAAGCCTTGCATCCCCGACAATTGCGATACAGCCTCCTTGATCTCGGGCGACGGCTGATTCGTCTTTGTGACCGTGCCGTCGCAGAAGCAGAGCGTACGAACCCTAGCACATTTCCGATTATAAGAGCAGGAGGATGCCGTCACCACCTGTTGTCACGCAGCAACCGTTGTGGAATTCCCCTTGGAGAAACGAACAACATAGGAGGCGACAGGATAGTAATGGACCCATCACTTGTGGCTACGTTGACGGCGACATCGACAGGCCACGCTCGGCTGAAAATGGATTTAACTGCCGCGTCGACACGGAGCGAGGACTTTGGGGGTTCTGCCCTACAACAGTCAGGGTCGCCAGCGACTGTGGCCTCGCAGGGAACTGTGTAGATCAGCATAATTGCTCTAGAGGTTGTGGGATCCGTGGAACTCCAGGAATAACAACCTTTACGTGGTACGTTAGAGGTCCGCCCTACTGCTAAACCAAATCGTTCGAGTTTGCGTGTTAATTATTGCAGTGAGAGGACTCAATATTGCTCAACTCTTATCCTCGCCCTCGGCACCGATGCCGGCTTTTCGTATATAGCTTGCGGCGCAAACCCGGCGACTGAAACCTTGCTCCCATCTCCCACGAAAAGCCGGACAGAGCCTATCTCAACAACTAGCCAAGTGTCTACTACAGGTTCGAATACAGAGTCAAGTTCTACGGTCAACGAATCCCAGCCACCGGTAGCTGAACCGATAGGCGATAATAACGCTCCAGACAAGTCAGGGAACAATACTGGGGTTATTATTGGCGGCGTCCTTGGCGGCCTGGCGCTGATTTGTATCTCAGTCATTATAACCGTCTATATCATTCGCCGAAAGAAAGGCCACGAGACTGGTAAAATGGGCAGGGCACCCACAGAGCACAATGAGCACGTGGTATTCCCACCTGTATACCCGGTTCAGCAGAAACAAACGGAAGCGTCCGAGCTCCACGCAACGAGCCTAGGTTCCAGTTTATCAGGCTACACAAGAGCAGAGTTACCCACCTAAGAAGGAAGAAGTGTCTTAGTTCAAGATAAGTGCTACCGATCGATAGTGTAGCGAAAAGAGAGCGGGGCTAGACCCAGTAGTTGGGGAATATGGACCTTAGCAAAGGCGAGCGGATTTGAAATCTGGTAGGGGGTTTGAGAAGGTGGTCACGATGTTACAGGTTTTCAAAGTGGTGGAGAAGTTGGCTATGAGATGATGCGATAATTGGATGAATGTAATGGGGTTGACTTGCGGCCGAGCTGACAAAAAGGTAGAAGTCTGTATAAGCCCCGAAGTGCACATATTGTAATTGCAGTCCATGATCTATATTCTCTACCTCAGATACTGTGATCTCGTTGCCACTGCTATAAAGCAACTGAAGTCCCCGGAGCACTTCCCCATTCTAATAGTGGTAGGGGACGGCAGAAGATCTTTCTGACTTCACCGCACACGAGCCTAGACTGATATCTTATGGAATGATTGATATCTTTTGGAAGCAATAGAATGATTGTTTCTGTCATGAATCACATTCTCCTAGATATATATATCTCCGTACCCGTCACCTGGCCCCCGCAGCACGTCCATCCGGGTTGGGTCGATGACGGGATTACCATTAAACTCAGCAGGGGGCTCCGGCAACGGGAGACTCCGCCAAACGGCTTGGAGCCGCCGAGCTGACCGCAAAAAGCGCGCGCGAGCTTCGGGATAACCCCGGCCCACGAGCTTGCCGCCACGCTTAACCCACTTGCCATCCACCAGTACCGCCTCAATGTCGCCGACACTCGCGTGCAGGATAATGGCAGCGACGGGGTCAACCCAGCCAAGCATAGCTGGGGAGTCACCGTCCCAAATCAGCAAGTCAGCCTTGGCGCCGACAAAGATGGCCCCGAGATCATCGCGTCGCAGAGCGAGGGCCCCGTTACGTGTGGCGAGTAAAAAGGCTTGTTCGACCGACATGGCGTTGCTGCGTGGTAGCTTGCCTTGCTCGAGCACGTCGAGATATCGCTCGTAACGTGCCTGCTGGAGCCAGATGCGGGCTTGCGTCAGGATATCAGTGCTAAAGGTGATGTGTGTGTCGATGCCGAGGGATGCCTGGTCCTGGATGAAGTAGCTAACCGGATGCGCCTGGCCGTAGTGCATCTCCGACTCGGGTGTGATGGAGATGTATTGGTTGGTCGAACGCAACAGGTCCGCGCCAGTCTCGGTCAGGAACGAAGCATGAGAGAAGACGATCGGGGTAGAGATGTTGAGATAATTGAGCGCGTGTATATCCTCGGGGAGTTGCTGACTTTAAGTGGTAAGTGTTAGCAAATGCTGAGTATCCCATTGGTTGTTTGCTCTTGTGATGAGCGACAACATCGGGAGTTTGATAGAGTGCCATTACGTACAGCCCCAGGGACCCTGCAAGGAGTGAGTTGTGATGACCGAAACATTGAGCTCGCTAGCGAGATGCCGTTAGCTCAATATATACTAGACGATTGAATCAGGCTGTGAACATGTCCAAATCCTCACTTACCTGGCTAGGTTCATAATCTTTTGGATCTCCCTAACATTCGGATTTGGGCCCCACCCATCATAGGCAATGCCGAGTGTGGTAGGCGAGTTCTTCAACCCAGATTTCGCGGCCATGTCTCGAAAGACGGGGTATAATTCTTCAACCGTGATCAAGTCGGTCAGGTTGGCAAAGGTAAAGCCCCAGAAGACTCTGGCACCGCTGTCGATGCAAGCTTGGAGACCGGCGTCAGCGGCGTCCCTGGACCACGTATGCGTAGCATGGTCGAGCGAAGATGTGACACCTGCGTTGAGCGCTTCGTACAAACCGGCAAGTTGGCTGTCATACACGTCGGTCGCGTTCCAGAAGAAAGGCGCTACAAATGAACTATAGCGACCGAAAAACTCAATTAGCGTCGTGTTTGAGGCCATGGTTTTGAAAGCCGTCTGCCATCCGTGGCGATGAGTGTCTATGAAGCCTGGCGTGATGATCTTCCCAGCGATATCAACAATTTCAGTTTTCCGCGGGATGTGGCTGGGCACTGAATCAAACACGCCTGTGATGCGGTCATTTTCAATCAGGACGGAGCCGTCGCGGATGATTCGTAGCCCCTGTGTTTCTTTGTTGAAGGCAATAACTGTCCCCCTCGGAAGAGTGTTGACACCGCGCTCACCGCCGTGAGAAATACGGGCAGGATGCCGACTCTGTTGATGATCTTCATTATCGCGATGTGTACCGGTGCGTGTCAAGGGCACCTAGCGCCACGACTCTTCGGACTGGATGAGATATAAGAGGGAAGGGAGGTGCGACCCCACCGCAAATTGGGGGAAGCTTCTCTAGCCCTCGAAGCACGTCAGCACATCGTGCCTTCACCTTTCGCTCTGTAGTCGCATTGAGCGGCGCAACGAATGATGAGCTCTGTGGTCATGGCTTGGCGCTGCAATAAATGTAGCCCTCGTGTAACTCGGCCTGTTGCCGTTGATTAATAAGGAATGGTACCATGAAATTGCCAAATTAAACAAAACCAAACCTCCCGTTGCCTCAAAGAGCCCCAAGCCCATGCAAAGTCATGCAGCTGCCGCACTTTGTGCAGGAAGGAGGGGTTGCTATCCTTCGGATGCTGCCTCTTCAACCCTCCAAGCCGCTGTTATCGTCGAAGAAAAAGGGAGATTAGCTAGGTAAGGATGTTGGAGATAACACTATTGAATCCTCGTCTTCATGTTGAAGGGGAAGGTTTTCTTTTTTTTTTTTTTTTTTTTTCTTTGTTCGCATCCACCCTTGAATAGACGAGGTGGACGCGAAAGAAGACGGCACTGGGCGCTCTCCCCTCAAAAGGAATCCGAGGTCAATTCTCTAAAGTATCGTAACCTTCAATGCCGAAAAGCCACCCATGCATGAGCCTCTTGCCAGCTCCTAATGTCACCCTGACCGCAGACACCTCATCGTGCTCACAGGCGGTCTGGCGCTTTCCACACCCCACTCCACTCCATGTAAATGCTAATAACCTGAGCCTACATGTGCTACGTCTTTTCGCTTTCAGAACGGCTGAGCCATGCACCCCGTATTATTCACTCTTTATACATCGATGACTAAATTCTTCATCCACCGCTAAGCTAGTACCCGAATTTGGCCATTGTCACAGCGCGCAGGAACCAAATGCGGATATTGCCACGCTGGCTGCCACAACGAGCTTCGCTCTTTTACGTATATCGTGACAGGAGACGATGCTATATTGCGATGGAAATATAAAGCTCTATCGCACGAGTTTTCATGCTCTAAACCTTTCACCCTCTACTAACCTGGTCCACGGATACTAGGAAAGTATCGAGCATCATATCAACGATACAGATTACTTAGGTCCAGTATATATTCGCTATGAGGCTATATCGGCTTGCTAACTACATCGGGAAATGACGCCAGGTAGTATTTGTCGTGGACAATCGTTAATCGTGACCCGCACCCCTCAAGTCCGAGATATTGGCTCGAGATTTTGTGGATGCAATGAAATGACACTGCCCTCCAAAAATCAAAACGATAGGTCCAAATAACACCGAACATTAGTCGCGAAGAGGAACATTGGCAGGCAATAGATGCGATGGCGTGGAACCCAACCATGGAAGCACACATTTTTTCAATCATTTTTCGGGCTTCTGACCGTAGACAACAAGCCTGCGCTACGTTAGTATGAATCCAAAGTTAGGAACAGGGAGACAACGTACACCGGCAAATATGCATGAACTCTTCGATCCCTCAGCTGCGCTCGTACTTCCGCGCAGTATGCCAATGTCTCCTCCGACGTCCAATTCAGCGCCCTTGTGAATAACGCCAGGGTCAAGCCCTCGAGGCCTAGGTTGTAGTTCTGGAACGTCCAGGCACCAATCTCTTTGTATCGGCGGTCCTTGGGCCACGTGTTGAGCGGCCACTTGAATTCGCGCTCGACGAGATTAGTGAAGCCAGCCTTCCCCATCATGCCCCTGTACTGGACTGCGACATCCATGGGGCGCTTAAGGGCGTGGCTGGCGTCGCGGAAGAGACCACCAAGACGTCCGAGGGGAGAGTCGGGCTCAAGGGTTCCATCGTCGCTGCGGTAGGGAATAACGATGTCTTGCATCTCAAACCATCCGCCGGGCTCGAGGGCGCTTGGTCTTGGTTAGGAATTGTCATGTGTGGCGTGGACGGAAAGACGCTTACTTGTACGCCTTGTTGATATATAGCTGGGAGTCTTCGAAGCAACTCGCCATGACCCGACTAAATAAGAAGTCAAAGGACTGAGGCCAGGCCCAATCCTTTTCCAAGTCATCAATCTCAAACGAGCAATTAGGTGGTGCCCTATGAGAGGTCAACATGAATACATCCCGACGTGACGAATCGACGCAGATATGCTTACAGCGAGGGTTGGATGGGGCTGAGATCAACACCGATTACCTCGCACTCGGGGTGCGCGTCAGCTTCATAGAAGGTTAGCCACTTTTCTCAAATCCTAGAGAAAGTTAGGTCCCAAAGTATCTTACCATATTCGATAGCCCAACATCCTGTACCTGTACCGAGATCGAGAACACGCTTTGCGCCTGTCTCGGCGTAAGGACACAAACACAATGCGCCCTCGAGAGTAAGGAGCCACATGTAGTGCTGGCCCTCTGTGATGGCTGTTAGGACGCGTATACAAGGCTAGCGAAGTCACCCAGACCTACCAAGACGCTCTGCTTCGCTATCATCATTAGGGAAGGCATATTCTAGCGGTCGTTAGCGAAGAGAAACTCTCTCTATCATTAGTCTTGTGCCTTATGACTTACTCCCTGAGCTTAGCGAATGGTAACTGCGGCCATTCTCGAACTGGTATGCCATCACACTAGATCGGAGAGATGTAAGACCGTCGGTCAAAGGCTAGGCATCATTACAACATTAGTCCGAAGTGTCAGTGTTTGCGGAGCTTTCCCGAAAATGGCGGCAGCGAGCTAGCTGCCGTCGGGCATTTGGAACCGGCTATGCAACAACTTTGCGAAGGATAAAAAATAAATAGCTAGCGGAATAAGAATAAAAAAGAAATGGTAAAGGTTCTTCAACATACTATCGATAGGGCGGAGTCATTGTCGAAGGTGTCGGCAGCCTGTGACCAGTGCCTCGTTAGTCCCCATACGAGCCGGAATACGAAGAGGGTGCTCATTGTTAGAGCATTGGACGACGTGGGAGGTCCAACGAACAATCTCCGGGCCCTGCTCTCTCGTTGCTAAGTGTTCAGCCATGGTGAAACGCTGCTCGAGATATAGTAGCCGATTGCTTGGTAAGATGTAGGAAATTCCACGCCGCTGGGACTCGTGATCGGAGAGAGAGTCGCAGGGTGGTAAGTCGAAGTGAAGATATGCGTGATAAACCTGGGAACGAAAACCAGCCGCGCGTGGTACGTTCGTCTTATTTTGAGTTCCCTACTGCCCCGCACTGTCGAGGATCCAACCGCTTGGTTCAAAGATCAGAGGCAGTGTATCACCAATGAGCTTGGGCAGCAATGTGAACCTGCCACGGCGCTGGTGGCGGCCATGGTTTCCCGCTCACTTACCTAATGCCACGTCATGACTTGACAACCCCGGACAAAAAGTGAGACGATTCAAGGGTTTGGAAAAAATCGCGAAGAGGTGATTGGATTCTAGAAGTAAAAATGCGTCCCCGTGCGCTGTGTTGGTTCCGCATTCGGGTTTGGTGAGGGGGCAGTGGGGGAGCGTTTGGTGGGGGCAGACCCTTGAAGCCAGCCCACCGAACCTTGACAATGGGAGCGAAGGGTAGAAGTGAAATCACCATACTATGACTACACAGGGCATTACATTGATCTAGTAAACAAGTTAGCCTCGAAAAGAACGGACAAACGCCAGCCTGGCCAGCTTAGAAGATACCTTTGTGTATAGCCTGCCTTGATCTTTGCGTAACCCGCGGCTATGCCATCTACAAATCTGTATCCCCTTCCTTGTCATGAATACTCACGGAGCCTAGGTTAATCATAGATCGATCAACGGCCTTTACTGCTTATTATGCGTAAAAACCTGTTTTTACATCATCCAAAGTCTTTCACACAACAAGCAGCCCTATCCTACGGGCCGTCTATTACAAGGCCCCGTGCAAACCCTTACATGCCACTTGATGAGTTAGGTTTCAGATACTCAAGTGTCAGGCATCCAGTAAACATGTCGACGCGCTATAATTGCCTCGATGAGTGTCTCTTGATCCTAAGTCCTGCACTGTGATTCGATGGGGCCCATACCAGTCCAAATCAAAAATGTGGATTCACTGAGGAATGTCGCCCATGTCAATAGAGACCACACGCAATCAGAATGATGCACTGTTTTCGTTGTAAACATAGATTGCCAGATTGCAGTAATACTTAAATACCTTCCTAACGCCCTTCACCCCTCATCCATTCACGTGCAAGCCCTTTGTAGTCGGCTATCTGGTACGGCTCCAGGAGCTCTCTATAAATATTCTGCTTCCTGTGGTAACTCAACCCCAAATCTGAGAGAAGCATGTCGACGTATGGGATACTATCGGCAACGAGATCTGGATATCTTTCACCCGCGCCACCCGTCTCCTTCGGCCTCCGAACACGCTCAAACTCCGTATGGAACCAAGTGTCGTGCTTGATCTTGTCGTAGACGTGCTTCGTGCCTGGTCCGCGGAGATGAGGGATCTTGTCGCCAAAGAAGGCCGTAATCCACAGTGCCTGAGCTTGAGAGATAATGGCCGTGTGGATTGTGATGTGGGCGCCGATGATGGCAAAGTTCTTTTGCTGGATGAACCCTTCGCCATAAGGGACGAGAAATCGGTAGAGACGGTACGGCGACGAGTGGGGACTCTTCTGTTCTTTTGTTGCGGCTAAATCAATCTCTACGTTTCTGGGTAATTCTCGAACTGGCGCAACGTTTAGCACCGGCGCCCATTTTGAGATCTCACCCCGTACTTGTGCTTGGAGGGCAGGATCGTCGGGTGAGTCTCCAGGGAACCCTATTTGGGAACTGACTCCTTCAGGCAAGAACTTAATGTTCGGTTTGGCTTCCCAGCCTGTACAGCATACAAGGGCATCGGCCTTGATGACGGTCCCATCCGAGAGATGGACCGTATGCTTGATAGAGAGACTACCTCGGCGGCGTGTGCGGTAATTTTACCACTCCTCGCAAGGTCAAACCAAGCCGTGTCGTAGTTGTGTATTCCTAGGGAATTTCCCATCCAGTACGTGGAGCTCCATGGCTTCAGATTCCGCATACTGGAACAGTTGTCGTAGGCGTTTATTGTCATCACTTTTTCGTCTAGACGACGCCAAAAGAGCGATACCAACCTTTGACCGAGCCAAGACCGGTTGATGATGCGTCGGATAGGCTGAGCTGATGGTCCAAACGGACTCGGATCTAACCATGATACTAATCGTGTTGATGTTAGAGCCGAGAGTGACTTGAAGAACCCCGTTAGACTCGCCGGCCACACCCAACTCGGCCCACCACCAGACCGCCTCATGACCATGTGTGCATCAGCCCCAAAGTGCGCGGCAGAGCTGTAGCAAACATCCCATGCCGACTTGTTTCCCCGATAACGACAACGCTCGTACATGTGGCGATATCCTTGGCGCGGAGCTTGAAGTCTTTGGCGTGAAATATGTGGCCGCCAAATTCTTCTAACCCTGAAAAGAATGGCATAGAAGGTTCGGAAGTGAGCCCTGTAGCTAGAACCAGCCTGGAAGCTAGCATTTCGATATAAGCGACAGGCTCCACATAGCAATTCACCCTGTCTGCCCCCTCAGATATTGACGGCATAACAGAAGAATATATTTTCCACGCCCCATTAGGTAGTAGGGTGACTGTCTCAACTTTCGTAGATAGTCGAATGTGGCGTGAGAATCCGTAGTGCTCGGAAAAGTCGCCCAAATACTTGTTCACAACGCTTCCGGGAATATGTTGCCCCTTTTGAATCCCGTAACGTTCTAGTAGAAGAGGGAAATCGCTGAACTCATAGCTTCCAACTACGTTGTTAGTCTTGAGGCCCGGGTACAGCCTTTCATCTGCCCATGTGCCCCCAACGGGCCCCCAACGGACCTGGCATAATCAAGGATCACAATGTTTGCGTTCGGATGGGCCTCCATATAGGTATGAGCCATTGATAAGCCGTTCCATCCTATCGAGCCAAGTTAGAATGGAAGGAGGACAGCGTAAGGCGAGGTACGCACCGGCCCCAACGATGACCAGGTCGAATTTCTCTACCATTGTCGCGACAGGATGACCCAACACACCAGCTCGGGTTTAGAAATTCGAATTTAATCAGCCTTATTTGATCTCTTCTCTTCCCTGTATGACTGACTGCTGGTTAACGATCAATGGGAATTAGGTGTTGGCATAGGTTCCTTTCATACAGCCCCAACGCGCTCATGAGACTAGAAGCGGCATCATCTCATGATAGAAACCCACGCTCCTAACCTAGGCGAAAACCGATTACTCCAAGTTACGCGAGCTGAGAGCTTCACTTATACCCTATATTGTTTCCGGCGTAAAAGATAACAATAAGCAACTGATATCCTACGCTTTGAACGGATAGATATGTTTCCCGGACCCACCCCACTCTTGTCCGGCTTCACAGTGGGGTCGTATGATTGGACGGATTGGCTGCAAAGGATGCTCCATAAGGACTGGAGAGGGGTAGGAGTGGCACAAAGACGAGCTCCAAGCCAAATTTAGCGCTGATTACATCCCCAATGCCCCTCGCGACGGGAACGAGAGTCGGTAAGTGAATCTGGGGTAAATGGTCAGTCAGCCTTTCCAACATCTGAACCTCGGCACCTACACGGACACCTACATATGAGCCGCGCTCCTTCCCTCTTCCTTCCTGCTGAGTTCTTTAGATAGGCCGGTGCTTGCTTGCCTACTAGACAAAATCTTCGACCAACCAGCGGTTTACTCTCTACATACGCGGAGATTAAAAGGCTCAACGTGGAAATGGGAGTCGATCCGTCGAGCGTTTTAGACATCGAGAAGTGGCCGGGCGCCCAAAATTTGTCGCACGATGCACTGAGTTCCTTAATGAAGTGCAAGACCTGTGGGTTCCCCTTGCCTATTTCTAAATTTGTCCTCCACAAGTGTATGGTCTAACGAAGCTCGATCGCGTAGAACACCGGGAAAGGACTTGGAAGCTCGGCTCAACAAAGACTATGGGCCAGGAAATACTTTTTATGAAGACTTCTGTGCTTGTATCAAACAGGGTGTCAAGGAAGGGTGGGTGGCGGAAACGGAGCTAGACGGACCAAAGTACAGGAGAGGAAAGATCTCCGTACCCACGCCAGAGACAAGATACTTTAGTATAACCACGGTGTTCATGGACAGCCAGGAGGAATACTCAGGCCAATACCACGCGCACCCATATGGCGAGATCAACTGCGTTATCCAGATCGATGCGGGGGCCGAGTTGAGGGGCATGCAAGGGTGGCAGGGTGCTGGGTGGACGTCCCCGGTCCTGGCACGCACCACTTTCCTCAAGTTCGAGGTGGGGCCTTGGTGGCGTTGTTCTTTCTCCCGGCCGGACGTATCTCTTACAACGCGAACCCAGGCGACCCACAGCCCTTATCTTTATAGGTTAGGGACAGGCGAAGTTTTTCCCACAGGTGGGAGGATTTAAATCTACTATTTCTTTTTCTATAGTCCTTTTATACGCCTCCTATCTAAGTCACTCTCACTATGTAAACCTTCTACTAGGCCTATATAACCCCCAATGCTAGAATCTTGTGGGCTACTTTAGCGTGTCCTACTAACCGGTGCTGCTGCGGGAAGAGACTCCACGTCAGCCACGCCCGATTCGACATTTCCCCGCGTCTTTACACTTCCCTCACCCTCGGTGGTAGCAAAATACTGTTATGTAGCATGCTTATATTCGGTCCAATGGAGATCTACATCAAAGCTCGCCTCTACTCCCTCCCACCATGGAACTCTCACTGACCCCGTGAGTCTGAATGCCGGGAAGCCGTACTAGCGTCGGGTGGAGTGGACAACACCACCGGGCGCCCCAGTCAACTCCGGGGCATAACCCCTGTCCTCGCCTTTGCGATAAGAGGGGCCCCACTTCCCCGCAAACGAGAATGTAACCATCAGCTGCGGAATTCCTTGAATGGAAGAGCCAGAATATCATTTTTGGGATTTTCCGGCCGAATAGGTGCTGGGCCAGTGGGGAATCAACACACACACACTGACATGAGCTCCTGTGATCAAATGAACTAGACAAGGACCTCGGCCACGTCCTATCAGAGGATTTAATTTCTTGGATCTAGACGCAGGTTAGGGTGAGCTAGTGTATGCCAGTACCACGACTACGATGTCCGTGTCGGAAAGTTGTAGCTCTACCTTATCTATGGTTATCAACTTGATTGCGTGGTGTGCTTTGTGAAGCTACGGAAGGTCACTCTTCCGTCACGTTTCTATCTACGAGAATCATTGCCTTCTACTCATGTACGGCTTGCTCATAAGTAGCTACATTTCCCCTAGGCCGCTCAAGCTTTTAACCTTCTTCTACAGACTCAAAGAATCAGAACTATCAGCCTAATATAGGCCGACTTATCTCTTTGAAAATGGATATCGAAACGAGTGATCTTCACCACGTAGATTCTGGGAAACCAGCTGATACTACTGCTGAAAAGTAAGCACTAAACCCACTCGTCCTGAATCGAGGATATGATTCTAACACTATTCCAATTCGTCTAGAGGCTCTGAAACAACGATACACATTGACCCTGTGGCAGAGAGGAAGCTTCGCTTGAAGATCGACCTTGCCGTCGTGCCTACCGTGTCACTTCTCTATCTATTTTGCTTCATCGATCGCGCGAATCTTGGTATGTGAGATCCGAGTTGGCGATATCGGCGGTTATAATACTTACAAAACACAGGTAATGCTAAAATCGCAGGCATGGACACAGAGCTGAATATGAAAGGATATGACTATAACATCATCATTAGTTGCTTCTATGTGTCATATATTGTTTTCGAGATTCCTACCACTATGCTATGCAAGTATATGGGGCCTGGTTGGTTCATCCCCCTCACCACTATTCTCTTCGGCGTCGCGTCTCTAGGCACTGCGTGGGTACATACTGTGTCCGCAGCCTCGGGAGTGCGATTTGTCCTTGGTATTTTCGAGGCTGGTATGATGCCTGGTATTGCATACTACCTATCGAGGTGGTATCGACGTGCTGAACTGGCATTTCGAATCTCCCTTTATATCGTCATGGCGCCCCTAGCCGGAGCCTTCGGTGGCTTGCTCGCTTCCGCGATCCTTACGCTTGATAGCTTTGGAGACCTTCATCAGTGGAGAATGATCTTTGCCATTGAAGGCATTATCACTATCGGCCTCGGGTTCATTGGTCTTGTCACCCTTACTGATAGACCTGAAACCGCGAGATGGCTCACTGCAGAAGAGAAGGTACTCGCCATTGAGAGGGTGAGGATGGAGAGGGTCGGGGCCAGTGAGGTCCTTGATAAAATCGATGCCGCGAAAACATGGAGGGGGATTTTTAACCCGCTTACATTGAGCACCGCCTTCATCTTCCTTCTCAACAACGTTACAGTCCAAGGCCTTGCTTTCTTCCTTCCTACCATTGTCAAGACCATCTACAAGGATGCCACCACGGTTCGGCTTCAATTACAAACCGTGCCCCCTATATCGTCGGCGCGTTCTTTACCCTCTTATTCCCTCTGCTTAGTTGGCGTTACGACCGACGTAACATCTTCTTCATAATTTGCGCGCCCTTCACCATGGTTGGTTATATTATGTTCTTAGCGTCGAAAGTTGCCATGGTGCGCTACGCGGCTACATTTCTGATTGCCATGTCTTCATTCCCCTTTGGACCCATCGCCAATGCACAAGCCAGCGCCAACGTGATCAGCGATACCGCCAGAGGTGCCGCCATTGCCACGACTGTCATGCTTGGTAATGTTGGTGGGCTCATCTCCGGCTGGAGCTTCCTCCCATGGGATGCACCTGACTATAAGATTGGAAACGGCCTCAACCTAGCTACGTCGTCAACTGCACTGCTTGCAGGCCTGGCAATCTACGCATGGGCTAAGATGGATAATAGGAAGCGGAGGTCAAGGGACAGCGGCGAAGAGCTACAGGGACTGACACAGCGCCAGGTTGAGGATCTAGATTGGAAGCATCCGGATTTTATGTGGAGGTTGTAAATATGATATCTAGACGGACAGGTTCCTTTCAATTCACTTGATCGCCCGGCGACTTCGCTAAAGCCTTCGAAAACATAACCTAGGGATTCTAGCGAATCCGTTGCCGCATACCACACGTTCTACTTCGCTGGGAACAGGAAGCTAATTAAATTTTAGAGAGCGCTAAGATTCATAAACTATCATACATATACTTTGATGCATTATTCCCAATCGACATCAGTGCATTCATTGAACTAGGTCGGTCGGGGGTTCGAAGCAGTAAATATTCGATCTCATCTCTATGTAAAATTGATCTTTGGCGTAATTGTCCGTGTGAACGTGTTGACCTCTCCTCTAAACCCTGTCTATTTGTTGGTCACAGTGCTGACACTTTGTCCCTGTAGGGGTTGACTCTGTCATGATACCCCCAGTCTCCTCGCCTGCTCAATCTATAGATTGATAGATGTACATAAGGCATATTAGTTCCATCCATTACGAATTACGAAGGGCTATATCTAGACCAATGGAGCCTTGAAGCCGCAGTCGCCGCTCCAGTCTCTGACATACTGATTGTTTAAGCACTACATAAGGCCTTTATATAATATTCCACTTCGTTGATATATATCTATACTCGTCTATGGTTGATTTTATGTGATTACAGCGCGCGGATAAATACTGGGGCCGCTGTTACACTCCTAAGACTAATGATATATAGGGATAATCCCTAAGGCTGAATAGACTAGTGCTATGGAACCACAGGCTAGCTGGGAGTGGCATCCCGCTTTAGACACTTATGTACTTGTTAAGATGGAGCGATGTTACGCAAGGCAATAGGAATAGCTGCATCTGATTCCGCTTTCCAGATGACCTGCCAAAGAGTGCTCGTGTTGGTTGGGACGGCATACCACTGGGTATTCATCGTGCTGTCCACTGACATAAAAAGTACATGCCCGTAAAACCCGAACCCGGTTGTAACGTGAAGGGGGTCGCTTGTGGCATTAGTAAAGCCGACGGCTCCAGGCTCTGATGGGACAAAGAAGAGACTGGTACCAAGATTCGGTCGAGTGGCTACCAAGCTGTCTCCGGTTTCTGTGGCGGTAACTACCCTCTCAACATTAGTGATAGCTATCTCGGAAGAGCCACTATGGGGGATTTACAGGTAACATTCGTAGCTTTCAAAGTAGCAGCAGCTACTGCGTCGGACGTAATGTACGCTTGGTCTAATCGAACTTGGGTGATTAGTAAATACCAAGGCTACTTAACGAGAGCCCACTTACTATCAATGGATATGATAGGAAGGCCTCCGATCTCTTCAGAACCAGAGCCGTAAGCATAGATCGTGAAATCGGTCTCACTATCGGCACGGCGATTGAGTGGACTACCAGTGGCGCCAGCTGCGAGGGCCAAGGCGGTAGACATCTTAGTGAACAGCATGGTTGACAAAGGTTGAATGCAGCTGAGACGGGCTCATATAGGAGATACCAAACACTCATCTAAGACGATTAGGGGATTCAGCAAAACGTCGGCAAGGACAATCGATAGCTTTTATTCAACTCTGGTGCAATGACTTAGGATCCTCCAGTAGTGAATAATTGCCAGAGCGTTGACGCATTCGCGTCCTTGAAGGCAAGGGTTAGCATGACGCGTAGCCTTTGTTACCCACCCGGCCATAGGATCTAGTTCTTCATTGCTCAAAGCCCTTATAGAGGCAATTGATGTCACTGTCACACGTAGAATGAGGCTCATAATCGGACTGTTATCATCGGAGAAGATAACAAAAGCATCTTCGTCCGAAAGTGGAGAGGGTGAAGAAAAGGGGGTGGGTTGTTGAAACGTGACCCGAGCGCGGTCGGTCCCATAAACGTCGAGCTCGCGCACGGTCAAAGCCGCGTGTCAAGCTTTATGCAACGCGAGCCTGCTTCCTTTGATCGCGCCACAAACCCCCATCAATGTGGGGCGCCGGTCTTAACAATCTTGTTAAGCCTGAACGAGAGACTCGTCGAAGAACTCCTCTCAGAAGCGGCATAGCCAATAGACAGCAGTGCGAGCGCTGGATGGGCACTTACTCCCTGCCGGCATTTCATGCCTTACGTACCACTACTTAAAGCAAACGGTATTATTTCTGTATTTAGCTATAAACCTTCAGGCTGGCAACGTAGAGCCCCATCGTCAACGACATCCGTCAAGGCTGTACGTAGCCACCTAGGATTACGATCCTCTCTATTAGCTATCGATGATGCACCGAGTAGACTGGGCTTTTCTATCTTGTAGAGGAGCCGCCTTATCCGTTTCCCTAGTTGTTTTTTCACATCCACTGATATGCAGCCACAGTGACGCGCGTTTCACGAGCGTTAGGTGAACTGCGAACCTGTGGTTTGAGGCGTGGAGGGATAAGTCTGGATGAAAAGAATATCTGTGTGTCGACAATAAGAATGCCAATATAATAAGGTAAGACTCCCTGCGAGTTTTAGCTATACCATTCGGTGTACAGATTTCAGGCTTCCAACAACCTTACCCTTAGCTTTCATTAACCATCTCTCCATTCTTTACAATGCTTTTTCTTTTATGCTTGACAGCCTTTCTCAGGTTCACGGTAGCAGCTCCTTCCACGTCTGACATTCCATTGCTTGCTCGAGCGTCTTGCTCAGGTAACACCGCCAACACCCGGTCCACTTGGTGTGACTTCTCTGCGGATACCGACTATACTGTCACTGCACCTGATACTGGCGTTACTCGCGAATGTGAGTCCCTCTTCCCTTGAGACTGAGTAAATAGAGCTTAGTTCCGTGGATGTATGGATACAGGGAGTAAATCGCAGTCCTGACCACTTCCTCTAGACTGGTTCGAAATCACCGAAACTACTGCCGCACCTGACGGCGTAGAAAGATATGTGCAGGTTATCAACGGCACTATTCCTGGTCCTACAATTATTGCTGACTGGGGTAGGCAAATGCCAGCCTTCCCTAACTCGGAACCTCGCTAACTGTAGAAATTTAGGCGATACTGTGGTAGTTCACGTCACTAATTCGCTTGCCATTTCTACTAATGGCACCAGCATACACTTCCACGGAATTCGCCAAAACTATACTAACCAGAATGATGGTGTCTCGTCTATCACCCAGTGCCCAACACCACCGGGGTCGTCTATAACTTACACATGGAAGGCCGCACAGTACGGGTCAGGCTGGTACCACTCTCATTTTGGCTTGCAAGCCTATCAAGGAGTATTTGGTGGAATCGTGGTAAATGGCCCGGCAACTGCCAACTATGACGAAGACCTCGGCCATATTTTCCTGAACGACTGGAGCCACGAAACAGTTGACCAGTTGTTCCAAACCGCCCAGACCCGTGGTCCACCCACTCTCGATAATGGCCTCATCAACGGCACGAATGTATATGGGGAGGATGGTGACGATAGCCAGGTTGGCCAGCGTTTTGGAATGACCGTCACAGAAAACACCTCCTACCGATTAAGGATCGTTAACTCCGGCGTGGATACTCACTTCAAGTTTATGATTGATAATCACACATTAACTGTGATTTCAATGGACTTTGTGCCGATTGAGCCATTTACGACGGACGTATTAAGTATTGGAATGGGTATGACATGACGGTGTCGTCGCTTAGAGAAACACGCACAATGCTAACTACTCTATAGGTCAGAGATACGACGTACTTATCACCGCAGACCAATCTGCGGTCGCTGATAGCTTTTGGATTAGGGCTATTCCACAGTCCGCCTGCAGTGAGAATGACAGCCAGGATAATATCAGAGGAATCCTATCCTACGGGGCCTCGTCGACGACACCGTCGACCTCGAGGCCGGATAGCTACTTTGAGGGTTGTGAAGACATGGACGCTACCAGCCTTGTTCCCCATGTCGTCAAGTCTGCGGGCACACTAGCCAATAAGGGTGTGGAGGAGGCAACCGTAGGGTTCAATGAAGACAGGCACTTCCGCTGGTTCTTGAACTCAACTACTATGCTAGTTGAGTGGGCCGATCCGACGCTCCTTAGCATTTTCGAAGGCGAAACGTCTTGGGACACCTCCGATGCCGTTATCGAGCTCCCTAATGCTGACGAGTGGGTATTGATTGTGATAGAGACTGCTTTATCGATCCCACACCCTATACATCTCCACGGCCACGACTTTCTTGTGCTTGCCCAGGGAGCAGGAACCTACAGCAGCTCTGTAACGTTGAACACAGAAAATCCGCCTCGCAGAGACACTGCTATGCTCCCAGCGTCCGGATACCTTGCTATTGCCTTTCAGACGGACAATCCAGGAGCTTGGCTCATGCATTGCCACATTGGCTGGCACACGAGCGAGGGCTTTTCTCTCCAATTTATTGAAAGATACGATGAGATTGTGGAGTTGATTGACTCGGACGAGTTAACAAACACCTGCGAAGCATGGTCTACTCATGTAGAAGTATTCGAGGTTGAGCAGGAAGACTCTGGCTTATAGTCTAACCCTCTGGCAATGTTATAAATAGTCTTAGGTTTTCTCTTTCTCAATTTTAGCTATATACAATATGACAACGTTCAATATAGTGACTAAACTTTTACAATTTGTCGGGACTACCTATCCGTTTGATTCCCACATTTCTGATGCTATCGATCGTGCAACAGCATGATGCCACAAACCGACGAGACCGTGCGGTAAGTCATATCTAGTGATGATAATTTGATTGATACACGCGTACCCTTCAAATTTATAGAGTTTCCAAAAGTCACTGCTTTAGGTAGCCATTTTTAAGCGAGGATCATCATTACAGACTAAAGCTCAACGGGAAAAAAGGGATGAGTGTAGAAATGGCTGACAAAATGATACAAAGACTTTCTTATACATACTCCATCCTACAGAGTACCCCGACTACGAAGAGAATCTAGCGGCATCATCCCACTATACATGATTTCGGGGATGACAGCGATATGCCCCTTGCCAATTCATATTTAGAATTTATAGGAGTCAACGTATATAATGATAGCTAGTCTGTAGTGTCTTCAACATAGGCTCTAGCATCGAATGATAGTTCAGTTTACCGGTGTTACACTTTACTCGCGCTACTTAAATAAGAAATTGAAGTACTCCCTCGTGATAGAATCTCACGAATCCGACGAGATAGCTCCGTTAAGTGAACTATCGCCCATGTAAGATCTTTCCGTAGCCGGCACAGTCGAGGCTGTCATGGCCAAGACATCATCACAAACCACGAGTGCGAGCACGGTGACCGGAGAAGTGGGATTTCTTCAGGTGAGAGGAATTCCTGGAGATGGTGCCGAGGTACATTTATGAGTGTAATGGCTGTCGCCTGCTTACGTATCATTGCTACAGATATAATCTGTTCAGCTAGGACTGGACGATCGTGTTCAGTGGTGTCGGGCCGCCTCTGGTCTTGGAGGTGTTCTTAAAGTTTGGGTAAGATGGAACTAGCTTTTAAGCCGTGCATTTTGAGTACGCAATACCAAAATTACAGAGCGCTGGGCCTATTGCGAATACAGGTCTTCTAGGGCACTGGTTTGTCTGAATTAATAGACGGTGGATTATCTCTCAGCTCATATCAAGTCTAGAGCGGTTGATTCGGCCACCTACGGAGGTAGCTAACCCTATCAGTCATTACTGCCTAGAAAAGTGACAACACTCCAGTTCACTGATACTGCTAAAGTAACGATCTTCGCATTGCCACTGGTTCTCTCATTCGTTAGCAACTCTTAATATAAGCCTCCCTGCCAATCCCCAAACCAAGTCGTACCGTAACCTATTAATAAGTAACCAGCACATCGCCGGGGAGCGTCGTGAGCCCTGGGAACGATGTCAGAATATAGCCGTCTTGTAAATGCCGAGGAGTGCACTCACAATCTCCATTCCTACCCACATCTTCGCCTCCCACCTGCGTATCCTTCACGCATTTGGAAGCATCTTCGCTAGACTGCGTCTCCAAGATAGGGCAGAGGTCATTGACGCAGTCATTTCCCAAAGTCGCGTCCATGCCGCGCTGCAGGGCGTCGCCCTTCCAACCGAAGAGATAGTCTCCGTGCTGGCCATGACCGGTGCTGTAGAAATACGGTACCCATGTTAGTCAATGCAAAACCAGAGACCACCCGTCCACGGGCTGTGGGCGAACAAATGGTTTTGGGTGCATCTTACGGATCGCCATAGCTGTAGACAAAAGGTTGCTTCCCACCCTCAAAATACTCGGGGTTGTTGAACTGCTTCGTGTCCCACTGGATCTCATACATGAGCTGCGGGATTCGAACGGGGTGCGAGCTAGGACAGGCGTCGTTGGCGAGGACGTTTCGACTCGGGGAGTAGGCGACGTGGCTCATGTGGTCGGCGCTGTCGAGCGTCTTCCCGTCCCAGCATGATGGGAAGATGATGGTCGCCCGGATGCCTCCGGGACACACCTTGGCCGGTAGTTCAGAGGTGTCTCTGGAATCACAAGGCGCACCACCGGCGCCGTTGCCATTGCAGCGATGGCAAATTCCGCGGGAGGTTCCATCTTGGCTGCGGAGTTGCGGGTCTCCGGCAATCATTCGGAATCCCTAGAAGTAGGGTTAGAAAACACTTCTCTGCGTCAACTTTATGGGGTATTAGTGAGGGAATATGCTCTGTACTGGTTGAAAAGCAGTCGTCTTTCCATTCCCACCATATGGGCTCATGTAATAGATTGTTAAGCCACCACCAATCGGTTGTTTCACGCCGTCGACACCCGTGAAGCCGTATTGTTGCGGTACCATCTTGTACGTGCCATTTTCGGGGACCGGAAGTACAAGCTAGCAGTCCAGTAGTTGCTGAAGTCTTCCGAGAAGGTGCACGAGGTACAAGTAGACACCTCGGACGGGTCCATGACAGTGTGATCCATCTACGAGGCCATTTGTCAGTGCCATGTACGACTGTTAGCACGCTAAATAGGAAGAAAAGCTCTTTGTCTCTCGTGTATCGTACAGAAGCATTGAACGAGTTTCCTCCCACGATCTGGTGGGTATGCGGAGATGGAATCATGCCCGGGTTGACGAGGGGGTCGATACGCTCGATGACAAGCTGAGAACAGCCAAATCGCAGCAGTCTGCCCACATTAATATTCTGAGCGACGCCATCAAGCGCCAGCAGCGCCACAACGGCAGCAAGATGCTCTCGCAACATTTTAACTAGAAAGGTAATTTGCGATGGCCTTGCCTACTGTGTAAGGCGACAAGAGCGCATGTCGATTAAGGTGGACACCGCGATCATTTAAACAAACATTTGCCCTAGTAAAGGAGGTTTAGCGATCGGCAGATGGAGGACGGCCCCTACCCGTTTAGATTAAACCCCCAGTGGAGAAGAATGCGGCCTTTATTAGGGTAAATTAACTTTGATTACCTGTCACTTTCGGTGCCAATACCACACAACCAGGCTTTTAACTACAGAGTCTGGGCGCAAAGCAGCCTGCAGCATCGGCTGGAAGCCAGCTTTGAAAGTTTCTGCCACCCAATGAGGTTAGTTCTACCTGATGAAGTGCGACGCAAGATACTCTGATAATACGGTACTTATGCTCGAGGCAGCTATATGTTCGGGTAAAACAGAATCGGACTGAGACGTCAGTCCTTGAATTTCGATGAGCAGGTAGTCTTGATCCGGCGAACGCTTAAATAGTGGTCTCCCAATCCTTTACTTTACGACGTCCAGTAAACTGCTGGAACATTGTCTATATAGATTAAGCGCATCGCGCCACCACCGACGGCCGCCTCCAGGCCCAGCCCAGGGCGGAGCAGCAACTATGTCTACAGCCCACAAAAGATTAACACGTTAGCCAGCCCAATCCTCCGAACCCCCGGCACTTCTCAGCTTAATGAGAGTGCAGTATATCTGATATCCGTAGATGAAAAGTCGCACCTCTTCCAGGAGAATCCAACCTTCATCAGCTGAGCCGGTTGCTCTTCTTATATAAACTAGCCTATAGTGGATTCTTGCGCCTGTCCTACATCCCCGCTCGGACGGAGCCACTCAACAGATAAGTCGCGCGATATTAGTGGCGTTGTGTTCTTGGTCGGAGAACGGTAAAGTGTCATTCTACGTGACCTAAAAGGTTGCCAGGAAGCATATCATGACGTCTACAATGTCGTAAAGGGATACTCTAGTGTTAGGATAGCCCGCCGGATGAGCCTGCCGGGCCGCCCTCGGTTATATATCCTTTTAGTTTAATGTAACTTGCTTCTTATCTACTTCATCTCAATCAGTAGAAAGGTAGACCCTTATATACATGTCAAGCTAACTTCAAGATCACTGTACTATACTCGGTGTTCCTTCTAAGCTGAACCCTTGTAGGCCCCATAGTCATAATCTGCTATCTGGTCCGATCAGGTTGTAGTTCTATATTATGTGTGTATAGATCTGGTTAGCTGGTTAGCTAACGGAAGCCAGCAACTATATGGAATGCTCATCTCAGATTCACCGCTGATTCCTAAAATGCCCTGAACCTCTTGACTATGTCCTGCCGCCCTCCGGCCGGCGTCTTCCCCTTCTGAGGCTTAGAAGCCCGGAGCCCGATAGGTTACACCAATTGATGCCGAGCGTGATACGAAAATGCCTACCCCAGTAAAAGAATTTAGCTGGAGGTGTCAAGGGGTTTAGCTCTCGAGGCAGCTATCTATAGAGGGACTGACTTGAAAGACTCAGATCCAATACTAAATACACCTTCTTTCTATCCTTGATTTTAGGGCACTGGTCAGCCTATTGACATAGAAAATCGCTATTGATCTCCGAATTTTAAAACCACCCGCGTCATATAGTGCCTCCACGCTTGACAAGCTTTCTAGGATCCGAATATACGCTATATTTAGCTAACGGACGAGAACTCACGACGGCTTTTATATCTATTCGCTGATTCAGCTATTTAAACCTGCCCACCAGCAGTCTAGCTACATCACTTATATTATTTATGGCGGTCATCGATCAATAATTACCGAAGGTTGCTATAGTGTAATCCTAGAGATTTGAGTAAACCTGATAGTCTGTTTTCAACGGCAGTGCGTACGTCATGGTCTTATGGCATTGACTTCTCGTCAGTCCATGCCTCTTCAGTTGTACCATCTCCAGATTCCTTTTCCTCCCTACCCTGTAAGCCTTCTGCAGAAAAGTCCCATGCCTCGTGTTGGCCAATCCCAGGCACCGGCGAAAGATAGCAGATGAGGGTATAGATAATGCAACCGCCGATTAGTCCTGTCCAGTACTTTGGTTAGCGTTAGTACAATAGTGACGGATCAAATTCCCTTCATACCAATCAAGAAAGAGACCTTGAAAATTCTCGTCCAGGCTGTAGCAACGTTATAGCCACCGATAGCGCCCGCAAACCCGGCTAGTATAATGTTAGTAACAGTGGGAAGCAACTTTCGAGTTAGGATACACTCACGAAGTGACATCCAGATAAGCGATATCCAGGTTAAGAATGCCCTCCAATGAAATCCGTACTGATACCAGTAGATGGAAGTTTTGGTCCCAATATATAGGTCTGGAACCTTGTACACCTGGCGGCGAACTATAAGATAATCAGCGATAAAAACCCCCATTAGTGGCGAAATGAAGATGCCTAGCGAGCCAACGACGGTGATAAAAGTGCTGGGAGAGTTGACGAGATTCCATGGGCATAGAGCAATTGCTATCACCGCTAGAATAAGCGCCCCTCGCCTAGCATTGATCACCTCCGGGGCAAGAGAGGCAAAGTCCATTCCAGTGGCGATGGCGTTAGAGGCCACATTAATCTAATTTTGCGTCAGTATACGCCACATGTCATGATGGGCTAAGGTTCTACGAACCGCAAGTTGACTCATAAACCAACCAAGGCCTGCAAAGAAAGTGCCGGCTCTAGTAGTAGCGCTGTAGTCTACTTTTTGGATATGAGCTAGCAGCGTCATTGGCTGCCAGATTATCTGGCCGTAGATGCTTCGAGTGGCACTCGTTATAAATATTCCAAACATGGCAGCCACACTAACGCTCAACGGGCACCCGACCCAGATGCCCCAACGAGCGGCAGAGGGCGTTTTCGTATATCTCGTCCAGTCCGCGTGGCGGATGCTAACGCCGCAGTAGGTTGTAGCCATAGTGCAAACGGCCTGAATGAATTGAAAGGCAGTGTCTCTACCTCGGTAAAAATTGCAATTAGTCTAAGCCGGGATGATGGGGCGGGGGAAGGTGACTTACCCAGAGCTCAATTTCAGGGTCGGGGCGACGAGGTCACCGGCCCCGTGGTTCGCCGCCATAGCCCAGATAAACATACCAATAATTGTGAGGCTAACTCCGATAAAACTAGTAAGGAAGAAACCCTGGAGCTTATGAGGAGGAACGCATAACATTCCAACAAACACAACCCAGTAGATCATTGTGCCAATGAGGTCGTTAGTCGTTATATTCGCCCTTTTGATCGTTAAAATCGTTTCATGACTACAAGGACTCTACAGCCACCTACCCTTCAGGGAGTGTGTTGCGCATCCTATGATAGCTCGGGAAAATTGCGGAGAGCTCCAAATTCCAACCGTTAGCGAATCGTTATAAACATACATAGAGTAATAACCTTACCATTACCCGGATCGCTATGCCTCCCCAATAGCATTGAATGCCGCTGCTGTCAAGGTGTAAGTTGACACTCCTCAAAAGGACATATGGTATCGAAAGGGCTGCTGATACACATACTAGATGATGTTACCGAAACACTTGAGGACCACAACAAAGTAACTTCCATACATCCCAAAGGCAGCCCGGCTCATCATTGGAAAGCCTAAGGCATATTTGATGCCAAATTCACCGCACCCCCAAGCTACCACTGCAGATAACACCGACCCTAATATCATAGCACCGATGGCCTGGCCGGCACTCAAACCTGCTGCAATAGCAGATGAGCCCATAGTCCAATAAGTTGCAGCTATGCCGACGGACACCCTTTTGCCGTTTTAGTTTTCTTAACTATATGGGTAATGATTGGCACCATACTCACCAGAATCCCATGTACGTCTTGATGGTATAGTTGCGGTTCTCAGGTAAGACTGGCAGAATGTCCGCATTGGCCCACCGGTTCGTTCTTCGGCCGTTATGGTCCTCCTCCTTGATTCGAATCAAGTTAAACAATGTAACAAACGCATTACCCGCCATTTTTGCGAAGGGTGCTGGCGCGATCAGCCAATTAGCACGATCAGTTAAAGGTGATATCTCAGGGCGGCTAGAATAGCACAGGGGAACGGGAATTGATCTGTCAAAGGCCTCCTTCTTACCTTTTGACCAGAGGGTCGAGAATGGCCGTTTTAATGGGCTGTCAGGAGCAGGAGAGGGTAGCAAATCTGCGGGGAGTGTCCATTTTCTGGCATTTATGGGATATGCTCGCTTATCGCTACCACTACTGCAGCCGCACAGGACGGATCGTGGAATGATGATAATTGTCTCCGGATCCGGGCCATCCTGGCACATCGGTATATTGATGGAAAGAAGGAGGCTATCCCAAATGAAGGAGTTTTACTCGCATCTCAAGTGTCCTGAAGAACTGGGAATGGAGATGTGAAAGGGGAAGAGATGGGCGGACAGAAACCGCGCTCGGACATTTTGCTGCGGCTATTCCAGATTAGGAAGTTCTTCTCGCACCATGCCAACTTCTCCTGATTCCACTAGAATGCGTACCGTCCTTTGCCTTTTCAATGATCTGACTGATTGCGGCGTTGCGTTTTAGTCCATGGCTGCAGTTTGATGTGGATAACGTAGAGGACTCAGGATGCGACACATAATACGATAGGGGCTGGTGATCAAGGTATCCGACCTTGGGCCGCTTTCCTGAGCGGTTCCTAGGGAAATTGCCGAGAGGGAGTCATCCGCGTGGCCTCTCTTCAGAAGTGCCACTATATAGTGTTCGGCCTTAGTGTATACATCTAAACAGACAATGCTTGGAGTTTCCGATCTTAGGTCGAGCCTTATCAAATTCGGCGTACATATTTGCTTAATCTTTCTATCAATCGCTGGGCACCATGGAGTCCGCCATCCTGCACCGCTCCCTGACGAAGAACTACCCTATCGCCGTCGGGGAGATGGAGTTTACATCATCAACGATAAAGGGCAGCGCATATTGGACGGAAGCAGCGGTGCGGCTGTTTCTAGCGTTGGACATAGCAACGAAGAGGTCATCGAGGCCATTATCGAACAAACACGATCACTGTGTTTCGCACACACTTCTTTCTTCACTTCAGAAGCTGCCGAGGAGTTGGCGGGGCTCATCATTAGCCAAAGTGGCTGTGGCACCTTTTCTAGAATCATGTATACCAGTTCTGGATCGGAAGCGGTCGAAGCTGCCCTCAAGATTGCTCGGCAGTATCATGTCTTCCATGGTGACCTGAGAAGGATTAATATCATCGGACGATTGCACTCCTACCATGGCAACACGATGGGAGCCATGGCTGCTGGGAACAATCCGCCACGCAGGGAAGCGTTTGAGCCGATGCTTAGTCCGGCCTTTCAGCATGTTAGCCGATGTTTCTACGATAGAGACCACGACGGTATGACCGAGAGAGAATACGAAAACCACCTCATTGACGAGCTAGAGGCCAAGATCAATAGTCTTGGCGCCGAAACCGTCGCCGCTGTTATCGTTGAGCCAGTGGTGGGCGCCACGCTCGGCGCAGTTGCTGCTACACCTACCTATCTCCCTCGATTGAAAGCCCTATGTGAGAAGAACGGAATCCTCGCCATTTGGGATGAGGTCATGTGCGGAATGGGGCGCTCCGGGTCGTACCATGCATGGCAGAGCCTTGGCGGGGCGGCGCCGGATCTTCAAACCATCGGCAAGGGCTTAGGTGCCGGTTACCAACCGCTCTCAGCCATCCTTCTTAGTGAAAAGGTTGCGACCGAGTTTGAGCTACATGCAACGGGGGCGAAGAAGTTTATAAACGGACAAACATTTCAGGGTCACCCGGTTGCTTGCGCCGGGGCGCTAGCCGTGCAGAAGATTATCAAACGCGATCGACTCATCGCCAACGTCCTTGCTAGGGGCGAGCAGCTTAACTCATCCTTGACGACTGGTCTACCTTCCGGCTTTTTCGAATATTCCGGGAGTCTGCGCGGTATGGGTCTCTTCAGAGCCGTGGATTTTGGGAATCTAGGTGCGGCAACCGGCGGCTCCCTTGCGCAGGAGGTCGTGGATGAGAGTTTTAAGCAGGGAGCAGCGGTGTACACCTGCTCATCCGCGGTCGATGCTGTGCTCATCGCTCCGCCTTTCATTATCACTGAGCAGGAAGTGGATGTCTTAGTGATGACATTCTTGAAGGCCCTAAGCACTGTTTTAGAGAAAAGAGGCAAAGCACAAGTCATCATCAATAATGGCCAAGATACCGAGTCGACATTGGTTGCAGAGGTATTGCATCGGCTGTAACTAAGTTCCGTCGCTACAGATTTGCTCTGAGGTTATGAGGTCGGGCGCAGGGCACGCCTTCTCCGAGATGATCGTAGGAAAATGTACGGAGTAGCTAGTTTCTAGCCATCAAATAGGTTCTATTTAGCGTAAGAGTGTATGTAGATAACCAATACTGAATTGGTGCCAAAACAGACTATCAACTCATTTGTTATATTATATTTTGCCGTCACATATTTGGAGAAGCGCTTATAATTTACGTCGACTCTGGCGGGTTGATATAGGCATAATCATAGAAGTAGCCAGACACGAGTCCCTTTCATAGTCTCCTAGAATCACTGTTGATAGTACACTCCAAACTTGCTATACTGGCAGACCTAAACTGAGCACTTCCCCTACTAAATCCGCCGGCCTTATGCTCTTTATTCGAAACAAGCTTCTCGTGACCGAGCTTCGTCGATTGCTGCTCGAGCCGATTTGAGGCAGTCTATAGGGTCTAAACTCTAAGTAAGTACACGTTTTACTGCTGTTGAGAAGTAAAGCTTACTTGGAAGATCGCTATGGATGCAGCAAGTAAATCCCCGCCCTGCTATCGGGACAATGGCCTCATTCCCGTTTATAGATATGACCGTTCCCTCTGAAATGATCTTATCCATCTTCGGTCTGATGTCTGCCGATGGGACGCGACCGGCGGTTCTTTTGTTGATCAGTATCTGAGCTGGAAGCAGGGGCGATGAAATTGCAAAACTTACAGAATTGGAACTGTTTGCCCATGGTCATCGTACCAAAGATCTGGGAAAAATTCCGGAATAAATGGAATCTCATATTCCTTCGCTAGTTCCTCATGAGCAGTGCCGGGGAGTCCCACGAAAGGTACACCAAAGGTCTTGATCGCCCTCATACAGGCGTCCCCAACCATAGGATCGTCTTTAATCATTCGATATAATTTCCCGTGCGGCTTAATATGACTCAACTTCATCCCTTCGGCTCTTAACATGGCCTCAAGCGCGCCCACTTGGTATAACACTTGGCTGTATAAAGTTTCCGGAGGAATGTCTATAAGTCGGCGACCAAAACCCTCCTTGTCCGGCAACCCGGGGTGAGCCCCGACAGTCTTACCGTATTTCTTCGCCAGCTTGATGGTCTCGACCATTGTTGCTGAGTCACCAGCATGGAAGCCGCAAGCAATGTTCGCTTGGTCGATGAGCGGCATCAACTCCTCATCTGGGCCCTAAAACACATTTAGACGGGAAGCCTTCATACTGAGGAGCTCGGTCGACTACGACTTACCATTTTCCATTGGCCAAAGGCCTCCCCATGTCGCAATTGATCAAGATCTGTGATGCAGGTGTCATGGCGACCGTCAATTAGAAGAGAAATATATCAAGACAACTAATTATTTCAACGAGTACTTGATAGTTCAGCTCTGATTCACCTGTCTAAACGCGGCCGAGTCATCAAGTTATCTTCTCTAGGAACTCGGTATAAGGCCTCCGGCACCTCTTCCACGTGATCCGGAAACGAATATAGGATGGCGGCATTATGAGGCCTAACTCCTCGGCACATTCCTTCCTCCGGCTGTCAGCGAATAGGGTTCTGTACCGACACGCCGAAGTGCGAGTCGAACTTCCTAATCCGGCATGAAAACCTCACCCGCGCTCCACCAAGGGCAACGGAGAATCGAAGCAGGGCTTAAGTGAGAATGAGGTCTCCACAACTTGAGGGGGTGATAAGGATCTCAAATGGTCTTCGGCATCTAGTGTCCCCATGCGCCCAAGAACGGAATAAAATATCATATCCTAAACGGGATGTAAAAGCGTCATTGAGTAGTTCCATCTAACAACGCCTGGCTAACTAAAGTAGCGTATCTTGTAGTCAGCTTCCATGCCATTACATCATATAAAACAGTGGTTTTATCTATTCCACCGCCCTTGCTCCTCATCGACACCTCTGCGTTAAGGCTAAGCAAAATAATCATCGAGTGTTTTTATTAGTCAAGAGCAATGCGAGTAGTTATAGCTAATCGTGGCGAAATCGCTATCCGTCTTATAAAGGCGTGTAAAGCGGTAAGTTTGGTCATCGACCGTGGGGTGTTTATACTGCTAAATCTCACTCTAGCTCGGACATTTTTCAATCGCCATTTATTCCGACGAAGATGGCATGTTTTCGATCCGTCCATAGGCTAGGGTGTTTCACTAACATCACGCCGTAGGCTCCTCTATGCATGTGCGCCTCGCCGATGAAGCTGTACGATTGGGTGGCACTGGGGCACGGCAATACATGGACAGGTATGAGACCCGGGTTCATCATCTAACTGGGCGTCCTCATTCACGTACTTATGCGATTTTAGCGAACGTATTATAGCAATAGCAAAAGATCACGCTGCAGAGGTTGTACTGCCTGGTTACGGTACAGCCACCTACCCACCCAGTCCCGAACAAGATTCACACTGAAATGCATAGGTTTTTGAGCGAGAACACTCATTTTGCCCGGCTTCTCTCCGAGAATGGTATTGTGTTCGCAGGGCCAAGCCCAGAGACTATTATGCAGTTTGGCTTGAAGCATCGAGCTCGTGAACTAGCGATCCTTGCCGATGTGGGTTTAGAAATCCAAGTGTCTAGGACATGCATTAATTCTACGTAGGTCCCTGTCATCCCAGGGTCTAGTATTATCACTTCTTTACAAGAGGCGGCAATGGAGGCCACAAGACTGGGCTATCCGGTAGGAAGACTTGCACCATATAACACCTTTAAGCTATGTCTAACTATTTGTAGATCATGGTCAAGGCAACTGCAGGAGGTGGTGGTATGGGTCTTCGTGTTTGCCATTCACCAGATGAACTTGAGAATGCCGTGCAGCTTGTCCAAAGCAGAGGAGAAGCATTATTCAAAGATGCGGGGTTCTTCTTAGAGAAATATGTCCAACATGGGAGGTATGTTAGGCACGGATATAATATGATAAGTAAACAGGCTGACAATTATTCAGGCACATTGAGGGACAAATATTCGGCAATGGACAAGGTGATGTGTTGTGGTTTGGTGAAAGAGAGTGCTCGGTTCAGCGAAGACATCAGAAAGTTTTCGAGGAGGCACCTAGTCCCTTTGTGCTTCAGCATCCGGACCTGCGGCATAAACTACAAGTCGCCTCTACATCCCTCGCGCGTTTGGTGAAGTATAAGTCGGCTGGAACTGTAGAATTCTTGGTTGACGACAAGACGGGCAATTTCTACTTCCTCGAGATGAATACGAGGCTACAGGTAAGTGATGTTATATCAAGCCCGCATCATTCAAAAACTTGCTTATCGAACAAATTCTCTAGGTTGAACATGGCGTCACCGAGTTATGCTATGGGGTTGACCTTGTAGCTTTGATGCTGAAACAAGCCACTGCAGAATTCCACGGTCGGCCCGGTCTGACACAAGCAGAGATGGCGGTGGAAGCCCAGCCTATTCCCCAACGCCACGCCATGGAAGTTAGGGTCTACGCTGAGAACCCGGCCGATAATTACAGTCCTTCCCCTGGAATATTCACAAAGGTTTCGTTTCCGACATGGGATCATGTCCGTGTTGATACGTGGCTTGAAAATGGGTCGACGGTGACACCGTCCTTTGGTTCGTAGCATCCATCCTATCAGTCTCAAATTAGAGAGCAATCTCTTACTAAAAACATACACTTTATAGATCCTTTAATAGCCAAAATTATGGTTTACGGCAACGATAGGGCAGATGCGCTGGAAGCTATGAGGGAGACCCTAGAGTCAACAATACTTCAGGGTCCTATATGCAATCTCGACTTTTTGATTGCTATTATCAAGTCAAATGGTACGTTAGCATGATACTCACCCACCTCCTCTATACATAGCTGACAAAGATTGTTCTCGTGAAATTTCAAGATGTCGTATCCGGCAACACTACCACTGGAATACTTGACCACTTCAATTACCAGTTCTGCGGCTTAGAGTTCAAGGATGGTGGACTCTACACCACTGTACAGGACTTTCCCGGCCGGCCCCACCGGGAAAGCGGCGTTCCTGTTTCCGGCCCAATGGATGCTCTGTCATTTCGAAGTAAGTGCTCGGGCTACTCAACTAATTTTGAAAGTACAAAGTTCTGATAAATGAATGTCTAGTTGCCAACCTAATCGCGGGAAACAGCGAAACAACGGAGGGCTTCGAGATATCCTGTACGGGGCCCTGGATCAAGTTCCATGATTCCGCAGTTATCGTGCTTAGTGGAGCTCCCTTCGAATTCAGCATCAACGGGAAGACAGCATCGATGTGGACTCGCCATGTCCTCTCGGCGGGTTCTGAGATCCGGATCGGCGCGTGTTCAGGACGTGGTTGTAGAGCCTACTTGGCGATTCTTGGCGGTCTTCCTAACGTGTACGTCTGTTGTCTGTGTCAAAGATGTGGGCTTAGAGCCAAATTAACCAATAGGTATCTTTAGAGGGAGCTATCTAGGCTCAAAGAGTACCACACCGTCCTTAAAGTGGGAGGCTACCAGGTAAGTCATCGCTCCCCTTACTCACTAAACTGGTACCCTAACTTTACGTAGGGGAGGACTTTGAAAGCCGGAGACTATTTGCTTCTCGATAAGACTGCATCCGCTTTGGCCACACGCACCGCCCCTTTCACCCTTCCCCGTAACATGATTCCACCCATTGAAAACTATAACACAATTTTCTCTTTGCCAGGGCCCTATGATACTAAAGAGTTCATCACATCAGAGGGAAGACAGCGGTTCTTCGAGACAAAGTGGAAGGTAGCTTTCAATTCAAGCCGTGGTGGCATTCGACTAGATGGACCGCCTCCCGAATGGTCTCGGGAGAGCGGCGGCGAGGGTGGCAGTCACCCAAGTAATATGCTAGGCTACGGATACCCGCTGGGGGCTAAGCTTCACAGGTGATGCAGGAGTAGTTTTTACGGCAGACTCTCCAGTCCAAAGTGGCTTCATATGTCCCCAAACGACCGCCTCCTCTCAGTTATGGAAATTGGGACAAATGAGACCCGGTGACGAGGTAACATTCTCCCAATGTTCCTGGGAGCAAGCGATAGAGTTAGATCGCCAACTTGCGGGGTACATCCAAGCAGTGAAAGTGACTCTTTGCGGTGGCAGCTCTGAATCTAACGCCTCATTAATCAAGTGGGGTATTGAGCAGCCCATGGCGGGAAACTCGGTACTATACGAGCGCATCGAGGATCTGCCCCGAGCCCTTCCAAGGTTTGTGCTACGGCAAGGGGTAGCCAGGGAATTCTATGTGACTTCGGCAGCCAAGTCTTTGATCTGAATACCCGGGCTAGGGCCCAGAAGTTGGCTCTTGAGATCACTAACCAAACTCCGCCTGGTTTTATCAAGGTCTCGAGGGTACATACGATGAGCGTATTCGTATCATTTGACTCCGCCATTATAAGCCAAGACATAGCGATTCGGACTCTCATTGACCTTGAGATGGACCTGGGAAACATAGAGAAAATGACCCTTCCTAGTCGGGTATACCACTTACCCATGATCTTTGACGCCGACGAGTGCACACGAGCAACAGCACGATACATGGAAACCCAGCGCCCTTATGCTCGCTATTTGCCCGATAATATAGATTTCATAAGGAGGAATAATGGCCTCAAGCACCGTGATGAGGTCCTCAAAGCTGTGAAGGACGTCCCATTCCTCGTTGTCGCGTCTTCGGGCATCATGGGTTTACCGATCCTGATTCAAGTCGATCCCCGGCTGCGCCTTACAGTCCCAAAATCTAATCCATCTCGCTCTCATACCCCAGCGGGTGCTTTAGGGCTTGGCGGTAATACAAATGCGATATACCCGGTTGATTCGTAGGTTGCGAGACTTGGTATATCCTGAGCGAGTAGAGCTAACGAATTTCTCTAGGCCCGGCGGATACCTGTAAGGTCATAGATGCCAGGTTATTAAGAAAACTAGCTGATATACTCTAGGCTTTGGGGGCTAACCTTGCCGTATTGCCCATTTGACACCTTTGGCAGTAAACCTAATTATACTCCTACCCAGCCGTGGTTATTCGATCCCTTTGATCAAATTGTTTTCCACCAGGTTTCACGAGAGGAATTTGAAGAAACGAACAGGCTTTTCCAAATGGGTCTATATAATATCAAGGTCGAAAATACCGAGTTTAGTATGGTAGCGTATAATAAGCTCGTCGCTACCACTGCAGTCGAAACTTCTCAAATTCGCCAACTACAAGAGGAATGTGCCAGGATCGAACTAGTCAAGCAAGTCACTGATGTCACTATCCTATATATATTATTCTAACGGTTATTAGAGAGACGGAGCTACTAGCTCGGTGGAACGCTGAAAAGAAATCTATCGCCAAGTCAGAAGCCCATAAAATGACGCTCCCAAATAACGGCGAAGGACTATTGCGAGGTAAAATCACTTCCGCGCCTATACTACTATGATGCTTACCTTATATTTCCAGACCGAAAACTTGTGCCTATACTAGCGAACTTAAATGCTCGAGTCTGGAAAGTGAAGGCGGAAGTTGGGTCGCCAGTCAAGCCGAATGAGTCAGTGATGATACTAGAAGCTATGAAGATGGAGATAGTGGTTCGAGCACCAACAACTAAGCTATCTTATACCCTGGCTGCCCTCCATAAGGGTGAAGGGGATCTTGTTGAGCCTGGAGAGCTGCTTGCTCTACTGGAGCCATTGGAGGGTTGAATGGATTCAAGGAGCTAGCTACACACTACATCAGTTTATGTAATCATCTAACCTAGGCGGCCACTACTGAGCTTGCCGGGGCTGTAACGGCAGGGGGCGAGGGACATAGTTATTGCCTATAGTTACTTAAATCAGGGGCGGCTTAACGAAATCAATTTTAGTGGCTATTGAAATGGCTGTATGTGGGTGTTCTATTGTGATACTTCAACAAGCCTAATATACCATGTTAAAAGAGAGATGGGAAATCCTAGCGCAACTTTAAGGGAAAGACTACATAGGAAACTATCTAAACATTATATCATCAACAGCGTCCCATCCTTCACTTGGTCAACGGCACTCCTGGGCCTGATGGTCAATTCTATCCAGTCGTCCGCAACGTCCATGTCGTGCCACCATGTCTCAAAGGCTACTAGCATAGCCTCCCGAGTTTTGGATGGGTAATGGCTGATCAGTTGGCGGCTCTTTTCTCTAACCCTTTCGCGGTGCTCAGCATCAACCGACTCTCGCGCAGCAACGTATAATGGCAGGGAGAGGGACGAGTCAGGGCCGCAGCCTAGTGGCAGATCATCCATGAGCTTGAGGAGCATAGCAAGAGCCGCCTGGACCCGATTCGAAGATGGCGCATCTCGGAATACGCGGCGTTGCAATAAAATGACAGTACTCCAGTAGAAACATTTAGCTAGTAGTGTCAAGTATTTTCGCTCTCGAGGTCGTTCTTCGCCATTAAAGTACCGATTCGCCAGCGCCCTAATCTCAGTTTCTAAATCGAATCCTCGTGACATTATATCTGTTAAGGATTGGGGCTGTTCATCAAGGTCGGCTGCGAGGTGGGAAACTTTAGCCAACATTGCTATCGTCCATCGGGGACAGCCGGTTGTTTCGAGGAAGCTTGGATTTGAGTCATCTAGGTCGGTTGCATCGGCAAACAGCCAGGATGATAAAGGTAAGCGGGGTCTACGATGCCAGTATATCGAGCTATACACATCTATTGATGTCATACGCTGGACCAAAACTATACCAACTGATAAGGCAGGCCGAACACGCACGTAGCCAAGGTCGTCAAAGAGTTGCATGGCGAAGTCGATATGGCCGGGCATCTGTCGACCGCCATTGGCCATTTCCACCGTTAGCTGGAGGAGGACGGTGGCTAATACGTCTCTCTTCAGGCACGCTATCTCTTCACCGTAATTCCGGTCTTCGCGGCTTTTAAGATCGCGGATGCTTTTTCGAAGCGTCGCGAGAGCTTGTGACTGACTCTGAAGAGCTGCTGTGACGGGGAGGCGGCCTCGGAGGTGCATATATACACTGGAAATTGAGATTATGGTGTCCATCAATACTGGCGTCGAAAGAGCTAGAGTGGCTAGTTGACGATATCCGTTCCGGTTGTCGTCCCAAGCTGGGATTATGCCAGACACGCAACGCATAACTGAGACCTGTTAGACCAGCTCGAGCTACATTGTTGAGAACCTCGGGATATAACATACAATATATGTAAGCGAAAGTGTCACCTGTCGTCTTACAAACGTAGGATCCGAGCTCATTATAAACGGAATCACTTAACGCCCGTAGTTCCGGAACCGTTATAGCTTCGGCCGCATCGGTAATCCCCTGCAGGCGATCTTCCTGGCTTCTTCCACCAACTTCAGCATTCAACTCTGGAGTAATTGCCCATGAAAAGGAGGTTCGAGGGTCGGGGTCGCCAACACTAGCTATGTCTAGAGTTATAAGCCCATTTACTCTATCGTAACACTCATCGTCCAGGTCGTATAACTCTGCAGACGGTATGATGTCGGAGCTAGTTTGCGTATCGCGATTGAGTTGGTTTTCCATAGTTGTGCTTGCTATCAATAAGTCAAGGTCGACACCAGCAGCGAGCGAGCTGACCCTAAAGTCATCGGTCACAGCCGAGGCCGAACGTCCCCAGGAGTCTCGGGCATTCTCAGTGCCGATCTCTGAAGTGTCTATAGCTCGAGACGTCTGTCGTCGCTGGCGTGGCAATTGCGTGGCATTTGCCCACCTTAAATCTCGAGTATACTCACACCTTTTCCCAAGCCTGGCACATCGCCTGCACGCTGGCCGCTCCTCATCACATTTTCGATGTTGTTGAAGGCATGTCACACAACCTACATCCCGACTCGTTAGCGATAGCGCAGATCACTGAGGTGGTATATATGGTGGTTAGAAGATAGCTGTCAATACCTTTACGTGATCGCTTCTCAGACCTCATTTCACGATTCGCGTATACATACCGAGATTGAAGCACCTGTGCACCTATGATCACTACGCGCATGAAGTTTATGACGGTAGTTCCAATGAGGCGACGCACTCAAATAGGGGGTCGCACTTCAAATGAGATAAATGGCCCCTCGTAAGCTTGAGCATTTATCTCAGGGGTTATTATCATTATCACTTTGAAGAGCGGGGAAAGTCATTTACCCCACCAAAAGGTGGATCATAGCACAACCTAGTACCCAATCAAAACGTGTTTTGGGAAGTGCTCCTTGGCAGCTCGCTTATCTAGCAGTAATATAGAGGTGGGAGATGCTCCCAGCTCCATAGCCCCTCTTGCCCCTTGAAAGGTGTTCCTTAGCTTATCCTGTAAGCCGATTATTTAGTTTTAACGTGCCCCGTCTCCCTGATAACCTTAGCTAGTTACGGTGGGGCACGGAAATAAAACAATTTTTGGTAGAGCTCTGAGGCCAGAAATTGGTGGTTTTTTCCGCACCTCACTGATCTTATTTAACCCTATTATGCCAAAGCTCCCTGGCAGCTGCAGCTATGCCGGCCACAGCTGCTATAGCTGGCTAGATGCAGTGTAGATCAGCGTTCCGCTAAAGCGCAGCCGAAGGTCACCCGATTGTCCACGCGATCACCATCTGGGATCTAGGGAATAAAAGGAGTCAGGGAGTAGATGTTGAAGGATGGAAGGATAAGGGATGTGCCGCATATATCCGAGGGGTAGAAGGCTGAACCTCTATAGAAAGGGATCTATCAGAAGGATCCAAGCAGCGAATACGCACACATTTTACCCTCTGTTCGATAGTAGATGGGTAGCTAGGAAGGTAGAACTATCTTACTTACTTACTTCTAATATATAGCTTCATCTTCTATAGTGACTGTGGTATTGTGTAAGGATGTATCATCTCATGACCTTTAAGGACTGATAACCCTCACAGCGACTCAAAAATCACCATATCTCTCCAACGACTTACGGACAGCTCGGTTGTCAGCAAGCCGGTTGGCACGACCTTTGACGGCAACAAACCCACTACCCTCCTCTATATATATAAAGACACTATAAAACAATTATAAGTTATTATAATTAAGAGTAAAAGGACGGTTTAAGCGGGAACTTACATTATATTAGCTAGCGAGGTAAGAAGCACCTACTCTAGTAAATGCACGTGTTTTATAGCACCTTTTTTTATCACCTTCTTTATCCCCTCTATCTACCTCTTACCATGAGGTAATGAGGCACGCGATGCGGGCGAGGAATCATGGGTACCTAAAGATAGTACGAAGAATATGAAATACTACCACCCTCATACGCCGACACTTCTAAGTGGACAGGACAAGGCTATGGTTCCTGAGGAAAGATAATTTAAGCCGAGGAAGCGAAAACCTTTAGGATATACTATAGACTAGTATATAACAAAGCCTTATCTTAACCTAGCGAATATGTCGACAGTGCTGAAAGGGGATTTACCCTATAAATATCACATATTCTAGTATAAGAATATAGGTAATATTATCCTATTTTTGCACTTAGTCTTATAGTTCACACCGTCTGATAGAGAAAAGTAGATGATTAAATATAATTCGATTTGGTCGTAATTATAAATAACTTTACTATTTCAACCTAGTTTTCTCGTCTTACCTCGTGTTCATAATCCTGCTAGTTTAGTTCTACCTACTAAGGTATATAAACTAGATTTTCATTATTTTACAATCGAGAAGACGTCTACTTCTCCCCTTAGCAGTTGGAGGGCAACGAATACGGGATGCTAGTTGTCGGCGAAGACGACTAATGGACCCGCCGCCGGTTCCGCACCGTATTTGGCATATGCGTGCCATTTTGCGGCTGCTAAAAAAATCCATCACTAAGCTGAAATAACCTTGCTGATTGGTTTCAGCGCTTCTCGTATTAGGAGTTACTTAGCCTCTATGATAGACGAAAAAGAAATGATCTACGAATTGACATCATTTTAGGATTTATAATTAGATAGATGTCGCGCACCAGCAATTAACAACTCGGCGGAAAATTGATCTAAATATAGCAATATAAGTAAACATATATGTAAGCAGATATATTAGATCAGATTCTGGTCTTGAGAGCTATATAAAAGGTTCACTCTCCTTAAAGAACTAGTGCCCGCTTCCTCACAAAACTCCCGAGCCCAACGATCCTGCATATGTTTATAATCTAGTACCTGCGCTAAGCCTATCTACACGTCCTTATCATATAAAAGCTTATCCATCTTCTTACTATATAACTATCCCTCGTCTAAGGCCATAGCTTAGAATATGCGCTTCGACGCTCTTCTCACCGCCGCCGCCGCCGCCCTTGCCTCAGGCACAGCCGCTCACCCTTCGTACTCCAACCCCCGAGGCAACTGCCGTGGCTAACCTCATCGCCATCATGGGAATCGGAGCCGACAGCCCCCGGAGTACCCGTCCAAGTTCCTCTTAGCACTCTCACCCATGTTGAACTCACCATCACTGGCCTCCAACTAACCGGTGTTACCGTGGATATACCTGACATCACACCTCCTTCCGACACGGACGTCACCTGCCAAATGTATAAGGACGAGTACGGAGTGCAGCCCGGAAGTGCTGAATTTTTCAAAGGCCACGATGCCCACATTAGCACCAACCCGGTTCAATTTGGTTGGGTTCTTTGCTACGTCAATGTTCATTCTAACTAGGAGGGCATAGTGTTTAGGCGCTGCTTATATTAAGGCAGATTGAATTACAACCCGGATCATGTATAGAACTGTCGAAGAGTGACATTAAGCGACGACTAGATCGTAGATATTTCGTACCTATCTATGCGATTATATAGAGAGCTAATATTGCACACTAAATAAGGCTTTAGTAGTATAGTAATATAAAATATTTGGTTAAGTATAATTTAGTATTTGGTGCTCGGGTCTAAGAACCACGATTGTGTATCGTACGGCGATGTTCAATATATTAAACAAGGCTAGTATGATAATTTGATATTACAGTGGAGTATCCCTACCTTAAAAGGAAATAGGGTAATAAGTGTGTAACAGTAGACGCCACTCAGTGAGGGAACTACCTCGTTGAAAGGTTTTCTTCCTCCATTCTCAGTCGCTCGTGGTGGGCCGACATGGCTTTCTCCTGGGCTTGAAGCTTTGCTACACCAGCTGCGGAGTTTTCCCCGTCAAATAACACCGCAATTTCTTCTAGGGTCGGGCCCTGCGTTTCGACGAAGAAGAAGAAGATAGTCAGGCACTCAATAACGAGGCTGGAGAAATTCTGTGAGAAACTTGACTAATCCAATAGCAGTAGACGGGGAATCAAACTCACATGACAATGTAGACAATATAGAACTTCCAGCCAAGCCGCTCAATCCCCAGGGATTTACCCACTGGTTAAAGACGCCGCTAAGAGCCGTGAAACAAAAGCATAGCGTTAGCCCTTTAGCGCGAATATTATACGGTAGGATCTCGACGGTGTATGAAACGGTTAAGCCTGGCCATGCAGCACCTGCGGTACCGTAGAAGAGGAAGATCATGGCCACAACTGCGATACCTGCGGAAGGAGATGCAGTCTTCGCGTATACCGCGCTACAAGCAGTCCAAATAGTGAAAGTGACTAGCATGCCAGTACCAGCAATCAAGAAGAGAGTCCGGCGCCCAACGCGGTCAACAAAGAACGCTGAGAACAGGGAGATAACAAGACACCAAATAGTCAAGCCTCCGTTAATGTAAGCTTGGGTTTCAGAGCTATAGTTGGACCTTGTCAGGAAAGCTTTAAACAGTCAGGCCTAAGGGGACGACATACTCAATTATGCCGATAGTATTGAGGATCGCTGCTAGCTATAGCGTAGATATACTGTTAATACCATAGGAGCCCGCGATACCTAAATGAGTTTTGCTGCGCACTTACATAGTAAGACACTAGGCCGTTGCCACTACACTGGGAGAATATAGCGGTGGCGATGATTAAGGCGCACCGCTTTCTGTTCCCTTTCGTACGAAAAAGTTCCGCCCACCCGGTGCCGCACATCTCCTTCTCCATCCGAAGAGTGTTTACAATCTCTGTGTATTCCCAGCGGACAAACTCATCGTCCGCATCTCCGTTGGCGTGATACTTGATCAAAATCTCACGGGCCTCTTCCTCTCGGGCTTTGCTAATCAGCCAGCGAGGGCTCTCTGGTAGAAACCAAATAGCAAGAAGCTGAATACCTGGCATAAGACATTGTAGGCCAGTGGGAAGACGCCATTGGATATCACCGCTCTGGCCTTTTAAAGTTCCGAAACATGTCCACGCGGCAATGATGGCGCCGAGATACCAGAGAGTGTTATATATGGTGGTGACTCTGCCCCGGTGGCGCGGATGAGCGACCTCAGTGATCAGCAATGGACACGTCCCGTTGGTGATATTAGAGCCCAGGCCCATGATAAACCGACCAGCGAGGTACATAGCATCCCTACTATTAGATGGGATCTGTTTCGGAAAAGCTTGTAGAAGTGCTCCGAGGATAACAAAAACACAGCCAACTGCGGTTCCTCTTTTGCGACCAAGTCCGTCGGCAACGTATGGGGCGAAGAGGAGAACAAAGAGCCCACCAAAACCTGGAAATGCGCCGAAGAGACCGAGTCGACTGCCGGTCGGATGGTCAAAGACTATTTTTCTCCGTTAGCAGCGGCCACAGGCACGTAGAGGTCTAGGGTAAGGGAAAACTCTACATGTCTGCCAAGAAGTCATAGTCTGGAGTCCATTGAGAAGACTGCCATCATATCCAAGTGTGGTGGAGCCAAGGAACAAGAATATCATCATCCCATACAACTTTCGCAGCTCTTGTTGCTGCCAAACAGGAAGAGTAGACCCCTTAGACGTATACGCCGGTTCTCTGTCAACGTGCTCGACATCTCGCGGCTTAGTCGTCATGGTGTATAGGCCTTCGGAAATTTGTTTCATCAAAGCTCAGGAGAGTAGAAACACTTAGGATTAGGTTTTCTAACTCACTTGAGGAGAGAACATCAAAATTCGTGATATGCGTCGCGGATTTCAGTCTCCTTTATGGGTTCGGCTACATCCCGGCATGGTGGCTAAGCCCGGCCATGACACTCGCCGACCCGGACCTAATCGTGCCTTCAAATGGTTGGCGATTGGCGCGCAACGTGTTCGACAATGGGTTGCAGCCCTCAACTCTCCCCATGGGGTAAGGTGGGCTTCTTGCAGTGGGAAGACTCGAGGTTCTTCTAGCCATCGAAGAGACAGGTCAGGGGGTCGAAGCGAAATAGGCGCTGGCTCCGAACACGCAAGTGAAATTGGCGGGCCTGGGGTTTTCTGGGGAATAGTGGCTAATCCGTCGATGGCTTTTCTCTATCAAGCTAGCCTCGAATTTTCGTCCACCCTGACAAGTCCATTAATTGGTCGAGCTCGAAAAGGTGGTGCTGCAACCATCGTAGTGCTTCCGAGGTATATGCGTGGAGAATTATAAACGAGCTATCTATCCGACTTTAATCCTCGGATTGAAATCATTCTTGTTCCTCTCTCGCTAGTCAATGCATTTACAGGTCGCATCAATAGTAAATAAAAGGAACACCTCATATTCCTGTCGGCGCCAATTGCTCGAACGCAATGTCACAACCTAGTCCCTGCGATAATTCTCCAATAACCCCACAGGATACCGTGGTCCCCACGGTGGCGTGAGGAAGCTGAAAGGAACCCGGAACCAAAATGCATGCGATGCCTGTCGATCTCGAAAAGTTCGGGTAAGCGCCCTTGCTGATAAATACCTTCAAATATCTATACTAATACCCAAAGGCGAGTGCTAGTGTATATACATTGAAAATGCGGACATATGTCAGGGATGCGTCTTCCTAGATATCAGTTGCACGCATCAGCGGCCCAGGAGGAGGCGTGGGCCAGCTAATAAGTGCGCCTAAGTCCGATAGCTGTTCCTTCGGAATATCTAGTAAATCCTTAGACTCATGCCTTCTTTGTTGTAGACATACCACAACGCCACTGCTAGGCGATGTTCCCGCGAGAAGGGTACCCCAATCTCGATTTCCCTCGACTATAGTTGGGGAGCCTCCGGACTCGTTACAAAGCGGCCACCAAAGCGGAGTCAATGGCGAGCCCATCGCCAGCTTTACACGAGAAAATTACAGAGCAACAGGTCGCGGCTTGCTGTCATCTTTCCCCGCCGTTGCTGTCGTCCACGGCGTCATAGCTGAATGGTTCGACAAGATCCACCCCGTCGCACCTGTGTTATTCCGCCGCCGATTTCTACGCCGCCTTCGCGGGGTGAGGCAGAGACTAATCCTATTTTTGCGGGCTCGTCTTAAGCGTCTGCACGGCGACCGCCGCAAGCCTGCCTCAGCAAAACTTTGGTCTGACTGCACAGATATGCCTTGATTATATCCAAGACCAACAGCTCCTCCAAAACGGATTCCTGCTACCTCCAGCGAGCGCTTTAGAGTGGTGTATTGCTATGTATAATACTGGTGTTGCTATGGGATCTGTCTTCGACTCGTATTTTAGTGATAGGCGTTGCTACCATGCGTTAAGCGAGGCGGCAATGGGCATCCGGTATCTCCTTTATTATTGCGTCCAGGAACTTGACCTTGTCGAGCGGCAACTAGCTCGACGCCTCTACTGGTTGCTATTTGCAGCGGCATAGTAAGTAACCGGCGTGGGAGTTTCTCTTCTCACGAACTAATTCTTTTCTTTGATACACTTCTGACATCATTCGTCTGTTAAATAGTAGCTCTGACATCTTAGGTAGGCTCTCTGTTGGCCTTGTCGGGCCAAGCCAGGATCCAATCAGCTATCGGCCGGCGGATCTGACGGACAATGAGCTGGACGTGTCCACTCCCATCGGCCCAGGCGAATTACCATGGCACGGAGATGAGAACAGTTATATTCCTGGTCTCAACAGTCTCAGCGACCTTTTTGGATTTGGCACGAGGTACAATCCACCCCATCGCCAACGACCCCCTACATCGGCGGAGTTCTATTTGAAACAGGTGCAGTTAGTAATCGACAGCCTACCCCCGAGCTTCGTTGGAGAGGCGGGCTCTCACGCCCGTTAAACGTGACAAGGGGCCATGATGTTCAGATCGCAAACCTCTTCGTGACGAGTTTGCACATCCGCTCGAATATCCTCCAGAAATTCATCAGCAGTCCTACGCAGACTCGATGCGACGAGCATCAACGCATTGTCGACGACCTCCTCGAAATATTATATCACATGCCCCAAGCCGTCTTCGAAGCGAATGGGCCAAGTCTCGTCCCTAAAATTAGAGATATTGGTGCAGGCTACCTAGATCAAGTGGGCATAGACGGCGATAGTACGGAGCAAGCTCGAAACGAGAGCGTGCGGGGCCGACTAGAGAAGCTCCTGCGAAGACTAGATAATCTTGACTGGTGGCATACACCTGGCATCATATTTGACCCGGGATCGCAGCAAAACTAGAGTGCGAGGACATAGGAGGGTCCGATCATTTAGGGAAGTGCGGGGTCGTTGTTTATGCGCACCTGTATCTCCACATATACTAGTGTCTGCGACATGCGAAGAATATCCGGCTGCTGGCAATGACCGGGATCTTAGCTCCATGAACTCCACATCCGATATCACCACCTTTACTCTATAATATACGATCTTAGAGGTGGAGTGTGTTCATTTGGCCTGTATCGGATATCACGGCCGTCAACATAAACCCCGACCCTTGTTTTCTGCTTATCAACGGGACCTTGTAGCAACTGCTTGAAAAAGATAGCGTTTGGTGTTCTTCTTCTTCGTCTACGATTTTCCTCTTTTCTTCCCACTACCTAAGCATAAGTTGTCTGCATTCCGCCCCGTTATATCGAGTGTTCGTTCATACTTCTGGAAATACAATGTCAGCTCTTGAAACAATCTCTGCCGAGGCCCTCGTCCCCCGAGCTTAAGATAACCCAATATGGCATAACACAACTGATCGTCGATGGGAAGCCATTCCTTATGCTGGCTGGCGAGCTGCACAACTCCTCCCTTAGTTCCGCTAAGTATATGGACGAAGTATGGACTGCCATGAAGGATCAGCACATCAACACACTGCTCGGCTCTGTCACATGGGAGATGATCGAGCCAGTTGAGGGCCAATTCGAATTCGGAGGCCTCGACGAGGTACTGAAGGGCGCGAAAGAAAACGATATGCGCCTCGTCCTGCTTTGGTTCGGCACCTATAAGAACGCTGTATCCACCTATGTACCCGGCTGGATCAAGCGTGATGTTAAGAGGTTCCCCGCGCTCAGGTCCTTGAAGCGGGCGGTGTAAAGAGAACGCTAGAAATGGTATCGCCGCTATGCAAGGAAGCTTGTGCGGCTGATTCACGCGCGTTCGGCGCGTTGATGCGCCATCTTGCGCAGGTGGACACGAGCCGAACAGTCTTGATGGTGCAGGTTGAGAATGAGACCGGGTTGCTTGGCGACTCACGGGACCGGTCGCATAAGGCCGACGAAGAATTCAACAGTGGAATCCCGGAGGATCTGCTCCAGCACCTGGCAGGGAAGGGAGAAGACCTCCATTTTCGCTTCAGGGAGCGCTATAACAAAATTCCCACAGCTGGCTCACATTCCTGGGAATCCATCTTCGGAACTGGCGCGGATGAGGCATTTATGGCGTATCACATATCGTCATATGTGGGCCAGGTGGCGGCCGCAGGAAAAGCCGAATACTCGATTCCTCTATACACAAATACTTGGCTTAACTTTGACGACCCTTCCCAGCTTGATGTCAAGGGTCTGCCGGTGGTTGTCGGCGGTGGAGCGAAACCCGGAGAGTACCCCTCTGGTGGGCCATGCCCACACCTATTGGATATCTGGCGCTACAATACCCCGGCGCTAGACTTTTTCGCGCCTGATCTTTATTTCCACGACTACGAATCTGTATGCAAAGACTACACTCAACAGGGCAACCCTCTCTTTATTCCCGAACAACGGCGCGATGAGCACGGTGCTAGGCGAGCATGGCTTGCCTACGCCACCTACGGCGCCTTGGGCATCAGCCCGTTTGGTATCGATACGGGCGCCGAGGTTATTGGCCGCGAATACAAGCTTCTCGCCCAAACAGCATCCTTTCTCCTCAGTGCATCACCCGAGGATCGTATGGGTTTCTTCTTTGACGATGAGCCGAGCGGCAAGCTTGAACGTTGGACGCGAACCTTTAGCGATATCGAAGTTATCGTCGAAAGAGCCTTTGTGTTTGGCAAACCTGGTCCTGGCGCCGGTATGATTATTAACCTTGGTGATGCAAGGTTCTTAGCCGTTGGACGGGGGTTCAATGTCACCTTCAAGAGCACCCGTAAGGAGGCTACTTTCACCGGTATTCTCAAGGCAGAGGAGAAGGAGGTCGATCAAGGGGGTAAGCTGTCAACTTTGAGGGTGTTCAACGGAGATGAGACTAGGAGCGGTGAGTTTCTCATCATGCCTAATGATGAACCTGACTACGGCGGCTTCCCAATCGCGGTGACCATCCCTGCACGGACCTGTATTGTAGAACTAACCATCTATTGGGTTGCCGAAGAAGAGGATGATAGATAGACCGTGTCACATAGAAGCCACTTAACTTTCGGTAGCTTAGAATAAATTATCTCACTAGTTGGCTTTTACCATCCTCACACTTCGCAGACTGTTTTGGCCGTCTACGCGGCATTTAAGCCCACCCACGTAAGGGAAGGGGCGGGGAAACCAGGGTCACTATCCGAATTCTTCGAACGAACAGGCTGCTTTTCTAATCCCCACCTAAGCTGTAATATTCTCTAAGAAGCCGGCCTATCTACTGAGATATAGTATACGAAGATTTACTCTCTCATTATAGCGAGGCAGCATGGACCTCACTCCCTTGAAACCTGAAACGGTGAATCTCTTTAGTCTGCCCAAGTATTCCCATTCTCTTATACAACTTAGGTGCAAGCTCAGCCTACTTAGTAGCTTTAGCGACGTGGTTAACGTATCTCACATATGTCTCCTACAGCATAGCTTTATCCTAGAATGCTACCTACTAAGATATCAAACCTAGGTAGTAGAATCGATATAACGTAAGGTTTAGCGACGCACGATATTATGCGGGCTTTACCTTCAAACTACATTCAAAATTTAATCGAGACGTTATAGCGAGTTAGGCTGTTCTCGATCGAGATCTTTAGTGGGTGTGAGTGGGCGGCTCTAATTCGTTCGCTTCAGGAAAAAGTCTAAGGATATATGGGGAGAGTAGCAGGTCTCTCTAAAACCTCGCCTAACAAACATAGACTCTAGGCTCTAGAAAATTGATCAACTAGGTATTGTAAGGGAATAATAGAGGTTGTATTTTTGACCCTGTTCTTCCTAGTTTCCATAAGGGAAGAGTAACGAGTGCAGGGATAAGAGCATAGATGTCAGGGCGCCTACGCGCGCGCACAACTGATACGAGCTTTCCTAGGGGTAGGTAAGCGTCACTGCTAGTCTCACGATGTTCTATGTGATAGTTGAAGGTTTATAGAAGACTAGTGTAAAATATATATAGACACTATCACTCCTAGAGATCTTTACTTCCACGTTTCTCCTCATCAGCGAACCTCATTTCATATATACTAGCTAACAATGGCAAACCTTTGGCGAGGGCCTCTGGTAATATTGTGGTGCATTAGCATTCTATACTACGGGACTGCTCTATCAAACCCTATTAGGCTACACCGGTGCCCTCGAAATGACACATACCCTTCTCGTGAGGCGGGCACCGTCTCTCATAAAATCGTGAGTTGGCCAAATTAAGACTCATCTAGAGGTTTACTGATTATAGTATAATTTTGGTAGTTCGGCACCGATCTATGGAGAAGACGTCTACAAGCGCCTCCTGAGGGAGATGGAGTAAACAATATTAAGGCCTACCCTCATAGTCATTCCCTTACTCAGACGACTTCTTCATCCTATGACGCTTCAATTATTGTGTCATCACTTTCCGGGCCGTCATCGCTACTAAGAAGTCACCTATCGCCAGGGACATACACAACAGTAGGCTAACCGGACTTGATAACTTTCCAGTTCTTCCTAACAGATCCCATCCTCTCTTATAGTACGGCAGGGCCCGTGTAGTACCCACGCGAATCATGCAATCGATGGGGATGTGGAATTGGCGATTGGAACTCACTCTTCGTCTCGTTTACTTATAACATCCGCTTCTATATACAACGATGCACCTACTTCTCCACATCTACACTCGAGGACGATAGGACTGCCCGATAGCCCAGTGTCTTTAGTCCCAGATATCCAGCCATCATTAACAAGATTGAAAACCTTGGAAACACTGTTAGACGATATAATGCCCCTGGAGACAGGCAACAGCGGAGGAACATCTGGACTATCTAGTCAGCGACGTCTAGTTAAGTCTAGGCCCCTAGCTGATTACTCCCTCACTCAATGGGCTGGGCTACAGCCGACTCAGGACATCAATACATCTAGATCTCCAGGATACAATTCCACAGGGCCCTCTTTATTGAAACCTCTAAATCTTACTAGAGAGCTAGCAGAGCAGACTATGCCTATTTCTGCCCAAACGACCTTACCGAGAAGTGTGCGCAGAACCAATCAGTGGGGTATCCCAGTGGATGGAGCAGCCGGTAGCATTATGACTAGGTCCGCGTCATTGCCCGGGCCGAATGCAGGCGGGATACGCAGTTCGAGCAACCTACTCGATATTGAAAACGACAGCACGCTCGTTATCTCACCTGCCCTGGTGTCTACAAGTACACCCGTCGACGTTTCAACTAGTATCAATTTACAGGCAGTACCATTAGACAGTGTCCCAGCTAGGAAGCTCCTTAGTGAGCTAAGCTGGATGTCAGATAGTACACCTGTGGATATGCGATCTATCATAGCAACAAGAACACCAACTAGCTCTTCCCCCATCATAACGCCGGCGAGTGACCCGCTCAGCGCAACTGAGGATATACCGCCGCTAAATACACCACCAGCCTTAATCTCAGGGAGTAGAGACATAGACTCACCCGTCTGGATGACTTCCACCCGCAGAGCGAGTCTATATAGTGCCTCGAGCAATGGCTTTGATACTTCAATTAGGGGCGTCCGCCAGAGGTATCGCAAATTCCTCACCATATAGAAAGCCCGGTTAGTAGTTTTCGAGGAGCTTCGTCAACAATAACAGAGTTACCACCAGAGGCGATCATTGTCACACTTACGGGACATACTGGAACCAGGCCCGAATACATCACAACCACTAAAGAAGGGAGCAACGACGCGACGATCGTTCCAAGTAAGAAACCTGTGGAATAACAATGTCTTAAGAACTTACTAATAATATATAGTATTTTTCCCACCAATAGGCCCACCTATCATATGTTTCAACTGTATCCCGTCTTTCCCTCCTCCTGACATCAAGATTGACGTTCCTGGATTCTGTGTAAATCTATTCGGTATCAATATTGGAAAATGTCCGCCAAAAGGCGTTGACCAAAAAAGGGGAGATCAAAATCATAACGACGAACAAGATAATGAAACAACAACTTCGTCGACATTAGCAAGTTGCACCGCCGTCGTTACGGCGACGTATGTTAGTGTATTCTGCACAGTTACAGCGAGTGAGTCCTAGCCCATATTAGACACCCACGCGGAATCGTTACTAACAATAGACGCCCCTAGCTGCTGATAGAAATAAACGCCGTGAGGAACCAGGATGCTCAAGCCTAACGTACCTCACCGTGACTGAGTGTAGCGCTACAAATACAATTACAACATCACTAGCGACAACTACTTTCTTTACTAGTCCAGAGCCAACACTTGGGTGTGGACCTAGGTGCGTCAAGGGGCTATGTACCACGCAAATCGACCCTCTCATCAACCCACGTATCCTAGCTAGGCCAGACCTTGTCAAAAGATTAGAAGAGGAAGCAGGAGAGTGGGCTGACCCGGCAAAATACGGAAACAATATTGACCATTTTCTGTCTCGAGAAGTGCAGAGAACATATGGTAAGGAATTGGGAAATCACGGGGTGCCCCTATACCAGAGTACTGGACAGACTCTCACATCGGCATACGCGGTCTTTAATGACGAAGTTAGCCAGCTCGCAATAGCCGGGTTATACGGCTGCACTGCTATTATTGTCATCTCGAAACGTGGGGTCTGGGCGGCTCACTCATGGGAGGATCATTATAAGCCCTCCCCTATTACGAACGAGAACATGTTTAGAGAGCTTGTCTTAGCGCCAATGCGCCGTGGGTTCGGACCAAACCATTCTGGCGACCAGGGCCTTCACATATATGGCATTGATGACCTCAGAGGTAACCGTGGGGATAGGCCCGAAGCTGGTATGCTTAACAATAACAACCTAGACGATGCAGTTGCGGTTTTCGTTGTCACCCCTCGCCCAAGGGTCGCGCTGTATAGGTTTGGGTTCGGTGGCGAGCGCGTCCCGGACTCTATACGCCTCAACCGGGACGCAAATGCTAACCAGTTACTCTACGGTCCTAGAGTTGGGCGGCTTACACAGGAGCTCTGGTCAATATTCGGACCTAGTATTCCTCTAGAGGTAGTCGATTATAGTCCTCTCGTTCCGGGCAACGAGATATTAGATCGATTTCTTGAAGTAAGGCGAGCATATGACGACACTCGAGATATGATTACGACTGCCGAGGGAGGACTTGCATTTCCGGACGACTCTCTCGCGGATCTTAGAAATAAGCTAAACGACCTTGAGAGCCAGCTACAGAAGGCGGAGGAAGACTTTGCGGAAGCATCAAGGGATACGCAATTTAGATCACCGCAAGGCAAGGTAATGATCCAATACCGTCCTGCCCATAACTGCGAGGACAAAGCCCGTTGGCGGCTATGGGTCGATGGCAGGCCGTTGCAGGGCCGCGAAGGCGAGTGGGATCCCTATCCGGAACAGATCTTGTTAGACTGGGCACTGAGGAAACGGCAGGGAAGTTGTCCAGCAACACCTAGAGTGCCGCCTGGTGGACCACCGAAGGATTGTTGTGGCTCAAGCCCTCCAGCAACCTGCCCCCGGAAGAGATAGTATCGTGCAGTCGCAAAAGTCCGCCAACTAACTTAATTAAGCTCGGAAGCCGGCAGTGTAATGCTGATAAAGACTATCCTAACGAGCTAGCAGTGCCGGAAGAGTCTATAAAGCGACGGGCGAGAGAGCTCTGTGGCGGCCCAGATTCATTGCTCAGACCTGGTGCCGGGGTAGGCTTCTGGGGTGACCCCACCGAGAAGAGCAGGGGCGCGCAATAACATACGTGGCGGTACAATGGATAGACACGTGTATTGCAGCCGGCGGTACGATGAATTACAAGGATCCGTTCTCGATCGGACGTCCGGCGGGGGTAGAGGTTGGAAAGGACTGCTACGACATCGTCTACGGACTATATAAGGGATGTAACAGTAAGTATTTACTAGGAGCTGTGAGGCCCACTGTTTCTTGACTAGTCCGGTTGCATTTAAGAGACCCCGCTAATATACGAAAATAGATAAGGGGTTAGGAGGCTCGGTTACAGCTGGCTGTCTACGATACTTTATGGGTCCGTCCTGTAACGGGAATACAGAGTCGCTTATGGGAGCAAAATGCCACACCGAATCGTCTAGTATGCCACTGGTCAAGGAAGGGCCGGCGGGTGGAGGCACGGCACCAAAACCATCAATTGATCAAAGCCAGCTCCACCGGCACTAACCTCGACAAAGTCAAGCCCAGCAACAGAGACAACCGACTATGGCAAGCTACACCCTCGCCCGCGACCTGGCCCGGGAGGCCGAATTCAAATACTTTGGCTATAGTCGAATTATGACCGGGTCTAGGAATTGATCGTACTCTAGTCTTTCCACCTAAGATAACACGTAAATCTATACCCTTTCTATAGAGTAAATAAAGGCGCTGTAAGTTTCGTCAGAAGCAGGTAAAGAAGAAGAGTTATCTCATATCTCCCGATCCTGATCATCATAGGAATTATAAGAAGGTTGCCTATACGACGGCAAATAGTCTAAGAGGCAGCAGCATTCCCCTCACTAATAACTACGTCTAAGGTTAACATTATTAGGGGCCTTAGCGACTATAAAATAGTCCAAAGTTCTTAACCCTAGCCCTTATTAAAGTTCTACACTAACCCTATATATGTTTCTCACTATGAAACCCGGCTACCCTTTCCAACTAATCCCTGCTGTTTTATAATATCTCTTAATTTACTATTAAGCAATTCTACAATAGACCCCTATCTAAGTCCCTTTAGTCCCTTTAGTTATAACAGAGCAGAGAGGAACTTAAGCAGTTTCCCAAGGCGATAGAAAGACGAGGATAGCAGCCGGTGTCCACTAGTCTTAGTCTTAATAAATAGTTCATTTTATTAATAGGTCTAAGATACGACCCTAAGTGATGACATAGTAGAGAGGTGGGTTATTAAGTACTATGCATCCTCTACAGGTCTGCAGGTAACCTCTATCGGCAGAATCAACTGTCGAGGCTTTTTAAAATCATCCCCGTTCGATCTGCCTTTCTTATACATAGCCGGTGCGATAACCATAATAACAGTAGAGTTAGCTGAAGGGAGCATCTCGCCTCTCTCTACCGCCATGGTCGCAGCATCGAACTGATAAGGGACATCAGGGCCAAAGCTCCAGGTAACATCAGCGGCCTGACCGCAAATATCGCGGTCCATGGCGATTGCTCTTTCCAAGATGTCTTCCATTTCCCGGAGGAAATGCTCATAGCTATCCGCCCTATGATCAACTTTGCGAAGGGCTCAATAATCTTGAGGATATTCTCAACTAGATTTTGTATGGTCGCGTTACGTTCCTCCTTCATCGCCTCTTTTTCGCCCTCAATTCCATCGAGATCGACGAAGAGTTTTGTCGTTGAAACGACCCACGCCTTGACTTTCCTATCGCCCTCAACGTCCTCCGCAGCTATATAGGAATGTCAGCTTAAGAATTCCATCAAGCCTGTTATTCATAGGAAAAATAAAAATGGGCCATAGATGCCATAGGTTCCTTACCATTCCAGAGCTTTTCATATATACGGACAACATCATCAGATAACTCTCCGGCCCAACAGAATTTCGAAAATACCTCGCGGTCAAGAAAAGCCCAGATACAGGCCTGAATCACGGCACTGCATCTGGTCGGAGATGAGAGAAAGCTCCTGAAATCAACTGTGCCCACCGTGGTTTCCGCCATCAGTTCAAAGCCGGCCGCTCTCTGCGCCATCTTGAACCTCTCCTGGAAGTTTAGAAAGGGGCTATCGCTCTCGAAGTAGCGGATGGCAAAATCGCGGATGGCCGTGCGGAGTTGACTAGCCCATTTGTCGAGGTCGCTGTCGGTTACCTGCGACGCCGATTGCGGCGTCCTCGTGAGCCGTCCGAGTTCCTTTGCCGCCTGCTTCCATTTTCGTCGAAATTCGTTTCTCTCGGCTCCGAGTTGATTGATCTCTCTCCTAATTGCGTTGCATTCCTCGTTGCATTCCTCGCTGCATTTCTCACGTACCCGATCGAGTTGGAGCTGAAGCACCTGCCCGTTCTCGATGTGCCTCTTCAGATCTTCAAGATGTTTACAGTTCCCATCAAGTCGAGCTCCTTCGCACTCGTACCTGCTAGGAGGTGCGGGCGGACGCGTGGCCCCGGCATCGCTTACATCCTCCATCTTGATATCGGTATCGATATTAGACCCGGCTGGAAGTCCTTCTTGACCGGGAGTCAAGGGATCGATCCTCTCCGGGAGGTGTGACCCAGTCTCCATCTGTGGTTCCATATCTATATCTGGTCTCGTGTCTAGGATTTCGAGCCGATAGCGTTCACTGCGACGCCCCCTTGACGACTTTTCGGGCGGTCACTTTGTCGCTGACCTGGCTTTGATCCGCGATTTAACGATTGTGACGGAGATGGTTCCGGTGGCAAAACTGAACTTAGGAAAGAGCCCATGGCAATAAAATCTCTAAGATACTTTGAGTAGATGTATAGGTGATATATAATGAGTGTGGAAATGATGAAAGGAACGAGGACGACTTTTGTGACAAGGGGATAAGGCGCGCCCATGCTTTCGCCGTCGCTGAATGTAGCAGGGACAGAGAGTGAATTGTTTTTTTCACTCTACTATTTCACACCATTCCGTGTTAGGCTTCATAGGGGTAATAGTTAGGTAAAGATCGTATCAGCATATTATTCCAGTCTCCTATGGTGCCACGTTCGACGCATGGCTTTCAGGATAACAAGTCCGAAGTCTCTTAGGCTTAGTTCGAAGTAGCTTAATATCAATCGTTAATATAGACACAGCTAATTCCTACGCATCTACCGAGGTACATTAGCAATCTTAGGCGCCCTAGAAATAGAAAAACGTCTAATAGGTAAGTCTATTATGTAGTAGCTAACCCTTTGCAGTCCCGGTGTTACAATAGGGGCTGTATACGCCCCTAGGCGCATCTATTTCATCACCATAGCCACCTAGCACATTGCATTCTAGGGACCAGGCTGGGGCTGAAGTGGGGGCTGCTTCCCTTTCTAGTTCCGGTGTTACAATAGGTGCTGTATACTCCCACCATAGCCACCTGGCATATTACATTCTAGGGACCAGGCTAGGGCTGAAGTGGGGGCTGCTTCCCTTTCTAGTTCCGGTGTTACAATAGGTGCCGTATACTCCCCACCATAGCCACCTGGCATATTACATTCTAGGGACCAGGCTAGGGCTGAAGTGGCTGCTTCCCTTTCTAGTTCCTGTGTTACAACAGGCGCCGTATACTCCCCTAGGCGCGTTCATTTCATCACCATAGCCACCTAGCATATTACATTCTAGGGACCAGGCTAGGGCTGAAGTGGCTGCTTCCCTTTCTAGTTCCTGTGTTACAACAGGCGCCGTATACTCCCCTAGGCACGTTCATTTCATCACCATAGCCACCTAGCATATTGCATTCTAGGGACCAGGCTAGGGCTGAAGTGGGGACTGCTTCCCTTTCTAGTTCCTGTGTTACAACAGGCGCCGTATACTCCCTAGGCGCGTTCATTTCATCACCATAGCCACCTAGCACATTACACTCTAGGGACCAGGCTATAGGAGCGGGGTTACTTTGTCGATCGCTGTCGGGTCTCGATAGAGCCTGATATCTTACGTGAAGTGGAAAGTATAGTTACCTCTTAGAGGGATTAGACTTGTTAGGGTATGATATAATCTACTAGAGGTATGAGGCTTCAGCTAGTTATATCTCCCACCAATTTCAATAGGAAACGATATCTTGTTCACAGACCCTGCTCAGCGTTATCTCGCGAGTTTCGCGCTAACAAGTCTAATCCCTCTAGGAGATATACTTCAAATGGGTACCACTTACTTGGGATCAGGTTGAGCGTCAGTCAGCAGGTGGTTTTTGCTGGGCTCAGTTTGCGCTAAGCCACTGTCGCTATAGAGCCAATACGAGGACTCCAGATTCGTATTCTTGCGTCAGGCTGGGCTTCAGCTCCTCCGCAATGCTAGCTTTTTAAAATAGCATTTTTGGGGGCCTGTTCGCTTTGCTCTCGCACCTCCAACCCGAGTTTGGTGTGGGCTGACGGCTAACTTCACTGAGCCCTCCCTTTCGAGAATCTACATGCATAGGCCTGATTCTAGGCTGCAGGCATCCCCAGTCAATGTTACACATTGATGTGACGATTCCACGAGAGGCTCCGATGGGTCCCCGCCATCGATATATTAACGCAGCAAGAATCAAGCACGTCCGTGAAACAATTGTAACGAGCAATCTCACCCCCGAGAAAAGGTTTTCTAGTAATATCATCACGCCGTCAATATTATTTCTTTCCCTTTCTCTTTCTGATTGCCAATTCCACTAACCAGCGCCGAGTGAGTATGGCCTCAGATGCGTTAGCGAAACTTCTTAGCAGGGCTAGGCTCGGCCAGTCGGAGGCTGAGGATGAGATCCTCATCATCGGGATTGATTTTGGGACAACGTGAGTCTTTAAACGTTTCTTTAAGCTGCCGTAATTAGTCTTATCGTAACATGCTCGCGTATTAATCTTCCCATCTCTTCCAGCTTCTCTGGTGTCGCATGGGCAACCGTAGACGACTTGGAGAGCGACGAAATCCACTTGATCACCACTTGGCCCGGTACCGGCCGCGAAGAGGAAAAGTCCCTACTGAACTATTCTACGAGGACGGTAAAACTATGTGGGGGTTTGAGGTACCACGAGATGGTGACCCCGTCCGCTGGTTCAAGCTCCTTCTCCTCAAGAGCGAAGACATCCCCTGGGATCTAGCTGAATCCGAGTTCATTATGCGGGCCCGAAAGATGCTCGAGAAAACGGCAAGACCGCCGTAGATCTCATCGCCGATTACCTGCGGTGTATCTGGGCCCACGCCATGGCTTCCATTGAGAAGGCCCGTGGAAAGTCCGTCGTGGATGCCTATCAATTCCGTGTTGTTATCACTGTGCCTGCCATCTGGAAAGGCTATGCTAGGCAAGGTATGAAGGATGCCGCGAGACAGGCCGGCATCCTCGACTACCGAGCGGGAGGCAACACGGAGCTGGTCTTCGCGCCAGAGCCCGAAGCGGCTGCCCTCGCCACCCTTTGTGAAAAAGGCCGGAAACTAAACCAGGACGAAGTATACGTGGTTTGTGATGCTGGTGGTGGCACCGTTGTAGGTTTTTGCTAGCTCCCTTTCAAGACTTAGATATGCCGGCAAACACTTTAAAAACGCTATTTGCTAACTTGACTCTCAGGATTTGATCAGTTACCAAGTCGCTAGCCTTGATCCGATACGCCTCGATGAAACTGCCGAGGGCACAGGCGGCGTCTGCGGTGGCATCTTTATCGACGAAGCCTTCGAATGTATTTGCAAGGCTCGCCTTGGTAGGCGCTGGGACCGTCTCAGTAAGGCGGGTATCAAGGAGGTAATGACAGGAGAGTGGGAACACTTTATCAAACCGCAACTTAAGGCGGACCCAGCCAACGCAACGAAGGAATACATCATCAGCATTCCCGCAGAGGCCTTTGCCAACGCGAACCTTGATGATACTAGCCGAGAACCATTCATCAAAAACGGGCGCATTCACTTTAAGGGGTAGGTAGAATCTTTTCAATAACCGTGATCCGCATATTAATCCTCCGTCTCTAATAGGCACGACCTCGAGCAAGCGTTTATTGAAGTCCTGAACGATATCGGGAGGCTTATCGACGAGCAGATCGAGAAGTGTACTATGAAGGGAAAGAAGGTTAAGGCAAGCTCTCCTCTTTTAATATAAAGTTATTTCTTACTTTACTTACGACTGATTACTGACGCCAGCCTCAGTCCGTTATCCTCGTCGGTGGTTTGGGCGCAAGTCCATTCTTGTACCAATTTGTCGAGCACCGATACGCGAGAAAAGGAATTAGCGTTTTGCAGTCCGGAGGCATCAAGCCGTAAGCTCCGATGAATATCTCCAGCTTTAGGCACTAGGGAAACCTTCAACTAAAGTATATAATAGACGTACGGCAATCTGCCGCGGAGCCATCATAAAGGGAATCCTCAGCGGCCAGACAGGCAGCTCTATCAAGGTCAACGGTTCCGCTTCCATTGTCGCGGGGTCTAAAATATCTCGTGCTAGCTTTGGGAATAGCTTCCGAGTGCCGTGGGTCCATGGCGAATTCCCTGACGAAGACAAGATATGGTGCCCACTAGAAGAGCACCACTTTGCTCAAAAGCGGATGCGATGGTATATTGTCCGAGTAAGTTTTATTTGTCGCGCCATGTGGTCGTCAGTTGCTTTAGAACCGCTCTTTCCGTCCCTAACCGAGGATATATGTTTGTTAGGGATCTTCTATCGACGCGCAGGAACCAGTGCGCCACCAGTACTACATAACCTACCAAGGAGACTATAGTGGAAACTTATCAGTCGATATTCTCCAGTGCGAGGATGAACTAGCCCCGGACCGCCTAACAGAGACAGTGAAGCATCTTTGTACTATTGATTGTGATCTAGATACGCTTATTTCGTCGCTGCCTAAGCTAAAGTCGAGTAGCGGGTTAGAGTATAAGAGGCTAGACTTTGAGATTGAGGCGATCCCGTCTGGTGCCTCGGTCGAGTTTGGTGTTTTTGTAAACGGGAATAGACTTGGTAGTCAAGAGGCGCAAATTAAATTCTAGGAAAAAGAGCTACTCTAAGGGTATTATAGGTAAAGAGGCTATTATAAAAGTTATTACTATTATTTATAGTAAAAATATTATAACTATAGCTAGTATAATATTCTAATACTAGGATATATTATTTAAGGTTAGGTTATATTAAGGTTAGAATAGTTAGGGTTATTTATTATACTAAAGCTCCCTACCTTAGTACTAGCTATAGCGATGCTAGGTATAGCTGCTATAGCTACTATAGCTAGCTAGATATAGATATAGCGTTCCACTATAGCCTATAGGTATTAGCTAAAGATCACCTCACCACTATATATGCGATTTTAGACTTAAACCTATATATCTGAAGGTGTGAAATCGAGGTACTAAAGTGGGTTTTTCGACCTAAACATGTGGGGTTTTCGCCTTAGGTGCAGGATGACGCTGTTTGCCCTCTCCGCCTATATAAAAATCATAGCAAAACATGCCCTCTATATGACATTCTAACACTAGGACATATTGCTTAGGGTTAGGTTACATTAGGGTTAGAATAGTTAGGGCCTATTAGTGGCTCAGTGAGGTAATCAAATAGTATAATAATATCATTATCTATAATGTATATTTAAATATAGGGGTTAAGTATACTTAAATTAACTACTAGAAAGGATATAGAACTTCCTTTCCTTAAAGGTCTACTTACTTCCTTATATAGATAGTAGATTATAGTATCTAGTTATAATCTAGGTGATTAGTTAGCTCTAATCACTATAACTATAGTGATCTAGGTTATCTAGATTACTAAGTAACTAGGGTGATTCCTTTAGCTATAGTTCCTCTAGCCTAACTGCTAGTTCCGCTTCATTCTAGTAGAACAAATGCTAAGCCCTATATAAATCTCGGGGCGATAGGGATTATTTCCACAAAACAAATTGCCACAGAACGAAAGCATTAATTAGTTAAAAACTTTCAGCTCGCCAGCACCCCAGATAATAACAGAGAGGTTAGGGTTACTTAGGGTAGCTTCATTTAGAGAGCTTAGGGTAAAAAAGGAGGGAGGCTTTAGTATAAAAAGGAGGAAGACTATAGGGTTTAAGTATTTATTTCTTAAGCTAACTTATAATATATTATATTAGGTGGAATAATAGTAATAGATATTTAATAAGTATCTATTGAAGATCTAGTATAGTTCTACTACCTAAATAGTATACTTATTTATATACTATATCTAAGAGGTATATAGCTAGATATAGGTATAGAGAAGTACTTCTAGTAGATATATAAACTTAAAGGTAGGATTCTATAGGAGATTATAGTATATATATAGAAAATATCACTAATAGACCTGATAATAGCTAATATACTACTTAATAGTAGTAGTAAGATCCTATAGCTTTAATTAACCTAAGGGTTTAGCTATACTAACTACTAATATCTTATGATAAATTAGAACTATATAATCAGTTACTAGATAATAGTATAATATATAAGAAAGGGGAAAGTAAGGGGTAGCTAAAGGTAATACTATAAAGCTTTATAAAGGGGTGTTATATTAAGTACTAGATTATAGAGGATACTAATTTATAGGATATAGTAGAGGTAGGAACTAAAATAGTAGTAATAGACAACAAATTTAAGTAGGCACTACTATAGTATATATAGTAGGATCATATAGAGTAGGATCAGCTATACTATAGAGTATAAGTAGGGGGTAGGCTAGATAAATACTTACTATTTATTAAGTATATAGGGTAGGCTAAGTATCTCTAGGAGAAGGATATACTAACTCTTAGATAGCTAAGTAAGTAGCTACTATATTATATATAGATAGTAAAACTCTAGGATAAGAAAATAAAGGAAGAATATAAGGTACTATAGCTAGTGATCGATAGCTTTAACTATATTATAGTGTATTACTTAGAGTAGCTAGAGGTAGTACTATATAAGATATAATAGTAGATTAATAGTATTAGTCCTATTAAGCTAGTAGGTGTGACGTTCCAACACTAGGACGTGCTGCTTAGGGTTAGGTTGCGTTAGGGTTAGAACAGTCGGGGCCTGTTAGTGGCTCAGTGAGGCAATCAAACAGTACAACAATATCGTTATCCGTAATGCGTATTCAAGTGTAGGGGTCAAGTGTACTTGAATTGACTACTGGAAAGGATATAGAACTTCCTTTCCTCTAAGGTCTACTTGCTTCCTTATATAGTTGATGACTTGTCCGGGACCGCAGCTTCCATGGTTGCGGTCCTTAGGTGGACCGCAACTTCCCGTGGTGCGGTCCTTATAGGACCGCGCTGTCTGCCCATGCGGTCCTTCTGGGACCGCGCTTTCTCTTCATGCGGTCCTCTCCTTACTAGTTGGTTACTACCTGAGGTTCTACCTTTACTACCGGCTTTCACCGCCTTCTTAGGCCTACTTCCAGGCCGCTTGTGACATAATACCTCCCCTCTTCTAGTCTTTGTCCCTAAAGACCCTTATAACCTATGGCTCCCTGCTCCTATTGGTTGGTTCCGTTCTTGCCATCCTTATATTCTTGTAGTGATGCTGACGCCATGACAGATCGTGTTTCCAAACGTGCGTCTACCACCCTTTGTAAGAAACGAGAGGGCGAAGCCCTTGCTCAGTATATTTTTCTTTTGGCGAAGACCTCGATATGCCTTGTTCCTGGTGTTTTAACGTAGGGAGGGCCTGTCGTATGGCCTCCAGTTCCTCCTAGTGTCTGGCTTATTTGAAGGGGAAGAGGTCCTGCGACGGCTCCTTGGTCGCTTCTTCTCGTAAGCTCCCTCCTGGTTCTTCTGCGTACCCTTCCTGGGTACTTCCTGACTGATGGTGACTGTTTTTCTCTAGTTTCTTGTACTATGATGGAAACCTGAAAGGTAGATGAGGCGCTTGAGAAGTTGGAGGAGTAACTTTTGGAGTTGATGGCTTAGATTACTTGTCTCTGTCGTCAACGGAAACTACTTAGGAGCGCGGGGACGCGCTCTTCCGTCGCGGCGTGGCCGGCCTGGCTGAGGAGGGGAAGAGGACTCTCTAGTGGTAGAGACCTAGCAGGTAGTCGGGTAGGTTCAGTCCTTAGGGGCTGTTGGGGTGATTGATTAGGATGCTGCTGGTTTTGACTTTGATATACCTATAGATCCTAGGGTTTCTATAGGTGCTTCTAGTGGAACTGAGCTAGAAGGCTCTAGCTCCCTTTAAGGTGTTCAATAGGTTCCTATATGTTTTCGCTATGTTTGAAGTTTTTCTACTTTACTAGGTATTTGATTTTTCTATTATTATTATAGCTAGAGTTAAGGATTTTTCTGCTTCTTACTTATCTTCTACTAGTTTAACTATGATTAATTCTTCTATAGGTATATCATTATATGCTAGTTCTAGTAGTGATATATGAAAGATAGGGTACTTAAGTCCTATTATAGTTAGTAACTCTAGTTTGTAGTTAACTTCTGAAACTTTTTATTTGATGATAAATAGTCCTAGTTTTTTATAATCGAGTTTGTCACTTAGTCTTTTAGTGGTGATTTAGGGGTCCCTTTTTCCTACTTTCTTTTAGAGTAGGTAGACCTTACTCCCCTCCTAGAAGGTTAGTCCCTTAATCCTCTTTTTATTTATATAGCTTACTATTCTTTCTTATATGAATTTGAGTTCTATTATAAGTTGTTAGTATAGCTTCTTCATTTGTTCTGCTATTATGATTGCTTGTTTGGCTACTAAATGTTATCCTTAGGGTTTGAACCCTAGTTCTAGTTTGATTCTATAGTTTATATAGAATAGTGATATTCCTATGCTTTTATGTTTGTTAGTGTTGTATACATACTATGCTAGTAGTAGGTACTTTACCTAGTTGTTCTAGTCCTAGTTGATATAATGTCATAGGTAGGTTTCGATAGTCTGGTTGACTTGTTTGACTATCCCTTGCGTTTCTGGGTGGTAGGCTGTTGATAATCTGTGGTGTACCCCTAGTAGGTCTGCTAGACTCTGCTAAAACTTGGAGATAAATATGCCTCCCCTATCTATGTTGATTTCTTTTAGTAGGTTGTAGTTAGCTAGTATTGTCTATAGAAACAGGTTAGTGAACTTTAGTATACTTATTATTTCTCTATAGGGTATAAAATACATATACCTCATTAGTCTATCCACAACTACTATGATACTATCATATCTTTAACTTATGACTAGGTCTTCTGACTTAGGTAACTTAACTATGAAGTCTATAGTTATGTTCTACTATAGTACTTCAGGTACTAGTATAGGCTATAGGAGTCTATATAGTTTATACCTGTTTGCTTTATTTTTAGCGTATAAGTTACACTTAGTAACTTCCTCCTATACTAGTTTTTTGAGGTTCTTGATTGTGTAGTCGCTTAGTACCTTACTTATTATTTTAGTGATACTAGGGTATCCTCCTCTTAGAGACTTATATACTACTCTTATAAGGTTTCTTATAAGGTGTTCTAGTATAGGTTATCCTTAATAGCTATAGTTATCTATAATATTTCCTCCTCTATAGTAATCTTCAATAGCTTATACTATGGGGTGACTATGCTATAGTTGGTAGCTTACTGTAAGCTACTGTAAGCTTCTATTAGTATGTTTGTAAAACACTATCTTTGTTTTGTTAGGTATTTTCTTAAAGTGGTTAGGTCTTCAGCTAAGTATATCTACTCTTCTATTTTCTATTCCTTTAATATATGTGATTTTGAAGTTGTATTCTGATAGTATTTTAGCCTATCTAGTTTATCATTTATTGAGTTCCTTTATCGTTGTAAAGCTTATAAGATTTTTATAGTCTAAAAATATACTAATTAGGTGTTTTACTCTAATAAGGTAGTGTTTCCACTCTTTAAAAGCTTCTATAATAGCTATTAGTTCCTTATCAGGGATCCTATATTATACTATAGGTCTACTAAGTTTTTATAATATAAAAGCTATAGGTCTTAGTCTTCCTTTAGGGTCTTATTATCTAAGTTAGGCTCTAATTGCGTAGTTGGATATATCTGTTTTGACTTTAAATGGTTTATTGGGGTCTGCGT